TTATAATAATAAATATCCATTAAGATTTAAAATAAATTCATTATTAATAAAAGAAAGCAATAACATTGAAAACCATGATATATTTTACATTTATAATCTTTAAGAAAATTTAATCCTAGCTTTTCATAAGGTATATATTAAGAATTTAACATACGGTTTAATTCTTAAATATTAATTACTATACAACCTTTTTAAGTATTATTTAGCATAATTTGCTAAATAATAAATATAAAGAAAGAAAAGGGAATGAATTAAATTATTTATTTAATTTTTTTAGCAGCTTATAATTTATTTAAAGTTTTATTAACAACCTTAGCATTCTTTAAAGTTATAAAGTAAACTTTATATTTTTTTAAAATTATATCTTGCTAATTTTACCTAAGGCAAACCTTAAGCCATTTATTTTATAAAGCTTTGGCTTAACCTTTATTTTTAAAGATATTTATATTTTTATTAAGAAAACTTAAAAGCTTATCTTAATTAATAAAGTTTAGGTTGGAAAATATATTAATGCTTATTAAGGTATATATTTAAAAGTTATTTAACGGCATTATTTTTAAATATTAAGAATTTAAGGATTTATAAAAGGCTATGAATATAGCCTTATTATTTTTATTAATGGCATAAATTTAGCATTGCGGGTTTAAAGAATATAAGTATCTTATAAATATTTTATTAAGTATAATAATAGGCTTATTTATTTTATTCTTAATAATTACATAAGCTAGATGGATATTTATAAGGAAAGCATAAGCGCTAAATTGGGTTAATGCAAAGGTAAACATTAAGTTTTAAATATCATTAGTATGCAAGTAATATTTAATGGAAAGATAAATAGCTAATTTAAATAATATAATAATATATTGCATGGTAAATACCCTAGCCTTTACCAAGTGGCTATAATTTTTTATTTTCATGGGAATTTAAATATAGCAGGAGTTAATATTAACGTATCCTTTTAAATTAATAATATTAAAACCCTTTAATTCCATAGCATTCATGCTAATAAGCATATTAACCTTTAAGTCTTTAACTATAAAGACTTTGCAAGTAAATAAAGCAATTACTGCAATTCCGCGGTTAATATATTTTCCTAGGAATTATAATGGCATAAGTATATAATTATATAACTTATAAATTTTTATTTTAAGTTTGCGTAATTATAGCAAAGATACGCATTTATAAATTGGTAGAAAGGAATAATTTTATTATAATTATTATTTATCTGCTATTATTTAATTATAACCAATATTACTGCAAATATTTAACGATAATTTAAATGGCAATTAAATAAAAAAATGCAAATAAGTTTAAAAGCAAAAATTAAATCCTATTCCAAGTTTTAAGTTAACCTTTATTAATAATTAAATTATCTTTACACCCCTTATAATATTTAATGAAATATTAAGGCCTTTTAGTTTTTTACTAGCTACTTTAGGGCATTTTTTAATATGCTGTTTAAGCCTTAATTATTTAGTAGGCTAATAATCTCCGCCTTAGCTGCAAAAGCCATTAATATTTATCTTTATTAAGGCTAAAGCTTTTTAAAATAAATAGAGTAAATATAATTTATTAGCAAATTATTGCTATGAAAATACTTAATGCAATAACGGCAAATAGATAGTAATAATGCTAATATGCTAAAAAAGGCAATGTTTAGGTAATTATTATAGTTATTAATGGGAAACGCTTCCTTAAAGGGATAATTAAAAGCCTTAGCGGCTATATTTATAAAGAACTTTTTATTTAAAACTTCCTTAATTAAAGGTAATTAATATATGGGCGTATTAAATTGCTTTATAAAGTCTGTAAACTCGCTATAATAAGCCTAATGGGGTTAATTTCATTAATATAGTTTAACAGTAAATAGAGCTTACGGGGCGGGCAGGCAATGATTTTCTGGGATAAGCTATTATCGGTAATCTTTTGGCTATAGCTATTATTAAGTGGGTTATTGCTACTTATCCTATTATTAATGCCATGCGATATATTAATTTAGTAATAGCTAAGATTAATTATATTTAGCATTTTAAATTTAGCCTTAATTAGCTAATTAAACCGATAGTTAAAATTAATTTTAAGTTTAATTAGCTATATATAGTTAATTATATTGCAAAAAAGCTTAAAGTAGCTGCGCTTAAAAGCATTGCTATAATTGCCATTGCTAAGGCTATAAAGGTAGATATTATAAGGCATAAAGAACATTTAACTTGCCTTTATAGGCAAATATAAGTTAATAAGAATAAATAATATTTTAAGCAAATAAATATTATTATTAAGCTAGGTTAAGAATTATACTTTCGTGATTTTAAACATTATTTAAAAAGCTTTTTAATATTATCGCTTTATTAAATTTTTAAAGTTTAAACTTAATTTTAAGAGCAAGTAATTTAAATGCAGCAATTAGCTATATAAAAAGCTTTATATTGCAAGCCTTTACATTTATAATAATAATTTAAAAAATAAAGTAATATCTTATTTCTTTATAACTTAATAAAAAGATAAGTAATTTATTTTAAAATTGGCCATAATATTTAAGAAGAACTTAGCGAAACGTAATTTTAACTTATTATAAATTACTTAAATTATCACTATTTTAAGCAGCTAGTAATTATTATTAATTAAGATATAAAAGTGCTATTTAAATGCATCCTTTAAAAGATATTAAGACTAAACTTAATAAATATTATTTATAAAATAAACTTATTTAATATACTTTAAATGCTTAATAAAATAAAAGATATTAAAATACTTTATAATCTTTTTATTAAATTAAATACCTAAATTAATATGCTTATAAAGGCAAAAATAGCTAATATCCGCTAGCTAAATGCTAAAACATTTATTAACGCTATTTTACATAGGCTTAGCTTAAATATAGATTTAAGAAATTAATGCATTTATAAACATTATAGCAATTAAATATGCAAAATTTTAGTTTTGCTAATTATAAAGCTATGCTATTACTTATATAATAAGGTTAGCGGTATCTTTAGCCATAAATAATGCTATATTATTATTATTAAATTCAAGGCCTTTTAATTTCATTTTATCATTCCTCTTTAAACGTAAAAGAAAGCTAAAATCTTAATTATATATTAATATAAGCGGTATATTTTTAAGGGAAACTCTTAAAGATAATGGCAAACTTAATAAATTTATTATTTAATAATGCTTAAGTATTTAAGGAAATTACATTTTAATTAATACATATAATAAATCACCAAAAAGCAGCATTTAGCTAATTAAAAAAGCGGCTTAAGAATTAAACATTAAAAAGAATCCAAGCAGTAAGAGCGCCCATTAATAAGCAAGAAATATAAAAAAGCTTTTTTACTTTATTAATTAATTCTGCGGCTAATAAATTTCGCCTTAAGGAATTAAATTATTTTTATTAAAGGTAGGCTGTAAAAAATAAGCATATTTAAGCTTATTATTCTAAATCTTTATAATATATAAAGACCTAAATAGGTAATAAAATTATAAAAGCTATTAAGCATGCAATTATTTAAGTTTAACTATAAAGTTTTATAAAGCTATATAATTAAATAATTTAAATAAATAAGTATTAAGATGGTTATGCAAAAGCAAAGTAAGTAATTAAAAATTAATAATAAATCTATAGTAATACTTTTATTATCTTATTAAACAAGGCTATGTTTATAGTGGTTATCGGCTGGCATTTAATTCCCGTTATTCAAGCCAAGTTATTAAGGAGTTCTGTAATAAGAGGGTTATATTCAGTTTCTAGTTATGATTTTGTCTAAGTTTGTGCCGAAGGGCCGAGGGGCTGAGGACTACTTATCAATGCCTATAAGGGGTCTGTACGGTGCTCCTTCCTTACAAGTAGCGTGGCCACAGACGAAACCTGGAAGAAGTCTGGGCGGGACTGGGGAGGCGGGCGAACCCTATCGATAGAGACGGCATGACAGAGGGGGGGGGGGGCACAGCCAGCCAGCCAGCCAGCATTTGTCAATCCCCTGGAAGAGGACCCATATAATTCCCGTCCCGATAGCATGAATAAGTATCCGACTGCACGGACATTTGCATACTCCCGCATGCGGCATGAGGCTCAAAAAAACTCAACAACATACGAACTCATGACCTGTGCGCACATAGACTCTGCAGACACACTCTCTCAGTTTTAGGGGTGCCGGCGGTCAGCCGGCAGGCGAGCCAGGTGCGGAAGGGCAGGGGTAGGCAAAGGATGGATGAATGTTGGACAAGAATTATGTCAGCCTTCTTAGCGCCAGGGCACCCGTTTCGTACCAGTTTCGCATGCGGGAGGCTGGTACAAGCCTCCCTCTCCTTGCGGGAGGGTCGACCGCCGGCGGCGGCGACGCCTAAACGTGCTGGCCCTTGACCTTGTGCTGCCTAGCCTGCCGCGTGTCAAAATACACAGGTCCTGAAACGGGAGGAACCGTGGGTGCGTTGGCAAAAGGGGGAACCACTCTACCACTGTCGACCCGCCCCGTCCCATCTCTTCAGATGGCAAACTCTGGTAGCGCTGCTAGTCGCCTCTCTGGAGCCCCCAATTCGTCTAATCAATCCACCCAGCGGCTCACTCGAGTTAAATCTGTGGACGGCAGTGAGAGGAACGCTAAAATTCCATGATGAATTTGACGTGAGCCTCACCCGCTGTACCAGTCAAGGTGGGCTCAAATCATGCTAATAATGAAATAATAAGACCTCCTCTGTTGGTCGTGAACATCCCCGTCGTGATGGTGACTGATGTCGTGATGAAAAATGGGTATTTCCTGGCGTGCCTCCTGCCCGTCCCTAATCATTTGCGCCCATGAGGTCGTCCCAGCTTGTCCAAAGCCCCTGTGCCGCCATCGCGGTAAATTTCCGATAACGAAGTCTGCTGTTGCTGAGCAGTATCTCAGCGTCAAGTTCCCCATTGGAACGGCTGACCCCGTATCTCTCTCGTGATGACGGGGTTTGCCGGTGACCGAGTCGATGGCTGTATCGTGTGGGACGGACTCGGATTTATGAATTGTCTACGCCGATTGAGCTCCACCGCCTCGTTTTGGTAGTGTCCATGGCTTGGCACATATAACCTGTGTACTCGGTCAGTCTCCGTGTCCTCGTGTAGCTGATGGAGTCCAAACATACCTCGCCCTCAGAAAATGCCCAGAATTCAACGACCATGGCGACCAGATAGTACAAGGCGGCGTTTGTCCCTTGGTACGTCAAGACGGCGGCAAGTGCTGCAAGGGGCAGGAAAGCTAGGCGAGCCTCCAAGCTTCGGTGGATTGCCGTGCCGGCGATGAACGATAGTGGCCATTCCCATGCCATCACCCATATCCCCATCACTAGATTGATAATCTGGAGCGTCGGAAAGGGCTTCACGGCCGCATCCAGGGTCTTGGTGGCGAAGTCCCAGAAAATCTTGGGCCAGAAAAATGCCTCGATTGCCGCAGCGATCTGGTCTGAGAGAAATATCAGCGCATGCCCAATGAAACAAGCAATTTGTCGCGTCGAGCGGGGTGGTTGAACTCACAAGCTCCGGCAGTGAGGATGATGAGCCTCGCCCAGTGGTTCTTAATAAGTCTTCCCATCGTGGATTCGTAAACGTTGCAACTTCCCCAGGAATATTGCCTCCGCTCCCAAGCTCTTTCTGCCTAACTCGTCCAAGATTGCTCTGCCTAACTCGTCCAAGATTGCTCTGCCTCGTGGTACTGATCGGTGGTTGTTGTATATGTCTTTGCAAGCTGAGATCGGATACGCTCCAATTCGGATTAGAACGAGAGAAATTGGACCCGCTCAACAAAGTCCTCCACGGCACCAGCGTCGACTGTCGATATTATTACAAGTGAATAAGTAAGGAGAGACGAGTGACCGGACTCGCTCTGTAGGGATGATGTGCAGGTTGTCGATATGAAAGAAGGCTATCGACAAACTGTTGCCACACTATCGAAAGGGAAGGAAGGAACAGGTGCAAGATGTGTGAGACGATGAGCGGCCACCGGGGCCAAGCAAGACTATATTGCCTGGTCTTGGTATGCCGAGTGGTCTATGCCCTGTGGGCACAAGCCCGGCCCGAAGGGTGTGTATCAGTTGTCTTTGGGAACCGACTGGGGAGGGTATCGAATGTTTCTGGCTTGATGCTGGTACGTCTTCGTCGGAGGCCCAGGTTCTTGAGATCCGGTCTATGATGACGGCTGGCATCCGAGCAACATTAAGCTTGATCGACACAGACCTAGGAGGTGGAGACGATGGCTTATGAACGGTATCATCAAGGGGTTTGGTCCACGCCTTGTGGCCAGAAGTGGAGTGAACGCCCTCTCTGTGGTGATGGGATGGCGTTGTTTGATGCTCGCGGCGAAGCCAAGGTAGGTCAGTCGAGATGAGGTCAACAGTGCGCTTTCGCCGGTACGAGGCAGGGCTTGAGGCTCCTTCGCATTGATATGGGGTTGAAGATCAGACAAGACGGAGGTCTGAGGCAGGGGAAGCTAGATGTTTGAGGCAGGGTCGACCTTTTTGGCATGTAAGAGAGCTCGCTTGATCTTCGCGGGTGCGGGACATGCAGGTTTAAGAGTGACATGAGAAAGTGCGGGTCAAGACGTATGAGGAGGCCTATGCATGCAAGTACCACGGGTACGTGCCAGGGCCAAGGAAGAGTGCAGGGAGGGACACGGATGGGAGTCCACTCGCAGGGGTGTACTGCACTACGCATGTACATCGATTATTTTCGAGTGGGCAAGAGGTACAAGGGCATTATTTCTCGTGGTGAGAGGCCCCGCGCCAAACGAGACGTAGTTTGACTCGTCCGAGTCTCATCAACGTCAAGCCACGGCCACGGCCGCTTCGAAGAGCTTGTATCGGAGACCGTCCCAGAGACCGCCACTTGGGACCCATTTCTGGAGGATTCTGATGAGCACGCAGCGGCTACACTACTCGTGAGCCTTGAGGATCTCTGCCACCTGACCTCCAGCGGCAAGTACCTCGCGAGTCTGCCGAGCAACGGTGAGGCGATGCTCGACGGCGGAGAGGGGCTGGAGGAGCTGGAGGAGGCCGTGATGGTCTTGCCTGCCCAGCCCCACAGGCGAGAACCATGCGATTTGTATGCAAGAGGCCCAATCAGCAAGGCAGCTGGTTCTCCAAGAGACGGCATCAGCCTCGGCGGCAACGCACACCTCGGAACCATTGGGGACTGGGAGGGGAGACGACGGTTATTGCGGTGGGAAATCTGATGTGCAAGACGAGCGGCAAAGGTCTTCGTCTGAGGTGATTGGCAGAACATCAGATAGCGTGCAGTGTAGCACGGCGCGTAGAGACGGGGGAACAGTCCAATCAGGCCCCTGCCCGGCCAGGGGCCAGGACCAGCCCCTGCTGCGAGGCTGCAAGCTGGGTTCAGGGGTCTCGCCCTGGCAACCCTGGACATGCCGTTGCTTGAGGGGTCGTTCCAGGTTACTCTCGTGCTTCACGTGTGCGGTTGCCGAGCGACAGCAGTCGAGGCACAATGGGGACCATGGAGCATGGTCCTGGAAGGGGAAGGGACGCCGCATGCATGCAGGCAGCCACACCGTGATGCTTTGCCAATACTTGGAAGTACTCCTTGCCTGTTCGGGCCATTTTTGCCAGCTCATGGGGCTGGACCTCGCCAGGCCATGTCGGCAGGTCGTTCTCGTCACTGTCACGGAGTGGTAGTGGGTGATCATTGCGGCCTGCTGTCCACGAGTGCCGACGACTTCAACCTCGCGAGTGTTGTATCCTCTCTCGAGCCTCTGTTGCGTTCGGCCTTTTCCAACTGCACTGTGACCCACAATTGACTGCGCACATGCTATCGTCTGCCAGCTCGCTGGGTGGCCCTGGTGTCGCCTCGGTGTCGCAACCGGCGTCGGGACGAGACGCCTCAAGACGCTTCGGAACCAGAGCCACCATGATAAATGACGCCCAAGGTGCTGCATTCCAGACGTTGAATCCCTTTCAATTTGGCCGTCTCACCAAGGCGTCTCGCTAGTGCACGTCGGCTGCTGTGCGGGGAGTTGGAGAGAGCGGTTGAGGCTCGTCTCGTCCGGGCTCCCGTCCAAGGCTGCGGTAGTGGCTCGACGCCACTGAGGAGTTCATCAGACATAGATCTAGAGTTGAAAGATCAGTCGTCCCATGATTGATGCGATAGTCTGCTAAGCCCTTTTCAGGCGCCAGGCTTCATGCGACAGACGATCAGACAGATAGCTGTTTCGCCGAGACCAGCACTGGGAGGCTGAGGCAGAGGCCGTTTTAGGAGACTCAAAGAGTGCGCCTCCAACGCTTTGGGCCCATTTCGAGGATAAAGTTGGGTCTGACAGGTCGGCCGACCAATTGGTAGCGGGGTGCCCCGAAACAGGGGACGCTAGTTCGGATCCTCCCAGAGCCGCACTGCCTGAGACTCTCCCCTACACAGCAAAGTCGCGTTCCATACTTGGCCACGCGGCAAGGTACATAGCTGGGTAGAGTAGAGCAGTGCTCAGCATGTCCAGCAGTGATGTGACAGGATACCAGGCTCTTCCCTGTGGTCAGGTAACGTCTCGTCCTCGTCCCGTCGAGGACGAGCCGTGCAGGCATGCAAGTCGGGGGCACAGCGAACTGTGGGTCAGGGCAAGAGCACACATGCTTTGCGTCTAGAAAACCGTCCATTGTTCTTTGGATTTTGCAGCTCGGATCACTTCAGCCCAAGAGTCCCGAGATGGCCCTGGACGCCTCAAAGTAAATCTGCACCGTTCGAACTTTCGATCCCACCAGGCGCAGGTCGGACGGAAACATTATTCGTCCTGATCTTGTTTGGACCATTTTGCAAGTGAGAGGGCCGACGCAGCGATCACTCATGAGATCGAACGAAAAGCCACACGCTCTGAACGAAGTCGACCGATGCTATGTTAGCCTTGTGGACTCATGACCTGACTTGAAGGGACTTTCTATCGCTGGGCGGTCAGAAGCCCAGCAGCGGGCCTCTGCCCTATTTTGGCCGCAGAATCCAGGCCAAGCAGTCTGCCGGCGGTGACCGGATGCCGATCACCAAGGCCGCAAGAAGCTCTGTGCGGTCGTAGCGACGGCGGGAGATAAAGTTAGAGTTCACAAAGTCTCGGCTGATTAGCAGCAGAAGCAGCAGCAGCAGCAGCCAGCAGAACGTCGAACGTGGCAGCTTGGCAGAGCGCAGCGGCTTGCAGAGCAAGATCTGAAAAGGGCCTGCCAGTCAATGACTTGTTCCCCACCTCGATCGGGGTCCACTATGCACAGGCCTAGCCAATGCCAACCCAGTCCAGCGCTTGCACCACGATGCCAATTGGTATTTCGGACGGGTGTGGGCCGGGACGGCGACCCGCTCCATGGTGGGCACACCAGCCTCGCTGGAGCGACCAATCAGCTCAGCAGACTGTGCCTTCACTTCCACCTCCCTGCCCGACCTTGATCTGCGAGACGCATCGTGACATCCGTGGTCACCGCATATCTTGCCCCTAAGTGGCCAATTGATGCCGGTGAGCCTGGCAGACTATTTGATTCCAAGCAATCTATAAATGGGAGCATTCTTGGACCCCAAATCCGAGTAGGACCATTCAACATGCTGCCGCGCTGTGCCGTCTCTTATCGGTTCGCAATTCGATGCTCGGACAACGACAGTGAATGTCGCGTTCCGGCCATCAATCTTTATCGCAAGCTCTGGGTCCATAAGGGCGCTAGACTGGAGCAGTCGCATGATGCCACCCGGTGGACCGATGTGAACGACGGCACGCGGGGGACCGTCTTAGATCTCACAGTTTGGACCGGAAAAGTCATGAACCGGTTAACCGAGGTCCTTTACAACCCCTCTTGCAGTCTCATCGACGCGGCTGGATGGAGCAGGCTATCGTCGTGTGTTCGAGTCAAACTGCATATCAACACTCGATGGGGTCGACTTCTGCAAGGTGGTCAGCCGCTCCTATTCTTGTCAACACTTGGGATAGCCGGTTCGACAGAGCGAGACGATGCCCAAACAGCTATCTGCATTCATCCGTCGGGCCGTGCCGGAATGTGTTCTTGAAGGCGAGGTGTCCGCATCGAATGCTCCAGTTTTGATTAACGTCTGGCGGCCGCCAAAATATTTTCATGTCTCAACGTCCGGTGGGTATGAGTTCACAAGATGTCTCAAGGAAATCTCTTGGTGTCGACATCTCTTTCCCTCAATTCACTGGCCTCAGCTCAAGCTTTTCAACTGGGATTGTGTAGTATGCACCTTGGTAGGTATCTATACGCACGCATACACGCATACACGGAGGAATTGGGAGGGAAGCTTGAACATGTGGGCGGTAGCCCTATCTTTCTTGTTATCTGTCCCTGCCCGATGTTTTCCGCTCTCTCGAGTGACACCCCTATCTGGTCTCCGGTCACTTGGTGTGGGAGGCTTGTATTTGAATATTGTCTTCGCCGGGACGGCCTCTACGAGGCCGGGGTTGAGCCAACGAGAGGAGTTTGCAAGTGACGATTGCCTATCAGTTCAGTGGGACAAAAAAGCAACAAGTTCCAGTCTTGCAGTGTATCTCGGCAAAAGGCCCGGGTGAAATGAGCTGTCCCCTGGCTCAACTCAATCACAGCAGATACTCGTGTGTCCAGAACAAGATGACCCGCCGTGCTTCCTCTTGGTCGAGGTATTCTGCGAGATCCAATTGCCCAGTCTCAGTGGCTGTCATGTTGGCTAGGTTTGCAAACCCCATTGTCAGATCTGTAAGGACGTTGGTTGTGTGCTCGCGCAATGGAGGCGAGAGGCCGCTGTAGGGAAGGAGCGTCTGCATGGCTCCCATGCTTTGAGAGGGGGCAGAATTCTGTTGAGAAGCGCTGCCTTGGAGTAATGAACGATGGAATCTGTGGAGAGTGTCTGGCAGACTCTCGATGTTTCGGAGCGGAAGGAGCGGGATATCGAATCTATCGACGAGCCTTGTAGTAGAATTCTGTGAGTTTGTGCCTCCAAGACAGACAATCATTTAAGAGCAAGACGTTTACTCAATCTGGAACTGCAAGAAAGAGGACTGATCGCCACCTTCTTCTACTAGCCATATGATGGCAGCTTCGTTCCCACCGGACTGGTTCTCGAGTCGCTCGATGCGCTGTCGTCTGGCAGTTGGATCCTGATCGGCCGGTGACAGAAGAAGGAAGCGCAGATACCGTGTTCCAGGTGCGCCAGGGCTGGGCAGTGGCAGGTTGACATCGTGAGTATCGAGCTTGCTCTCTAACGTATCCAATGGTCGGTTAGCACGCGCTTGCCAGAAAATAGCGGTTTGGGATGCCTTGGATCCTATACACACCTCTGAATTTGGGATTTTTATTCTGAAGCAGACGATGAACAACAGGTGCCCATTCCTTGCGCCTCCGTAGCGAGGTACAGAACATTGTGCGCTCAAATCTGTTGGAACCGGCCAAGACTGGAACGGACTGCCACGACACTCAGCGGGCTCGGTGCATGGGGGACCAAAGTAGGCAAGAAACTCGATTTTGGTGAGGAGTTTTATTTGCATTGAAGAGAGGCGATAACAAGGAGGGGGATTCTGTCTAGTACTAGATCCCTTCCATCCCAGAGGTCTTTCGCAGTGAGAGAGGGGTGGTGTTAGGACTCTGGTATCGCAAGCTTTTTCTGGGGGAAGGCAGAAGCCCGAACAGCATAGGCACTGTCGAGCCTTCCCAGGGCTCAGTAGTGATCATGCTCCTTCCCCACAAGTTGAACCCACCGTCACGCTTGTCCCTTCCTCGGTGATTCCTGCTGACTGCCCCGGTACGTGTGTATCGTACAGTTTATCTACAAGCTTGTGGTGGTCATGATGCGAGCTTCGCAAGCCGCCAACCCTATTTGAGAAGCTTGCATTTCGCCTGCCGCTTCCCTGGAATCGTGGGTAGGAGTCCCGTAGGTACCCGGAGCGGGCGAGGCTCATATTGCTGGTGTGGGTGACGGAAGTAAAGGCTGCTTGGTCTTGGGGTCTTTGTAGTTCCGCAGTACCTCCTCCAGCTGTTGTATCCTACTCTGCTGTCGCCTCTCCTCCTCCTCATGATCCTTTTCTCTGAGCTGCAGCTCCTCGAAGCGCTTGTTCAGCTCCTCGATCATCTCCTTGTTCTTGTCCGGTTTGATCGATGAGCGCCAGGTCTCGTAGAGGATCAGGGCCGTGGCAACGAGGAGAATAAAGCCATCTCCTATGACATCTGCGAACAGATCGACAGCTTTTCCCTCGGGCAGGGGCTTGAACCGCCGTTTCCATACGCTGGTTCTCAGGGGGTTCCTCCACTGGCTGGCACCCTCCGCCGTTGACCCGTACTTGGCCTTCAATTGCTCTTCCTTCTCCACCTGCTCCTTTGTCTTGACAGTTGGTGCCTCAGCCTTCTCCTTGGCTTTCCGTTCCGCATCCACGTCTCGTAATAACGCTACGGACAGTCTCATGTTAAGCTGGTGAATCTTCTGGCCGTATCTGGCAGCGAACGCGCGAAACTGAGGGTGGTCATGGGCTTGTGACTTGATCCGGTTCTGCGTTCCCGATCAGTCAGACTAATTCGGCTCGAAGGGATCGCTGTCAACGGGCGGACTGACGGCTCCATATTTGGACACATGTCGGACGAACAAAGAAGCAAGCTTGAACAGCGGAAGAGGCACCATTGTGTACGGGAGGGCCGGAGGAGCACAATTCACGGCCGGGAGCGCGTAACGGGGCCAATATCGAGGCAGTCCGGACCGGCCGTTGAGGAAGCTAAGCTGGCAACGACGCGACGCCAACAGCAACCAGTGCAACGCGCTTGGCTGTCGGAAAGCAGACCGCAGACAGTAGAATAGAAGTCTCAACGTCCCCCACGGAGCAGAGTTGGTAGATTCATTCGTTCACGATCGACAAATCTTGAAGTCCCGCCCATGCGTTCAAGTGTTGATAAGGGCCAATCGACGTCGTTTTGCTGACTATCCACCCTTCTGGGTACCGAAGTACCGTAGCGTCTCCAATAGGCAGTGGAACAGCCGCCCTCCAATGAACCTTGGTGGGCGCTGGGGGAGCTCCCCAACTGCCCAGCCTGTTGGCCGCGGGGAGGTACCTAGCTGCCTAGTTCTGGCTGCAGGGTACCAAAATAACAACAGGCACTGTGTCGGACCCCACAGTGGGTCTTTGCCGCCCCTGCAAGGCGGCAGCTCGTTGCTGAGCAACGAGTAAGCAAATTCAGCAGGCCTCGCCGGCCTCAGAGACAACAAGCTACTTGCCCATTCAAGGATCCATCATTCTGTCACCAACTCTGCCTGACACCAACTCGTGCTTCACTTGGGACGTCGCCCCAGATAATGTTCTAAAGTTCCAAAACCTCTCTTCAATAGTGGCGCTTGTGGTCCCTGGCTACCATCTCATGCCATCTTGCTGAACAGTCATTTGTGAGTCCTCGGAATTTGCTTCCACCCTCCTGTTGAAAGCGATTGCAAGACACCCTCGGCCGAGTAGTCCACAGGGGACAAGCTCCTCGCTTTGTGATACCCTAGGCTTTCCTCTCTCACATCAAGTGCAAAGGCAGCTGCCCAATGACTTCTTCCTGACACTCTGGAACATCAAACATCTCCTTCACCCTGCCTTTCTTCACCAGGCCACTATTCACCCAGCTTTTATCACAAGACTTCCCTCATCCGGCCTTCAGAAACAACACTGAGTATGAAATATTGACTTGGATGCAGCTCACCTTCGAATCATCTACTGGCAGCCAGAGACATCATTATTTCGTTGCCCCTCAAGTCGAAAGCCTCAGGTTGCTGAAGCAGCTGCTCAACCTCACTTATCAAGAACCTAGCTCCAGGAGCTACCAAAGAGAATAGCAAATCTGCCGGCAGGCACTGAGCTGGGTATCCCGGAATGGCTGGGAGAGGAGGTGTTGATATGGAGGCGTTATCACCTAGAGATGTAAACGCCCTCCCGAAGCGCACCACCGATCTCAAAGCAAAGGCTGCTGCCCAGTTAAGGACAGCCAAAGACAAGGACCACCCTCCTCCTCCACCACCGCAGGTCGTTGAGCCGCCCAGTTCTGATCGCAAGAATGGAGCTGTGTACCAGGTCGGGAAATTGCTGGGCAAGGGCGGCTTCGCCATTTGCTACGACGGCAAGCATGTCGACACGGGGAAGAAATACGCACTGAAAATTGTGAAGAGTACAATGCCTGTCAAGATGCAACAGAAGGTGGGTGGGGCTCTCCCAGGCTCTCCCTCTCTCAATCTTTCTCGTAATTACGAAGCAGAGGAACATTACCCAGGGCTAACAAAATCTTCTTACAGTTTCAAACTGAGCTTCAAATCCACTCCAAGATGAGACACGCAAACATCGTGCAGTTTCACCGAGCGTTCACTTTCGAGAGTTGCACTTATCTCATCCTTGAGCTCTGTCCAAACGGCTCGCTGATGGAAATGGTGAAGAAGAGGAAAGGGTTGACCGAGGCCGAAGTCCGTTTCTACACCATACAAATCGCTGGAGCAATCAAATACATGCACGGAAAGGGCATCATACATCGCGACTTGAAGATGGGCAATATTTTCCCTTGATAGGAACATGAATGCTAAGGTCGGCGACTTTGGTCTGGCTGCCCTATTGGTCACTGGTAACGACATGCACACCATCAGGAGGACCACGCTTTGCGGCACGCCGAACTACATTGAAATCTTGCAAAAGGGAAAAGCTGGACATGACCACAATGTGGACATTTGGAGTCTGGGCATCATAATGTGCGTACGAAATCACGCCCGGTTGGACAATCTAGCTGGCAGAAAGGGCTTGAAGTTGACTGATCGCATTGCTCCAGGTTCGCCATGCTTACCACGAAGCCACCATTCCAGTCCTCAACTACAGACGAGATTTATCGCCGCGCGCGGGACAGAGACTATGACTGGCCACAGAACGACCAGAAACTCATTAGTCTGGAAGTGAAGGATATCGTGGCCTCCATGTTGGTTGAAGCAGACCGAAGACCAGATCCAGACGCAATTGTTCAGCATCCTTTCTTCACTGCTGGCTACGTTCCGGCCCAAGCCGACATTACATCGAGGCTACGGGAGGCAGCACCAGAGCAGGAGATCTTTCACGACTCCTGCGCGAGCCCTAGGCTACAAGAGAGGGTTCAGAGCAACCTCAGGGAGCTTTGCCAACAATGTGAAGTCGGCCCTTGGCAGCAGAAAATCCAACCAGTAAAGGCAGCCATATGGAGGGAGATTGCTTCGGAGGAGAAGCATGGCCTGACACCCAGCATCCCATTGGCCGTCGACATCGTCTACCGACCTTACGACGAACTGAGGAGGGAAAAGCAGCAGCTCCAAGCATCACAATCAGTATCCTTATTGTGCGAGAAAACCGAGGCACTTACTCTTGATGCGCCCGCGAAATGGGCACCCTCTGGATGGCTCAAAGCGCCACCTCAGAGCTTCGCAGCTCAACAGAGGGCAGCGAACAAGCCCCCAAATGCCATCCCCAGCTCACGAACACAGCCTTCAATGAACGCGGCGCCGGCGAGACCGCCGGCGACCCGATCTCGTGGGATCAAGAAAGATATTCCTCTGACCACCAGCGGGGCATTGTCTGTGGAGGACCATGAGCAAGCAAAGAAGGTATCAACAAGAGCAACGCGGACGCAATTGCCCTCCAGCAGGACTCAGCCGACCGCACGACCAGCTCTTGCACCGAGATCATCTTCGACCGCAAAAATTGACCCCCCGCCGCAACCAAAGGAAGATCCCATAGGCGAGAAGAAAGTTGTGTCGCTTTTTGGGCCGGGAGAGCAGCAAGAGTACCTCGAGGATACCAGGCCTGACCTTGTGCTCAGCAGGATGCGGAAGCTGCAGGCAGAACTTGAGCGGGCTCTCAATTCTCGATCCATGGCCTACATCTCGACCAAACAGAAGGGGCCAGAAATTCCCAAGGTCGTTGTCAAGTGGGTGGACTATACGAACAAGTTTGGACTTGGCTACATCTTGAACGATGGTAGCGCAGGGTGCATCCTCAACAGTGTCACTGCGCCGGGAGGAGATGCTCAAGCGGTGCTGCCCCCCTCATTTCTGCTTGTTCACGATGCTGAGAAGCACATCTCACGGAGGAACGACGAGACATATCACGAGAGGCAACAAGTCGTGCCGATGATGGAGCCCATCTACTTCTACGAAACCCAAGGGCGAGGAAGGGATCAGCCGAGTGCGTGTTGACCCGGACGAGTTCAGAGTACCCGTGAGCCAGACCGGGACTGCCTCCAAACTTGGACCTGGCAAGAACGACTACGAGCATCGGAAGAGAGAGCGTATTGTTTTATGGAAGAAATTTGCCAATTACATGCTTCAGCATGCGCGGGAGCACCCTGATGCGGAAACGCCCCGGCCGTTACCCCTCGACGTGCCAGGTGACCTCGTCACATTCTATCAGAGATTTGGGGACGTCCAGGTATTCCATTTCTGCGATGGGCACCTTCAGGTATTTAGCCTCTACCTTTTCCCATCGATTGGAAACCTTACTGACCCCCGTCTAGTTCAACTTTCCCGACCACACCAAGATAGTACTTGACCGGACAGGCGCTTGGTGCCACTTCTGGCACCTATCCCAGGAGGCCGCAGAGCAGCTCGCCAGCACTGGCGGCATGGATGAGGCATCGTTAGATGACCGTGCTGTGCTGTCATATCCCCTCCAGACTCTCCTCAACTTCTCGACGGTGCCTAAGGCGTCGCAACGCAATGTTCCCAACTCCACCCGGCACCGACCAGAGATCCCACTGGAGCTTCAAGGCATACCGGCCGCGAACGATTTCCGCCGCAAGGTCGAATTCATCAGGGCAGTTGTGAAGGAGTGGGCAAGGAACGGGGGCATTGGAAAGAGTGACATGTCGCGAAATGGCCGGCTGAAGTGGCCTGGGCTGCGGCAGACCAAGGACTGCGAGGTCTTGTCCAAACAGGCCTGGGTTACGGTTGGTGCGCGAGGAGAAGACAGTCGGCATGCGGTGTGGGTGGACAGTCGCAACCCGACTACGTTGCTCGACGAGATTGACGAGACCAAGAAGAGCTAGGGCAGGCTTTTCTGAGACGATGGTGGCAGTATGTGGTTCTGCTTGCTGCGACTTCATTTTTTTCTTTTTTTCCTCCACTTCTCTTTCTTCAAAGCCTTGTATTCAAAGTTCTCATCGTCAAGGCGTGAAGGGGTCTTTAGCATTGCGAGACATAATGATGGCTTCACTTGAGAGAGAGGCGACAAGGGCTTTTTCAAACTTGATGATAACAATGAGATAGCAAGCGAGTAAAGGGCATAATTTCACAGTGGTTCTTGTACTCCAGGGCCTCTTCTGTTGTACGCATATGCTTTCAAACAGGATGGCCAGACAATGCCTTGATCCTTGGCCAGGTGTGCTCAAGCCAGGCCTCCACATAACACAAACAGTGAAAGTAAACAAGACGAATCCACTGCGGGGCAACGCCTCGGCTCCCAGACAATGTCTCGACGGACCGCGGTTGCTGGGGTTTAAATGGCATCCATTGCAATGGCTCATTTCAGATTGGCATGACGGTGGTTCCCCTCCGCTCACCCGGTCCAGATTTACTAATTATTTTATGCGCATTTCGTCACGAGTGATTTCGTCGCACACATGCTGCAGTGTTTGTGTGTTTACATTCTCCTACAATTGCATATTTCCTGAAGGCGTAGAGGACGAGGAAGGTAGAATCAGATCGCGTCGTCGTGTGGAATTCACCGCTCATCCAGGGCGTCGGGTGACGAGCACGGGTGTCTTTGCAAGGCTATGCCCATTTGATTTGTCTCCAATGTGCATCGCGTGTGCAAGCATCTGCACGATGGCCTATTTTTTTCCTGTCCAGACGAAGGAGCTGCACCTGTACCAATCACGGGCGGTCTTCTCGCCGGGGGGGAGAGCTTGAGGAGCTCCCCACCGCGTGCCACGACCATCCTTGTCGGTACCTTCTCCACCAAAACTCGCTCAACGCGTCTCGTCTGGTTTGGTCTGGGGCAGGTCTGCGTTACTCGACGCGGCTGAAATTTGATATCTGCTGCACTACCTCCTCTCCTCCTCTGCTTGTGTTTCTGTCTCGCTTGCATTTCCGCTTTGGTTCCAGCATTCCTTCCTCTCTTTTTACCGTACGCCAGACAATTAATGTTTTCATGAGCTCGTCCTGTCAAATCATGTCTTGCTGAGGCTCGGATACCCGTCACCCTCATCCTCAATAACACCGTCAATATCTATATACCGGGACCAAATATGTCCAGCCAACCCACCTCTCCCGGCCCACTCCCGGGGAGCTCTCAGCAGCAGAATGAGAACAATGGTCCTCCTTCGAGCTCACCTCACAGCACGGCCTCTTCCGCGGTGCATGTCGACGAGACCAGAGACAGAGTGGATGCCGACTCATCCTTCCAGAGCAACTCGTCGGAGCGGCACCCCAAGGGCAAGAGGAAGAGAACCGCGTATGTTGCACACACGACTCGCGACCTGGCAAACGCTGTGGGAGACGGACCATTACTAACCAATGCTCCCCGTTCTTCAGTGCAAAGGACAAGGCAATCCTCGAGGCAGCATATAACGCCAACCCTAAGCCGGACAAGGCAGCGCGACTGGACATCGTGAAGCGCGTGTCCCTCAACGAGAAGGAGGTCCAGGTACGATTCCCATGTTCCATGAGCCCAACTGAGCCTCTGACGCGCCACACGCGCTCAATTGGTGGTCTCTTGCCCCGTGGTGACCATCGCTGACCGGACCCGCGCCCCAGATTTGGTTCCAGAACCGGCGGCAAAATGACAGGCGCAAGTCGCGCCCCCTGTCACCGCAGGAGATCGCCGCCCTGCAATATGGTGGAATGCAGGTGCTCTCGTCCGACCCGGCTCCCTACAGCAGCAGCCAGCCCCAAATGTCCGGCCTTCCTAACTCCAATACGTCTCCTTACCAGCAGCCTTCGCTCCAGGAGGGGCCGGACGCGTCTCCACAAGCTGTCGCAGAGCACGCCCACCCCGAGACGGCGGCCGAGTCCACGGTGGAGTTGCCCGAGGCGCATCATAATCGGAGGGAGTCTGCAGTATCGATGGGAGGCGCTGTCATGTCGTCTTCCCAGCCGGTTGAGTTCACGGCAGGCCAGCCACACCAATTGTACCGGTCCGCCTCCGTGGGATATTTTGCCAATAGGTTGCATGCCGGCACGTCTTATCAGGCTAATCGCCGGAGCCCGGACTCGCTGAGGTATGTGCACGCAACACCCCAGCGCGGCCAACGAGCCTTGCTAATGTTTGCAGGCATGAGTTCCTCTCCGCTGCTGCACGACCGTCGTCTGCGGCCCCTGTGCTCCCGCCGCCTCTGTCATCGGGGTTCCGCCTGTCCATGTCCGTGGAGGGCAAGGCAGAGCTTGTCCCACAGCCATCGCCGCCTCGGCTCTCCCCCTCGGCCTTGTCTGATAGCCCTCCTGATCCTTTTGATCGCCCCAGCCTTCACCGTAGCCGCAGTGCAGCCGCCTGTGTCACCCTGCCCCCCATCTCGACCTTGACTGCTTCTCTTGACACAAACGCCTCGAACCCGATAATACAGGCGCCGGTCTCGCATCAACCACAACCACGACTCCCCCAGAGCCTCCACCGCAGCCGCTCTAGAGATGTCCACGCGTGGGAGATGGCCTGCGAGGCGAACATCGAGCCCCGGGACGAGCTGACGGCCTACGCGGCCCGCGAATCATCGGGATCTGCCATCGCCGCCATCAGCCTCCTGCGGACCCTCAGCTCCAGCTCACACTCCGGCATCAACCACGGCGGCGGCGTCCTCCAGCCCAACGGCTCCAAGAGGAATGCGCGCCCGAACGCTCAACCGAACCACAGCGCCAAGAAGCCCAAGCTCAGTCGTGCTTCGAGCATCGTCGGCCGCCTCCAGACAAACTTTGTCAACACCACGACGGACAAGCCTCCCGTGCGACGAGAGCAGACGCCGGTGGAGGCCGAAGACCTGAAGAAGGGTAAGGTGTCGATCCTGTTCTCACCCGGCGGCAACGACTCGGACAAGGAGAACTGGAGCCCCGACAAGGAGGGGCGCCACGTGTTCCGCGGCGCGTCACGGCCTGCGAACGGGAGACGTCCGCTGCCCTCGGAGCCGACGTCAAAGACGACGACGGGTCTTCAGAAGCCGCGCAGGAGCGTGGGCCGCGTGCTGGGGGACGCGAGCAACGACAGGTCGCTCCTGGGGCGCGCGAGGACAGCGCCAACCTCGAGGCGGAAGAAGGGCAGCACGCCGGTCAGCATCTTCGAGGACGGGGCCGATGCCGGGGCCGACTCTTCCGAGGGCGAGAGCGAGAACGAGGACCACGGCCGGGACGCCGTTGAGGACGACGAGGTGGAGAGGTTCATGCGCGGCGAGGTCAGTCCGAGCAAGAAAGGGGCGGCTAGCGCGATCGCGGGGCTGCTGGCCCTGAGCCAGGGGAATTGGCGGTAGAGCGGCGCCCCCTTCGGCCCCGAGTGGCTTCATCCTCTTGCTGCGACTGTTGTCATTACTACTCGTAGCCTTTTTGCCTGCCGCCGGCTGCAATTGTCCAAATGTCGATTGATCCCTCACCTCTCGATGCATCGATCCTGTGGCGAAATCCCGCCGCACCATATTCCTGTATACTATACTCTGCCCGACTGAATCGGCGGTCAGATCTCTGCCCCCAGCATGCCCGAAAGCCTAACTCGGATGAATTATAAGCCTGAGGGGCAGTCGGGACATGGATCGGGCATTTTGGTATGATCAGGCGCCCGCTGCGCATCAAATCACAGGATAATTCTGGATGGAAACTCCGGACATGTCGATTAAGCTTCGCTTATGTGCAGAAATAAGACAATTTTGGGGTAGAGGGAGGGAGGAGGGTGGATGTGGCGGGCCCGCGCCCTGGATCTCATGCCATCTCATCTCACATCTATCTCATCTGAAATCCCCCGCGGTGAGTGAAAGCGGGCGTGGGCCCCAGAGCCTGGGACTCACCGAGGCTTATGCGTAATAGGCGCCAGGGAGGGGCGCTGCTATGGGTCACTGCGTGAGGCTGTTTGATTGTGAGAGTATGTTTTTGTGTCTATGCATGAGTTTCGGACTCGAACGAATGTCATCTATGAATAAAACGAAACCAACGTCTATTTTGTCCCTCCTATTTTTAAGCTTCTGTCTTCTGCATGCTAGTCGTGTTTTGGCGAACGGTTGACTGCATGAAACGGTTGGAAACAGGGGGGCCAAAGTCAGGAGAAGGCGTAAGGAGAGGGAAGATCAGCTTTGCTTTTGAGTGATTGCGTGCAGACACAGATCAGTGTATTGCGGAGCCCCCCTAGGACACTAATCTTGAGTAATAATGCTTTCTAGAATACTCAAGTGTACCGAACCACTGAAAAGTTGGGGCATTAGAGCGAGCACAATTGTACAGCACAAGTCAAAAGATGCCTAGAAGTACTTGAGTGTAGCCAAGGGTCTTTGATGCCCATTCTATCTGTATTTGGATGCCACTAAAAGATGGCCTATTTTCTGCCAGATTCTGGTTGGAATTTGTCGTTGTGCTTTGCGAGATCTTCAAGAATCAACGCTTGTAAAACTCCCCCTATGGCTTGGTCGCGCTCAAATGATGGCTTCTCGCTGCCGTGTAGCGAGCGCTACGAATATGCTGTATCCAACAAAATGCCACGCTCTTGTATCTATCTATGAATTTCTAAAGTATATATGCACTTCTTCGATGGGGTGGGTGACTGTGGCTGGTGACTTTGGGTCCGCTCCAGCAGTCCAGAAACGGCCTACGTTGGGTGAGGCTCTTGGTTCCTACATTCCCAGGAGACTCATTTGCCTCCTCAGGGGGCTTGCTGCAGCACTCCCTTCCTCGGAAGCATAGCAAGCAGAGTCCGTGTCGATATCCCAGTCGCCCTCGCCCTCGTCGCACGCCTCGCTGCCGTTGGCGCTGCCCGTGTCGAAGCCCTTCTGGGTCGCTGCACGGGTGTTCCAGCGCAGCGTCCGGGAGACGGAGTCGAACCACTCGGTGTCGGTGCGGTTGACGGTGGGGAAGGGGTACTGCGAGGCCGTGATGGTGACACAATCACCCTGTCTGAGTTCCACACGTCCCTTGCCATCAAAGGCACAGTAGGCTGTCGCGCGCGAGTTGCGGGGGACGGTCACGCGCAGGAGCATCGTGTCGGAGAGGACCATGGGCCGGAAAGAGAGTGTGTGGGGGCAGATGGGAGTGAGGAGGATGGCAGGAAGGTCCGGGTGGACAAGGGAACCACCTGCGGAGAGAGAATACGCGGTCGATCCTGTGGAGCAGATTAGCGATGCAGCTCATAGGCGGTAAGGCGATCGTATATTGGGGACTTACCAGTCGGCGTGGAAAAGATGCAACCATCCGCCTGGACGACCGTCAAGAGCTCATTGTCTCCGTAAAGCTCCAAGTTGGAGACATAGGGCGATGGGCCACGGTCAATAACGAGCTCGTTAAGGACCTCGAACTGCTCTCCTTCCTCCAGGTCACGACCCTGCTGACCGTCCCGGTACACCGTGCACGTAAATCGCATCCGAAGGTTGATCTTCATGCCATCATCTCCCATCACACGACTTAGGTGTTCCTTGAATCGGTCATACCCAAATGGCGTCAAGAAGCCCAGACTGCCCAGGCTGAAGGAGAGCACGGGTGGGACTATTCTCTGGAAGAGCCATGAGGTGAAGAGGACCGTGCCGTCGCCTCCCAGCGTCAGGACCAGGTCGAATTTCTCGGGTTGGCTCCAGCACAGGTCCGGTGTCCAGTACTTGAGCATGTGTTGGAAACGGGGGTTCTCGTCAACCAGCCCTTGAGCGTTGAATCGTTTCGAGCTGCGAAGCTTTGCATCCACGTAGACGTTAACGCCGAGATCCGACCCGTAACGCGGCGTGCTGAGTAGCCACTGCGCCAGCTCGCGAGTCAAGACAACCAGCTGGTTGTCCCTCGCCTTGGTCACAATCATGACGTTCCGCACCGCCCGCTTGATGGGCCTCCTCTGCAGCTGCTTGGACACCTCACGCACTCCGGTGGCGGTCTGGACCAGGCGCGAGTGCGACATCCACTCGTCGTTCTTGATCTCCTCCAGAACCCTGTCGATGTCGACGATACCGTCAAAGCGTTGGTGATAGAAGCATGGCGACTGCAATGCGGGAAATGCTGTGGTAGGCGTGAGGGTGCGCTGCGCAAGGTCGTTGAGAGCATCGCACAGCTGGGAGGATGAAGTCCCGCGCCGGGCGTCGGCCCCGCTGGATTGCGAGGCTGACAGCATGCCGGGAAGCGATAGGGCCTCTGGCTTGTTGTTGCGTGTGACTGACGAGGCTAGAGCCTTGAAAAGAGTCTGACGAGGGATAGACTCAATGGAGCGCGAGTTCTTCCTGTGGCCTTTGGCGTAGGGGCTGGGGTCGGAGTCTTCGGAGTCTCCCCCTACGAGAGCGGCTGATAAAGAGATTGGTTGGTTGTGATCGACATATCGAAGGCTTTGTTTTGCTTCGTCCAGAGAGAGGTGCTGCAGGGAGGGCGGGTATGGTATGGAGGTGGTCAGGGTAGGACCGGAGGAAGTTGACGATGAGGTCCTGGGGCGGTCATGTAGGGTATTGTGGTTATTACTGGTCTTGGGCTCCTCGGACTTTTGCAACGGCGGAAACGCGGCGGGATTACTGAGGGCTGGGTGGATCGAAGTCGGGGATAGGAGTTGGTCCGACATGGTGACGAAAGTAGGACCCCAGAGATCTGCCGGCAGCCGGGAATCGTCGAGCTTGCACTGGTGACAAGTGGTGGTTGCGTGTCTGCAGGTGCAGCTGCAGGTGCAGGTGCAGGCACAGGCGCAGGCACAGGCGCAGGCGGCAGGGCGTGTGCAAGATCCGGGGCTGCAGGATGCTTCTGCAGCACGACACAGCAACCTTGGAAGATGCGGGCGAGCTAGACTCAGCTGTCTCGGAGCTTGCGACTCAGCAATAAAGCCAAATCCTGCCCGATAATGCCGTTAGAACCGGTCTGTCCGCGGCACGAAACGCTGAGCGGGGTGGGGTTGATTGTAGGGACACAAGAGAACAAACAGCGGCGCCCCTTTCCTCTTCTGGTGCAGCTGTGCGGCCCTGTCTAGTGGGTCCGCACTGGAACAGGGGGCGTTTTGGCGGGTGGGAGCGAGAGGCGAGATTGTGGGTGAGACGGCGGGAGGTGGACGGGGTCAGGACCGCCAGGTGGGGGTAAACCCAGCTTTGGGTGGGACTCACTTGGCGGGCTCGTCGACGAGGAAGAGGGGAGTTCAGCTGCTGCTGGCTCCAGCTTATGGCAGGAGGTCTGGCCCAAATGATCGACCTCGCTCTGTGTGAGTGCTGTGAGTTGGTGACCCGGATGTTGACCATGCAACGTCACAGGTTTGTTGCCGTCAGTGTCTGGGCTCACGGCCGAGACGGTCTTCGTAGATCTAGCAGGCTTCCGAGGGAGATAACACCGGCAGAGAACCTGTAGAGGCCGTCACACGAGTCGTCAGTCTCAGAGTCCCTCCAGATTTTCCAATTCATGGCTACTGTGCAACCTGCCAGGTGGACCTGCTGTCAAACAGGGGTGATAGCCCCCAGCGGCGGTGCACCACCCGGACCCTGAAGGATTCTGCTGCTTACCGTGATCTGGGAGTCTTGGTTGCTCTGATTGCTTGAGGTGGTGGCAGTGTGATGTGACCCGAGGTGCAGAGACACTTGCGCGTGGCTGGAAGACTCGTGACGAAGATAGCTGGAAATGGATTGCTGCTGGACAAATCGATGATGTGTGGGTATCTCTGCAAAAGCAACTTGGTCTTCCGGGTATTAAATGCTGTAAGATGTCGACTCCAGGTCTTTAAACAATGCTGATGCACGCGATGCTATCAAAACGACAGTCGGGAAGATCATTCGGTAGCGAAGAACGGGACAGAAGTTTGCTCCCAAGTACAATAAAGAAGGCCAGGTTTGAAAGGAAGGTAAGAAGCGACGCCGGCGCGATTCAGAGAGAGGTGAGAGAACGAGATGGGACGGACAAGCTCAGGGGCGAGGTAATTACTAGAGAACTACCAGAGCTCTGCTTGCAGCTTGCCGTCCAGGGAGAAGAGGAGGAGAGAAGGAAAGAAGTTATAGACAAAGTTGCACTCTGAGTGTGTCTGTCCGAAGGAGGTCGCGTCGAAACAGCCTACTTGTAGTATGCCGCCTGCCCACTTTGAATATTTGCCTGCGGGCCGTGAATTGACCTGCCAGGATCGGTGAGAACCCAGACCGTCCGCTTATCACAGGCAGCGTGGCATCTGGGTGGAAGCTGGGACAGGAGACGCTGGCGCATACAGGCAGACAAGGCCGGCTCGACGAGGGCAGCTTGTTGTCGAGCGCGGCGCTGCTCCCGCATAGTCCCCGCTGTTCCAGAACAAAGGCCGTCAAAGGGCCTGACGGCCTGGCCCGCCAAATCAGATCTGTACAGCCAGCACTGATCTGTTTGGCCATGGGGAGAATGGTGAACCAACGGAAGTTCCATGATCCTGGCCCCCTGCCCTGTCGGTTTCTGGCGAACGTCCGCATTGATACGTCAGATCTTGGTGTTACGGTACTGTGGTTGCTTCCCGCACGCTCTGCAGGAGGCTTCCTGTGGATGTGACTACACACAACTGTGCCGACTGATCCGTATCCTGCTTGCTGACAGCCCCCTTTTTGGTGGAAGTCGGCATGCCGAGGAAGCTGTCGTGGAGAAGTGGCCCAGTATTAGGCAAGACACTGTTTTGTGCATGCACGCTGCGGCTTGACAGGAGAGGCTCCAGGGGTTTGGGACCGCTAGGTCCAGTCGAGTCTCAGGTCCGGGTCGCTAGGGTCTGCGGGAAAACTAGTGCAGCAGCTCGTCTCATCTCACGAGGCAGGGCACCCCGGGCGGAGCCCGACTATACCAGTGCCCTGCTCTTAATTATTTCAGTGGGCCTGACTCGATCCGCGGCGTAAACAGTTCTGCGTATCTCGACGACGCCTTTGCCGCCCGTGTTGACGGATGTTTGGCAGGATCTGCCTCTGGTGTCCGATCAATGCAGTCGGTGCCGGGTTGTCTTGTTTGACCCGTGCGGATCAGACACAACTGTCGTGCAACATGCATACGCATACGACGACAATACCAACAAACAAAGTGGCCGCCAAAGGCCGAGGCTCTTCTCGTCCTAAGACGAAAGTAAGGCTCCTTCAACAGTGATCACCGCCCAGGTAACACTTGAGATTGCTCGAATAGCACGTGGTTTAAACCTTGGTTCCCGACTGGGCATTTGTCCTGCATCTGGACATCGGATTGTGCTGACTTCGTCTGGTTTACTTGCCTGTGTGTTGATGAAGATCCGCTTGCCGAAGACCCATTTGGCAGAGATCTGATATGTTGAAACAGCCCCTCAAGCCTCTTCGTTGCTCCAGACACGGCCGTCGCTAGAGAATCCACGAGGGACGTTTGAGGATGCCAACGCGACCCTTCTAAAAACCATCGCCACGGACACACCAAGTGACGAGTCAGGTTTCAAGGGAAACGATGCATATGAGACTCGCACACTGATGTCAGGCTGCCGACGCCCACAGACTCGCGTCCCTTGCTCGGGATTCCCAAGCATCCCATGCTACTGGTCGACAGTTGCCTGTGCGAAGGTAGGCAACCACCGTATCAAACCTTCCGCTTTCTCTCCTCTAAGAAGTGATCGCACCCCGCCTCCTCAAACCGGCATCCTTCACAACGTCTGTATCTGCTCTGCGTTGTAGCGTGGGACGCCGTTATCACCCCGCCAGCGGGCCAGCAGCCCCGGCCAACGTTGTTCATGCGGCAGGACACATCGATAGAGGTGCCAAACAATATCTGTCTGGAGCGCACGAGACGCCCCAGTGATCAATATAGTTGCAGTCACTTCCAGTATAGATCTGCCGCGACTTTGCTCTCTGCTGCTGACCTAACAAACTGACGCATATCTGGGCCACTTTGTTGGGCTTCATCCAAAACAGCGTGGATCCCGTTACCGTCAGCCGCGCCGCAGCACGCGCTCCGCGTTGTTTCGTAGACTTGATCCCATTCGGTCATGCTGAAGTCACCCTCGCTCTCAGCAAGCAAAAGCTCGCTGAATGATGTGAATGCCAAGACGTGGACGGATCGGGATTTGTCCGCCTCTCGTGGAGGGTCCATCGTGATCTGGGTCTTGCCGTCACTGAGCGAGACGGCCGCAACAGCAGAAGTAGCTGTAGCCCTCATTGGCACTGCAGCGGACAGGAGGGCCAGAACCGCGGTCTGAAGCAGAGCCGGGATGATGAGCAAGTTCTATTAGGAAGGGTCAGCAATGTTCAAGCAGCCCTGACCAAGAAGACCAGGGGAGGGGGCGCCGGGGAGCTCTTCAAGCCTCGTACCGAGCTCGCCTGGACGAGTTTCGTGTTGACGTATTCATTGGCAGGCGCTTCTGTTACCTGCAGGACGATCTGTACGACGCAGCGAGGGAAATTCTTGACCAGGATGAGCTGTCGCAGTGACTGTTGCAACAGCGACTCCAGATGCCTCTCCCTGGTACCTGTGTGAGAGAAATGAGCGAGAGTTCTCTGGTAGGATCTCCGGGATGCCAAGAAAACTGACCTCCGACTCCTGAGGCCGGCCGAACGACAACGTCAACCAACGCCTCGTAGGGGTGCTCATCCCGTTTCTGGGCCTCAACAGGACCGTTTGCAGAGGCTGTGATGGTGTAGCCAGCATATGAGTACGTCGCAGAGCCGTCAGCCTTGGGCAACGGCGACAGAACCGCCTCGGGCTTAGTTGACACTGTCATTGTAAATGGTGGCCAGTGTTTGAGTTGTCAAAGGTAAGGTGAAGCACTGCACCAGGCTGATATTCGCACGGAAAAGAATGTCGCTTCCACCAACGCTGGTTGGCATCGCAAACAATAAAAAAGTCAACTGGAATGAACTCATAGGCCGGGAGAGCTTTGAGCCCCACCACTAATCGAGTTACGCTAGTGGGTCCCAAGGCAGGCAGTACCTGGATCAGGCATACCTAGGTACCTAGGTATGTAGGCAGGTACGCACACAGGTACAGTACAGTAGGTAGCTACGATATGTAGGTACTCAGGTACCTACCAGTCATCATCTGCCAAGGTGCTTTGTAACTGGCAACAACGATCACCAGTCAGGGACCACCAGACTCCAACAGAACATCAACGAGCTTGCTGCTATCCACACATACTTGTTCTATGACTGCACACTAAGAACATGGCTCCTACTGCTATGGCTGCCACGCAACAAACGGCAGACACCAAGTCGCCGACGATATCAACACCGGCACCGGCATCAACGTCAGGGCCTCAAAGAGTGCCGAGTCTGGGTCACAAGCTTCCCAAGCTCGAGCCCAGGCGGCGCCGACCACAGCCTGAGAATCCCATCCCTTTCCCCAACACGCCTGCTCTCCCACCACCCCCGGAAAGCCCAGGCTCGTTTCGTGTGCCGAGCCGCCGCATCTTGTCAAAAGCGGATCATGACTTGTTCGTCTCCTCCCCGTCGTTTAACCTGATACTGTCCTGGATTTTCAGCCTGGCCGAGTCTGTCGTCGACACGCCCATCTCAGCGGTGAAGGACGACGAGCTGGCCAGCCCAATACGGACGCTCCTGGAGATCCTCGACGAGGTGGAGCAGCTCGTCTACCAAAACCCGCCAGACGATCAGGGGGGCTCCAGGTTTGGCAACAAGAGATTCAGAGACTTCCTGGACAAGGCCAGGGCGCAAGAGACGAAGTGGCACCAGAGGCTGGGCGTCGACAGCCCGGACGCCGTTGCCGAGCTCGCCACGTACCTCAACCAGTCCTTCGGGAACCGGAAGCGCATCGACTACGGCTCCGGCCATGAGCTCAACTTCATGATCTGGCTGCTATGCCTCTACCAGCTCCGCATCGTCACGCGCGAAGACTTCAAGCCCCTGGTGCTCAAGGTGTTCACCCGCTACCTCGAGGTCATGCGCGTGATCCAGTGCCTGTACTACCTCGAGCCGGCGGGCTCGCACGGCGTGTGGGGCCTGGACGACTACCAGTTCCTCCCCTTCCTGTTCGGCGCGTCGCAGCTGTCCCACCACAAGTACATCACGCCGCGGGCCATCCACCAGGAGCTCATGCTCGAGCAGTTCGGCAAGGACTACCTCTACCTGAACCAGATCGTCTTCGTGAACAGCACCAAGACCGTCAAGGGCCTGCGGTGGCACAGCCCCATGCTGGACGACATCTCGTCCGCAAAGTCGTGGGAGAAGGTCGAGGGCGGCATGCGTCGCATGTTCGTGGCCGAGGTGCTCAAGAAGCTGCCGGTCATGCAGCACTTCCTGTTCGGGTCCCTGGTCCCGGCCGTGGACGGCATGAGCGAGCAGAGCCTGGCCGGGGTCCCGGACGAGGAGGACGATGACGAGGGCGGCGAGGTCCAGGTCTTTGACGAGGGCGACGTCAGGCATGTTCACCAACAGAACGGATGGGGCGAGTGTTGCGGTATCAAGGTCCCCAGTGGTGTTGCTGCCGGTATGGAGGCGATGAAGAAGGGCGAGACACTACGCAGGATTCCTTTCGATTGAAGTATCTTGGAATGAGTACATTCTGGGAAGCTCGCGGTGATTTTGCGCGTGTATGTGTTTTACAGCTTATGAGACAATAGACTACCTCAATCCACCATGATTCGGGTATAACTTGTGTGGATCAAGCATGTCTGGCTGTGGCCCTGCTACATAGGGCAACCTGCAAAGCCGCAACTTCAGTCGGTGCCACTACGAGTGCAATCGAAGAGAGTGTCCCTACCACTTCTCCCTACCACTTCTCCCAGAGGCGAAACACCTTGTCTCTATACGGCGCTCCTTACTGTTCTCAGTCACCCTCGACAGCAAAGGACGGATATCACAAAATTTGGTTCAAGCAATCTCGGAGGGCATACTTTAATGGAAGATGCTATTCCAAGGCAAAACTAACTATCCGCGATGTATTCTTGCTGATTTCGAACAAAGCATTCTAAGAATGGACACGACATCATGCGATCTATTGATGGAGGGCAACACACATGACAGGAAAAAAGGAGACGGCACGCTGATTACCTCGGCTGGCACTTGAAAATGAGTGTGAATGAGAGACAGAATGAGAGACATGAGAGAGGGAGGAGGAAAGGAAAAGCAAGGAGGATTCCGGACTCGAGCCGTCACGACCCACCCCTCGGCGGCAGCGGACCGCCAACCTCTCTTCATGTGCCGAACTTGGTTGGGTCGCCGCACGCCACGTCGAACCACTGGTAGGGCTGGAAGGGGTCGATGGACGAGACCTCGTATGCCACGAGACCGCCGTACAGCTTGCACCTTGGGGCCCCCAAGCCGGGCTCCAGGTAGAACTCGTAGCTGTAGCACTGCTCGACGGCGACCTGTTTCGCCCAAAGACAGGTTAGCACACCGGGGTCAAAATAAGAGGTGGGGTGGTATTAGTGCACGGGGAATCAACACTCACGCTGCAGAACTGGTAGCAACCCTGGAGCGTCACGGGGACGTTGGCCCTGTTGTAGGCGTAGGTGGCGAGGTAGTACACGCCGATGGCGGTGCCCCTGATGCCGCAGTGGATGATACCCGGGGACGGGGTGCCCGTCGGCGCGTTCGACGAGACCGTGTCGGTGGCTGTGACGACCGTCGTCGGGAACTCTGACGGCGTGGAGCTCGCCGTGGCGATCGGGGTCAGCGTCGTGACGATGACCAGCGTCCCCGAGGTTGAGGTCGCTGTCGACGTCGCCACCTCGATCGGGGTCTCAGTCGGGTCGATGACGAGCGAGGTGATCGTCGTGGCCGTCGAGGACACCCCCGGCACTATGACGGTTGTCTCAGTGGGCGGGATGATGATGGACGTCACCGTCGGGCCGTCCGATGACGTGGGCTCCTCTGCGGTCGTGGAGGCCGGGACGGACGAGACGTTTGCGAACGAGGGGGTCGGGATGGGCAGGATGCTGATCTCGGGTGTGGAGGTGACGTTGGCGAAGGAGGTGAAGTTCCCTGGGATATCGATCGAGGAGGAGGTCGGAATGGGCGTGGGCGTGACATCTGGCGTGCTGATATTGGGGAACGATGTGAAGTTTGTGGGGGCCAGCACGGTCGTAGTAGAGACCGAGGAGGTGAGGTTGACGAAGGTAGGAGAGCCGGTACCGTCCGTGCCAAAGGGGGCTGTCGAAGTGGTCGAGTTGGAGATGGGGAAGTAGGGCTGGCTTGTCGTTGTGGTCACGGCAGTCCCAGTCAGGAGCCACGACGAGGTGGCTGAAGAGTTCCCATAGGGCGCAGAAGTGAAGTTCCCAGGGGATGATGTGGGCGAGCTCGTACCGTACACGGTGACGTACTCTGTGATCCTAATCACGGAACATGCGCTTGTGGTGGTGGGGATGGGAGGAAGCAAAGGATCAACGATGACGGTGGTTGTGGTGTCCGGAGACACCGTGGACGTATCAACCGCAGCCGCGCTCACGTCGTCGGGGGGCGGGCCGTAGAACGGAGGTCGGAACGGGGGGCCCACGGACAAGATTGGCGTGTCAACTTGCCGTTGACGGTGGCCTCTGCGGGGATGGAGTCGCTGATCAATGTCAGTAAGGTGGTTCTCAAAAAAGGGCATCTATTTGTGTCTCAGATTCTTGGAGGTTTCCATTCCACATACGTTGTTGACATTGGGTGCTGCGAGTATCGGGCTGCAAATGAGCCCTGCAGCGACTAGAAGTACGTTGTGACGCATGCTTCTGTCCTGAAAAGTGAATTTATACAGAAACGAGTGATTCAAAAGATCCGAGGGACCAGGAGGACGGTGCCTTAAGAGAGTGTATGCAAAGCGAATGGCTGTTGCTGATGATGTGTTGAGGCTTTCTCTGCCATCTCGAGCTTCTTCCCGAGAGTCTTATAGACGTTCTCATCGCTCTAGGTCTCTCGGGATCTATCGAGATCTAGATGCCCAATTCACAAGGGATGATGTTCTCAGACCTAACCAGGCAATTATTGGCATGTGAGGGCGGTTAGTCCTGCGAGGCTGGGAAGGGGAGGTTCATGGGCACACTTTTTTCCAGCAAGGGAGAAACCACCACACCACCGCACTACCATCACGAGCTCGGCATGCCGTCTGACGGCTCCACCTTGACATCACTTCCACTCACGATCGCCAGGCAATTGACATCAGGGATGCCATCTCGGCTCAGAGTCTCGATGAATTCGGCTGCCCTTGATGACCTAGCGCTTATTTGAACGAGGCTCCCTAAGAGAAAAAGAACCGTTGCGCTACAGTACAGTCCGAGATGTGAGACCCCCTCGGTCGATCGATCAAAGAACAGATGCGATAGGGTATCGAACAGGCTCACTCGAAACGCCCCTCAATTCCCTTGCGTGATCCCAAAACGCAGACATGCCTTGCTTCCTAAAGACGCCATAGTATGCTTCCTGGCTGAAATTTATACAGTGTACCTTCCACAGCAGCCGGGGAAAACGTGGAAGGTATAGCCGACTGGCTCGCGAAAAATTGCACCCTCGCCAAACAACTGGCGGTAGCAAAAAGGATGGCCACAGACCAGAGTCTTCTCCTTATCAGTCTTCCCAAATAGTCTCCAGGTCCAGGTCTCCTCTCCTTTCTGCGCCACAAACGCTCCACCGCTTCCGCTTGTCTCTTGTTCCAAATCCACTCAACGTGCGGCCGCGTACTGGGGCATCCAGGCTGCTGCGACCCTTAGGCTCACCGCCGTCCTCAGCGTCAGCAGCAGCTTTGAGCTGGGCAATCCTGTCCGCTTCGAGTGCGGCCTCCTCAGCATCAGGCGAGTCTGGGATGGTCTCCAGACTTGAGATGCTGGGGCTTCGAGATCTCATAGAAATCGGTGTAGAGGGCATAGATGATGACGGAGCGTAGCCCCCAGAAGACGAGTAGCCGTCCTTGTCGCTCAGTAAGTCGTAAGGTCGCTGGACCGGCGAGGAAGTAATGGACGATGATGTAAAAGAGCTAGGCAACGAGCCCGTGCTGGAGCTCGGCAGGTGGCGGAGGGGTGAGGAAGGACGCTGGCGGACCATTGGCGTGCTAAAGCCCAGGTTGGGAGAGCTGTTTCTCTCTGACAGCTGGCGGTCGGGGAGGACCGATGTGCGTGTAGGCGAGGCGGGAGGGTACATCTCATCGACTGGTTTTCGCAAGGACCGCTGTCGCTGTGGCGAGCCCTTTGGGCTCTGGGGACGTGGTATGAGGATGTGGCCGAGCCCGTTCACGCCGGGCATGGACTGGGCACGCCCCATGGGAGGGGGAGCCAGAGTAGCGGCAGATTTGGACCTGACATGGTTGCCTGACAATGGAGAGGTGGTCCGCGGGCGATATGGCAGTGCAGCGGCGTTCCACGTGGGAGATATTGGCGAGGAAGGTGAAGGATCGGTGGAGCGACGCATGGTGGGAGGCTTCCGAGGGGATTCGGGCTCAGAGGTCAGGGGCTGTGGGTTGTAGTTTGAATGCTGTAGTCGAAGAGAAGGAAGGGGGCCTGAACGGAACTCCTCGAGTTTCTCGGTCTCCGGGACAGGCTCCATGGTGATGATGCCTCGAGCAGCCCGGGAAAAGAATCACCGGAGCGTCGTATGCATGGAGGAGGAGCAGCAGGAGGGCGCGGTGGTCTGGAGGTGGTCTGGAGTCGGACTGTAGCTGTGGGATGGTGGAGACGTCGCAGCAGGTGCAGCAGCCGCAGGCGCGATTGGTGGAGGGGCAACAGGCTCGATGTTAGGTCTCTCCCCGTGCAGACACGCCAGCACGTGTTCTGTGGGCGAGGACAAAAAGAGTATGCCGAGGTGGATTGAAACGGGTTGCAAATGCGACCCGGAGAAGTTCAAGTGATGTGGTTTCGAGACCCGATCAGAGGACTGTCTTAGTCCATCTCAGCTGGTCGCCGCCCAGGTCAGTCGATGGGTTCAGGGCGATGCAGCGCTAGACAGGTCGTGCTTGCAGGCCAGCAAGATCCCAAGAGGTGGCAGCAAAGCGTGGGCGCGGGCCGCGTGTTGGCAGCAGGGACGGCGAGCAAGGAGGAAGTGAGGTTGTTGTCTAGGTATTCTGAGGTAGGGTCGGATAGGTACTTGTGTAGGTAGACCAGGAGAGGGCAGAAGCGGGATGTCGGCGGCGAAGGGTGATGGGGAGGGCGAGGCTAAAAAAGAGAACTGGGATCCCAGGGCTCAGGGCTGTCACCGATGTTAGTGCCTGGCCGTTTGGATCTGGCTCATTCTGCGCGTGTTCTACGCTCTGCCGCGTGCCTGTCTACCAACTAGCTTGCACGTTTAGGCGGATGGTCTGATAGTCTAGTACGCCCAGTCCACATACAGGTAGATCTGCTTTCCGTCTGCCCCGGTGCCGCACCAAGCAGCGATCCCCTGGCGGCACAGGCCAGCGATCGCTTCCTTAGGTACCCTTATTTCGCATGGTCAATCTCTCCGAGTCAATGCACGTCGTCACTTGCCAGCAGGAACCCAAAGCTTGCTGCCATGACGACGTTGGCAAGCACAGCTGCGGATGGACGGGAAGCGCCCAGCCAGCCAGCCAGCCCGCGTGAGCTTTCACTGGAATGCGCAACAGTAATTATTAACTACCTGAACCTACAGGAGGCAGGCAGGCAGCGCAAGACACAGCTCGGCTCAGCTCAGCTCGGCACAGCACGGCACAGCAAACACATCCAGCGCACCCAACCAGACTCGATCACGGGCCGAAGTCACGGTGCTACGCTCCTTGACACCACATGTGACACTATGGCGCTGTGCACAGATTCGACTCCTGCAGCTCGTCTGGCCCGTATTCTTTGCAGTGATCAGAGCTGCAGCAGCTGGGGCGGTTCATGCTCATGATTCATACCTTGTGCCCAGCTCGCCCCCACTGGCCTTGGACTCTGTTCATGCGCATGGAGTCGTTCCCCATCCTGCTGCTTGCGGTGCACCGCAGTGCAGTCGGATGGCCCAGCAGACCTGCGGAGTACATGAACATATCAGAAAACCCCGGGCCTATAATCACTGCCGCAACGCTGGGCACTGGCTGCACTGCTCCACGGCACGTACACGTACGTGACTGACATACTGACTAGCCTACGGTCTAGTTCCTCCGATCGTTATGTGCGTGTCAACGTGTGCGGGCTGGTACGCAGAAAGGAGGACCGATGGTGATCTGCGCCGTTTCACTCACCGCCTGCATCCTCTTTCATGGGCCATGCATGACAAGCGTGCCGTGGGACGGAGCCCTCAGGGCCCTGCAGCCCTTGGAACCTCCGAGCCCCGCCTTTTGTTCCTGGTGCTTGTCGGCTGGGCGGGCTGGCGGCTGAGGCGCCAAAGGAAGAACAAGCTACGTTGACTGCATTTGGAACCTGTCAGACAGCCAGACAACCAACGCCTCCAACCCCTCTCCCTTTTGGCGTCATGCGATCTGTGCGATCTGTGTGCTGCACGAGACCCACAGAACGCAGCCTCGACCATCCATCCCACTGCTCGGAACTCTTCCACCAACAACACACCGCGCCACTCGTGACCGATCAACAATGGTCATCCTGTGCCCAGCGACTTGCCGTGTCCAGCATTGTCCAAGGATCTAGTCTCCCGAAATCCAGGGTCCTTCAGGGTCCCGGAGCTACCCGCTTGATTGGTGGACTTTCGACTGGAAAGAGGTCCATAGTTTTGGTCGAGAACGACCCCTGCGCAAGCCCCGGCGGATGTCGTCGTCGACCTCGTTAGACTACGGAGATGCTGGACGAGGGTAAGCTCAACTTGGCAACATGAGAGCAAAAGCAGAACCATCAAAACCTGGCTCTATCCTGCCTGCCAGGCTCCGAGCGTCAGATCGCCATTTTGTAGTACTCGCGTGCAACAAGAATAGGCTCAAACTGGCAGGGTTCATGCGAAAAGACCGTTGTCCTCGGGGTGGGTCCCCCCACACGAGGAGCGGTCACTTGACCGTAGCCGCGGGACCGGCTCGGCCGGCCAAACCGAGGGACTGGCTCCATTACCACCGCGACGGCTTCGGGCAAGGGGTAAACGGATTCCCAAGGACGGGTGCCGTTCACCATGCGGCCACCGCGGAAGAAAGCACGTAATCCACCGTTGGACGGCGTAGCAAAGCCGACTCGTCTCGTAGGTCATCATTCCAAGGAGGATTGAATGGCACGTCCTGCTCCCGGCGAATCTTGGTCTTCTTTTCTTTGTCATTTGTCTTTACCCCTGAACCAATTTAGTCTGGGCCGAGCTGCCGTCCCCGAAAGACAACCAGCGCCAGTGGCAAGCTGGAGGCGGACTCGACTAAGACCGGTCTACCACTCCGTCGGTATCCCCTAGGGAGCGAGCGATATTGTTGCCGCCGGAGCAAGCTGCCACCGGCCAAAAGCCAATAGAGGCGCGACTTTGCCGAGAAACTCAAGACATATTGTAGCGTGCGGGAAAGGCACTCACCAGCACGAGACACAGCCGATACACTGTCTCTCTTGTGTCTTGCCAGCGGCGAGATTCCGCACCCCAAAGTCAAGACTCAACGGCTTCAGCTCGGACTAGGCGCCGCAGAACCGAGCTTCTGGTCTTGCGATGCGCACCACCGTGGAAGCGGGCCATCACTGGGTGTTGTCACCCAGAGAGAAGAGCCGCTGCTTTCGTTTGCGAGTTGGTTGCCCGCCGTGGGAAGCTGACGTATTGGACTAACGACGAGATATCATGGACCCCACGATAGTCCCGCAATGGTACATGGGGCACATGAGGAGACGGGAAATGCAAGAAATGACCGGAGATTTTCCCTCGCTGTGGAGTCCTTAGTGCAGGCAGAATTCTAGGGGACCTTCCGCGGAAAATGGCTCATCGCACGGCAAGGTTGCCTGCGGCACAATTGCTCTCTGGGACCCTCTCCTGAGCATTTTGGCTACGTCGACGATGGCCATCCTGGAGTCCTGGACAGGGTGACCTTTCGAAAGGGCTGATGCGATACTAGTACGAGCGTATTGTGGCCAGTTTGAGGAGACCCGGAGCACCCATCCAGCGTGTGAGCTACTGTGTGTAAGTGACGAGATCACCGCGGGAGGATCCGGTGGATGTGTCCATGATTGACACAGGGACGATGTCCGGCAGGATAGTGGGCTGCCTGTCTTGGGCTAAGTCTGTATCTGAGGCCCCACGAGTCGAATCGTGTCTTAGTCTCAAGGTCTAGCGAGCGCCACACACCTCCTGAGACGACGAATACCACTTGCCAGTCAGCCCCCGTTGCGGATTCACCAGCACAATATGTTGCTCACATCTTACAATGTTGTTGGCATGTTTCTGAGAAGAACGGGCAAGACAAGCATGCTGCCACCTAGTGAGACAATGCCGATGTCCCGAGGCGGAAAGTGAGACTTTGTCCCATACATGATGGTTGACGGCTGTGTGCCAAAAGTGATGCATAGATCGGCATGAGCGTCAGGTACAAGATGGAACAGTGTCTGACTGACATGCACCGGAATTTTTCCCTCTCGGTGTGACTGAGGTCAGTATTCTGGTTGGATTCTGGGAGCCCCGCCTCACAATCGTGTACAGAAATCATGTTAGAGCCCAGAGGAAGTTCTCTCTTCCATGCTCTGTCTGCCACCACCGTGGGCATTCTGCTCGGGTTCGTTCAGGGGCGGGCGCGAGTCTGATCGGGCTCGAGTGGCTGCCATGATCTGTACGGCAATTACCATCACCAGCGTGTGGTATCACAAGTATGAAACAACAGAGGGCAAACTGAATGCAAATAAAACGCCACTCGATATGCTCCAAGTACCCTGACCTCTGGCTTCACCGGATTCTAGTTCTACATATGCTTCTTCTCTATATCAAAAGAAGGGGACCGTTCTTTTTGCACACGGCTCTCCAGCAATTCCACGGTCTGGCGTCGATCAGACTCATAACATGCACGCAGTGGTCGCATCAATCCCAGCCATTTAGGGCGGCACCGCACGATCGATTTTGACTGAGACCAAGGAGACGAATACGGCCCGCGTCGCTCGGCAGGAAGTGGGAGTGAACGCCATTGACTTAAGTAAGATCGGCGAGGACGACACAGATCCTGCCGCGTTGATCCGAAACTTCCCTTGAGATGCAGAGAGTTGAGAATTGGCGGTACCGCGAAATGCCGTGAGACTGAATCCCGGTTCATTTGTCTTCGAACTTATCTGGCTGTCAAGTCTGGTCTCATGCTGCGGGGATATCTGATGTGATCGCCAGACAGACGGAGAGACAGAAGACACACAGACTCTTCAACAACAAAGCCAAGTATCGCCAGGCGATTATTTCTTCCGACCGCCTCTGATCAAGGTGACAGCGCCGTCCGCTTGGCCTCGTAGTTGAGGTGTGCTCCTGCTTAATTCGCAGGCTGTCTTGTGCCGTTCAGGTTCTCTGGACCAAACGACATGGGAAGCAGCTACACGCAGACGTCCTCGGTCAGTACTGGTAAGTCCGAGGGGGGCAACGGTCAGGTCAGGGACCTACATCCTCTAGCCGCAGGACACAGTAATTTCCGTCCTTATCAAACATCAAGATCGGCATTTTCAGTTCGCAGAACTCCCGGATACTGAGACGCAGCCCATGTTAGTATTTAAGCGGCCTCGTCACATCACACACCAGGGATGTTCGGGGGGACACAACTGCCTACACATGCCGCAGGGGCTGGCGGGCGGCGAGATGTCGGTGGCGACGGCGACGGCCTTGAAGCCGCGGTGGCCTTCGGTGACAGCCTTGCCGAACGCGACGCGCTCGGCGCAGGTGCCGACTGGGTAGGCGGCGTTCTCGACGTTGGCGCCCGAGACGTAGGCGCCGATGGAGGTGAGCAGGACGGCGCCGACGCGGAACTTGCTGTAGGGGCAGTAGGCCGTGTCCTTGGCGGCCACCGCGTGCCGCCGCAGGTTCTTGATCTCCTCCGTCGTCAGCCCGAACGTCTCTGCCGTCGACTCGATGTGCTGGTTGTTGATGCTGGACAGCATCGGGGGAGGTTGGGGTGCCATTTCGATCTGATGCAGGTGCAGGGGTCCAGATGTCTGGTGATAGATTAAGTGGTGAACGAGACAGTGATCAGATATTAATTGGGCAGTGATCGCTCACAGGAAAATGAAAAGAAATCTATGAGAATGTCTTCCCGCGTTGAACAAAAATTTACTCTCGGTCAGGAATGAGACAAAATGAAGCAATACCGTAATTGAATCAGTGAGGTTGATAAAGTGAAAGTTCGGCTCTGGTGTCCTTAAGGGAGCATCAAGACATGTGGAGTGCGGTAGTCGCCGCCAGCCGACAAGATAAGTCTGCCAGCTGTACTGGACTCTTCTCACCCTTTGGCAAGAATTCTGCGACCAATAGCTTACATGTCTTGATAATCAAGCTGTTTTTGTATTTGTAACTTAATTAATTCATGCATCTGTTCGCTTGAATAAATAAAAAAGTGTGCGGGCGGATCTCTCTGAAAGATCCAGCCATTGCGCTGACCAAACTTCTACTCCACAATGAGATACCTACGATGCACGAGACCAGCCGAGGAGGACTTGATGAACCTGGCAGGTATCTATCTGTATTTTCTCTGCCATGTGCGCCGAAAGTTGCCATTGTACAGCGCATTGTCAACGTTTCGACGCTTGGACGCCGACTTTAGTGCAAGACAATCCCATGTACATCATAGCTAGGAGAATCACGTTGGCGTATTACTACAGAGGTTATCTAGGAGGTTATCCGCTCGATTCATCCTATAACAGAGTATCTCTTAATAGGTTAACCTAGAGGAGGCGGTGCTACGGGGGTTTATCCCAGAAGTGGTTATCCCATACCATCACCATTACTGTGCACCATGTCTCATGGCATATCCAAGCCCAGGTATCAACTCAGATTGGGATGGTCATGGGGTTCATTACACTTGCACCTCCGTCTACCACCATATTTGCCCCATTGACGTAGGACGAGAATCCACAGGCGAGGAACCCAACGACTCTTGCGACCTCCTTTGGTTGTCCAGCACGCTCGAGCGGGATCGTCTGCTTCTGGGCCTGGAGCACATGCATCAAGTATCATCAGCAAGAATAAGTCAAAGACTCGACAAGGTGTTGGGGTCCTGACCTCGGGTGTCTGTAATGATGCCGGTGGGAACTGCGCCGTGAGGCCTCTCATGTCCGTCTGTATGACAACATCTCAGTAACTTGGACGGGAAAACATGTCTGGCAGCGGTTGCTCACCCCGTTCAGGTCAACGCCCACATCGACTTGGCCAGGAGAAATGCAATTTATTCTCACGCCACTGCCCTTTAGCACAGCAACCCCGGCTCTGACGACCCCCAGAGCCGCATGGGTGGCCATCGTGTAGCTAGGACCCCAACAGCCCCCGTAGGTAGATGCCACACTGCTGATGACGATAATACTGCCATATTTCTGCGACTTTGGCGCAGCATTAGGGTACAGCAGCTTCTTAGTTAGTTTGGCCATGGCCGGGGGCGCGTACTTCAGCGCAAAGAAAGGCGCCATCGAGTGCGCCTCAAAGCACCTCTGGAGATCGGACGGGGTGGTATCGTGGATCGAGGGCGGGCCGAGCAGGCCGGACGAGCAGACCCAAACGTCTAGGCGGCCAAAGGCGTGGAGGACCTCGTCGATGAGCACGACCGTGTCCTCCTCCTTGGCGATGTTGAAGGGATAGGGGATGACCTTTGTGTGGGGGTGGTCCTTGGACAGGGCATCAACAAAGTCCTTGTCCGCGTCTAGGGCTGTAACTTGGTCACAGGCATATATCGCAGCCGCCCCGTGGGTTGCCAGCTCCTGGACGATGGCCTTACCGACAGGCTGCGAAGTACCCGTGACGACACAAACAAAGCCGTACTCGATTATTGTTAACTTTCCGTTTCATTGATACCACGAAGAGACTTTGGAGCCCATCAACTCACAAGCTTGCCATCAGGACGGTATGGGCTGAAGTCTTCGGTAGCATCCATGGTGGCCCGTCCGAGCGGCTTGACCTTGCGGGCACGGGAGTATACAGATTGCGGTATGTGACGATGCTTAAAGAGAGACAGGACGACAGGCCGAAGCAGCACGAGTTTTGATCATGTATCCATGGGACAGTAAGACTCAAGGTGCTCGCGGTGTCGAGCACAGTGGTCTTATCTGCTGATGGATACTAAGTGAATATGATGGTCGTTGCCATGTGTGTTACACATCACCAATTGGACGATTCTGGTTCGTCAATGGCTACAGCAGGTGGTTGGTTAGTGTGAGCTTGGGATGTGCTTCTCCGAGGCACCGCTGGGGTGCAGGAATCGACTGATGCGTGCTTGAGATAAGCGCACACAACAGGTGGTTTCGGTAGTACGCGGCCGCAAGCCCGCGAGAGCCCGGGCAAAGCAGCCGCCGTGCTTCTCCTCGGCCCCTTGAAGATTCAGCATTGTCTGGCGAGGCAGCATGAGCAACCGGGTGTGTGGGAGACACGAGACCGTCTCGTGGTCCTGGTGTGAGGTGCAACCGCCCGGCTCTCGACCCTCTCGACTCGTCAAATATTGTTCGATTGACCAGGGGCCTGAGCTTGGAGATTTGGATTAGCACAAGGTATGAATCTGCACCGCATGCAGATCTGCGTGGCTCGGGTCCAACGCCCAAGCATAATTGCGAATACCAGTGCAGGAGTTGGTAAAGCTTAAAACAAGTTCTCCGTGACTACTCTTGAGGAGGCTGGCTTGGGCATGGGAAAGTAGAGTGTGTGTCCTGAGAGCCCGGGAAATCACACCCAAGATTTCGACGTTGCAGCGGGTCCCCCACCCCTTACAGGCTGGCCGAGTGCCGGACTTTGTCCCGTCCGTGAACTAGATTGAACTCCCTCTGCTTTTCGGACTCGAGAGCACACGACCGCAGACAACAGTCGCTTGCATCTCGCGATACACGCGTCGCCCCGACCACCGCTTCGAGACATGCAGCACTTATGACACTAAACCCGCCCTCTGTACGACCGCCTACCTGCTTCCTGCGTCATCGAGAGAGCCTCTGCAGCTGGGCAGCCCGCCCCGTTACACGAGCTCGTGCTCTGCACTGCCCTCGCCCGCACCTTGCCTGACCTCGCTCGCGAACGCCCTCCTCGACCCGATCTCGCCATGGACCAGGCAGACGTGCCGGCGCTGCTGGCGCGCCTGGCCAGCGACGAGGATGCCGCCCGCAAGATGGCTGTGTTCAAGCTCCAGTCCTCTATCAACGACCCTGCCTTTGCCGACGTCTTCATCTCCGCAGGCGGTCTCGTCATTCTGCGACGCCTCATCATGAGCACCGGCGGCAACACCCTCGCATACTCGCTCCAATCCCTGAGCAGGCTGCTCGAGGTCGATATGGGATGGGACATATTCGAGGGCCACATGGCCACCGACCTTGTCGAGCGCATCGTCGAGCTCATCGTCATGAACCCCTTGGTCAACATCTTGAGAGGTGCAATGTCTATACTGGTTGCCCTCGTGTCTCACTCGCAGTCCGCCCCCAGGACCAACCATATCGCAGCCTCTGTGAAAGCACCCGGCACGTTTGGCTTCCGCGCCCTCAAGCCCGCTGTCGCCGCCTACCCCCAGCTTTTCGAGCACGTCATCTCCCAGCTCCAATCCGCCGATCACGCTCTATGCGCCAACGCATTGATGCTGATAAACGCACTCATACGAGATGCCGTGTCGAAGGAAGAGCCGCGCAGTGGTGCAAACGGCACCAGGTCAGGCGCAAACGAGGACTGGTCAAAGTTCATTAAAAAACTACAGGATCTGGGTCTGATCAAGGCGGTATACAACCTGATGCAGAGCTCGGCAATGCAGGACCTTGCCCAGCCTCTGCTCGAGTTTCAATCGCTTACCAAGGTGCTTCTCAGGAGGTGGAAGGAGGTCAAGGTCGACCTGGAGCGGCCGGAGCACCGGAGAGCACTCAAAGGTCTGCATCTTGCCAGCGCGCCAGATAAGTCCTTTGGAAATGGATCGGGCTCCACCACGCCGGTGGCGATGGACGGCGACAAAAGTAACAGGAAACACAACCCAGAAAAGTGGCGCAGGCTCGGCTTTGAGACAGAAAGCCCGGCACAAGAGTTCGGCAACGCTGGGTTCCTAGGCATGATGGATCTGACAGACTACGTGCGCAAGAACGAGGATGGTTTCCAGAAGATGCTCTTGGAGCAGTCGACTAGACCACTGCACGAGAGGTGCCCAGTCGCACGTTCGAGCTTGGCAGTGACGACAATGCTCTTCGAGCATTTTGAGGTGAACAAGGCAGACCTCGAGGACACAAAGGGCTACCAAGCGCTTGAGAACGTGAAGAACAACGACAAGATCTTCAGGCCTCTGTTGCTTCAATGGTCGCGGTTGCATACGGCTGGTCTTCATGCTTTCTTCCGGATGTGGAAGGCGACAGGCGCGGAAAGGGATGATTTTGACAAGGTGGCTGAGCTGGTCCGAATCCTCATCGAACAGGTGGTCGGCCAGGCCAGCAGGATGAAAGATGTGGTGGAGGTCGAAGAAGAGCTACAGGAGCAAGATTGTGGGCGACTACGGGAACTACAGATGGAGCTTCTTGACTTGTCATTCGATGACCAGTGGGGACAGCACCTCTATCAAGTGCGCGAGGAACTGAAACACGAAGCGTTGTCATTCGTGAAGGAGCAACGCATTCGTTGCCTGCTGCAAGGAGCTTGGTCCTCCAGGCCACTGCCACGACGAGATCAGCCGGAATATCAACAGGAGGACGGTTCGGGCAAGAAAAAGCTTTACCAGCCGAAACCATGGAGGTTTGCGAAGCTATCCCACAACAGGCGCTACCTTCACTACGCCGACTTCGCGGAGAAGATAGAGCCAGACCCCGGCCTTGACTCCCTTGCCGAGAAGATCGACCTGAGCACCATCAGCTCGGTGGTCTCGAATGTGTCTGCCCCTAACGAGGACGTTCGGAGTGTATCTAGCGGATCCACGCTCAAGAACCAGGCGGCAAACGCCGGCGCAGCGACGGGTATCAATGCCGCACCAAAGACGACGACAAAGATCACCATCTACAGCTACGTGAGGCCAGAGGAGGCTGCGAAGGGTGGCGACACCAAAGAGCAGGCCATCCTGACACTGTTCCCATTGAACCACTCTCTGGCGTCCGAGTGGCTGGACGGCCTGCTCATGCTGCTCAACCAGGCACCGATCACGGCGGAGACAAACAAGCTGGTAACACTGGTCAGTGATTACGGCCTGAAGATAAGGCTGCTTAATGTGAGGGTGGACGCCGTGTACCAGGGGCCGCCCCCTGGAGCGGGCGTTGTGCCGAGCAGGGAAGGACTGGACGACAATTACTTCTATGAGGTTTAGTCTTACCACAACCGTGTCGAACGACACGTCCAGGCCGCAAGTGGTTTCTTTGTTTATTTTTTTTTTTGTCAAGCCTTTCATTTAGTCAACGCGTATACCCGATTTGGCAGAGGAGGTCGAGAGCTCCGAGAGCTCCGAGAGCATGCGCTCAGGTTTTGCATATCACAATAGTTGTCATAATGGTCTTCAGCATAGCGATAATACGTCTGCCTTATCTTTTCTTCTCGACGTGTACCACAATTCGCGGAATCGAATACTCTGAGCATGAGCGTCAACCAATATCTCAGGCATGTGAACAACTTAGCGAGGGACTCCAGGCCTTGCCAGAAACCAAAACGCCCCCAGGTGGAGACGGAATCACACAGTACATGTATGGAGAGGTTAAGTGCTTCCAAAAAAAAAAAAGAAGTAAGGAAAAGAAAAATCAGGGTCCTGGGGACTTGCACAACGGGGCTGGTGTGGGGACGGCGACCCAGCGCGTCGGGCCGTCCTGCAGCAGCAGCATACCCTAGCACGCGCCTAGATCCAGCCTAGGCTGTTCGCTGTAGACAAAGGCGGGCAGGTGGCTGGGGGCGGGGCAGGGGACCAGCTTCCAGATTAGATACAAACGGGCTCCGTATGACGACTTATCCCACCAAACATATATTGAGCCCTCCTCCCCCCCACCTAGAGTTCTGGCAACGAAGGTCGACGCCCTCCTCCATACAAGCACGCGTGACAAGATCACTACCGTCATCAAAGCCGCATTGACCCGACGAGATGCCCTACAAGACTCCCTCCAGAAGGGGGGCGTCCGCCCAAAAGCCGTTTACACCTCGCAAGCGAGGTCTCTTTGAAGACGGTCAATGGCTATGTAAGGCCCCGCCACCACATCCCATGAGACCGATTGCCTTATTCGTCTAACCGTGATCTGTCTGCGCTCGCAGGCGAGTGCACTCCGCGGAAGCCGGCTCTCTGCCTGACGGTCAAGAAGGACAGCCCGAACAAGGGCAAGCGGTTCTACACATGCCAGGACAATCCCAAGAAGTGCGACTTCTTCCTCTGGTTCGTTTCCCACACTACTGGCTCTCCCAGCCCCCCGACGTATGGGCACACTCGCTTACACCGATCGCAGGGAGGAAGAGGCAATGAAGCGCGAGCGCGACGCCCTCCTGCTGCATAACTGTAACTCAGAGAATGGCGTCACCACCAGCGTGCGGGCCAAGACCCCCGAGCCCGCGCCCCCTCTGGACCTGCCTGCGCCAAAACCAGCCGCGCCGACGATCTCCCAGTACTTCGAGAGGCCCGGAGCATCCAAGCAGAGGATCTTCAAAGGGCTCGACGCACCGCGCGGGAGCCACCCCTCACAGTCCAGCGACACGGACGACGAGGCCGACGCCTTGGTAGCAAGCCAGACGCTGCGCGGCTCGGTTTCGTCTAAGTCGCTGAACTCCGACGCGGCGGCGGCAGGCGCGGGCCCGGTGACGCCGACAGCGAAGCGTAAGCGCGGCGTCTTCCTCGAGGACAGCGACGAGGAGTTCGGCGGCGACGACCTCAACGACTCGGACACGGAACGGCAGCTCGCCGCCATCACGGACGAGAGCGCGGAAGCAGCAGCGTACGCGGGACGCATATGAGACGCCGGCGGCACATGGAGGCGGCCAGAACGGCCTCCCGACGCCTGTGAGCAGGAGGCCCGGCCTGCTAATCGGCCAGGATGAGCGCGAGCGCTCGGCCAAGCGACAGCGGCATGCCGGATCGCCACCTATACGTGCGGGTGACGACGATGACGAGACGCAGTCACAGCCTGGGCAGGGGAATGTGCCAGGGGACCCCGAGACGCCCACGCCCTACCGGAAGACCGACGCCCTCGCCGGGCTCAAGAACACCACCACGGCAGCCAAGACGGCAGGGAACGCAGCTCCGGCCGCGGACGACTACCCCAAGATCACGGACGAGGTCTTCTCGCTACTGGCCCACCAGCCCGTCTCGGAGTCCACGAAGCGGACGCTCAAGGCGGCGATGGAGCGGCACGAGATGCGCGTCAGGGGCGTCGTGCGGGGCCGGGAGGCTGCGAGGGCGGGCGTCGCGGAGCGGGACGCCAGGATCGGCGAGCTACAGGACCGCGTCGTAGCTCTCGAAAACGGCAGGAGAATGGACAGGGAGAGGCTGCGGGAGCTCAGCTCGGGGCTCCTGAAGCTGAGCCAGGAGGATTGAGGGGCCTGGTCGCTCTGCTTGGGTGGCTGAACAGTGTGTCATCCCTAGATCTTTGTTTAGTGCGTCTGGCAAGGGCCCCGCGGGCGAAAATTTGGATTAAAAAGGCTTTTAGTAAGCAGCTCTGTTTCTGGATTCGACTATGGCGTGTAGGATACCCCTTTGAGTTTGTGCATAGACCTGAGGACCAAAATACTATGGGAACAAGTTTGATATGGTGACGATGCCCTATTGTATTGTTTTGGACAGACGAGTCGACTTCACTATTCCTTTATATGTCCGACCGAGCTGCTCGCCCTCCCAACAATTGCGTCCTCGCCATTCCTAGGCTCGCCTTGCCTCGCCTCGCCTCTCCTTTCGAAGCTAGGGGTGTCATCTACTCCAACTTTCAAGCAGGGGGGTATCTCATGCGGCAAATGCAAGAGTGTATGTAGCTATCAGCCGCTCAAAGCTTGTACGGTGTTTTGTCCTATATCTCCAAGACGGTTGCACCTCATCGTGCCCGTTCGTTCTACCTTCCAGATATCCTTGACAGTCTGGACCCCTTTACTGGTGCTGGCAGGCACCGGATCAGATCGTCGCGCGCTGAGACACAATTAGCCACTTTGAAATCACGTCACGTTCGGGATGTGAGACTTACCCTCTTCACTCTCAAATAATATCGTGATATCGTCATGCTCCCCTGGTATCTCAGGCAGATCCAAGCACACGAACGCAAGGTCGTCTGCTGACTCTCCATGCTCTTCCGGCCTGCGAGGCAGAGGGAACTTTGCATCGTCAATCTTGATGCCAGACAGCTTATTGCGGCTTACAGCCTCGAAAACATCGGTGGGCTTCAGGGGAAAGCTCATGCTTTCACCATGATGGAAGTCCTCGAAGAAGGCCAGCACCTGGATGATGTTCTCTGACTGTACGACCTGGATCCTTGTTGCTCCTGCCTCCCATTTCTTGTAAATTGGCACCACCATGCGCCGCCGGGAGATGGCCAGCGTTGCTGCGATTCCATCGAACAGCACCTTGAACCCTGTCAAAGCCTCTTGGAACTCGTGCAGGTTCCTTTGACTGGTGAAAGTGAGTGTTCGCACCGAAGGCGCGCGGCTCGTTAGCTGCAGCGCCTGGTGCATATCCTCTGGGGTCTGCTTTGGAACCTGAGATTCCGACAAGGCAATTGTCAAGTCTTTTTGTGGCTGCCGTAAAATGGAAAGACTCAATTTGTCTTTGACGGGCAGCCTGAGCTTCAACTCTCCAGGTTCAACATTGACCCTGTCAGTGATGGTACCGCATTTGAAGTCAACCACGATCTTGAGCTTCTCAGCCAGCACGGTTTCCGGGATTTCGTCCTCAGCGTCTTCATTGATAATCCTGACTCTTGACCAAGGCAGCTGAGAGAAGCCCTTCAAAGGCCCTGACCTTACGTTCTGAGACAATGCGAATCCAGTGATAGGCACTTCGGAGTGAACCTTCTCGTCATGTTGGACAACTGTGCCGACCAAGATGTTGTGGAAACGAAGACGCTCAGGTTCGTCGTTGAATGCCATCACCATCCTGCCCGATGAGTTTCCATCATCAAATCTGAGTAGAAGAGCCGGTTCGTTGTGCTCGCCGCGTAAAAATCCGAATTGGACTGGCGTCTGTGGACTGTACACGTGATTTACTGCACTCAGTACCTTCGTGCTCGGGCCGGTCACCACAGCCAGGCGGAAGCCCCGATGATAGCTTCTTTGTCCTGTCGGCGACGATTCCTTGAGGATCTTTTCGAAGAGGCCGATATCGCAAGCTCGAACTGCCTCCCTGGGGAACGTGGCTGATTGGGCGTTGGAGTCGAAATATTGGAAGCTGCGCAGAGTTGACTTGAAAACAATGTCCTCTTCTTGCCGCGGTTGAAGCGTCGCAAGCGACTTGGCGTTGAAGTCCTGCATGCTCCAGAGCATCTTGAAATCCTGTGGTCTACACTGAGTAGCAAGCGCAAAGCCACGAGGCAATTTGACCTCGAGAGAGCATTTCTCCACCCTCCACTTCACATCCTCCCATGTTGGACCTGCCGCTTTGTTGCTCTGTATGCGAAATTGCACTGCGCCATTCTGGCTTGCGAGACAGAAGTCGAGGCTGGATTGCTTTGTAGCTCTTGTCACAGAGAGGAGGCAAGGGAAACGAAGCGGGTGGCTCTCCATCCCTTGCTCCATGAGGAAGACGTCCACAAAATAGCGACCGTAGCAGAACATGTCGACTGAGTCACCCAGTGGCAAAGCTGCGAGCAGCGGCATCCTCGTGACAGGTTGCTGCAGTGCAAGAGACCCTCCTCGGGAGCCCCACAGTAAGGAGACAACATCTTGACTGATGGCAGGATACTCCAGCCAAATCGATCTGTCCAGTGTTTGGGGCAACAGGGCATCCTCTGGAGGCAAGAATCCGTTTCGCTTCATTGAAGAGGAAAGCTTTCTCAGCTGCGACGTTATCGCTTGGCCGACTTCCTGGACTTCTGCATCGACGGAGCTGCTCTTCTGGCCCATCACCTCGGGCAGGACTTCCTCAAATAGGAAATATGCCTTGGCCAGGTCTGCATATGCCTGTTGGCGAGCTGCTGAGACTTGCCCTGGGGTCTGTGGTGTCTGTGGTGTCTGCGGCGTCTCTCTGATAGACATTTCCAGTGCCATTCTGCCCTTCAAAAACCACCAAAGTGCCGCTCGAGCAAGATCGTCTGGCAAACATGAGAGCATAGGTTTCACTGCGTCGGCATGCAGACGGAACAGCTCAAACAAGTGACGGGTTCGAGCAACGAATATGTCCAGAGCGTCGTCGACGGGCGCGGCAACGTCAGGCACAGCCACGTTTCGCTTCGTCGGAGATTCGCTCGGCCTGGGTGGCTCTCTGGTGGACGGCCATCGCTGTGAAACGGCCGGGCTGGAGGTAGATGCATGGGAGTAGTTTGACGACGTAGGGCTCTGTTCTACCGGCGGCCTTCTAAATTGGCTCTCCGGCGACTCAGCGCCGCCTGACGACGCCGCTGATGCCCGGGAGTCAGTAGGCGTGCCAGGGCCAACGCCACTCTGCCTGACTTCCTCCCACTGGTGTTCTAGGGAATGAGCGGAGGACTGGCGCACGGCTTGTGCGAATGCCATGCCCTCAGCCTGGCGCTGCTTCGCCTGATTTATTTCGATGAAAGACTTCCTCTTGTCGTCGTTAGAAACCACCGACGTGTCCAGGAATCTAGAGGTTTTGGGTGTTCCCGCAGGCATAACAGGCAGAGTAGGCTCGTTTTGAGGTGGCTCGGGTGGCAGATCACGGCTTGGTTCTGGAGCCGGGGGCATAGGAGGTGCTGGCTGTGGAGGGGAATCCGAAATGGTGGAGAAACCGGTCTGTGTACGTCTCATGGCTTGCGGGACGAACTCCTCCTGTTGAGTCTCCGAATACGCCCTCTCCCTCTCTCCCTCACGAAGGCGAGCTATCTTCTGCAGCTGCGCCGGCGGCGGGGCGGATTGCGCCCTCTTCCTCTTCCCAATCTCGGCCGTAGGAACACTGCACTCATCGCCGCCATCACCAATTACCTCGGGGAAAGTATCGACGAATCTAACGACCAGGCCCTTTTTGTTTCGTACCCGAGGGCTGTGAGAGCGCGTACGAATGGGGACGCTTGGCTGGAGTGTCGGCTGGGGTTGTTGCTGGGCACCGTACTCGGCGGCGTTGGGATATCGCCTGGCGGTGGAGGTGTCCAGCTTGGCCAACAATTGCGGACCGGGGTGATTAACCGTGACGGGGAGGTTGTCGTGGGAGCCGTGGAAGAAGTTGTTCAGGTCCTCGTTTCCAGAGGAATGGCTTGGGTTCGACGTCTTGCGATCCCTCCCAAACAGCTTGCCCATCAACCGGCCCCTTTTGGAATATGGATCCTGCTCCATGGCTGTTATACGCTGTCGCTGGTCTCGTTATGGGAATGGTCGAGATTCGGCGGGCGAAGAGAACAGGATTTTGTAGTTTGAACGAAAAGATGACTCGTGCTTCTCAGGCTCGGTTCGGGGGCATTGTGTCACGAGGGGAGGAGGGGAGGTGAGGCCCGGGCCAGCAACGTTCACAGGGTCGTGTGGTGTGTCCCTCGAGATCTGGGGCGACACGGCCGTGATCAATGGCAGGTCAAGCAGGCTGGTTGGAGTGGGAGGCTTCAGGAAGGGACAATGCTGGGGCCAAAGTTGCGAGTGCAATGCAGGACATATATCTCGGGTCTAAATTTATGCGGTGGTGTACACTGGCGGCAAGATGTAGGGAGGCTTGAGGTTTGGCGAGAAGCCCATGGGTGGCCGTTTCAGCAACGTCGTCCCTCACAGGGCGGGCAGGTGAGTGAACTGTACTTGGCTCTGCTGTAACAACCCCCGTTGGGATACCCTGGACCATGTCGCGCGTCCTCTGGCTGCCAGTGTCTATCCGCTCCGCCGTTACGCATTCCTCGCAGCATGGTACCACCCTATGAGTACTACCTAGGGAGTACCTATCTGGCCGCCTGGGTGGGCTGCGCGCGGGCGTGGGTATCAGGTACCGTGGTATCTGGGTGCTGACCCGCGCAGGTGGGACCCCACCACAGTTCACATCAGACGTCCGCAGCATGATGCTTGGCCTCCACCCCATTGTGTTCCTGAGCTGGAGCTCTGGACCCCTTTTTTCCAGCTGCTGAGGCGCTTCTGAAATTAGGGGCATTGTATGAATCAGTGCCTCGTCGCCCGCCTCGCCGCAGCTGCAGTGCAGCCGTGCAGCATTAGAAGCTCAGCAACAAACAGCACACCAGCAGCAAAGCAGCAAGCATCTCGTTGGCCTCGGCCTCCGGTTCCGAGAGGGAGAGGCCTCGAATTCTTTTTTACGGACAAGGCTTACTTCGTATTGATGGTCTGCCGATGGGCCTGCATGAGGCTTTACACGCCAGAGACTTTTGGAGCGGTCGCGTCGGCGCACTCAGGCACCGATGGGTCTCCACGTTGAGTCCACGTTGAGTCCACGTTGAGTGTGCCCATGTTCCCGCGGTCAATCGGTGAATGCGCTGCCCCCACCCCTGCCTCGAAATTTAAAGTACCCTTGAACGTGGAGATGCTGTCTGCCTTATTGCCGGCATGGCGCGCCGCCCTGACGGTAGTCAATCTCAGTAGGCAGTATACCTGGAGAGGGACTAGAGAGGGACCATGAAAGGCAAAAAATCCACCCAGGTGGCTACTAGGGTTTGTTGTACGATATCTTTTTGAACCATTCTGCCGGACACGAGAAAGATGTTGTCCCAGGGGCGGGTATCCACTGCATGTTTAAGTGCAAGTACTTGTATCCCACGGGAGCTTCCCGGAGGGCGCTACTACCTTGTGTACCCCGAGGGAGAGAGGGAGAATACACGTCGTAAATCACAGTCAGTAATTTCACAGCCGAGTCCCTCGCAACCGTCAGGCTGTGGCCGGCCCATCGACGATGACCTGAGGGCGGGCGGCCCACCGGCCTCTCCTCTTGCCCTGTTTTACCGAGCAGATCAGTAGGTAGATCCGTCCAAGCAACGGGGTCGACTCTCTGCGCGCAGAACCACACTGCCGCGGCCCGGTGGGAACGTGGGAACGTGGGAACGTGGGAACGTGGGAACGTGGGCACCGGCGTCCAGACCCCCAGAGGCTGCCCAAGGACAATTAAACCCTTATCTCTTTCTCATCTCTCCCGTCCCCGGCCATGCGCGCCGGCCCTGCTCCCCGAACCGTGATGCACAAGGCTTGTTTGTCTACAATGCCAGTACCAACGGGCAGATCCTTCTGTTTGTTTCACGTTGAAAATGTCGACGCCGCAATCTCGACAATTCCCGACGGCTCTGTGCCAAGGAGGCGCCGCCCGGGTCTAGATAACAGCCTCGCCGGGGCCATCTGTCGCCCTCGACTCGACTCGACGATCTGGCGCTGACCTGTTGTTTTTGCTGATCTCCTGCTGTCCCGTTCTGTTGCTCTTGCTTGTCTGAGACAATGGCTTTTATTTCGATAGGCCGATCTGCCATACTAGCGCAACTCGTCATCCCATGGGGTGGCCGTGGATGACAATACAAGTAGAGAGCTCAAGCGTCAGTTCGCAGTTGACAAAACACATCTTCGAGACCCCTGCAAGCCGTAGGGACGAAGACCCACCTTTTGATTGTGGTGGCTTCCACATGTGAGGCGTCACCGGAAGCTCAAAGGACCAACGAAGCCTTGTCATTTCCATCAGCACTGGTAGCGGTCACTACTACCAAGGTCCGCATCCTGCGAATCTCGGTTGAGCCAGTGTCACCCGTCTGAATCCTGGCGTGCGGCAATCTCCTTGCTGAACTGATTTGGCTGACAGATACACAGTATTCTAGTCCAAGACTGGCAACGAGTCACACGACACAAGAAAGGCCTGGTGAAAGGCTCAGCTGTAGGCTGTTCCAACAGCGCCGTTTCTGCCCCCGACATGTGCATGTAGATCCTCTCTTTATTATTGCTCACCCCCCCCCCCCCCCAAAAAAAAAGAGAAAAAAAAATAAAGTAAAGAAAACACGCCCATTTCTCGCTATGCATGGTTCACATAGATCGAACTTGTATCAGTTGTCGCGACTTCAGCTGAGGATTTGCTCGACTGGGATTAAAAATTTCCAACGTGCTCCTGCCTTGCCTCGTCTCCGTGCTGACTAGAGTTCTACGGCTTCCCCGGACAAAGACTGCTAGGGAACCTGGTCAAGGTTATCCAAACGGCTGCAGGCAGGTGCACAATCAGCCTGCTGGCTGCCAGACGCTCAAAGTGAGCCCACACAACTGCGAGAGGTCAGTGAGAGCTCGGCGGCATATAGTCCGCTGTGGCAACCTCGAACCCTTAAAGTCCGCGTGACAGGAGAGGCACGTGTCTCAGGAAAAGGATGCCATACATAATGGGTAAGCCCGAGTCCAAAAACTCCATGAAATGCGTTTGCATCACAATGGTGGCAGCTGTCGACGAGTGACTTGAGTAGTTGCCTCAGGTGGAGGCACTGACGAGCTGACACGGTACAGAGAGGTCGTCTGCTGGCGAGTCCGAGACAAGCTCGTCATCAGTGCCAATGACATGATCAACGCCCTGGATGCTATAAAACCAGCGGATGGTGAACACAAAATATCTATAAGCGAGTGTTGCACATGGAAATTGCCCCTGGTGTTCCACGTGGGATCTTCAATTCCAATGCGAGAGCTCGTTGTCCGCTCTGCCTTGGCCGCCGTCCACGTGGATTTATGTATCAATGCCCGTCATAGCCGACTTGGAGCAAGACACAGTTCATGCGTGAGGAAGAGGCCAATGTCGAATACTAGACCCTGCAACTGCCCCTCTAATCTGTTTCCCGCCGACATTAATAACTTCACAGAAAACGGCTCGTGAATATAAAGCGTTCTCAAAGCATTGAATAGCTGAATTTTTCGCATTTCTTTTGCCCACCAAATATATATCACAAGTAAATCATCCAGGGGTAATTCCGAGGATATAATCCCAGGCAAGGTTCGATCCATGGGTAGTCTCAGAGAGGATGGGCCTATATGTTACCAGAGAAGAGGCTGTATCTTTTAGGAACATCCGATAGGTTGTCCGTGTTCTTATATCAGAAGATGGCATTCCGATAGAGTCGTAGGATTTATAGCATTGTCAATGAGATTGATATTCTGAAAGGCTAACTAGGAAGCAACTTCTAGATCGTGCACTAGTACGACTGCATCTGTATGTCGAGTGCAGTGGCAACAAGAGAATGACCAGCTGCAAGTCTTTTCGTCGGACCACGCGTCGTTAGCAGTAAACCAAGCTGCCAGACGTGCGGACCGTGGAAGGTGTGGAGATGCGCGAATGTCTTATTTACATAATGACATACACATATGGCCGTCTTCACGCAACTTGAAGGCACGGTACTCCAGGCAGGGACTCAGGAAACGACATTGAGGGAGAGGAATACCTAGGTACCTATTGGGCAGGCATCTTGTTCGCTGGGAGGAGCGCCTCAGTTCTTGCCAACCGCAAGGGTCCTGAATCACATAACAAGTTATGCTGAAGTCGTTGCAGACTCTCTGGTTGTTCATTTACCGCAAGGACCGTTACAGGCAGACCAGAAATCGACTCTTCTCGAACGAGAGGGGGAAGGGCAAGGCTGCAAGCACACAGTCTCGACATGCAGGGCGCAATGCGACATGAAGTCACGTTGCTGATATGCAACTGCTGACTGGCTGCCCAGGGATGGCGAGAGCAGTCCAGGACTCTATGTATAGACATCCAGTTGTGCTCCACACGGCCGTGGTTGAATCCGATGAACCGGTACCTGACCCAAGATCCGGGCATGGGCGGCCGTTTGTATGCGGGGGAGCACGGGCCCGGGGTGCGCACAGTCGCTGCCAGCTCTCGATCAGAGATCCAGAGGGATGACATCGGCATACAACGTCATGGGTCGGTGACGGCGCTGGTTTAGGGTCTAACCTTGGAAGAGTACCTGCTGGCTGTACTGTACTGTACGGCTGACGCGCCGGGCTGGGCCAGGGGTGGAAGGTGTGGTGGTGGGTGGGGGGCGTGGCGACCCCGCCAAAATACCCAGCTCCTAGGCTCCGGTAGGCTTCTTCTTACCTCCCACCGGCGACGTCGGGCTCACCCTTCCTGCCTGCTCCTTCAGCTTTCCCTGCCCTGCATCGTCATCTCGATAACCCAAATCCTCGCGGTCAAGACTAGGTCCACTGACCGGCCCGCTCGAACGTTTTCCTTTGCCTCAAGAACGAAACCTCTGCTATCACTCTCCAGCCTTCTTGTCCGAGCTACTTGCCTTACATAGGTGCGTGTCGACGCAGCGAGCTCATACAAACTCCTTGGTGATTTTGTCTTCCTTGGGAGAGAGGCCTCTCTCCTGGGCTATGCCGATGATGGGGATTGTCTCTGGAGCACGCCGACGAGCGACATCGAATGCTAGTGCGTGAAATCTACAAATCTTTTCTTCCTTGGGAACCATATCCCGTGCATCCCGCCGCCGTTGTGATTACTACTGCGCCATGCTCTACCCGAAAGCTAACGTCTCCCCGTTCTCCCCTCAGGCAGCAGAGGATCTGTCGATGAGGGCAGAGGGGACCAAGGTGAAGATGAGACCGTCATAGAAGCCGACCAGGGAAATGGTCAGTGAACCTCCCGCCGACGCACCGAAACTCGTCGATGCTGATACTTGCGACTGCAGTGCTCGGGCACATTATATCCCAGCTCAGGCCTGGTGCAGACCTGAGCCGGGTCACGCTTCCAACATTCATTCTTGAACCTCGTAGCATGCTCGAGCGGATCACCAAGTAAACCGAGTCCCCGTACCTTTAAGCAAGCAAGTGACCCCGGCTGACAAACTGCCTCAAAGCTTCATGTGCCACCCGGAAATGCTCCTACCCATCCCGAAGATGGACGATCCCACAGACAGATTCGTATCCGTCGTGAAATTCTACCTAAGCGGTTGGCATATCCGTCCTCCGGGAGTCAAAAAACCTCTGAACCCTATTCTCGGCGAGATCTTCACTTGCTATTGGGACTTTCCAGACAACACACGAGCATACTACATCTCCGAGCAGACCTCTCACCACCCACCGAAATCAAGCTACTTCTACATGGCTCCTGACCACCACATCAGAGTCGATGGATGTCTAAAACCAAAGAGCAAATTCCTGGGAAACTCAGCAGCAAGTCTGATGGAGGGCACGGCGACACTCACATTCTTGAACAGGGGCAAGGACCCGCAGAAGGGCGAGCGATAGTAGGTATAATGCCTTTCTACAGGCCAACTGATGCTGACTGCACTCCTTAGCTTCCTCACGCAGCCGAACATGTACGCAAGAGGAATCCTCTTTGGCAAGATGAAGTATGAGCTCGGCGATCACAGTTTCGTTCGGTGCCCCGAGCTGGGCCTTGTCGCAGATTTGGAATTCAAGACAAAGGGCTGGGTGGGTGGCACGTACAATGCCATCGGCGGTACCATCAGGAATGAGAAGACGGGCGAGGCGTTGTACGAGTTCTCTGGGTTGTGGAGTGACGAGATGGTCATCAAAAACCTAAAGGTAGGCGCAGAATCCCCCTTGAGAATACGCGATGATGAGATAGGAACTCTAACGATAGAGCAGACTGGACACAAGGATGCATTCTTCAATGCACACCGCTCAAAGCCGTCGCCTCCCCAGGTCAGACCCATAGAAGAGCAAGATGAGAAGGAGTCACAACGGCTATGGCGCAAGACTGCTCAAGCTGTGAAAGACAGGAACCACGAACTCGCTACAGACGAGAAGACCAAGATCGAGGACGCGCAAAGAGATGAAGCTGCCAAGAGAGCCCAAGACGGGGTTGAGTGGCACCCTCGTCTCTTCAGGAGAGTCAGAGGTGGTCCTGGTGGCTCCGAGGAAGGAGAGGAAGACCTTGAATGGATAATCAACGCAAAACTGTGAGTACCTCCCGAGGTTATATCTGGCACGCAAACTGCTTCTGACCTCTCCAACAGCGACCCGACTGACCCAAAGAAACAAATCGAACAAATTCTGGACATATATCCAATCTCACCAGGTCAGAAAGCCAACACGACTCGCTCGATTCCTCCCAGGGCTAGCATCAGCGAGGCTCCACCACCTCAACCGAAGCAGGATGATTTGATAGATTTCGGTCAGGACGATACCCCAGCGGAGCTTCCCAAGCCGATACAACACCAACTCAAGGATGACCCCAAGGTAGAGAGCACAGGGGAGATTTCCGGGATGCTCAAGTCTACTGGCAAGGCATCCGAAGGACCGCTGATCGATTTCCATGACGACCTGAAGAAGAATGTTCCGGACATTCGAAGATCAGACACAACCGGGTCTAATGACGTTTTTGTAGATGCGAAGGAGTAGGCGACCATGCCCGCAACGGTTTGTCTAAACCGGAGAAACGGGATCACGCATAAGTTGATGCCTTTGTAGATGACGGACTAAGAGGTCGAGTGCTAAGTGGGAATGCAAGGAAATATCATGGCGCGACGCTCACCCGGCCATTCAACGGAGCGGGGGGTGATCCTTTCACACTGCATCACGTTGTCAATTTCGACCAAGGCAATATAGCATGGGATTGACTTCATTAATGACGTGGGCTTTTCCCTTAAGCACATCCTTGTGGAGAAATCATTGAATAGACTCCTGACGCCCCAACCGTTGTGATATCACTCAAGTGCACGTGTCCTAACAACCCGGCCACTCGCAATGATGAGAAACATGCGCTTGGTTCCTTGCCACCCCTGATGACTCGCACTCACGAGTGCTTCTGTGTCCTGCGCGTGGCTGCCCTTAAGTACACTTTAGCGTTGACCATCCTGCTGACAAATTCGCAGGGTTCTATCGTCACCGCACATGAGCAGCGTGGGGGGTGCCCCGCCCCTCCCTTCAAGTCTCCTCTTGATTTTGTGATCTCGACCAGCCTCCTGGGATGGCTCCCTAGTACCTCTTGCGGGTGGGCTCGGGGCTGGGGGACCTCGTGGGGCTGCGGGCGGCGCCGCCGCTCTCCTTGAGCCACTTCTTGGTGCTGAGCATGAGGTCGCGGTCGAGCTCGTCGGAGGGGTTCTTGCGGTGGATGAAGTTGCAGAAGCCGCCGCGGACGCACCCCTCGCCCGAGTTGAGGCGGCAGCAGGCCTCGCGGAAGTCGGTGACGGGCGACAGCTCGCAGTAGATGGGCCGGGCGGCGTACCAGCGCGAGTTGAGGTCGTCGCAGGCCTTCTGGGCTGACTCCTCGTACTTGAAGCGGGCGTAGACGTTGCCGATCAGGTGGTCGTTGTTGTTGTCGCACACGACGAGCTCCTCGAGCTCGCCGTACTTGCACATCTCGCACCATATGTCCTCGTAGAAGGCGTCAAAGTGGTTCTGCAGCTGCGACGCGTTCATGCGGTTCTTGGGGTCGAAGGCCGGGTTCTGGTACAGGTTCGGCATCAGGATCGTCTGGCTGTAAGACGGCTTGACGTGTTTCCGGGAGCAGCGGTCGCCGTGCCTGCACGCCCCGATCTTGTAGTAGAACGAGCAGTTGACCTGTTGTTGCGCAGTTAGCAGGAGGAGGCGGCGACGGGGATGACTGCTGGGGTACGCACCTTGTCTTGCTCGGTTCCGAAGATACTTGCTAAATACTGAGCCATGGTGACGGTATGCTGGTGACGACTGCGGATGCACGAGTGTGTGGTTTTCTGCTCAGGGTTGAATCTCGGCTGGGCGTCGTGCACGATTCGTAGGCGGCAGATCGATCGCAAGGAAGGTCCAGTACTGAGAGCAACGCATGTGAAGTCTGGAAATTTCCCCAGCCACAGCCTGGAGCTTGCTGGTCGATATCGATATCGGCAGAATCAGAGAGTTGCGCCACAATGCATTAGTAAGCAGATCCAAGTTTCACTCTGTACAGGCAGAAATGTAGCCTAGACTTAGACTGCGATCCAACATGCAGGGATTACAAAACGTGGGTTGTGAGGATCATCAACCCATCCCCAGTAGGATGATCTCTGGGATAATCTCTTGTGGGATGATTTCCTCTGGGATAACCTCCCCTGAGATAATCTCCCGTGGGATAAAATCCTGTGGGAGAACCTCCCTGTGGGATAGCCTCCTCTGGGTGGCCTTCTAAGTAATGCATCTCTTTTCTTCCCGGAGGATGGTCTACAAGATCCTAGAGGACAACTGTGTACATACAAGGGCGGTGTCTTTACTTGCCACTTTTGACAAGTCGGACTTGTTAGATATTCTTTCAGATCCTCGTAAGCTAGAAATCGTACAACTGTATAAGTAATGATACTTGTGAAAGCTGTTGATCTGCTTTGCAGATTCCTAATTAATAGCCTGGAAATTTACACACACACCTGTGTATTGGATACATTCTTGGGTGTATGTTTCTATTTCCTCAGGGCAGCAGGCTTTGTACAATGTTACTGCTGAAGTGGAACGTGGCAGAGTAGTCCGTCGTACATCGACCAACCTTGGAAGCGAGCAGCGTTCGGTACCAACATACAGTGCCTGTGTTGTCTCTATTCATATCTGTCCTGATCTGCTGCACACCCCACCGAGCAGAATTTATTCTTGACCCTGGAATACGGTGAGTCGCAGAGATGGATCTGCGGCGGCTGGTGACTCGGCCGTGTGCTCTCGGGCAGGTATGAATGCAAGCAGAGGCCCATGAATGGTTCCTGTAGCATGTTTTCAGCCCCACAGATATCCGCTCACCTTGACAGGAATGCGCCGTCAAAGCCCACAGCGTCAAGATGGGCTGTCCGCCTGCATCAGGTTAGGTGCGCACGTGTCCATGTCCTCGAGACTGTTTCGCATGCCAGAAGTAGATGCAGTCATGTCATCATATTGAATGCGCATTGTTCCGAGGCAAGCCCTGGTAGCTCAACAAGCTTTCCGGGGCAGTCCCTGGCAGACGAACTCGTGGCTCTGGGACAGGCTACTGCGAGCCCCGCCCTCTGAGAGGTGCGACTCGCACGAACCCAATTGTTGCTACTATTTGCCCTTCCTGCCCGCTCCCCTGCCTCTCGTGTGGAGACCCAGGTGGCAGGTTCCAGCGGGGAGTGGGATAAGTTGGCGCCAGACATGTGGCTTGCTGAACGATTTGGCACGAGTGAGGCCTCATGAAAGCAAACCAGATGGGTTGATAGCGCAGCACTACAGGTGCTGCAGGGCCAGCGATGATACCCTGGCTAACAAGTCATCGATCGGGATCGCGGCCCAATTCGTTTCCAAGGTCGGCGGGTAGAGACTAGTGTCTGCACTCAGAGTTTCGTGGATGTCCGGCCCAGGATTTGCAACAAGCTGAGCAGCCGCTGCCTCTTGGCAATATTCCAACTTCTCCCACCTGGGGACCGGCTAACCGAGACTGTCGTCCTTGCGATTGGGACAATTTCCTGTGGGATAACCCGCCATGGGCTAATCTCCTGTGCGGTAGCCTCCTGTAGGATATCCCCCTGTGGGATAGCCTCCTCTGGGATAACCTCCTGTGGGACACTCTCCTGTGGGATACCCTCCTGTGGGATAACCTCTACCTCTACCCTCTGGTTCTATACTTCTCAGTGGGACAACCAGCCGAAGGCCAGCCTCCCTTAGGCAACGTGCTGTGTGTGTTCAGGCACAGTAGGTACGCGTTTGTATGCAGTTTGCTGTGTAGCAGACAGATAGCGTCGAAATTCCGGGCAGCACACCTGGGCAGTTTGGCCTCCAGCCCCCCCAGCTTCCAGAAGCTCTGGACTCTTGATCCCTGCACGAGCTTGATTGTCTCCACCAGCTCAGCCACATTGGAGACCCCGTCTGCCAGTTCCAGGTCCCCAGTCCCCGGCCGGGCTACGTCACATCACCACAGTGCAGCTTCTCTCAAGGGACCCCAGGGGCAGCTGTCCAATGCGCTCTGCTTGCATGGTCTGCCACAAAGCAGGCTTCCAAGCGTGGAGGTGGTTCCAGTCGTTGGCTGAGCTTCTTTGGGATTCCGAACCGAGACAAGACCACTGGGACGGGAGTCCAACCAAAGGCATTGACAACGTTCCGGGAAGCTTACCACCAACCTCCAACATTGCCTAGGCTCGCCAGACCCATCCAAGCTACCTCAGCACTTTTCTTAGCTGTCCCTCTTTTGCTTCAGGCCGGCCATCCTGTCCTCACCTCTCCTGCCTCCCGTGTCATCACATTAGCTCCTCTCCCCTCCTCCCGGCACAATCTCTCCAGGAAGTCCGCTTGTGCTCAGGACAGTCAAGCCTTGTCACCTGGCTAGCATCTCCGCCGACAACACACCATACCACCCCCAAGCTTCACCTGCGTCGGCTTTGTGTGTATCAATTGGATCCCCTTCGCCCTGCTACATTTTGTAGCCGTGTTGTCTACTCAACATGGCGACTGAGCAAGCGGCATCCGAGCTCAAACAACAGGGCGCCATCGAGGCGGCACAGAACCCTGAGAGCTCCGTGTCAGCCGACGATGCCCAGAAGAAGATGCTCGAGGAGAGCAAGGCGGCTGGAGTGGCTGCCTTCACCTTTGATCCAGATGCAAGCCCGGAGCAGAAGAGAGCCCAGGCTAGAGAAGTGAGCCCATGAGCCTAACATTCTCGTCCACCTGTCGCTCCACTAACCATGAACCCCCAAAGGCAATTCCACAAGGCTTCCATTCGAAGCGGCCCAAAGGCGCAGCGCTCGTGACCGACCAAGACGACGGTACTAAGCCGGAGTACGATCTGCCAGAAGCTTCCAAGGCCGGCGCTGTTGAGGTCTCGAAAGACGCCGACGGAAAAACGATACATGAGGACGGCGGCGACGATGGTGGAGCAAAGATGGGGCCCATGACGGGCTGGGCACCCCAGTTCGGCTGGCCTGTCGAGTCTATCCAGGAGGGTGAGAGCCTGCTCGATCATCAGACCTGGCTCGAGGGAAAAGTCCCGGACAAATTCTACGGCGACTGGTACTACAATGCCGCCGTCATCGCGTTTGCTTGCATATCGTCGTGGTTTGTAGCTGTCCTTGGTGGCGGCCTCGGTTGGGTCCTCATCATCATGGCTGTCTGCGCGACCTACTACCGGACCTCGCTTCGTCGAGTTCGCCGCAACTTCCGGGACGACCTGAACCGCGAGCTCTCGCTCAAGCGACTGGAGACGGACACAGAATCTCTCGAGTGGATCAACTCATTCCTCGTCAAGTTCTGGCCCATATACCAGCCAGTGCTTGCGCAGACTATCATCAATTCGGTGGATCAGGTCCTGAGTGGCGCGACGCCTGGCTTTCTCGATAGTCTGAAGCTCAAGACCTTCACGCTCGGCTCCAAGCCACCCCGTATGGAGCACGTCAAGACCTACCCCAAGGCAGACGATGACGTGGTCATGATGGATTGGAAGTTCAGCTTCACTCCAAACGACACTGCCGATATGACAGCTCGTCAGGTCAAGAACAAGATCAATCCCAAAGTTGTTCTCGAAATCAGGGTCGGCAAGGCCATGATCAGCAAGGGTCTCGATGTCATCGTTGAAGACATGGCTTTCTCGGGTATCATGCGCCTGAAAATGAAGCTGCAGCTTCCCTTTCCGCATATCGAGAAGGTCGAATTGTGCTTCCTCGACCGTCCGACCATTGACTACGTCTGCAAGCCCCTCGGTGGCGAAACTCTTGGATTCGACATCAACTTCATCCCCGGCCTGGAGAGCTTTATACTTGAACAGATCCACGGCACATTGGCGCCGATGATGTATGCGCCAAATGTGTTCCCTCTCGAGATCGCCAAGATGCTTGCTGGATCTCCGGTTGACCAGGCCATTGGTGTTGTCGCGATCACTCTACACGGTGCCCAGGGGCTGAAGAACCCCGACAACTTCTCCGGCAACCCTGACGGCTATGCTGTGGTTACCGTCAACAAGAGACAGCCATTGGCACAGACCAAGGTTGTCAAGGATACACCTAACCCACGGTGGAACGAGACCCACTATATTATCATTACCTCCTTCCATGACTCCTTGGACACCGAAATCTACGACTGGAACGAGTTCCGCAAAGACAAGGATCTCGGTACTGCATCATTCGCTCTCGAGAACCTCGAAGACGACTACGAGCATGAGAACCAGCGGCTAGAAATCAAGTCTGGCGGGAAAGATCGCGGTGTTCTGATGTGTGATATTCGCTTCTTCCCGGTCTTGGAACCGACCAAGGACGAAGACGGAAACGAAGAGCCCGCGCCAGAGACAAACACAGGTATTCTGCGTTTCAACGTCGAACAGGCCAAGGATCTGGATGGCTCAAAGAGTATCGTCGGCCAGCTCAACCCATACGCGAGCCTCCTGCTCAACGGCAAAGAGGTTCACACTACGAAGAAGCTGAAGAGGACCAATAACCCAATCTGGGACAATGGCTCCAAAGAGATTCTTATCACAGATCGTAAGACTGCCAAACTCGGCGTCGCCATCAAGGATGATCGTGACCTAGCTGGAGACCAGATCCTGGGGACCTACCAGATCAAGCTAGACGACATGCTTGAGCTGATGGCTAAGGGGCAAGACTGGTACAACCTCTCTCAGACACCGACAGGCCGAGTGAAGATGCAGGCTCAATGGAAGCCAGTAGCCTTGTCCGGGGTTGTTGCCGGGACTGGAGGCTACCAAACACCAATTGGTGTTATGCGCTTCCATTTCAAGAGCGCCAAAAACCTGCGCAATCTCGAGGCGATGGGCAAGTCTGATCCATACGTGCGCGTTCTGCTCTCTGGAATTGAGCGGGGACGTACAGTGCACCACCGCAACACTTTGAATCCGGACTGGGATGAAGTCATCTACATTCCCGTACATTCCGCGCGGGAGAAATTGGCGGTTGAGGTCATGGATTTCGAGAAGATGGGCAAAGATCGCAGCCTTGGTCTGATTGAGATTCCTGCAAGCGAGTACATATCACAGGACGAGACTGGTGAATACCTCGTCCATGATAAGAAAGCGCCGCGTGAAGACGGCCTTCGAATGCACGGCAAGGGTGTTCCAAAGGGACTGCTCGACTATACCGTTGCGTTTTATCCTACGCTGAACGTTGCCGACCCCGAAGACGAAGAGGAAGAGGAGAAGGAGAAGGAGGGCACATCCGCAGCATCTCAGAACGGGGACGCGAAGCAGTCACTCGATGTACCACGTTCTGGAGATGCTGGGAAATTCTCATCTTCCCTGGGTGCACCTGCCGACGGTGACAAGGGCAAGGATGTAACACCGCCCAAGTCGCCCGTCACACCAGTTTCTCCTAGCTTTCCTCGGAAGTCGAGGGAGGAAAGACACCCACCAAAGGTCCATCTCACTCCTCAGGAGCTCGTCAAGTACGACTCTGGTCTCATTATATTCAAACTCATGGAGGCAGAATTGCCCGAGAGCCATGCTCATATCGAGGTGTTTGTGGACGACATGGCTTTCCCCTCTTATGTCTCGTCGACCGCCAAACACAAGTCTAACAAATTCGACGAAATCGGAGATTGCTTCATTCGCGAGTTGGAATTCTCCAAGTTGACGATCAAGGTCCGCGAGAAGGGCGGCAAGCACGGCGACGACGACAAGGATAGCACGCTGGCTCGTCTGTCAGGCAATACGCTGGACACACTGAAGCAGTGTTTGGTGAGTCGATTGTCGTACTAACGAACGAAAGGGTTCAAAGCTAACATGTTCCAGAACAATCCTACCACGCTGATAATGAAAGACGAGGACGGAAGACCCAGCTCGGTGAAAGTCAGCCTCAAGTATGTCCCAGTGAAGATGCAGCTTGATGCCAGTGAGAGCATCAACAACATGGGCAACCTTCGGGTTGACGTACTGGACGCTGTTGAGCTGCCATCCGCAGACTCCAACGGGAAGAGTGACCCTTACTGCAAGTTCGAGTTGAATGGCCGAGAGGTGTTCAAGACCAAGGTGCAGAAGAAGACGCTTCACCCGGCATGGAACGAGTTTTTCGAGGTTCCTATCCCCTCTCGAACTGCTGCCGAATTCAATGTCAAGGTCTTGGATTGGGACTTTGCAGACAAGCCTGACTTCCTCGGCGGCGCAGCCATCAACTTGGAGTCGCTAGACCCGTTCAAGGCCCAGGAGGTTAAGCTTATTCTGGACGGGAAGTCAGGTGTCCTGAGACTACGCTTGCTGTTCCGTCCGGACTACGTGACGAGAACCCGACAAGGCTCGTCAACATTCTCCGGTACATTCGCTGCACCAGGCAGGATAGTTACTGGCGTTGCTGGTGCACCTATCAAAGGCGCCACAGGCATTGTGCATGGCATTGGTAAAGGTGCCTCTTTCATGAAGCGGGGCTTGACGGGCTGGAAGAAAGATGATGATTCTATCCCGGAATCACCGTCCACCGGCCTTCAGGAGTCACCCGTGGTAATCAACGGCGCTGAATCGACACCTGGTGGTTTGAAGCGATCGACTGGCCTTGGATTCTCCGATGCTGATGTTTCACCGGACGCATCGCCACAACCGGCCCTTGGTGCCAGCAATGGAAACCACAACCGCACGAAGAGCTTTGGCGCAGCGTCCACACACAGTGCGGTAGTACCGGGGCCAGGAGCTGGCACGGCGACGTTCACCATCGTTTCTGCTGCAGGCTTCCCGCCGTCCTCGGACTTGTTCATTGTTGTCCAACAGACAATGCCGAAGAACAAGACCATCGGAAAGACCAAGCACCACAAGGCCTCAGGAGGGACCTTCACATTTGGAGAGACATTCAGGTGTGTCTGCGCCCCTGACGCCGCCTTCTCCATTCAGGCCAAGGAGAACCACACCCTTAGAAGCGATGAGGACCTGGGCGAACAGTTTTTCCCTCTTGACGAATCACCTTCTGTGAGCGAGAAGACGATCAGCGTTGGCGAAGGCACCGTTGTGGTAAAGAGTTCGTTCGTCTCCTCCGAAGCCAACGGCGGCGGCAGTCTGGCCCCCGGCAGCCCCAAGTCGGCCTTCTCCCGACGCAGTTTCCTGGGCAAGAGGGAGGGCAGCAGCGCCCGCAGCCGCGAGCCCACGCCGAACCCTTAGAGAGGGCGGGTAGGCATGTTTTCACGCGAGTCGCTGAGGCTATCCTCTGATGCACGTAGCCGGGAGTAAAAAGGAGAGAGAGAGCGAGTTTTTGAGACTAATGGTTGTCGGGCTTGTCGTAACTGTTTCACCGCGGATACCTATTTCCCTACATCTTCTTTCTGTCGTTTCGGTTTGGTTGGACACAGGTAGCCGTGGGTGGGCAAAAAAGGATTGGGTTTTTGTTACTCTGCTTTGAATCGTGCAAAGACCGGAGGCCGGCTCCGAATACCAGGCTTGGAGGAGACACGCAGTATTTCCTCACCAGACTTTCTCCTTGTTGGCTTTCGGTAGCTCCTCGGTAAATCCACTCTTAATATGACGATTATGAGTTTCACGAGACCTTCAATGATAACAGGATTTAGAGTTCACACTGGTGTTTCATGTCGTTCCCTCACTTACGAGGTCCACCTGTTCCATCGATCTCCCGGCGAAGCTTGCTCGTAGATCTGACCTAGATGTTTAAGTTCAGCGTATGCACGAGTACGGTCATGGCAGATGCAGCACGACGCTGGTTCCTTCTCAACCAATGCGGTTCCAATGATACAGGAGAGTTTGGACACAGGCGTCCGTCACATCATAAATAATCATAGGGCGCTGCTCGTTGTAAAAAGGGCGTAGATAGTTTGTGCTGGCATCAATCCCAGCAAATGTACAAGATTTTCTCATTAGATTTATGTATGTATACGCTACTAGCGAATTGGTTGATGTCCGGGCTCGCCGGCACGCACCGCCGCAGCCAAAACAGCCTCCGTTCCCAAACTCCGTGAATAAGTCTACAGAAGGTATTGCAGGCGCTTCCGCTCCATCCTGGCACCTTGGGTAATACCGCCGCCTGGTCCCCTCCCAAACATAATCATCGTTCATTTCGTACAAAGCGTCATTGCATAGCGGGTCGTGAGCTCATCCAGTACAGTTACTTCACTGGTTCTCATATAACGACCACGCCAGCAACGAACGCCAGCAGCGGCGCGGCGAGCAGCAGCCACAGCCCGCAAGACGCCATGACCGCGGACGGCCCGGCGCCGTTCTCGGCGGCCGTCTTGGAGCCGACCTTGCTGTTCTGCTGCTGGGCCCCGCCGGCGACGGGCGGGGCCTCGGGCGCGCTCGTGGACACGGGGAAGCCCTGGTCGTCGTAGCTCCTGGTCGCCGTCGCCCATCCGGAGGGGAGCGTCACGGTGGTCGCGAAGCCTTGTCCGTCCCAGGTGGTGATGGTCTCTTCACCGCCAGGAGCCGCTGCCCCGGGCTGCGAGGACGGAGAGGCCGAGGAGGCCGGCGAGGAGGAGGCCGTGAGGGGGCCCTGTGGAGGGAGAATGTCAGCTTTCTGTATCTTCGGGGCAGTCTGAATTGATCTGGGCAGGAGGACCGCAAAGGGTTCTTAGATTTTGATTTTTTTTCAAACGTACTAACCGCTGTCGAGCTGTTGGGCACGATCTTGCCGCTCGAAGTCATGCGCCAGCCGCTGGGGATGGCATCAACGCTCGAGGCGCTGGTCGAGGACCCGCCGGCGATGCCGCTGCCGGGGAAATTGGCGGAGCCGGTCGAGGCCGTCGCCCCGGACACGGTGGTGACGGTGCCGGCCTGGTCGGCGTTGGCGTTGATCTCGCCGCCCTCGCTCTTGATGGACTCCCACGTGCCGGACATGTCGCCGTACGAGTACTTGCTGCCCGTGGAGTAGTCGGTGACGGAGACCTTCTGCACCGTCGCGGAGAAGGGGCCCTGGGAGTAGTCGGTCGAGCCGCCGGCCCAGGCGACGGTGCCCTCCGAGTTGCTGGGGTCGCCGCCGGCCCAGATGCCGAACTTGAGCTGCATAGGCGTCTGCGGGTAGTACTCCGGGTACGAGGACGCCTCGAGGACGCGCACGTCGTTGCCGCCGACGGACCAGACGATGCGCTCCGAGGTCCAGTCGAACGAGTAGGTGACGAGCTCGTCCTGGTTGTTGGGGGCGGAGGCGTAGACGAGCGGGTCGGGAGCCCTCTGGCCCTTGCCAAAATACATGGTCTGGACCTGGGAGTTGTCGACGCCCAGGAACTCCATGTCTATCTCGTCCAGGTCGTCGGACTGGAGCACGACCGAGGTGACAATGCCGGTCCCCGGTGCGCACTTCATGGTGATGTCGACCTTGCCGAACATGATGTAGAAGACGCTGTTCAGCTGCGGGGCGTCGCCCGACTTGCTGATGGTAAATGTGACGCCGTCAGAGCCGTACGATGGCGTACCGCCACTAGCAGTAAACGAGTTGACCTCGCCCTGGGTGAAGTCGACGTTGATGGCCATGCCCAATGCCGGATTGGCGTCACATGCTGGATACACGGTGTCAGTGGGGGATCATGGCGGGACTATAGCGAGAAACCTACTTGTCTGTGTGGGGTTGCAGTCGGTAGATGTCTGAGCCGTTGCGAAGCCGGCCAGGAGCGCAGCTGTGGTAGCAGCCCGTAATGACCTGGCGAGGAACATGATGCTGGCTGGGTGAAGAGGCTGGCAGGAGATGTCGAGGACGAGCAGAGCAGGAGACGGTTGGGTTTATCCTGTCCCGATGGCTCTTTGTCTCCAGCAGGACGAGAGGGGGAGGCGGGTGATGATGTTGACCGGACAAGCGCCTGGACACTCGTATGGTCTAGCCTGCAGCAGAGCAAACAAGCAGAGACAAGAACAGGACAAGACAAGACAGCACAGGCTGTGAGACGGACGTTGGTGCGAGTCGCAGAAGGATGTCTCGGGACACGACATGGCAGCCACATGCGAACGGGTCGTGCCTTGTGGGTTGGGTTATATCTGACCATTCTGCCCTCTCCCAGCCTCACCAAATCAAACAGGGCGGTCCGGACCAGCACCAAAACAGACCGCAGGCAGCGTCATACCCGCGACGACCACGTCGCTCCGCCGGTGTGCCAGGGAAGCATGGGTGTGGGTGTGAGTCCTGTCGACGTGGGACCATTGCAGGCCCGCGATCCCTGCCCTGCCCAAGCCCCGAATGTGTTTGTTTTGATTGGCGCCGCCGGCCGTTGCCCGTCATATCATCACCTCCATTTCGGCGGAGAAATAAAGGTGGTTGGGAGGGGCTGGAGCGGCCGAGCCCCCTAACAGAACCCGCCTACGTCAGCGGCAGGTGCTGTTAGCGGGACTGTGGCCGGTGAAATTGTGGGCCACCCAACTTGCACGCTTGCTCTGTCTCGGTCGACTAATAATAATCCATCCTCACCCACCGCAACAACAAAGGGTCCCTTGGAGCTGCGCAGCTCGAGTCCGGTTCCCCTGACGTTCAGGCGCCTCTGGTGACTATGTCCAGACAGCTCCTGGAGCTCTGCCGAGCTAGAGGCCCCGTTTTCTTGGAGCTCAGCAGGGCTGCTCCACGGCTCCTACTACAAGTAGTGTCACATGCTCAAGCATCCAGGGCGGGCACCGGCATACCTAGGCAGTATGGGCGGGCCTAATAGCACGCACAGGTACCGCAGTCATGCAGGACATGCTGTTTGTATCGCAGATACCCGTCATGCCCCTGACTCGGCTCGGCAAGCTGCGCCAAAGCGTTCACGGCCCTGTTCTTGCTCGCAAGCGGCGGCTCGGGGAGAGGAAGAGGCCTTCTGCAGGCCGTGGGCCTCTTGTCAAGCTAGATTCAATGACACACGTGGACGAGCACGAGACAGCACGCATGTCACTCAAGATCGATCAGGAACGGATTGATGAAAACGATTTATTCTTAAGTATGTAAAATCATCGCTTCCTCTAGCAATTTTCCTGTTTGTTTGGGTTTGGTTGCTGCTTCAGCACTGTTTCCACAAACCTTGTCTCTACTCTGCGGACGGAACCGGAACGTCTGAGTGCTTCTAAAGCGCATCTAAAATCCTCTATCAAGTGGTGAGCATTCAAATGGTTTTATCAGGATAGCAAAAGATTGCCCTCGCAGAATGTTTTCCAGCCGCGTCGTCTAGTCAGAAGGTTTGCATGCCCGGCAGTTGCTAGACCGATTGTCGAGCTAAGAAATGTGTCGTCGAGCTTCAGGCCGGGTCTGCGTCCCGGGCGAGCGCCGGGGTATTCGGCCGAGTCGACAATCAATACGTACTGTGTACTGGATGTGGGTTGCTGGTGACCAGGCGGGGAAAAGTCTAGAACTCCCAAGCAGAATCCTCGCCGATGGAAGCGATGGCCCAGGTGAACTTCTCGCGGAGGGTCTTGGGGAAGAGCCGCTCGATGGGCACGTCGAACTTGTTGGAGAAGACGACGCTGAGTCGTGGATCGATGTAGTTCTGCCAGAGATTAGTATAAGGCAGCCTGCACATGAATCGGTGGGACTCACGATCTTGGAAGTCCCCAAGGCAACCTCCTTGTTGCCTTCACGGTCAGCAGACTGGGCCTCAAGGTTCTTGATCCTCTCCTCGATCTTCTCAATGTTTGTCTGGAGCTTGGTCACCGTCGGACCCTTGCCCTCGGCCTCGACCTTCTTGGTCTTGTTCTCCTTCTTGAACTTCTTCTCGAGCTCCACCGCCACCTTGAGTCGCTCCTTCAGCTCCTTCTCCGGAAGCGGCTTCTTCTTCTCGGCGACAAGCTTCTCGTTGTCCTTCTCGAATTTCTTGGTGATCTTGGTGCGCTGGTCCTCGACAAGGAAGGCCTGGTGGCTGAGGACCCACTCATCAGTCAGCTCGGGCTCTCTCTCGAAGAACGCCGCTCCCTTCTTCTTCTTCATCTTGGGATCGACGTCCAGTATCATCATCTTCACCCGCCATCTCTGGTACTTGAGGCCTTTGATCTGTGGGACTTGGCGTTAGCAAAATTCTCAGACCCATGAGGCTCATCAAAGAATAGACTAACCCGGTCTCCTAGCTTCTCCATTGCCTGCTCGTGGCTAGCACCCACGGTACGCTTGTGGTTGCAAAGAATGGCGACCTCCCGATTGCAGTCGTTGTACAGCTTGACCTTCTCGTTGACGGTGAGATTCTTGTGCTGTTTGGGGTCCAGACTCTGCAGGAGATTTGACATGGTGTAGGACGCGTTGTAGGTACGGAAGACCTTGGCCGTCAGTCCGGGCATGTAGTTGGACAGATGCTTGTTCAATTGCGACGTCTGCCACAGTCAGTATATCTAATCCGATAAATCGAAGAAAGCGCAGCACTCACATTGACGCGATCGAATATGTCGTCGCCGTCCTCTTTGGGGGGCTTCTTGAACATCTTCAAGTTCTTGAAAACCTGACGGTCGACGTTGACCTCATCATAGAATCGGATGCTGTCCTTGCCCAGGAAATCGAAGATGACCGTGTCTGGCTCTCGGAGGGTCAAGTGCTCGAACTTGAGAGAACAGCAGCCAACAGTGTCGGCCTCGTTGTCCGTGTCCTTCTCATTTCCAGCTCTGAGCGCGAATTTGTCAATCAGATACATCGCAGTGGCCATTTGGCGCTCCTGCATGACCTCACTCTTCAGCTTCTTGGTGTAGTCCTTGCGAATGAAATCGATGTGCTTCTTGAGGTCGCGAGCCTTCTCGAACTTGGCCATATCCGCCTTACCCTTGACAGAAGCGCTGGCAGCAAGCATAACGTACTTGTAGTTGCCGTTCACGTTCTCCTGCCACATGGCCAGCCAGGTTGCCTTGTTGTCGTGCTGGACTGCCTTCCATTTATGCCCTGGTGGCGGCGAAGGGACCTTGGCTTCTTTCCCGATATTGATGGTGATCTGCTCTGGTAACACCCGTTTCTTGACCTTGCCAGTCTTGGGGTGCTCGCCGCGGCCCCGGAACAATGCGGGAGGTTCGACACGGAAGTTTCCAACCTTCTCCTTGCGCCCGTTCCACTTGCAGTACTGTAGCGGCTCCTCCAGCTTCTGTCTCTCCTCCTTGGCTTTGAGCTTTTCCTCTTTGGTCCAGGCCTTCTTCGCTTCAGATATGGCCTTGTAATGCTCGTATATGTTGCTGAAACCAAGCTTCGAGAAATCTTTGATGTCGACCTTGTTCCCATTCTTGTCTTTGGCGCCTCCGGTCTTCTGCAAGATCTCCTTAAAGTCGCCGAAGAAGTTCTTCTGGAAAACAGGGTTGGTCACATTCTGGGTCGAGTTGAGCATGGCACCGAAGAAACCCGCAACTTCTTCTGCGTCAGGGTGAAGTTCGACAGGAGTGCCATCGTACAACAGCCTGACATTTTTCGGCAGTGGCTCGTATGCCGGGGGAAAGAGCACACCATTGTGCTCGAGAGTGTTCCACTTGATACTGTCGTCTTCGGGTTTTGGCTCATTCCACCACTCGTGAACCTCGTCATCCTCTTCCTCGTCAGGCGACTTGTCCTTGGTCTTAGCCGGTGCTTTCTTCGGCGCCGCCTTGCCTTTGACAGGAGCTTTCTTCTCGGTCTTGACACCGTTGGCTTTCGAGGCGGTTCCGTTCGATTGCTTCTTGATGGGTTTGGCCAGCGGCTCATCGTCCGATGATTCTTCCTTCTTCACAGCCTTCTTTGGAGCAGCCTTTTTGACCTTGGCGTCGTGTGCTCGGATGGCTTTGGCCTCCTTCTCCGCCTTTTTCTCGATCTGAGCCTTCTTCTTAGCTAATTTCGCACCGAGAGGCTTGTCATCGTCGGAGGAGTCGGTGGGAAGGGCAGTCTCCTTGTACGAAGGTGGCAGCTTCTTGGCTGCTATGGGCTCATCGTCGCTGTCGTCGCTGTCCTTGGGAGCCTTTTTGGGGCGTTTCGCCTGGTTCTTGTGTCAGCCCAAGGGCGCGCTTCCAGAATGGCAGCTTTGCAGCGCCCCAGATTGCAAAGACCTACCAGAGGAATCTCGTCATCACTATCAGATTGGTCCTTGTAGCTGACATTGTTGCTGATGGAAGAGCGTGACTTCCTCTTAGCAGTGCCGTTTGGTTGATCTATGTCCATTGAATCATCATCGATTGGGCCATTCCGGATTGAGATGCCTGTGGCAGAGGCCTTTGATTTGGAAGCGGACTCGTCCATAGCCTCGTCTTCGGCCTTCGAAATCTTGGAGGCTGAGACTTCGCAAAACCATCAACATCGGTTAGCAACATGAATGACAACACCCTTGGAAGATGATGATGAACAACGGCAACGTAGTAGGCGAAGGAAGTGACAAAATGGCAGGTGAAAAGGGTTGGTGGGTCACTTACGGTGGTTGCCGTTGGATCTCGCCAGAGGCATGTCATCGTCGGAGTCGCCGTACGAAGACATGACTGGTGATGTGGACGAGTCGAGTGATTCGAGAGGGTGGTGTGTGCTGTGTACTGAGGGTAGCCCAGACGGCGGTGGGTGGAAGGAAGGAAGTCTGAGATACTCGGCAGTGCGAAAGGAAAGGGAAGTGAAAGTAAGCGCAGAGGGATGAAGGAGCAGGTCACCGGGGCCCGAGCTGGCTCAACGGGTGGCGTTGGGGGCAGCTCGAGTTTTTTTTGTTTGGTGGAAACTTGCAGTGGGCAGTGAGCGTTGCGAAGATATAGACGGGCCAAAAATCCAAAGAGAGTAAAGTCAAAGTGAGGCGAGAAGAGAGGGACGAGGGAGAGGATTGATGGCCAGGGCGGGCGCGCAAAGACTGAAGACTGACTGGCGCAATGGCGAGGAGGTACCTGCCTAGGTACCGACCCGAGTGCCTGCCTCCGGGGATCCAGACGGTCTTGGTGTCACCCCCCTGCCGTGGTCCTAGCGCACGTGACGGGCCCAAGCCGGTTCGGGGACGGGGCGAAAAGAAGACGGCTCGCGACCTGCAGCAGCATCATTTGAGAGACTTGGAGACCGGAGAGAGCTTCTCGCGTACCCTCCTGCCAACACCCCCGCCCAACCAATTGGTCCTCCGATCGTCACTGCTCAATCGAGCCACCGCCGGCAGAGCATTTCACGTTCAGATCCCCACAAGACAAGATGCTGTCTAGAGCTGCGCGGCCGGCTCTGAGAGCTGGAGCTGCCTTTCCCTCTCGGTATGTGTTCGACGCTCGCGGGCGGGCCGCGAGTCTGCAAGGGCGCCCACCTCTACCTCTACGAGCACGGACGAGGCCTGGCATTGGATCCTCTTGACTGGGTTGATGCATAAGTCTTCAATTGTGATGGGGGAACTGCCTAGGAGCCAACGAGCTGACATGTTTCCTTCAACCAAAACAGCGCCGTCACGTCCGCCCCTCATGCTGCCGCCGGCTTCGCGACGCTGCGAGAAATCGAGGGCCGTCTCAAGTCCATTCGCAACATTGAGAAGATCACCAACACCATGAAGATCGTGGCCTCGACCAAGCTTACCCGCGCCCAGCGCGCCATGAACGAGTCCAAGGTCTACGGTCAGACTTCGAAGGAGGTCTTCGACCAGGCCGAGACTAAGCCTCTCGAGGGCGAGGACAAGAAGACCCTCATTGTTGTCTGCTCCTCCGACAAGGGCCTCTGCGGCGGTATCCACTCCGGTCTTTCCCGCTACATCCGTCGTCTCTTTGCCGAGAAGCCCAACACCTACGAGCTCGTCATCCTCGGCGAGAAGTGCAAGGCCCAGCTGTCGCGAACCCAGGCCAAGGACATCCAGCTCAGCTTCGCCGGTGTTGGAAAGGACGTTCCTACCTTTGCCGATGCGCAGGCCATCGCCGACCAGATTGTCCACTTGCCCCACGAGTACGCTTCGATCAAGGTGCTCTACAACAAGTTCATCAACGCCCAGAGCTACGAACCTTCCGAGATTGATGCGTTCTCCGAGGAGGCTATCAAGGCTTCTCGTACGTGCTCAGGCCCCATTGAAACAAAATGCCAAATATTGCCCGTGCCTGCTCTTTGCTAATGCCGCTCACAGAAAACTTCTCTGCTTTCGAGATCGACGAGGAGCTCCTGCCCAACCTGCAGGAGTACGCTCTCGCCAACGCCATCTACTGGGGTCTTGCTGAGGGTCACGCCTGCGAGCAGTCTGCCCGCCGAAACGCTATGGACGTAAGTGACAGCATCTGTGCCTTTAGGTTTTCTAGCGAGATGCTAATCGGTCCTGCAGAACGCCTCCAAGAACGCCGGCGAGATGATCAACAAGTACCAGATTCTCTTCAACCGAACCCGACAAGCCGTCATTACCGGCGAGCTGGTCGAAATTATCACTGGTGCCACTGCCTCGGCAGACATGTAAATCCAGAGCGGCAAGTAGAAGAGTTGCTGGGGCACGTTGCCGAGGCCCGGATGGACGGAATCTTAACAAATTTCCCTTTGTGACAACACATACCAACGGGCTGTACCAAGATCAGTAGAATGAGAGAGAGAGATTCGAGAGGTGGAATTGTTTGCGTCGCAATGTTCCGGGTAAATTGCGCGGTCCGCCCTCCGCTTACGTGAATCACCTCCGGCCACTATCTCTGGTCCACTTGTGCACCCATGGTCTAAATCACAGTAGATGGCATACCCCAAGGAGTGAGCCACAGAAGGTCCTCCGATATTGATCCCGCCCGTCAGAGCTTTGAGGACCAAACGTGGCCAACACCTACCCCTCCAAGGCGGCGCTGGCATAGCCCAACGCCGTCCGTGGCTTGGACCACGAGCCGCAAGCACGATACGCCGCCATTCGGCTTAGGCCAGCCGAACAAGGGATCATGCTCGATCTAAACAGCCGAAAGCTCCCGCTTGGTTTCTGAGGTTTCCGTATTGTAATACCTGCAACCCTGATTCGATTCTTCGGCATTTATGGAAGAATAGGTTGTATTGATGTGCAGAAGAGGAGAACTCCCCACTCTGGTTGCTAAGAAAATGGCTCCTTAAAAACACCCCTCTCTAACCCCAAAACGCTCCTTCCCATACCACACAGTCCACATTGTCACAGGAACAGGTTGGCGGGATCTGTGTACAGCCAAGGCGGCCTTCACCGTCACCAAGGCATCGAGGGAGGGGGAGGAGGATTTCTCTAAGCGTTTGGCCCCGCTGGTATACAAAGTCACCGGCATCGAGAGTGCACAAGACAGGCATTCTAGAACATGTGCATTGAAATGAGTACTCTGTTCTAGCTCTGTGGCGTTTCTTGAGGGAGTGAGAGTGAGAGAGCTCCCCGAAGCCAAAGAGACTGAACGGAAGCAGAAAGCAAGCTTTATTGTGCAGCATGTGCGTATGCGCCCTGCCCCCCAAAAACACCAACCATGCGTGATAATCCGTTTCGTTGACCCATGCGATTCGTTTCCCTGACAACACTCCGGTGCCTCCTGGGAAGACACATTAATACCGGTGGCCATGGGCCGCCAATCCAAGACCCCGGAACAGAAAGAGCAGAAGACAAGAAAGTACACTCGGTCGCTCGCCGTCGGCATTACTCCATGTCGAGGTCGCTGTCCTCCTCCGCGTAGCTCTCGACCCTCTTCGCCCTCCTCCCGCCACTCGCATGCCCGCCGCCTTCTGCGGCGACCTCCTCCGGGCCAGGCACATTGGGGTGCTCCTTGACATACTCCTGTCTCAGCTCGATAGCTTCTTTCTCCCATTTGGCAGCCGCTGCGGTCCAATCCCTCAGCGCCTGGGCACAGTTGCGCTTCTGCTCCTCAGCAGCATCCTCAAAGGGCTGCCGCACCTCGGGGGCAGCCTCCTTCCACATCTTGGACGTCATGGTCCGCACCTCATTGGGGCTTGGCTTACCCTTGCCTGTGCGCCGGCCTTCCTCGCAGCGCTTGCGCCCCTCATCGTAATGCGCCTTGTTGAACAAGAGATACGGGTTCCCAGCCACTTTGGAGGGTTTAATAGGATACGGCCCGAGCTTGGAGTACATGTGCTCTTGAATTTCCATTTCGTAGGCCTCGAGACGGGCTTGCACGGGGTCCTTGTTCTCTTCCTCGGCTTTACGCTTCAGCGAGGCAGAAGTCTCCCGAGGGAGAACGAGAGGTACGGGTATCTCGATGGGGCCAATCATCTCCTCTAGAACATCGGATGCGGCTCGCAGGCCGGAGAGGTAGGCACCATGAACGGTAGCAGGGTGTGTGACGATGGTGTGCTCGCCGGCGAAATGCAGATTGCCGATTGATCGAGCCATGATCTGATAGTCTTCAGCCTGCATCTTGACCCCGGCATTGGAGTAGCTCCCTCGCGCGAACCGGTCCGACTCCCATCTGGTCACGACGGCCTCGAGCGGTTGTGATGGCACTCGAGCACCGTAGCGCATACGCAGAACCTCGGTGGCTTCCGCAATCAGCTCATCATTGGGGGTAACCTCGGTGTCGTAGCCCGCATCGCCGGCCATCAACGCAAGAAGGCAAGGCATGCCGGTCGTGTTGCTAACGTTGAACCACTGGAAGAAGCGACCACGGCGCGAGACGTAATCTTTCTGGTTTAGGCTGAGACGATTAGTGGGAGTCTGTAAAGTCCCGAAGATGTCTCGGTCTTTGTCCCAGAATGTATCTTTGTATACGAGAATGACTTTGTTCAGGACGCCAAAGCCTAGGCGTCCGATGGCTTCGGCTTTCCACGAAGGTAGAGGAGGTTGGAACTCGACACCTCCGTGCTTCAAGACACCCAAGGGAATAGTGTTGACAACATAGTCGGCTTCAACCGATTGGCCATCCTCTAGGTCAACTCTAGCTGGTCCAGCTGCTCCCTCCGTGGTGTACGTGATGCGCTTCACAGGCGCCTTTTGTCGTATGGTGAGGGGTGCCGGGAGCATCGAAAGGCCTCTGGCAACGCTTTGATAGCCGCCCACTATCATGGTGTGCTTCCCCTCCCACTCGTTGCCGGCGTCGATGTCCCACCCTTGCAGACTTAGGCGGTTGAGGTTTGTGGCGTTGCTGTACTCCAAGTTGGCAATGTGCCAGTTCAACAGTCTGAAGTCCTGGGCGTTGAGGTCAAGAATACCTTTGTGTTGCATCAGTGCCTCGTCGACAACTGAGCCCAACGTGGCACTACTATCACTAGCCGCAGCATCAAGATCGATATCCCTGGTCTCCGGCACTCCAGGCTTCAAGGTCCAGCCGAGCGACTTAGCCTTGAACGCAGCCCTAGTGGATCCAGGAGTGCCAGGCTCGACGTGGACTTTCCCGGTCATGCGGTCTGTGGACACTGGCACGAGGTGAGTCTCAGGCGTGACATTCTGTTGAGAGACAGGAGGGGCATGAGGTTGGGAAGCAGCCTTCTCCTCCTCGAAAGCAATAGTCTTGTGGCCCTCGGCAGTGCTATCACGTCCCTCGTCAATGAGGTCGTGATTTCCTTCGATTAGTTTGGATGGTTGCGATTTGAACTTGTACTCGCTCACCCGGTCGAGACACGCGTTGAAGAGGTGCTCAACCATCTCATCACGAGTAGGATCAACGGCTGTACCATTGGTGTCATAGAGAGACATGTCGCTCCGCAAACAATGATACGGCAAGCTCAGCTGTCCCCTCACGAGAATGTTAAGGGGGTTGCCCCTGTCGAACCCGGTGATGATCATGCCGCCCATCTCCGCCGTGAATCGTTTGCCCCGGAATATGCCCGGCGCAGTATCTGGCAGAGTGTGGAAAGCACGGGAGTAGACTCGTCCACCAACTCGGTTTCTGCCCTCTAGCACAACCACCCGAGGTGGGTCTTCGCCCATGTTACGGAACCGCTTTGAGTACTGCGTGAAGAGTCCTTCCAACTGCCTGGCGCATCCGAGCCCGGAAAACCCAGCCCCGATGACCACCACAGTCTTCCTCTTTCGTGGTTGCGAATCCTCGACTGGGCTATTCTTCCTCTTGTGTTGTCGAATTTCGACACAGCCATAGTTTATGAAACCACGACGGACCAGCCAATCGAAACACACGTTGGCAACGTCGAACCAGCGGGTGTCCCTGGCACACCCAATAGCTTCTTCTCTCGTCACGGCGATCTGTGGATTCCTCACCCAGAGTCTGAGGATGCCGTTTCGAATATTCAAATAGGACGTGACCTGTGCGTGGCTGAGATGACAACGCAGTATGTGATATTCCTCCTGGTGCAATGCGTACGGATTCAAACGTGAATGCTCCGCAGCCTCAATGCATTCCATGGCGTATTCTTGCGGCGTCAAATCTGTAGGAATAGACACTTTTGGGCGCACATTATACTGTATCCTCCGCAATCGCGGCTGCACTCTTGCGATGGGCGTTGAAAGGGGAGTCAACGTGGTTGGCTGACTCGTCGCTTCTTTCGGGCTACCGGTGTCGAAGGGGGTCGTCGCTTTGCTAGAGACGGATGGTGGTTTCGAAGACAGCCCAGATTGCTCAGTCGGGGCCGACGCCGACGAGGCGAAGGAATGGCGCGACGCCCCGATCAAATGGCTGATCGCTGACTTTGCTGGAGTTTGGTCAGTGTGCGCTGCATCCGGGGACACTAAATCAGCGGAGACAACATCGCTGAGCTCTGAAGAAGCCTCGTCCACGTGGTCACCCATTGCCTCCACCTCCAATACTTCTTCAACAGTCCTCGAGGCTTTTGATGGAGTAAGACCATCCAGGTCAGTGAGGTCACTCAGTTCAGAACTTGATGCTGTTGGATTTGCGTGTCCTTCAGGTACCTTGGCAACCTCGTTGTGGGGCTGTAGCTCACTACCACCATCGTTCTCCATGGGCATCGGGTCGTTCGTGTGTTCGTCTACCGGCTCAGAAGGAGTAGGTCTTGGTTCAGCAGAAACGCTCTCCGCGGCTTCTGTTTTTGCATAGAGTAGGGGTGCACGATCTGGAGAGCTGGGGAGAGGGGAGGCAGCGGGCACCGTGGCATCCACAACAAGAGTCTCAAAATCATTCACATCTGAGCCACGATTTTCCTGATCCACCATTGAATTGATTTTTGCCGGCGTTTCCACTTTCGCAGTGAATTCTGTTCTGTCGGACTCGGTCGTTACGACTCTTATGTCTCCGGTGTTCGTCTCGGTGTGTGTCATATCAGCCACAGACACACCCGACGGCTCGGCGAAAGGAGGATCGATCGCCATAGCGTCATTCTCAACGATGCTTTCGTCTGGAGCAGTTGAAAACATGGACAATAATTCGGAAGACTCGTCTTGGTTCATCGCATATGACGCAGCAAAGCCCATATCAACGGCCTCCGGCTCTGTTGACGGCGGCTTCAATGGCGTTGCCTCGGCGTTCATCGAGTCCGGGAGGTGCGCTGATGCAGGTCTTTCGCCCACAGACATCGAATGTTGTGCGATTTCCTCAAACCGCTGGGGGCTCAGATGCATTCGCGCCTGCAACACATGTGTTTGCCAATTCTGAACCCGTTTTAGCCGGCTCCGACGCCGCCTCAACAGAGACGGAAGGGTAAGGCGAAGACTGCTGATGAGTATGAGGGTCGTGAGGATCCGACCTGAGGAGAATTTTGTCAGAAATAGAAACAAATAAGATCGTGATATACGGCAAGCTACAGACAGAGACCGGATCACGTGAGGGCCGGGCGGAACAAGGAACATACATGATGATATCTCCCGATATCATCGTCTTGGACACCTCATCGTCCATATCTATTGAATGGTCTGGTGAGTCTGTGTTCACGACGATGATATCGGCGATAAACTCGTCGGTTTCCTCCTCCGGCTCTGGTCGAGGAGCTGATGGTCGCGAAGGTTTCCGCGATGCGCGAGAATTGGTACTGCTACGGCGCGATGACGAGCCCGGGGTCAGGTTCTTCCTTTTTGGTGCGGAGGTGGTCCGAGACGACGAGGTTGAAGCCGGTGAGAGTAATACAGATGATGAGTGCGGGACCAGGGGGTCAGAGCCACTGTTGCTGCTCCGTGCAGGTCTCTTTCCAATGCCACTTTTCTGTCCAGATCGAGCACTGCGCGAATTTGCTCCCATTATGAGGTCGGGATTCGACTTTGGCTAGAGTGGGGGTATCGGTTGTCTTGGGTATGAAGGCGTATGCAGTCGCTGGTGATGAGGGCTCGAGAGGTTGGAATTGATGATATCGCCGCCGCCAATCTCATCGGTCGTCTCCATCGAACCGAGTCTGGATGTCTCATGCGATGGAACCAGGCGGCCCCATTCCGTGATTGAAACGTAGTCCGAACGCTGCAGGAGACCGGTCAGTCAACAAGTATACGGCATCAAAATGATGCTCGGTGCTTGATATTCAGAAGATGCCAGTCTCATGAGTAGTGCAGATCAGACCAGCCCGGGGGGAGGGGCAAGCAGGGCCGGCCCTTGCTGGTTTCGACGGTCAGGTCTACCACCTCGCCCAACAGGTCCTGGAACTCCCTGGCTCGGTCATCAATAGGCAGAACCGTGCAGCCGCATGCAAAAACCACTAAATGCTGGAATTTGCCAGCTAATATACCTAGGTATCAATTATACAGGCAATTGAGATGCAGGGAAAGCAGTACATTTCTGGGACTGCTCTTCCATCCATTGCGGGTTGGTTGGACTGATCACGTGATATAATGACTCTCGGTAATCTGCCCTCGACCCTTTGGGTTTGTTTCTCTTTGCTCTCTCTACTCCTCTCTCGCCCATCACGGCCCCATTTCCTCTGCAGATTGTTCACATCCAGAGACAAACCATCAGCCGAGCAGCACCTCAGCTGAATTGACCCAGTGCCGGATCCCTACAGCCAGCACTTACCAAGCCCCGTCTTTGTGTTCCCTTTATCGCCCTCCGCCGTCGACAGGCCGAGCTGCCGCGCCAGCCTTCCCAAATGAGTTCTTCTCAATGGCCGTGGCCATCATCTTGTTTCCACTTATAATCGAGGTCGTACAAATAACGATATTCCTTCGAGCTATAGTATTCCAACAAAGTCAGCAACTCGGTAGCTTCGAGAATGGGAGAGGCGATCCAGGACTGTGTGGACACGAAGGGCGGCAGCACAAACCTTCTTCCTGCTTTGCGATAAAGCGCAGTGCTGCGATTTCTGTGAAAGTGATCCCACCCACGAACACAACAAACACCGTTTTCTTCTGCCCATTGCCAGAGAGCAGCGCCCGAGCCTTCACCGCCTTGTCTTCTCCTTTTTGGAGCTCATCGAAGGTCTGGCCCCGCGCATGCTTGACAGCCTCTTCGAATCCCCTCCAACCATGACTGCCCGAGCTCGCAACTGCAGCACCTGCCACGCCGTTTCCCTTTGTCATGGAGAGCAAATATTGCTTCTGAAGTATGCATTGAACCAAACGTATCGACAAAGGTGCATACCCGCTGTAGACGTATGCTATATCATTCGGGTTGTGCTCGTTGACTTCGTCTACAATGAGCCGCAGAGATTTCCGCAAGGTCGAGTAGTTGGTTTTGTCTCCAGTCGCGCCCGCAGAGCCGGCCATTGGAATCATCGATGCCATGGGCGAGGACTTGGGGAGGAAAAGCTGTAGTCTCTCCAGATTGTGCAGGGTCAAAAGGTGCTGATATCCATAGCCTTGTAAGACCAGTTTGCGTAATTGGTCGTGTTCTTTGGTTTTGATGCCACCAGATATGCAAGAGTAAATGCACAGAAGCCGGAGCACCTCGGGCAACGGTGCGTCACGAGCTACCAATTCCTCGATTGAGTCGAATTGGGACGAGGGGTCGGCGCCCGCCGCAAGATTTTGTTGAACCTCAAGGAGCTTGCTGAATTGGTCGGTACGTGTGTACTTGATGATCTCTTCCACTAGGTTCGTATGTATCTTCAGATTTTGCTGTTCTGCTTGATAGCCTGGCAGTTTTCGCACAAAATCTGTCAGTTCTGCCGTCGTTTTGGTCGTATGTCGGCTGTCTAGATCCTTTTGTATGCGCAGAGCGACCTTGTTGAGCAGGTTTCCGACGATGGCAAAATTCGTGTCTCGGAGCTGGTCGTACATGTTGTCTGACGAATCCAGTTGGACTTTGCGTCTTCTAGACTGGTTACTAGACGCCGGTGCTGCTGATGCGCTCTGAGTCGCTTGAGGTGCGCCGCCTACAATAGTCGAGTCGACCTCTGTCTGGTTATTTTGGATGCCAAAGACCTCGTCTATCAAGCCCTCGTATGTGAGCTGGGTGAGGAGAGGCGTGACCATGTCCACCTCGCGATCAATGATGATAACGCTTTCCGTTGTCGTGCTCGGGCTGAGGCCACTCTTGTCGGGTTCACTGGCCACTTCACCGGCTAGAAGCTCCTGTCTCATGCGGGAGAGCAACTCGGCGACTCTCTTGGCACCATCGCCCTTGCCCGTGATACGGGGGAACAAGCCGTGTTTTAGTTGGATGCCCATAAGGGCCTGGGCGAGCAGGAAAGTTGGTGTGGGGTCCTTCGACAGGTATGAATCCTTGAACCCGTCGTTGAGTTCCAGGGAAAGGACATCTCGCTCTAGTGGGAAGAAGTACAGAGGAAGCTCCGAGACGTTGACGTCGCCGAGAACACCTGATTCTTCAAGGATCTTGTCGGACACAATAGTGCGCCGCGGCACCCAGAAGATGTGGAACTCATGGGACGTCTGGCTCTCACGTTGTACTCGCCTAATCTGGTCTTCGGGATTGTCAGCACGCTCTCATGGCTCTCACCACGCATCTCCAATCGTGATAGGCACTGCACGTGAACATTGGTGTTGGTTGGGGACGACTCGATAGTAGACGACGGCGACTGGTTTGAAGGGGGTGGGAGCGGTGGCTGCATCAAAATGTATGAGATCGCGACTGACTTGCGATTTCCTGAGCATGGGCGGTGCGGGCGACGAAGACGACATTCCTCTGGGTTGTCGAGACATTGCTGCTTTCCAAAAAGAAGAATTTGTCGACGCCATAGTCCTGCAAAGTCTGCACTTTGACGATTGTTCCGATGGGGCCGGCGAGGCTCTGTTCGATGACGAGGTTCTTCTTGCCCTGGACCTAAGCAGCAGGCCGAACGCGCCAAGTCAATGAAGCTGGTCATGAGCTTGCCTGCCCTGGGAGCTGTGTTGGGCGCCTTACTTACTACCGAGAGAAGGTAGAGCAGGTCCTTCCTAGCCTTGTCTTTGATCTGCTCCGTGTCGAAGCCAAGTGGAGGAGCCATGATGGGCTCTCCATGGACAAAGGTGAGATTTCAGGGTGAAGAACGAACGCAACGGTCGTAATACTGACTTCCAGGCTACAAGGGCGAGCGCGTTGGAGGGGGAGCTAGATGCCTGTCACAGGTGGCCAGGCCCCACCCAGCACCGGCCTGCCTGCCGGATGATCCATCAATCGATAAACAAAATGCTGCGATAAGATCGCGTAGAATAATGAAGAGACTCGACTTTAATAAACATGCCTGCGTTGGGTCGGTATTCACGGGTGCACATCGATCGCCGACGGCCAGGCTCTCAAAGTCTTGGCCTGGATACGTACGGGACTCTCGAGAACATTTCACAGAAGGTTCACCCATCGACGGGTGGGAAAGTTTTTGACGGGTGGGTTCGGTTTCTTATATCCTCACCCTACCAAGGGCAACACCTTTCTACTTGTAGACCTTTCAAAATTGAGAGCACCTGATGCTGCTCACACCAAGCAATGCCTTCCTCTAATGGAACCCAAAATAGCACCTGAGTTCGAAACGGATATTGTAACAGGTGCTTGAACTTCAAGGCCTCCTCCACGGGCACTGGGAAAGTGGCAACCAACCAAACTCCAACAAACCATCGCTGAAGTCTCAGTCTCACAACGCAATGTCTCTGTCTCATGTGTCGATATCGCTTGCCAAAAGCCGTGTCGTCAACGCCGGGTTTATGAAAAGTGAGCTGCCGCAGGCTCGTTCGCATCTAGACTTTGTTGTCATGGTAGTAGAAATCGATGTCCCTTGGCCGCAGTCGATTGCTTCGGACGAATTCCTCGTCACCGGGCGGTCGTTCGTTCTTGGTGTTGCCCGTCAACATGCTTTGCAGTGACATGCACACGCTCTCAACGTTCTGCACCGGGCTCCATCCTTGCTGGCCCAGGAGGTCAAGACAGATGATGCCGTTCGAGTAGATGTGGGGGTGTATCGGTATTGGTCGGTCGGGCTTTTGAACGAAGGTCACCTCAGGCGGCTCTGGATCAACCGTCAGTCAGAACTGCCTTACAAAGAGATCGGGGCCATGTGAGGTCCTATACCGATTGGGTACTGGTGCCCAAACCTGAACATCAGTCTGTAAACATCTGGATAGAGCGGATTGTCGTCGAGAACCTTGATGTCCAGGAACCACGTCTCGAGGTCATCGGCAGACACAAGGGAGATGCCCGCCGGGAGGTTGTCGGTGATCTATCACGACGACATTCAAGTCAGCTCACGAGAAACGAGCCTGATTTCGAGCGCGGTGGCAGGGGTGGAGCGTGGCTCCAAGCTGGCAATGGACCAGCTCTGCAGGGGACTCGTCTGTGTGCGCGCGCAAAGACAGACACTCAGAAACTCAGACATACTTTTGTCAACTCTTTCCCGAGCCGCCTATGCGCAAAGTTGGCACCCATGGTGTAATGGAGGAACGAAGGCGGTCGGTGTTGGTGGAGGTGGAATGGCTCCGTCGAGTGGGAGAAGACCCCGGCTAACATACGTCAGGGCCAGGGACTGTAGTGTAGGTGACTAGGTGGGTGCCGGTTCGGAGGGCAGACGGAGGGACTGCAGCCACCCGGGGCGCCGCCGTGTCTTTGCAGAGGTGTTCGATGGAAATGAGGAACGAGGAGCGCAAGAGTGCCAGCCGGACGCCAGTCACTGATCTGTCACTGTCACAGCCAGACTGCAGCAAGCAGATGGCGACCAAGTTGTTAAGCACACAGGTACACTAGGTGGACTGGGTGGGCTGGGTGTGAAGGGTGGTGTTTGTTTCGAAGAGCGGTCCGAATACTGGAGGTAGCGAGTAACTTTGAATTCTGGTACTGTACACGGTCACTACTGTAGGTACAGTGTACCTCCTAACTTGGCGAAGGTCCGCTCAGCCCGCCTGTCTGCTCATAGGCAGTTCGAAAGCTGGGGAAATCACGCTAGCCTGCCCGGGTGGCTAGTCACAAGCAACGATCACTGTTTCCGTGATCGACATCGGTAGTCCACCGTCCTGCCGTCGTAGCAGCGTGCCGTAGCTTCGTCCCGAACACTCAACCACGACCGCCTGCATCTAGGGAGGCAGATAAGCGCAGGCAAGGCTCCCTGCTCACATGGAGGGCCAGGTAGTATCACGAGGGACCTTAATCGGATCTGAGAGCCAAAAAGAAAAACAGAACACCACGACAGGACCCCCATGGCCTGTTGACAAGCAGCAGGACGGTCGCTGTCGGTCAGTCGACATTGCAGCGACCCATGGTGGAAGCCCCTGCCTCTCATGATGGTGACTGTATCGCAACAAAGTGGAAGCTCTCGGATAACATTGCCGCATGCACGGCTCCCATGGCTCACAATCCATCAGGGCCTCCATGGCCTCCACGGCCAAGTCGAAGGCCACGCATCTATAAAAAGGGGGAAAGAAGGCTGTGCTGGCAAAGGACCAGACCAGCAGCGGCGGGATGGCACCTGGGCCGTTGGGCAGTGAGGGGGATTCTCTAGGAGCCCCTCCCTCCCCCATGCCGTGCGCCCAGGTTGACTGCCCTGTCGCCCGTCGACCGCGAAGCAACATCCAGGTCCATCTGGCTGTGCGGCTGAGCAGTCGGGCAGTCCTTGCTCCTCTGCTGCCATCATCAGTTGGTGACACGAGCCAACCCCCTCTCATGCGCAAGGCATTTCCTCACATACCATCATTGTCGTTGCCCTCCCGAGCTCTTCCATTACTTTATCTTGGTCGGCTGTCGTTGACGGACGAAGCTGTCTTCTCAAACGCCCGCCGAAGCCCAAAAAACTGTCTGAGCTCCTCCCTCTCCACTGAGCCGCCCGCCGTTCGAGCCCCTCCTTTTTTAGCCAGGGACCACTTGAGCTACTGTGTGCACTCTCTCCTCTTGCTCTGTTCGCGCCTGCAGATTCTTGACGGTTCGATCCTGAACCAAACAACACCGCCCCTCCGAACGTCTCTGCCCTGTCTGCTCTGGTCTCCTTCCTGACGACTGCTGTCACACCTGCTTGGTTCAATCGCACTTGCCTGGCTGCCAGGCTGTCGCTTCAAGAAGCTCGTTGAGCAAGTTCCCATTACCTCTAGGCCACAGCGAGCGCGATTCCACGTCGCTCTAGTTTCACCAACCAGCTCTTGAATTCAGAGATCTAGTCGGGGCAAGATGAGTTGTTAGTATTGCCGAATGCGCCTCGTTCTCACCCTTCTACCCACCTATCCGTCTCACCCTGCGTACTGAGCAACTATGTCCAAGTTGCCCGTGGTCGACACACGACCCTGATAGTCCTATCTCACCCCTACTTCACCATGCTGACCAGATCTCCCCGTTCGTCAGTCTCCAACATGCTCAATCGGCTGCATGGCCAACCTGAAAGCTACGACAAGAAGTACGTATCCTGCCTCGTTAGGCACCAGACCGGCCCCTCTGACTATCTCTGCCAGGTCCAAATATCGATTCGGCCGAACACTTGGCGCAGGCACCTATGGCATCGTTAGAGAGGCCGACAGCCCATCTGGCAAGGTGGCTGTGAAGATCATCCTCAAGAAGAATGTGAAGGGCAACGAGAGGATGGTTTATGACGAGCTTGACATGCTTCAGCGCCTGAAGCACCCCAACATTGTCCGGTTCGTCGACTGGTTCGAGTCTAGAGTGAGCAGGATTCCACCTGAAGAATGGGGCAGGGCGCTCTGAGTTGCTGGACTACAACTTACACGGGCTGCAGGACAAATACTACATCGTCACGGAATTGGCGACCGGTGGCGAGCTTTTCGACCGCATCTGCGAGCAGGGAAAGTTCACAGAAAAAGATGCTGCCGCGACTATCAAGCAGGTACTCGGGGCTGTCGATTACCTGCACAGCAAGAATGTCGTTCACAGAGGTGAGTCCGGTCTCACGATGAGAGCTCCGCGAAGGAGGCACAACTGACCGCATCGCAGACCTCAAGCCCGAAAACCTACTCTACCTTACCAAGGCAGCCGACTCAGACCTTGTCCTTGCTGACTTCGGTATCGCCAAGATGCTCGACAGCAAGGACGAGGTCTTGACCACCATGGCAGGATCATTCGGATACGCGGCGCCGGAGGTCATGCTCAAGAAGGGCCATGGCAAACCCGTCGACATGTGGTCCATGGGCGTAATAACCTACACGCTTCTATGTGGTTACTCGCCGTTCCGCTCCGAGAACTTGCAGGACCTGATCGAGGAGTGCAGCAACGCGAAGGTGACCTTCCATGAGAGATATTGGAAGGACGTTAGTGAAGACGCCAAGCAGTTCATCCTGGGCCTGCTGCAGCCCAAACCTGATGACCGGTGGACCTCCTCTCAGGCCCTGAACCACATCTGGCTGACTGGTGATAACGCCACGGACCACAACTTGATTCCCGAGATCAAGGCCTACATGGCCAAGGCGCGCCTTCGGAGGGGCATCGAAATGGTCAAGTTGGCCAACAGGATCGAAGCCCTCAAGATCCAGGAGGACGACAAAGAGGACTCGGATATGCCGACCGACGCGTTCGCCGCCGCGGACCACTCCAGGGAATCGGACAACTCGAGCCCCAAGCCAGAGGCCGGCGCCTCCGCTTCTACCTCCGCTTCTACCTCCAGCGAAGGCAAGCGAAATCTCCAAAAGAAACTGAAGGGTGCCATCTTCCGCGAGGTGGTGCTCGCCAAGGTGCGCGAGATGAAGCAGCAGGAGCAGACGTTGAAGGTGGCAGAGGAGGTCGAGAAGGAGGCCAAGAGGCGCTCTTTCCACGAGTAAAAGGCGGCGAACCGTTGCCATCCGCTGGCAAAGAGTAGGAGGCAGTCAGGAGGAGGACAGAGGGCCTTCGATACCATGGGGTAGTGTCTTGGCAAATTGTCTCTTGTTTTCTTTATTGCAGAGTCAGGTCCATTTACCCCAGTGTTTCTCGTTTCCATGGGCGACGCCGCGTCAGTCACGCGCCGTCGCCTTGGGTGTGTGCGCTTTAGTGCTTGTGTTGGAAAATTGGTCTCTTGAGTAAGTGGGAGGCAAACTCGGACATAGGCAGGGAGGCTAGCTGCTATAGCGATAGGGGTTACAGCTGGGTTGAGCACAGAGGCCAGTCGGTTGCTTGCTTGCCCCGCTGCTTACAATAGGACGGTACACAAGTATCATGTTCGTGGAATAGAATACCTTGATTTTTCTTCTCTCCTTTTGCATCACCTTTACTGTCACAATTCCACCGTGGCGCCGGGAGGGGGGAGTTCAAGAGCCCGCCACTGGCCGGCGAACGCCTGAGCAGCCTATACAGGATGAGAGGCACGGAAAGGGTCCTAAAGGTATAAGCTGGTGACCTCCAATATAAAGAAGCCATGCGAGCCCCTCCCGGTTTCTCCTCCACGAAGAGCCTCCGTCACACAGCGAGAAGCCATGCGCGCGTAGCTGGCAACCAGGCTCCAAAACTCAAAACCTCTACAGACCGATACATACATCACGATGAACTGGCTTTCTCAGAATTTACTCGATGCGGCCCGAAGCACAGCACGTTGGGAGAAGAGGTTATCAATGCGGCCAGTTGCATTGTCAGGAGACTGCAACACTGCTATAATGCTTGAGATATTTGAATTTGTTGAAGAACCAATGTTCTGCGGGACGAAGACGTCCAGGGATATATTTATGAATATGCAGAGAGCACAATGCAGCAGGCAGCGATGTGGCCAGCCTTCCCTTCCTAAATGCACCGAACACCTGTACGATGCAGTCCTTGTATGCAGATCCTCACGATGGTGCCATATATCCTTCCTCCCACCCATCCTTCCGTCCTTGTGTCCGTCCAGTCCATCCCCGGTGTCACGAGGAGTTTGTCATTTGCCTCCATTGTCGCCCGTCGTCTGATATCGTGATGAGAATGCGCGGGGCAATTATATGATGCCGAGCCTGAGCTCATAGAACAAATGAGATGTCTGCCCCGAGCCCTTGATCCCTCGGGAGTCGTATATATTCCCCGGGGTGGGCTTCAGTTGGCGTTCAGTTCCGCCAAGACCGTCTCGCAAAGCACCTCGTAGCGGCTCGCGTCGAACCTCTTCCTCTTCCACCCGTTCATGCGCAGCTTGTCGATCCTGGCCATACGGTCCTGAGCGCGTGTCTCCCCCTCCTCGCCGCCAATGGACCCAACACTGCTGAAGCTCATGCTGCTGCCGCTGCGCTGCCGGCCGCCCAGGCTCATGCGGTTGACGTGCGCGGACTTGATGGTCGTCGCGTCGTACAGCAGCGGCGACTCGGGCTGGTCGTGCTGGGCCTGGAGCTGCTCGTCGGACTCGAGGAGCTGGTTGAGCGAGGACATGTGGCTGTTCACCTGCGTCTTGAGCGAGGTGAGGGTCTCGCAGTAGCGGGATACGTTGCGGGCTGACTCCAGGTCCGCGGCGCCGAACTGCCCAAAGGGGCACACGTCGGAGCCGAAGCCTTCTGAGGACGGCGAGCTGGATGGGCTGGGCTCCTCGTCCTCGCTGATGGACGGCATGGGCGGCGGCGATGACGCGGGGCTGTCCAGCGGGTCGACCTCGATGTCCTGCCGGGACCAGCGCTTGCTCGATGCCACAGGTAGGTCCGGGAGGTCCTGCCGTGCCGCGCCGGACATGAAGTATTCGTCGTCGAAGCCCAGTGTCGGTGAGTCCGGGCGGACCACTGGCTCAGGTAGTCGGAACGACCACCGGTCCTTATCCTTTGGCAGCTCGAACGAGACCTTCTTCTTTGGCCTCTCCCGGTCCCCCGAACGTGGTTCCTGCTGCAGACTCGACTTCCTGGAGTGGGTCCAGTTCGGCGTCATCAGGCAGGACTCTGGGGTCCATGCCCGGGACGAGACTGAGCCTGATGGGGAATGCAGGCTGGGTAACGACGACGCAGCAGAAGTCGACCGAGACTGGGCAACAGCTGCTTCCTCTGCCTGCCTAATTAATGACTGTGCGGCATTGTAGTGACCGCGGGCCTGTTGGAGAAGACTAGTTCTGTAAGAGGGTCCGGGTTGTAATGGGCGTGCGCACATTTCGAGGGATGCGGCGGCATAAAAGTTAAGGTATATCAAATAAGCTGGCTGCACCATTGACTACGCGCGAGGTCAGTAAGGCTATCCCAATAATAGGATGCCGCGTGCTAGATGGCGCAACTCACTAGGTCCTTGGTGTTTGTGAGGATCTCATTACACCTGGCCGAGCATGCTCGGTACCGGCGAGTAACGTAGCACTTCTTTATCTCCGTGATTGCCCTCTTCCACTCGGCCGACGTGAAGGGCAGGACGGGGAGCGAAGCGGGTACTTGCTGGGAGTGGCGCTTCGTAGTCCTGACGGGCGGCCGGGAGAGTTTGATCATGGGTGTGACATCGCTGGCGTTGCGCTTATGCGCCGGAGACGCGGACGACGCGGCGGCGGGAGGGTTGATGTATTGGCCGCCGGGGAGGATGACGGTGGTTCTTGAGGGACCGGAGCCGAATCCCTCGGTCAAACTGGGACTGAGCATAAGGGGTATTAAACCCTTCGGCATGGTTTATGCAATCCGGTAGGTGAGTGGCCGTGAGGTGGAGCACACGAGTATTCGTGGAGACGGCGAGATTCGGCTGTCCGTATAGTATGAATATGTGCGCTGTAGGTATGACAGAATATGAGAAAAAGAGAAAAGAATCCGGGGCAAGAGGCCGCGGGGCTTATTGGTCGGATGTCGCTATAGAGACAGGCGCTTGGATCGTCTGTTGTCCAGTAAGGAGGATCTGGGAGAGATGCTTTTGTTTGTTGCTTGGAGGGGCGTCAAGAATGTGACCCGAGAACTCGGGAACAAGCAGTCTACCAGTTGTCGATCTTGTGATTATGGTATTAGAGGGGTTGAGCCCGATCGGCTCAAGGATATATGCGTGTCTCAGAGTCCTAGACAAAACATTGACCTCGTGGGCATGAAGGCCGGGCCTCGGGATGCCGAAGAGTTGAGACACTCTCGCGTAGTTGGTGGTGGGCGGAGGAGTGACGGGGCAGGCTTGCTAAGGCCTGTGACGCAGACTGGGGTTGGTGGTTGACCACAGCTGCGAGGGTGGGTGAAGGTAGGTGGGTGGGTGTGAGTGAGTAACCGGGGTCACCACCACTTGATGCTTCGACCTCTTGGAGCAATGCACACACGTTCGAACTGACGGTTGGGCCGTCCGGGAGGTTCAGAAGAAGTCGGGCTCATGAGCAGGTGAGCGAGCGGATTGAGGTCAATGAAGGAGGGGAAGGGGAAGGGAAAAAAGAAAAGGGACTGGCAGGATGTGGGATTGGGTGACGCCGGGCTGACGATACGAAAAGGAGTGTATAAGATGAGGACGCTGCAACTTTGACCTCGACTCAAATCTCCCCGGTCGTCGTCCCCTGCCAGTGATGAGCGTTATTGCACGGATCTTATTTTCTTGCACTGAAAGCGGAAACAGGTGTGGACCACCGTTGCTCGAGCCTCGAGGCTCGACGGGGGGCCAACCAGCCAAACGGAACAGTCAATTGCTGTGGAGGCTGCCACCCCTCAGCGCCGCTGGGCCTCAACTCCCCCCCCCCCCGTCCGAAGAAGGCTGCGGATCGTCGAGTGCGCAGGGGTGGGGCGTGGTCGAGTCTGCCGTGCCGCCAACTTGTCCCCAGAAACCTGAGAACCTGCCTGCAACGCAAGCCTGCAAGCCTGCAAGCCTGCAAGCCTGCAAGCCTGGCTTGTCTTGTCCGGTCTGCGTCTGGATTGTGCGCCCCTTGCAGCCCATCACCAGCCTCAAACACCCACCACGGACAGACTAGGCCGGGTCTGGTAGACGAGGTGACAAGGTGTCAACCCGGCCTCCCGTTTCCCCCGCCGAGCTGGGCTGGTGCCTCATGGTCGCAGCAAAAATCTGTGGTCGGCTCCCGCGATCGTGAAACTCTGACAGGCAAGCTACCTATACTAGACACTACCGCAGATACAAGATGTACTCCCAGCCAGAGCCCCAAGCTGTGCAGTCCGCAGCACGCACGCTCAGATCCGTGAGCCCTCCCTCCCGCTATCACCCAGTCACCGTACTGAACTGGTATGACCCGTAACATCCGACAGCCACTGGTCCCTGCTAGCATGTAGCACGCCAGTCTCACAGCCGTGAACCGATCAGTCAGTCAGTCTTGTCTTGTGTGCAACAGGTTACACAGATGACAGATACTGTACACTTCCTGTTGCGAGATCGACTTTCTCGGGTCACAGGCGCATCGGGGTTCATCTGGAATCGTCGCATTGAAAACTCTATCTGCCCTCCCATGTTGCTCCCATGTATGCTTGCCCTGCTCTCCCGGCCCTCGATCCACGCGTCTTGAAACCACAAACCTGGGCACCAGAGCAGGGCCCCAGAGCAGGGCCCCCTGTCCCCTCTCCTCCACCCAAAAGGCTCCAGAAGCACGCGAGACGCCGGGGCAACGCCCACCCACGCCCGTGGGGCGTGCCCTCCTCGTGCCTCGCTCAAATGAGTTCTCCCCAAAAATGGAAGCACGCCAGTGACACTACCCACGGGGTGGCTTGAGCGCTGATGAGCTAGCTGGACTCTGAGCTCTCCCCCCGCCTTTTTGGCCCCCCTATCTTTTCTGCCCTCGCGTTAATCTCCGTACCTGCTTAGGCGAGCCTCTTCCGGCTCCTGCGTCAAATCGCTCAGAAATGACAGAATATGACAGAAAACGACGGCGCGAAATAAGACACCTGCCAGAGTGGGTGGGCACCTCGCCCTGTCCGCTGGGAGCGCCGTGGGGAGCAGCTTCACATTCTAGTGTGATCCCGCACATTACCAAGATGAAGGGAAGAACTGTAAATATACTTTTTCTTCCCGAATTCTCAATTTCTCCACCACCAATGCTCATGGCATTCCTCGGATCTGGTCTCTCTGAACAGGTGGTGAATGCAGATGCACGTTGTTATTGCATCGTCATGCTACACGTGTATATATTACATAACTACCACCTCGTATCTTTCCCTCGTAATACCAGCTGTTCCAAGGTCTTATTAACTGCCACGGTCCCAGGTCCAAGCATCCTCAACAAGCTCGATTGCGCAAGCCGCCTGGCTGGGTGAGGCACCGGGCACCCACAAGCCGGTTCGGACGACGTGGAGCTTCCTGTTGATTTTTTTGCCCCCCTCGTCTCTTTTGTTCTACCACAGCAGCAGCTTTTTTTTCCAGGTTCCGGCCCCAGGGGGTTCCACATCCACACCCGAGCCTGCGCCCGCAGCCTCTTGTCGGATTCGGATATTGCAGTACTGTGGTACCTTTCTTTCTCTTCACCGACACTCAGCACATCTCACCAAAAAAAAAAAAAATCGCGACGGTAATCTATTCTATTCCCAGCGTAGTCGGGTACCAGAAATCCCGCTCGCAATCTCGACTCATCCTGTTGGTCTATCCGGTACCAGAAAGCCGGGTATGCAAATCAGTGGTGGTCTATGCAGTTCGGTTCGGCACACAAGGGGAGTGAGAGAAGCGTATACTGCGGCTGCGTATCTGCACGTCAATCAGGACGCAGACTCAGGACCAGCATCCCCGGTGACAACTGATTCGCCCTTGATACCGTCCACGACACGTAATCCCGACGCGTCCACTGTCATCTCCTCAAGCTTGCGGAGCTGTTCGAGACGTCTGCGAACCTCGCCTACGAGGTTGGGGATGGGCACGAGGATGCCTTCTTTCTCGGGGTGGCCATCATCCAGGCCCATTTGCTTGAGCCTGTCGAGGGTACGTACGTTAGCAGTGACTTCGTGAGGTTCCCGTATGGAGGTGTGACGTACTTGACTTGGCCATTCGCCAGCTCTTCCTCGCCCAGGATTACTGCGAAGGGGACACCGTTGTTCTCGGCAGCCTTGAACTCTGTAGCTCCTGTTAGCATGCATTCCAGGGGATGCCGGGCGAGCAGTAGGGCCACGCACGATTTTGAAGCTTCGGCTTGTTCTTGTACAAGAACTCCGCCTTGACACCCGCGGACCAGAGCTGGTTGCATATCCTCATGCGGTCCTTAACCATGCCGTCGAACCCTTTGCCGCCAAACGCCATCACGTAGACGTCCGTCTCGTTATTCCTCGGCTCTCTGCCCTGCTCTGCGGCCATGCGTGCTGCCTCGATGGAGAAGATGCGGTCCACGCCGAACGAAATCCCGACGCATGGTATTTGGCCCTTGCCCGAGAACATGCCGACAAGGTTGTCGTATCTGCCGCCGGCGGCTACACTGCCGACGCCGAGCGTCGGGTCATCTGAGCGGTCGTCATCTTCCGATGCCTTGCCCTTCTTCTTCTGCTTGGGCTTGGCGGCGGCGGCGGCGCTTCCTGCTGGGGCAGCTGGTGCTGAGCCCTCGGTAACGACTTCGTAGATGATGCCTGTGTAGTAATCCAGCCCTCTTGCAAGGCTCAGGTCAAAGGACACAGCCTTCGTAGCGTCAAAGCACTCCAGATAGTCAAACAGCAGCTGCATGTCAGCCATGCCTTGCTTCATCGACTCATTCGCGGCCAACGACTCGTCCTGCTGCAGTTTCTCCAAGAGATCCTTGCCGCCCTTGAGTTGGACCCAGACACCGATCTTGTCCGCGACCTCCTCGCCAAGCCCCTTCTCGTTGACCATCTCCTTCTTGACGTCCGCCCACGGCATCTTGTCCAGCTTGTCCACAGCAGAGGAGATGGTCCGGATCTTGTCTTCAGGCACGCCACACACCTGGAAGATGCCGTCGAGGATCTTTCGGTGGTTCGTCTTGATCGTGTATCTCCCGTCCCACCCCAGGGCCTCGAAGACCTCGCTGACGATCTTGATGATCTCGGCGTCGGGCAGCATGGCGTCGAACGCGCCGGCAATATCGAAGTCACACTGGTAGAACTCCCTCATCCGGCCCTTGGAGACTGCGGGCTGGTCCCTCCTGTAGACCTTTGCGATGTGGTACCGCTTGATCTGTTGGATGTTCTTCTGCGCGACAAAGCGCGCAAAGGGCACCGTCAGGTCATACCGCAGGGAGCAGAGCTCTCCGCCCTGGTCGGCCAGGTCGTAGATGAGTTTCGAATCCTCGCCGTACTTGCCCGCCAGGATCTCCTTGAGCTCGAACACGGGTGTGTCGATCGTGACGCCACCGTGGCGCTTGAAGACTTCGCGGACTGTACGGCGCATCTGTCAGCCTTGATCCCCGGTGCGGCTACCTCAAACGTAGCCCCAGAGGACCCAATTGCACGTGCAAACCAACTATTCCTGTCGACGGTAAGGCCACGGGCGGGGTCGCTTACTCGTATCAAAGATCTGCTCCCGCAGCACCATGTGCTTGCCATCCCAGTCCCTCGTGCCCTTGGGCGTCTTCAATTCGAACCCGCCCTTGGGAGCCATGTCGTCCGACTCAGGGTTCCGCCTCGAGATAGCCGTGCCGAATGGCTTTGATGCGCAGTAGCCTGGGAGCGCCGGGTTCAATGGTCTGAAAGGCGCAACTTGGAGGAGAGTCCGTGGTCGTGCTCTGGCGGCCCTTATAGCGTTCCTGAATGCGACGATACGCTTCATTCACGTGGTTAGGCGAGAATGCTCAAAGTACCTTGGCGGCCGTTTCCTTCGCTGGAACGAGGAAGGGGACACAAGCTACTGTAACGGGTGAGCACAGCGAGTGGGCGGGGAAAAATACGCGAAGTGGGCAAATCTGCATCTCGACACCTGAGTGCAAGGGCTACCTAGGTACCTACGTCAGCGCGATCGATCGGCACTGACTCAGAAGCCAGGCAAGAATTGATGAAAACGATTGACTCTTAAGTATGTAAAATCATCGCTTCCTCTAGCAATTTGCCTGTTTGTTTGGGCTTGGTTGCTGCTTCAGCATGTGGGGGCATTAAGCCGGGGTCCAAAAAATTACCACCAGGAACGCTTCTTCTTGGCAGAGCTCTTCTCTGCCTCAAGGGCCGCAACCTGACCCTTTAAGGTACCAATCAACAATATGGTTAGATTATGTGTAATACTCTTTTAGATGAGTTACTTACTGGGACGTTTAGGTCGGCCTAAATTGATATATATCATGGTTAGTAATAGCCTGCAGCAAGCAAGATCTGAGGATTTTTAGTATAGTATGTGTTGACGTCAACTTACCTTGGTTTTGAAGGAGTCGCGCTCCTTCTTGACGGCCTCGAGCTCCTTCTCCAGCTCGTCGACCTTGTCCGACTACTATATCGTTAGCTAATCACTAAATTTAGCACCCCCTTGTTGAAAACTAACTTCTCTCTGGCGCTTGCGAGCGCCCTGGCCGGGACGGTTGTTCTAAAATGGTATGTCAGCAAAGAGACAGTTAAAAAAAATGCACGACTTAATGGCATATACATACATTTGCAGAGCGCTTTGGCTCCTGTCAAGCCTTAATGGCTCGCTATATACTTATAATGGGATTCGCTTCGATGGTGATGGGGGCCCTGCTATAACAGCGGCAGCTACAGCTCCTGCCAAACACCCATGTCTTGATCTCTTTCATCAACTCAAGGAAAAGGTATAGAGTCCTCTTGATGAGCACTTTGCAGGGCATAGGCATTTGTAATTAACGCACTTTGGAGGTATATGGTTTGCAAGGGATGCATTTCGGATTGTCACAGTTGTTTGAGTTGTTTTGTTTTACCTACCCAGGGGGGTCCTGTCCCTGGGGCCGTTAAGTGGCGGTCATTGTGCTGTCTTGTTTACAAGGCACATGAAGACCAAAACCACGAATGTCCCCGGCCGTGGTGGGCCCGCCCCCCTAAGCGCGACCCTAACTGGGAACCCGAGAGCTACCTGGGGAGGTACCGGGGTACCTGGCCGCCGCTGCTGTTGCCGCTTAGCCTCTGAAATGCCACCTGTTAATTAAGTCTTGCGGGAAAAGGACCTCGTCGCATCGTACCGTGTCAACACGAGCATCGGAGCTGTCACCACCACCGAGCATCTCTCCACAGTTCCTTTCTGGCTCCAGACTGGAATCCTCGATTGCACCTCCTCACTTGTCCATCACATCCAGACCTCACACCTCCACGCCGAAAGGCCCACTGGCTCCAGTTCTTAGAAACACTTGGGACGTGTGCTGTGCCCTCTAAGTCAAGCAAGCAGCAATTACCAATTAGTCAAGATAGTAGGTTGCGCCAGACCACCAGACCATGGCCGACGGCTCCTCAGCTGGCCACCACCGCCCCAATTGCGATCACCTTGGTGGATTTCCCCACAAACCACGCATCTCACTCGGCTTACATTTTGCTTTTAATCAGGCACGCCTCAATTGGATCTCGCCCATCGCCGACAGATTCACTGCAGCTCTGACTTCTTACCGACCCGCGACCACGCCTGCTCTCCTCGTCGCGAAACGCCACCCTCCCCAACTTCCTGAGCTTCCCTACACCTCGACATTGCTCGATCCGTCATCATGGGCAACACACTCTCAATCCTTACCAACAAGACATTTGTTGGCTATGCCACCCTTCTTGTCGTCGTTGGCGTCATCGGCATCACCCAGCACAATGCCAAGCAGGCCAAGCAGCAGAAGATAGCTTCGCAGAAGCAGCGCGTGCAGGACTCTCGAGAGCAGCCCAAGAAGGAGAACAAGGCCAAGAGACAACGGATGGAAAGCTTCGCTTCCGAATCCTCCAAACAGCCTCAGCCCAAAGCCCAGACCAAGTCGTATGCCGCGGCCACCCAGTCCAAGGCCAAGGACTACAGCTCCGACGACGGGGTTGACAACCGCGAGTTTGCCAAGCAGATGGCACAGAACAAGAAGAACAAGTTTGCGCCCAAGGTCAACAATGAGCAGAAGCAGAAGTCGGTCAAACAGTCCAAGGCCAAGGACATCAGCAACGAGACACCCGCAGACAACGGCAAGGCCTCGGCCCCTTCTGCCCCGTCTTCCACAGCCGGAATTGATGGCGATGACGACCAATCCTCTGCCGCTTCCCCCATTGTTTCTGCCGCCGACCCTACGGGCATCTCCGACATGCTTGAGCAGCCTACCTCAGGTCCCTCTGTTCTCCGACTGACCGACACGGCCGAGAAGCAGCAGAAGCCCAGGCAGTCCAAGTCGCCACAACCCACAGAGACCAAGAAGCAGAGGCAGAACCGCCAGAAGGTCGAGAGGGCCAAGGCTCAGCGCGAGGAGGATGAGAAGGCCCGCAAGACCCTGATGGAGGCCCAGCGACGCACAGCCAGGGAGGCCGAGGGCAGAGCCGCCAAGGATGGCTCGACATTCACGGCTGCGCCGAAGTCCTCTGCATGGACCGGGAACCAAGTCAACGACAAGTCTAGCCAGGCTGCTGCCCCAGCATCTGTGCAACCGCTGGACACGTTCGACAACACTCCGAAGGCCAGTGCCGCCACTCCGGCAGCCCCCGCGCAAAAGAAGGAGAACGCCAAGCAGAACGGCGGCAAGACGAGTTGGGCAGACATTCCTTACTCCGAGGAGGAGCAGCTGGAGATGCTGAAGAAGGAGTCTGAGGAGTGGGTCCCCGTCTCCAAGTCTCGCAAGAAGAAGGCCAAGAACACGAATGCCGTCAGCGAGACCGATGAGTCCGCCGCGGAGAACCACGCAGCGCAAGCCGGTAACAAGCCTGCCTCCAAGGCGACTGACATCAAAGGTCGGCCCAAGCCGCAGACCTTACCTTCACAGTCGTCTTTCGCTGCACTGTCTGATGACGGTGCCAATCTTGCTGAAGAGCAGGAGCAGGAGTGGGATGTGTGATCCGGACAAGTGTTGGTCTCACAACTTGGCTCGGTTTCGGTCGGCTCAGTAGATGCCCACTCTATTCAGAACTCCATGAAGCAAACGTTGGAGGAAAAGTTGCGGGCCCTAATTCGTTGGGCGGGCTCTTGAACGCTGTTCAATGTGTGTGATAGCGTGTATTCCGGGTTGGGAGGGACGGCTGGGGTGGGAGGCGCAATTCAAAAGGAGGTGCGCCACAGCCCAGGCACGAGTCTTCTTTCTACGGAGACGAAGAAGTTCGCGCTGCCCTGGTAGCAGCTGGTAGCAGGGAGGAAAGCTCTGTACTGGCAAGGTTGGATCGGCAGAATGCAGACAGACTTGCGGTTTTCTTTTCGTCTTCTTTTTAAATCAGACTCGCGGCAGCAAGCAAGTCGCGCTGATAGTACTCATGCGGTCAATGGCACCTGACTACTATTATTCTGACTGCTTCCAAGCCGCCAGCCGTCTCGATCGTGATACGTGACTACTGTGGGTTCCGATATGTGCTCCCTGCTGAGCGAGAGCTGTACCCCTGTCGATCGCGCTGACGTAGGTACCTAGGTAGCCCTTGCACTCAGGTGTCTAGATGCAGATTTGCCCACTTTGACAGGACATGACGTTAGGTGGACGGGCAAGTGGGCGCCGATTATCTTTTATCGCTCGCCTATCAGCTTTGTAACATTGCCATTATTAGGAAGCCCCTCACCCTCCAAACTTCCAAGGTTGCTTGAGCAATTTGCGACGAGGCAATCCAACCTGTCACATGCACACTCTATGAGCTATCGTTGCCGACTTTTTGGGAAAGCCTCATCACAACTGAGCACTGGATTGTCATTGGTTTTTCCTTTTCTTTGCTAGGTAGTCCACAAGTTCCAAATTCCCGGCTCGCGGTCCGTATACGTATCTGTAGGCCAGTGAGTACTCATCTCAAGTCCCCTTCGATCTTGTTCCACCGCATCGGGACTGCGGGCAAGCGCAGGCGAATGCACAGACACAAACACAGACACAGGCACAGGCACAGAGCTAAGTCCACGTGAAATTCCCGAACCTCTTGCTGACTGGGCCTGAGGTCAATCTCGCTTTTAAGACAGGACATGGCTCCAAAGAACCGTATCATTATCGACACCGACCCAGGCAAGCTGTCTCCTGCCCCGGGCCCACGTGTGCCGCACTCTGGCTGACGCTTCGTGCAGGGGTTGACGATGTGCTTGCTATACTGCTCGCCCTCACCGCGCGGCCGGACGAGCTAGAGGTCGCCATGATCTCGGTGACATATGGCAATGTGTCGTTGCAAAGGTCAGCCGCTCCTTGCCTGTCTTGGTGAGACAAGATAGATTGCGTGAATGAGGCGACGGAGCACTGACATTCCGTCCAACTGCCAGATGTCTGCGCAACGTCGTCGCACTGTTCCACGTGCTGGAGAAGGAGAATGCGTGGCGCAAATCTTCAGGCAAGCCCGAGGGCTTCGAGGCCTTGCGGACGGCCAAGCCCATCGTTGCGGTTGGCGCCGAGCACCCTCTGCAGGAAGATATCCTCAAGGCCGATGACTTTCACGGCGCTGATGGCTTGCATGGCGTCCATGAGGCTGTACGTCCCTACCCCTTCCGCGCAGCATGCTCCCATAAGCTGAGTGACGATGTGATCATAGCACCCGGATCTCAGCCCTGCAGATACTTGGAAGTCGCTTTTCGCTAGAGACGAAACCCACCAGGCTGCAGGCTCTGCTGAACCACCTACATTTTCCCCCTACTTCACCCCCTCGAAGACACCTGCGCACCAGGAGATGCTTCGCATCCTCAGGGAGAGTCCCGAGGACACCGTTACCATTGTTGCTGTCGGACCCCTGACCAACGTGGCCCTCGCGGCAGCCGAGGATCCGCATACTTTTTTGCGCGTGAAGGAGGTGGTAGTCATGGGCGGCGCTGTACATGTCGAAGGCAACATCACCCCAGTGGGCGAATTCAACTGTTACGCTGATACAGTGGCCGCCGCCAGGGTATATGCTCTGACATCCCCCACGCCTTCTTCCACTATGCCTCCGTTCATCGAGGGCAAGTCCACTTTCGGACCCTACCCGGCCAAGCTACCCAAAAGGCTCCTGCTCAGCCTCTTCCCACTCGACATCACGACGCCACATTTGCTCAACAAGAGCTTCTTCGCGCAGACCATCCAGCCATTGATCGATGCAGGCAGCCCTCTGGCTCGGTGGATAGCGACGTTTATGTTCGGCACGTTCAACAAGATCGATTCCATGCTCGGCGACGGCAGCGAACCAGGGCTGTCCCTCCATGACCCGCTTACTATCTGGTACATGCTGACACGCGACGATCCTGCTTGGAAGGCGGTACCCAAACCCGAGGATATACGGATCGAGACCATCGGGCAGTGGAGCCTGGGCATGCACGTCATTGACCGCCGGAACAGGAGCAAGCAGGGTGAGGAGCAGGACAGCACGGTCAAGACCAGCCCAGAGGACCCGTTGGATGCAGTGGAGTTCGACGACGGGCCCCATGACAACGGCGGCTGGCTGAGCGTTAAGAAGGGAAACAAGATCAACCGCATTGTTGAGTCGCCCGGGGAAGATGTCTTCGCACCGTACTTGATGAAACGTCTCTTTGGATAGATGACATGAGACTCCGACGGTCACTGGCAGTCACACAGCTCGAGGTTCTGCATATCAAGCACAGACGTCAGTATAGCAGTATGGGTGACGGGTGCAGCAGGATCAGATGCATACCAGATGTTGACAGATCGGATGCTTCAACGTATTAACTGAACTCCTAAAACTCCACACGCCTGCAGATGCATCAAATTTCCCAGTGAAGCCCATATGCCCCCCCCCCCCCCCCCGGTAGCCGGACTGAAGCCCTGAAATGCGCAGCTTCTACCGTAGAACAGCCCATGTAACCAATGCTCGCCTCACTGCAAGTCTAACCCTGGGTATCTCGTCCACGCAATGACCACGCTCCCTTCCATACAAAATCACCCCCAGCCCGATCCCGTCCTGCGACAGACACGTCTAGCGACGCGTAGTGGGTGGAACCGGGGACCTCATCTTCTCGTTCTCACCTCGCCGCCGTGAACACCGAGAGGGACGGCGCCTATGAGTGCTTGATGCCGCCGATGGGGGCGCCCTTGACGGCCGTCCAGTCGATGGAATTGTCAAGCTCCTCGTCGACGACGCCCACGAGGCAGACGTTGTCGCCGCGGACTATGTAGAGCCCGAGGGGCACCTCCACGGACGGCTCTGGGTCCTCGACCGGGCGGATGACGCGCTCGACGGCGTTCTGGAGGACCTGGGGCATCACGTTAGACACAGGGATCATTTGAATGACAACACTGGGCTCCGTGCTGATTGAACGGGCATGGCTCAGACTCACGAGATTGGTCTGGTTGTCGGCGGAGATGAGGGTGCCAATCAAGGTGCGGCTGTCGGCCGTGATGATAGTCACCTTCTCTGCGGGAGTAGAGCTGTCAGTCCTCGGTGCACGCTCAAGTGAGCGTGGGGCATCAGGATGATGAGCTTACTGTCGATGTACTGGTTCAGAGACATGGTGTGCCTGTGGAGACTTTCTTATTTGACTCGGCTGAAGTGAACGAATGAATGACCGAGGATCCTTTGTTACTGCTAGTCGGCAGGAGACAGGCAGCAAGCGGTGAGTCGGGATTGTCTGTTGACGTGTGTGAAAGGTGAGGTCGGGCCTGGGAAATTTTGAGCTGAGCTCTTGGGGGCGTCTCCGGTGAAGCTCACTCCCCTGCAACAGCTTCAGGAAAGCTCGGACGCCTGGCATTGGGACCTTGTTGTGGTGGGTCTCCGCTAAAATGGACCCCTCCAACAGCCGCCCCTGGGGTACAGTACAGTACCTCTTGCTCTTGGCTCCGAGTACCTATTTCGTGGATGAACGTACTCACTTTCCCAGTCCAGGTTCAACTCATCCAAGTCAACATAGCAACCTCTACCACAAGAGAAATACAGTAGTCTTGAAATTCCTCAAGTAAGTCAATCTGCATATGTACCTGCTCTGAGCATACGGAGTTGTTCTTGGGAAGACAGGACGGAAGAAGGTGAGCTGACCTATCCATGTAGCAGACACCCTAATGAAATGCGTGCAACAAGCAGACTGTTGCAACTGCCCTGCAGGATTACCCTCTTCACTAGGGAACACTGTGGCCTGTGTGTCTCAGCACGCTCTGTACTATCAGACGTCTGGGACTCCAGGCCTTTTGTCTACAAGGAGGTTGACATTGTCAAGCCAGCAGCTCAACAATGGAAAGACCTGTATGATTTCGATGTTCCCGTGGTACGCAATACGCTCATTACAATGTATATCATGCCCATGAGCTGCTCACTCACAACTGGACAGATTCATGTCAGCAAAGCTGACTCCCCGGAAGAGGACCCCAAGCTTGCTCCTAAGGCCTCGAAGCTCATGCATCGGTTCACACCAGAGCAGGTGAAGGCCATGATGGACAAGGCTGAGGAGGGCTGGACGAAGTCATGACCAGCCAGTCCACTCTCTCCAGAGCTGTGAGGCCGGCTAATTTCAGCATGATGGAGACAATTTCCTGTGAACTAATGCTCGTGGGATTCTGCGTCCTATCCCAAGCCATGGCAATATCATCTGGCCCATGACACTATCTATGACCCGTATCCCTTCCCCTTCTCCGGTCCGGCAGCACCACGGGCAGCCGCCATCGACTGCTTCATAACAAACTCGAGCGTGGTCACGTCTGTCCCAACATTGATCATATCGAACCCTATGGCACCATACCTGTGTCTGATCAGCAGCTGGGGGCCAATTGAAAGGGTTCTTGGGCGTGCTTGCCTTCCCGCCTCCTCACCACTCGAAGAGTACATTCCGCATTTCTTCCCAGCACTCTTGGCAGCCTTGAGAATCTTCGCAATCGCTTCCTTGAGTTCGGGCTTCACGTCACCATCGATAATCGGGTATCCGATGTTGTTTCCCAGGTCAAATGGACCAATGAACAAAACATCAACCAGTGGTGCTATCTCCTCCACTGCAGCGAGGGCTTCCTTGGTCTCGATCTGTACCATGGTGAGGATGGCGTCATTGGCCTGCTGGAGATACTCGGTAAAAGATGGGATTGGACTGAAGTTCTGCATAGCGAGAGCGGATCCAAACCCTCGCCGCCCTTCTGGTGGGAACTTCGTAGCTGCCACGACTTGCTTCACCTCATCCACGGTCCGGATGAGCGGCACCAGGATCTATACACACAAGTCATTGTCAGTCTCTCGCTTTCGACCTGAGTATCGACGGTGTCCTTCTTACGCCATGCGCGCCGCAGTCCAGTGCCCCTGCGGCATGGTCAGCACGCGCCGTCTGATTTCCTTGTCTCAGTGATTGACGGGCGACTCACTCTTGATCATCCAGGACTGAAGGTCAGGTATTCTGACGAGCGGTGAAACGCCGCAGGCTGCTATCGCAGGCACGGCCTCATGCATCGCAGCGTCTGCTCGCCATATCAACATCCGCCCACTTTGGCAGGGTTCAAAGAGGACGCACCGTCTATATTGCCGTGCTCACAGTCAACCATGATCCAGTCGGGGTTCGCCCTTGCCAGTGCCCTGGACACGTTGGAACCAGGGAACATTTGCTATTTACCTTGTCAGTACAGTGTTGGCACTTCGTGGTTTGGAGGAGGGGGGGGGGGCAGCGTGAGATGATCCTGGTGATGACAGGTCAATGCAAGGGGAAGCAGTACCCAGATGCCATAACTCGGTCCTTTATTTTCGACAAAGGCGGTCCGCAGCCGGTTGGACTTCTGCATCGCCGTGGTGGCTGCCATCGTGGAAGTATTTCGGAGCTGTGGCTTTGGCCTGGTAGCAGGCGGTGGCGCTGTTTTCTGGAGACACGGATGGGGAACGCGCACTGGAAGACGCAGGATGCTGTGAGAGCTATAAGGGCGAAGTGACTTCATCATCATGGAAAAGGGAGAGGCAGTTTGCCTATGCTCCTGCGGTTTATAAACTGAACCTGTGCCAGGGCCGGTTGACTACCTAGTGTACCAGGAAGCTAGCTCCTGCCGCTGTGGTATCATGCAAAAGCTGGGGAAATAGTCGTGCACCTCCGATTTGCGCGCCGCCTTCCCCATGCCTCTCGTCCTATGAGAGACGCTATTAGACGGCTTTGGCATCATCGCTGGCCGGCTGGCATGAGTACGACCTCATCAGGGGTATCAACCGGAGAGCCGCGGGGTGGTGCGGGGTCTCCCCGCGTTGGAGGTGGGCGCAGTGGACTAGACCACACAAAGCACGATGCGGGAGAGACACGACTGCTCGGCTATGGCATTCCCACTCCACGTAATAACCGTGCCCCGTTCTCGTCTGAGGAGACGGTCTAGAGCAACCCGCGAGCTGGCCTCGGATTCCTGGACTCCGACATACTCTCAACGGCTGTGATGACGCAACCCGGTGCCAGCTCCGGCACTTTTCGGACCACGCCTCGGCGGCGGCTTTCCGGACGATCAGCCGTCAAGCCGGACCTCGTCCGCCGGGACAGGGATGCCCTCCATGGACGATCAGACTGGTTGGCGCAGAACGTTTAAGCCTGCGAAATCCATTTTTGGTTGTCACTGATAAGGCGCACCGGATTGTCGACCTGTGTCTTCTCGAACGTGGGCGTGCTCACCGATATTAAGCAAGGGTGACTCTTCTCCGTCCATGGGCACCGAGAGAAGCGCCGTGGGGCCCACCTAGCCCGAAAAAGTTGTACGGCGATGGGATGATAGGACGGTTGAGTATCGACCCCGTCGGCAGGATCAGCACGACTAATGCCCAGTGGCTCGTCACAGTCTGCGTCTTGGGAGGCGTACTTGTATGGTCGTGGCCCGGCACTGATCAAAGTCAAATGAAGCACGGAGTCGTATAGCAGGCAAAGAACTTTGAATGGGAAACAACCGTCCATGCTCTAGTTTCCTTGGTAAGAAATCAGTGCATTGTCTATCTACTGCGCTCCACCGGCAAGATGCAAATCTTCAAGCCATGGCCGCTCTACGTGAGGGCCAGCTTTATCACCTCCTTCATAGCGATGCTATTCGGGTTAGCCATATCCATCAACATTTTAGGTCAGTCGACTGTTTACTGACCGTCACCAGCCTTGATACTGGAACCATTGGCTCCGTAACGACCATGCCCGCCTTTGAAGTCACCATGGGTCCTATCTCGTCCACGATCCGCGGCGTTATCGTCTCGTCCATCTTGCTCCCCGGCGCCCTGGCCGCCCTCGTCGCAGGCATCCTGGCCGACAGGCACGGTAGGAAGCGCCTCATCATCCTCGGTGCAGTCATCTACGGCGTCGGTGCAGCCATCGAGTGTGGCTCCGTCGCCCTGGCCATGTTCATCGTCGGGCGGCTGATCAAGGGCGTCGGGCAGGGCCTGTTCCTGAGCACGGTGTACGTCCAGGTGTCCGAGATCAGCCCGGCCCGGACCCGTGGCACCATGACGGCGCTGCCGCAGTTCCTCATAGTCTGCGGGCTTGTGACGGGGTTCTTCATGTCCTACGGGACCGCCGGCATAAAGGGCTCGTCCGCGTCCTGGCGGCTGCCGCTGGGCGTGGCCAGCTTCCTGGCCTTTGCCTTCGCGGCGATAAATGTCTTCACGCCCGCGTCGCCGCGCTGGCTCCTGGCCAAGGGCCACGTCGAGCAGGCGCGCACTATTATTGCCGCGCTGGGCCTGGATGAGGCCGAGCAGGAGGAGTTGTTGGCCATGTCTTCTTCTGCGCTGGAGCACTCCCCTGATGAATCCTTCCTGGAGTCACTGGTCCACACGTTTAAGGACTTTGGCGAGGCTTTCTCGGCGCCCGTCAGGGCGAGGACGGCGTTTGGGTGTTTCATCATGGCCTTCCAGCAGTTCAGCGGGATCGACGGTATCTTGTATTACGCGCCGATTCTGTTCAGCCAGGCCGGGCTCTCAGGGGAGAAGGCGAACTTCCTCGCCTCTGGAGTCTCCTCGCTCGTCATCCTGGCCACCACCATCCCCGCCTCCATATGGGCCGACCGCTGGGGGCGGCGCACCTCGAGTATCCTGGGTGGGGCGCTGATAACCATCCTCATGGTCTTGATGGGCTCCATGTACGCTGCTAATCTTGTCCATGGAAGCTATGGCGCTGGGAGATGGGTTGTTATTGTGTCCATTTACCTCTTTGCTGTTGTGTACAATGGGACCTGGGCTATTGGCTTCCGCACGTTTTTAGTTGAGAGTCTGCCCAGAAAAACGAGGAGCAGCGCATCCTCGTTGGGACAATGCTCCAACTGGGTGAGCCGACCTCCCATCCCGTCCGCTTCATTTGCTTACGCTGACATATTCCAGGTCGCAAATTACATTGTCGCTCTGACTACTCCTGTTATGATTGACAAGTCGTCGTTTGCCGCATATTACTTCTTTGCAGGCTGCACGTTTATTTGCACGGTCGTGTGTACGCTGTACATGTTTGAGACCAAAGGCCATACCCTCGAGGTCATCGAGCAGAGGTATCTGGATGAGAAGGCAAATTCGACCGGACGGTGGACATTCGAAGGCTTCAAGCTGAAACCGGTCACAAAGGTTTCTAGGTGCCCGAGTGTGAGCAGGCCGAGCTCTGCGGACGGCAATGAGCATGCTTAAGAAGGGATGACAACTTGGCATTTGTACATGCCTATGTATTGCATTTAAGCGTTATACCAGCAGTGTCATAGTTGGACACCGTCTGTCTTACTGTGTAGTATCGCCATCCATTCTATGGGATGGACTTGGCTATATCCACCTCGGTGTCAACATCGACCACTATCCTGTAGAAAACAGACAACACACAACCTACTCACAAGGCCCCGTTCGGATGGAGAAAGCAGGACAAGGTGATGTTTCTTACTATCGTCTGGCCAATTGATTTGCATGATGCCCATCCAATCATCCACGTCGGACATATCTCGGAGTTCGAAACGAAACGACGACCAAAAGCGATTTGTTTAGGCGGCCTCGCCCAAGCTCATCCGAACCACTTGAATGCGGTCTCTATTCTACGCCTGCGTGAATACAATCTGGACAATTCCCGACAGGCGGAGACTTCTGTGGTCAAGAGGTTGATCATAGTTTCGAGTCGTTTCAGTCGTGGAGACTTCATCGATAGACAATGGACCCCTCATGACATACGAGAATCAAATGCGGCCGACTGTGCTTGATGCTCAAGGTGTGGCTACCTGTCTACACATAACACCGGCTGGAGAAACATCCTCGAATGCCTTCGGCACGTGAGCCCGAGACCAGGTCACACTTGCGGTCGGGTATACGACCCAGCCCGAGACAAGAGCAGCCCTGTGGTCATTGTCGGCGAGACTCTTCCGGAGTGACAGGTGACGCCGGTGGCCTTGGGACGGGACTTGAACCCTGCCTAGGTACGGTGCTACATAGATGATCTAGGTATCTTGACCGCCGCTTGGCTGCCATCGAACACAGCTGGGCATGTCCATCATCGTGCCACTCTTCGGACAATAAGGTTGCAGATCCCTGCATGCAGCCCTACCGGCCCGGCCCGTTGTGTGCTTAATGGGATGCCACCGAGCTAGAACCACTATATTAAAGTTATGTGCTGACATGGTCTCAACCATCAAGTATGGTCTAAGGGATGGACCGGCTGTTGTTACCTTTTTCTGTTCTTCTTCTTGAAGGACATTCACTGTCTTGCGCCTGCTGACCACCGTGTCCACTGGTCAGTCGAGGAGGTGGTGACGGCTTCCGCGATTTCCATCATCCAATGCGCTCAGTGGAAGCCACCACTGTTATTGAACGGGGGGTTTGATACTTGGCCAGCAATTGGATGGAACAATCTGCGTGGATAGTAGCAGATAATAAGGCTTTGCAGAGGCCTCTTAGTTAGCCCGTCGATCCTCACGGAGCTCTGGCAGAGCGAAAATGCACGAGGAGAACCGATCGAGACACACAAAGTCATATCTGGGTACAAAGTCTCGCTAAGCCTAAGGATAAAGCATGGAGCACTATTAGCGATCTGGTATTTGATGCCTGTTGTGAAGTGATATACAAGGCCAAAGATTCAGGCCAAGCCAGCAGAAAAGGCGAGCCAATGACCCCATTTGAGTGGGATGCAGGTTCCATCCGTCATGAGGCTGCTCCCATAAGAAATCATCTGGGAAGCAACGATGCAGAAACAAAAAATAAGGCTACGTAGATATGCAACTACATGGAGTCTCCGAAGCAGGAAGGTGCAAGCCCTAACCCCCTGTTGGTTCGCAGGTCGCAGCTCAGGCATGGGGGTAGCCAGCCCCGCCATCAATACGACCGACCCCACGTTGGGGAGCTCCTAGAATCTTCTGGCTCCAGAGCAAGGAACTCTAGTCAGGGTCTTGCTTTTTTGATCGCGACGTCACATCACAAAACACTCAGGCACCAACGGCAAAACGGCGAGCTTCTCTCCCATCTTGGAACGCGGTCTCCTGTTCCGTACGCTCGAATTGAGATCGCTCAATCCGAAAGACGGCTTCCATCCGCCAACATGGCCCAGAAATGCGTCCATCAAGGATGTGGCAAGACATACACAGACACTGAGGAAGTCTGCCGGTACATCCAGGCCCACCCATATTCCATGAAGGCCAGAAAGGTTCGCACCGCGTCTTCCCCTGGCCCTGCCTCTCCCCTGGGCTCAACCAGACGGCGACGGCCGAAGAACCTGGCTGACCGTGCATGATCCAGGATGGAAATGCTGCAAACCCCGCGTCTTAACCTTTGAGGAGTTCATGGACATCGAGCCATGCACCCAGGGAAAGCACAGCACGACCGACATACCACCGCAGATCGAGAAGAAAGAAGCGGACCCGGAGCTCGTCAAGGAGGTCACCAAAGAAACCGCAGCCTCCCCCGGGCCCGCCCTCCCCCGTGCGCCCATCAATGCCCCCGCGCCCACACAGACGCCGCCTCCCCCGCCTCCTGAGTCAGATGATGACGACGCCTCCCTCGAGATCCCCGATGGTCGCACATGTCGGAGGCGGGCATGCGGTGGTGTCTACAAGAAGGGGGCGGATCGGAATGACACAGAGAACTGCGTGCACCACCCGGGTATTCCCATCTTCCATGAGGGGAGCAAGGGATATACCTGTTGCAAGAGGAGGGTGCTCGAGTTTGACGAGTTCATGAAGATCGAGGGCTGCCAGACCAAACCCCGGCACTTGTTCATCGGCAGCGGAAACAAAGAAAAGGGCAAAGACGCCGGCGCGGAGGAACTGCTCGAGACAGTACGGTGAGTGCCAACGGTTACTGCCCCCTCGCTTTTGCCGGCCACCATATCCCGCGACGCCTGTTGGGCCGAGAGTTCCCGGGTGGGCGATCACATCACGAATGCTGCGCCTTCTGTTGCGTCACGGACTCCCCAAGCCACGCGCCATCATGCCCATGCCCATGCCCATACTCTTGTCGCGATGGCGAAACACTCTCACACGGATGCCGCGGATGAGGTATACATGCTGACCGCTCTTTGCAGGACGGACTTCTACCAGACGCCAAGCAGTGTAATCGCGTCCTTCTTCCTGAAGAAGATCGATAAGAGCATCGCCAAGGTCGTCTTCACGCAGTCTTCCATTCAGCTCGACCTGCCCACCACCGACTCGCCCCCGAAGAGGTACAGGACCGAGGTGCCACTGTTCGGCGGCATCGACCCAGAAAAGACCACGTACAAGATCTTGGGCACTAAGCTCGAGGTGACGCTAGCCAAGGCGGAAGTCAGCTCTTGGCCTGTTCTAAGAGCCGATGATCGCCTCACGGGGGAGATCCTCCAGGTGGGCCGAGCCGGAAAGGTGCAGTAGGTGCGGCCTTTTCGCCTACAGGCAGCGAGCATGGCACCCGTCTGTCCTGCCCGGACATCATCACTATGAAACCGCCATACGGAAGGGAGGGGAACGATGAGGTATACATGCGGAGCAAGTCGGAAAAGGGGATCTTACTGACGACACAAGGTTCAGATCCGGCTACCGAACCTTGGGACAGCCCAAGCTTTTTGCGTCCATGAGTCCCAAGCACATGCTGGCCGGCTTTCTGTCCTTCGGGCTAGCCAGACGCGCCCTGCAATGTAGGAGATACAATCAAGTGGATCTGTTTGATATGGGTGCCACTCGCCAGCCTCACGGCTTGTGATTGGAGATGTCGCAGATAGGAATCCTGCAGGGCGCCTGTCGATCACGCGTTCTAGGGCCCTTGGCGAGATAGACCTGACATCTGTGTCTGGACCGGCCCAAGGTTTATCAAGTGAGCTTGTGTATCTACCGGCCGCAGCGAATCAAAAAAAGACAACACCGGAATGAAGCCAAGCAAGGCTGCCTTCTCAAGCAAGACCTGGCTGTGTGCCTGTGATTATGCTGGTGAGCCTCGACATATATTTCGGTTCCCGACGTGTTGACTTAGAACCGCAATCGCCAGCCGCCCAAAGGTCTCACTTGCCACCTATGCCATGAATGACTGACGGACGGCGCTGTTCATGCTCCATGACTGACGTCGTCGCCCAGCCCGAAAGCGAGCCGCCCCATTGGGCAGCATTGAGAAACAAAAAGCTCCGGTCGAAACTACTGCGGCACGACCGACTCAAGCCTTCCCGCTTGGCGGAATGGTGGACCACGGGGCGGCTGGGCGGACAGGACGTACAAAAATTACGCTTCGGCGCCAAGACCGCAACTCCCTTTCTTTCTCTGCGCCCCCTGCGGTTTGCCTATAGGGGAGGGGTGGGGGCCTCTCCCCGGTCAATGACGGTTTACGTGCGAAAGCAACAACGGGAGCTAAGCCGGCAGCCAGCAGACAAGATTCTGTCCGCCGCGAGAAAGCGAGTCAGGAGCCCCGGGTGCTTCTCCCACGGCGATCGATTGCCTTCCCAAGACGGCAGACACCTCTGCCGAGAGTAGGCAGTCGGAGCTTGTTTTTTTGGCTCTTCGACTTGCCTTGTTGGGGGCAGGGGGGAGGGTGGTGTCCGTGCCGACTCCGTCGGATTTATACACGCATTTTAGATTTTGGTGTTATCATTTCCGGTAATGTCAGGACAAAACACAAAACACAACACCCCCACACACAAGCACAAGAAAGACATGGCTGTCCGTTCCCGCACGGGATTGTATGTGAACGGGCTAGTCTAGCTCATGGCCAAGGGCGGTTATATGGTTCCCGGATCATTCAGATAAGGGACCCTAAGGGATGGGAACAGCGCCGCCAGCGTGACAGCGCGCCTCTGGGGTGGGAGGGACTTTCAGACGACCAGGGTCGCAACGGCTGCTGTAACATTTTGGTACACCAGACGACAAGAGTGGGGCGCGTAGCAGGAATGTCTGCGATCGGACACCCAAAGGAAGCCTGTGTCGAAGTTTCAGATGTTTCCTTACAAATCAGTCTCTTTGCCAGGGTCTGCTCTGCATTGGTGAAAGTGGCCCTCTTGGTTTAAAGTTTCTATCTGCTTGAAAATGGCTACGCAATCCAAAGTCATTCTGACCCACAATCGAAACCCCGGTTTGGTATCAACCTTCTAAGGTGCCGCCGAAGAAAACCCTTGTAGTAGTGGGACGCCGGCTTTCCAAAAATGACAAGACAGCAGAAAACATGTGGAAGTGAGAACGAAATGCCAAAGGGCTTATCAGAAACGCTGTAAACTCTCTTGCCCAACCGGCTCACTCAGTAAGCTCATCATCATCATCATTGGCGAGTCATTATCGTAGCGATCGTTATTGCCCTCAATGTTCCGTCAGAGGTGCTCGCGCTTTTTTGTCGTTGAATGCCCGTAATCTGAGCGCCCCTTGACCCAAAGGCCAGGCCCCGAAGAATCCCGGTGGCTGACTTTCGAGGCGAAAGAAATTTTGAATATTCCGCAGCTTCCGCAGCCATCTCAGTCAGGGCGAAGTGCTGTTCTTCCCTTGCCCCTTTTGGCGCTTAGAGGGCGCCCGCTGCCTTCTCAGAGGAATCATCCACAGCTGAGACAACCCCTTTTTCAAGGTCAACGTCCTGTCTCTCCTTGCCCTTGTAGGGGGCACGGGTCATTGATCGGCCTCTGCTCATGCTGTCCTTCCTGCGTATGTCACCTTCTCTCGACGATGAGGGTCTGATCGGCTCAACCCAGGTGATGCCGCTGCTGCCCTGGGCTCGTGACATGAATTCTTGACGGACATTGGATGCGAGTCTGATGATCACATCGCCATCCTTCGTGTAGCCAATGACTTTGGCGTTGAAGTCATCATTACAATCTCCGCAGACCGTTGGACTGTCTCCATCATTCGACCTCGCCTTGGAGTCAGTGCTATCACCCCTAATTGTAGGTCTATCACGGGAAGAAGTTAGCATAGACACTTGCCATAGAGTGACAGTGACGGTTTGTGTGCTCTACTTACACCTCGCTGAGGGCTTCGGAACGGCCCCTTTCTGTCGGGTTGCGGCTGCGGCTTCGGCCCCTGATACTCCGGGCCGCTCGTGATCTCTTGAGCTTGCCCTGGAAGTAGTGGCCCAAACCCGCAACCACCAGCACTGGTGTTCCGAGTGCAAGTGCCCAGGGAGGGTGCTTCTTTCCGGTGACCATGTGGCGGACATGGAGGCAGATTCCCCAGACGGCGATGATACCTCCGACCTGGATCATGGTCCACAGAGACCAGTAGAGACTGATAAGGGGTTCTCCGTCGCAGAATTGCAGTGTGTTGATGACAAAGGCCTCGAGAACAACGATGATCATTCCGACGACACCAGTGAGAAAGCAGTACCAGAACAGCCATCTCAGGCGCCGTTGTCGCTCGCGGCTTTCCACGCTCAAATGCTCGATGCGTTCCATTACCCGTCCGTACTTCCACGAGGCCGTGAAAAGGGCTCCCAAAACGAGGAAGAAGAATGCCCAATAGAGGCCCTCAGCCTCCGTCCGCTCCAAAGTGTGCATGAACCTTCCATAGTATTGGCAATTCTCCTCGGTGGGCGTGGTGATCGGCATCTTCGCGATGACTACCGGGGTCAGACCCGGGGTTTATAACGTGAGACTTGGATGAGGCCGTATTGCTAGTTTGAGGCTAGAAGCACCTAGTCGGCCTCTAGGAAATGTAGGTGGAGGGAAAGACCAACAGGTTCGAGAGCTGAGTGAAACGGTATGTAGGTAATACGGGTGGCATATGTGATAAATGGATGATAAGGAAATCGACTTAGGTTTTGCGTTGACGGCGTAGGATAGACGGGTCAAATGAGCAGACGGGAGGGTGTAGAATAGGGACGGACTGTTCATACTTAATACATTTGAACGAGTAGTGTTGACAGAGTGGTACAAGGTACAAATGTGAGACCTGGATACAGGGGTGTGAGCGCGGGAAGGAGGCGAGGCTGGCTTCCCTGTCATACTCGAGTGACACTAGTTCAGAGAAACCGCTGTCGAGACATCCCCGATCGAACCCACCCGATGGACTACCTTCGGGCCAAGAGCAACGCAAAGAGAAAGAAGCATGTGTATGCCCAGCCCACACAGACATGTGAGATTACCGAGCGCCAGGCAGGTGTGAACACGCACAGTGTCCATTGTATGGGGTCTCCATACCCCACGCCCCATGCCCCATGCCCTAGCTTCCCTAGTTCTGCCGGTTACCGACGATGCATGATACTCTCCTGTCGGGTTTGCAAGAATGGATATTTTTGTAACGCGATGCCTGGTGGGATACGGTGATGTTATCCCAGTTCGATGTAAAGTGCCATTCCGGCGATTCTCTTTGTCCCGGTCTGGCTAGAACCTCTCAAGAACAAGAGGCTGGCGCCAAGGACCATAGACTGCATCTGTGTCACTTTTCGAGGTAGGACGGAAGGACACGTCGTGCGCGACATGCGACTGATAGACCAAGTTGATTGGCACGGTGTCTCCTCAGCTCATACCTTCCATCAACTCGACCCTATCCAGGACCATGCCTTTGCATAGGATGAATTCGCGCAACGCTTGGAAGTCAGCACCCTCCTCTTCGCCAAATCGATGAGCCTGCGAGAAGCCGAAGGAGCAGGCCACCTTGTCCAGGGCGGCTCTCTCCTCTTCATGAATCCACCGTTCCTTCAAAGGAATCCCTGGGGCCCACGTCACGCGTTTCATATGATCATTTTGCGTGATAACGGACAGGGCGCCCATCCAGCCGGTAAACCCAACGTAGGCTAGGATACCGGCCGTGGCCACGGCGGTTGCCGTCTTCTGGTCGAAAGAATTCTGGAGATGAGACAGGCTGGACGCCAGCAGGTACACGGCGATGGGAGTCGCGACTACAGCCGAGGCAGGGAGCAGAGCTTTCTTGAGCAGCTTCGCCCGGATGAACGCCTTGGTTGCGTAGCTATTTTCGATGATACCGATGGCTGCATCAAGGTTCTTGGCCTCGATAGCAGCGTTCAGCGCTTTGTCAACGAGGTCGGGATCGACAGCGTTGGCTGCCCTATCGGGATTTTGCTTAAAGTACTGCAACGGACCACGGCTTCGTCGAGGTTTCGGTTTCGAGGCGTACAAAGCCAGCACGTGCGGGAGAGTCTTTACCTTGCCAAGTCGGGCCTGGGTGTCCAGATAGAGTTCCAAGACCTGCGATGTAATGACGACGTCTGGGTGAGAGACAATGACAAAGGCGGCTTCGGATATGCGGTCCGCCAGCTCGCTAACCCGAGGGGGGTCTAGGACGGCACTGGTGTCCATGGACTGCGTCAGCTCTGAGCTAGGTCCGTCCATAGATAGCAGCGACGACGCTGCGGTGTCTGACTCGGCAGACTCGCCGAGGTGAAGAGGACTCGCTGGCCCGGCGTGGATCAGACTGGCAGCTTTGGCGCACTTGCGTAATGCGGCTGCGACCTCGTCCTCGTGCGGGATCCTGCCGTGGGCCAGAAGCTGATCCAAGGCGTGCTCGATGACGAGGACGACGTCTTTGATGCCCACATTCCCTTGCTTGCAAGAAGCTTTCGCCCTGGAGGGTCCCGTCTGGGCCTCATCCGGGAGGGAATGCTTCGAAGGCTTGGGTGGGCCAAAACGGTAAGACCTGGAGGTTGGCAAGATTGGCTTTGGCGACAAGCCTGCGTTGGGCATCCCTTGGAGGGGCCTGACTCTGCGAGGGCAGGCGCCAAGTGTTGCAAACGGGGGCTTGGCAAGCTGTGAACCAAGCGGCGAGGGCGTGGGAGCCGTGATGAAGGTGCAGATCTGATAGATCCGACGAGGATTTGGGCAGCTTGGCCGCTGGGCAAACGGGCGGTGCATCGTGAAAGTCCAGGGACGTTCCACGCTAGATGTGGAATTTGTTTTAAGGTTGCGGTAGATATCGGTAGTTGCTAGCGGAACGTCAGGGACGGACCGGACGCCCTGGGGTGGGGGGACGAGGGAGAAAGGGGGAGGGGGAGCGCGGGAGGGTGAAGGAGGAAGGGCGAAAAGATGAGATTGGCGATGGCGATGGCGGCTGGGGGGTTAGATGATGCGAAAAACAGAAGGCGGCGGGAAATGTTTTAGGACCCGTTGTGAGGCGTGCGTAGAGTGTAATCCAAGACTGGCGGACTGGCTGGGCGTCAAGGTTGTCGTCTCGACGTTGCAGTTGGCGCGAACACCAGTGCAGCACGGTAGCATTCTCCGCGGTGCCGTGGCTATCGGTTGAACGTCGACAAGACTGCCAACAGAGACACAGAGAGACGACCGCGGTCTTGGTTCGCAACCCCCCTGCCGGCAGATCTTCGGCCGCGTCGGCAGGAGGCTCACGAATCAGAACCTAGCGTTTCAGCGGGGTCTCTTGAGCCTCTTTCCCAGCGCCCTGGGGCAGCGCCGCGGTCACCGATCAACAAGCTCTGTGCCCCCGCGGGGTCTTCTGGGCGAAACAGGCCGCGTAGCACCAGCACCACGACAGTCGGATTTCGGAACCAAAGGGCATGAACGACTGACAAGGGACGAAGCAAAGATAGATTGCAGATTCAGGAGGGGCTGGCCTAGGCCTTTTCCGATCTGACAACTGACACGCGCGGCCGGGGTTGTTCGTACAGCGTGGCGGCGCCGGTGCAGCGATGATGGGTGGTGAGCGGATTGGGGAGATAGGCGCGACTTGGTCTTTGGGCACTATCTCCCTCCCTCCTAACCCTGAATGAGTCGATGTCCACCCCCTCCCCCTTCTCCCTCGCTACCCCCTTCTAGCTCGCTGGCCCCTAACCCTGGATGGGGAGGCGCAGTAGCACATGCCGCATGCCTGCCCCTGCTGCCCAAGCGGGTGTGACGACACCTGAACCACTTGCAACGTCCACCTTAACCCTCACCACTAACTGCCCTTCAACCTAGTCACAAGCTTTAGGCATCAAACTGCATCGCTCTCGAGGCATCTTTGCCTGCACCCTCGACTCGTCGTCAGCATCTCCACGACCTCCCTTCTATGCATTGCCGCCGCCGAGTCCGAGTTCAAACACCTGTCTAGTCAGTATCGAGTATCGCCGTCTTTTCCGACGCCGTCTGCCCTCCTACTTTCGGTGCTGCTCGATCTCCCGCCCTTCGCAATCGAGTTGCTTTGGATTCAGATCCCCGGACAGATAGCTACAATGCCACCACCACCTCCCCCGCCACCTCCGCCCCCTCCCGGTGGTGGAGGGCCTCCTCCGCCCCCGCCCCCTCCTCCAGGGAATCTTCCGTCACGGCCCCCTGGTGGGGGAGCAGGAAGAGTATGTTGATTCAAGGCCTCTTTGCCCCCAGCCGCATAGAGCTAACACAGCTCCAAGGGTGCCCTCCTCTCGGACATCTCCAAGGGAAAAGCTTTGAAGAAGGCCGTTACGAACGATCGATCAGCGCCAGTGATCGGGAAAGTGTCCGGCGGGCCGGGCCCGTCACCGATAGGGGGTGCCCCGCCCGTCCCCGGCTTGCCGAAAGCCCCCGGGGGTCTCGCTCCGCCTGTGCCTGGCAACAGAGCTAGGAGTAACAGCGATCAGGGAAGCCGAGATGCACCCGCCGCGCCCATGGATGCAGCCCCTCAGCTAGCTGGTCTCTTCGCCGGAGGCATGCCGAAACTCAGAAAGACCGGCGGAGGTGTGGACACTGGAGGTTCGTTCAGGTCAATGGTGAGACTTATGTCCAAGCATCTAACATGCTCCAGCCGATCAAGCCGCATCATATCTATCCGACCCTGAGTCCTCGAGGTCATCCGCGCCGAAACCGCCAACAGCCTCCGCTCCTCGACCGCCTGCCGGTGCGGCACCTGCAGTCCCTGGACGTCCAATGATACCAGGCCTGGCCAACCACGCATCGATAGCGAATCTAAGAAGGACAGCTGCCAGCGAGGCTCCGCGGCCAATCTCGTCCGCTTCATTAAAGGGCCCGCCTCCTCCAATAGGGAAGAAGCCGCCTCCGCCGCCCAGCTCTCGTAAACCATCCTCCAATATATCATCGGCTCCTGCTCTGCCAAGCGCCCCGGCACCGCCGCCACCGTCGTCTGCCGCACCGTCATTACCGCCAGCACCACCCCCTCCGCCTCCTTCATCCGCTCCCCGACCACCTCCGGCGCCAGCACGATCACAGCCTCCCCCTCCGCCGCCGCCAGCGGCCGGGGGCGTCTCTCCCAATATCGCCGTACAAGCAGCGATTCGAGCGGCAGCGACGGGGGCAAGCTCACCGACCTCGGCTCCGCCGCCTCCCCCGGGCGCTCCCTCGCCGCGATCACCGGCGTCCGGTCCACCACCACCACCACCACCACCACATTCGAACACCGCACCTGCGCGTGCTCATTCGGGCTCCGTCGGTCGCTCGATGCTTGACCCCAGTAATTTCGTGCTCGCGCCGAACGGTGGTGGAAAGAGCCCCAGCCCCACACGAAGCAACTCGATGGCAGCTCGGGCGAACGGTGGCGGGGCAGCGAGAGGAGAGCGGATTGTTATCCAGGATTCAAGGTGGAAATTTGTGGACGAGTCCATGTTTCCCAAGCCGAGAGAGTTCCATGGTGGAGCAAGGAGATATCGAGCTGGTAGGGGGAGTAGTGTGCCGTTGGACTTGAGCGTTCTGTCTTGAGGGGATGCTCGCGGTAGAAATCCCGGGGGTGTTTCTTTGAGGATACCCCTTTCAAGATGGCACTGTAATTCTTTCATAGCGCACTCAAAACCTAGTCTGACACGGATAACCCTCAATGTGCTGACGGTTGTGCCCGAGACCCACAAGGTATCATGAGCTCGATGGGATCATTAAAATGGTAAATTGAATTGAGCACCATACACGAATTCTCCAGTATCCCATGTGTATCAGCAAGGAACAGAGAACTCTGGCCATGACAATGACACAGACTAGATTGACAGTGTCAAAGCTGGAAAAACAGGGAGGAAGCAATGTGATTGTTAGCCCCAGATTTCAGCCACCGGCCTTGGAAAGTCTTGTTCAGAGTCTTGCCAGGCGATGATGCCGCGTGTTGAAGAATTGCGCGAGCTCAGCAACAGAAATGTCTTGTCTATTATAAATACGAGCCTCTCCGGGTCTGTGTTATAAGAGTACTGAGAAGAACTAGGTGTCACAAGACCTTGGTGAATAACTGCGTGTTCAGCTCAACACTGATTCCGTCAGTCATGAAAATCTCAACCGAAACCTACAGCTTGTGTCCCACCGACCAGCACTGCGTGTCCAGTCGCACACCCTCATGAATCCCACGCACGCAAATCTTGACGGGACACATCTGCCTTGCAAAACATGAGGCAGAAGAGACAACATTATCGGGTGTAGCCCTGCAGCGAACCAGAATCAACCACATAGGCGGATCTGGATGAGTCAACACCAGAACCAGGATGTACACAGACACCCGCCCATCTGTAGGATAGATGCAACGCCGCCATAATTCCATGCCCACAAGCAAAAAGCCCAAACAGCTTGATCAACATCACATAAGGGATACGGATCCTAGTCACAAAAGACACATCATGCACTCAGCAGATCTCTTACACTCATGCCCCTCCCTGAACCGCTAGTACTGCTACCGCCGGCGGCCGCACCGGCGGTGCTGGATCCACCGCTCGCACTCGATACCGTGCCCCTCCGATCACTGTTTAGCATCAGTAGCGCAGCCATGGCCTCCTGGTCCAGATCCCGCTCCCGCAACGGACCCAGCGCCGGGCTCGTGAGCGCCGACCCGGCAGCCGAGTGGTTGCTCGGCGCGTAGCCAGCCGCGCCGTAACCACCCGCCATCGGCCCGAACGCGGGCGACGTCGTAGCGCTGCTGTAGCTGTAATGCCGGTGGTGCTCCGCCGCGGCCGTCGAGAGGGGCGCGTACGAGTCGTGGCGGCTCGTCGAGGGGTCCTGGGCCCGCAGCGCCGGGGAGACGGAGGGCTGGTGGGACGCTGAGGTTGTGGCTGATGATGGGCGGTTGGTGAACGTCGGCGAGGGCGCGTCGTCTGAGCCGGTCATCTCGACGTCTGGGGAGTGCTGTTCCTCGGAGGAGGCCCGGCGGTACTCGTGGTCCGGGTCGTAACGGTCTCGGCCCGATGGGGTCGATATCCCTTCCATGTCGGGCGTGGTCTGACCTGGTAGCTCTCGCTGTGCCTTGAGTTTCTCGACGCAGTCCTGCAGGTATCTGACGTATTCGATGGAGGCCTGGGATGGTCAGTTATGGAGATATGGTCAAGTGTCGGCAGGATCTTCATCGCTCACCTGCAAGATGGCCAGCTTGTGCATCTCGCCCGTACAAGCTGGTATCATGTCCTTCAAGACGGCGAATTCCTCGTTCATCTTGGATCTCCGTCGCCGCTCGATGAGGCTGTGTGCCGTCTTTCTCGCGATCTTCCGGCCCGCAGCGCTGGTGGCAGAAGGCTGTTTCTTCTTTGTTTGCCCGACTTCATTCGCGGCCGTTACAGCAGCGGTCTTCTTAGCACTGGCTGTGCTGGCCGAGCTCTTGCCGGCTGTCGCTGGATCCGCGGGTTTCTTCTCCTCTTGGGGCCGTGGGGGCTTCATCTGGATGATCTTACGGGATCTCGTAGGAGGCGGCGGCAGGGCGAAATTGCCGTCCTTGTTCGCGGCGACGGCGGCGGTGGACGGCCGCCGCCTTGACTTGACAGCCTCACTAGGTTGTATCCTAAACGGGGCCTTGGGTGAAACTGGGGACTCTGGGGAGGTGGGAGTGTCCATTCTGTCCGTGTGGGAGCTCGCGGGGCGCGCCTTGATGGCTGGTGGGGGCAACTCGAAGGCCATCTGCAGCTGTGATAGCTGCTTGGTACCATCCTGTCCTGCGATATCTGTAGAAGAGGCCGGCGTTGGAGGCAGGGCCGTTCGGGGCATGTTTGTAGCGTGCGTGACGACACAGCAGTGTGACCGTCCTGGACTTGGTCCCTGGTGTCAACCACGGAGATGGGGTGTACTGGTGAAATCCAAAGTCTGCCAATTATGATCGTCGAGGAGCGAGACGGGAAAGTCAACACAGCCCTCAACGGCCAAGGCCAAATTCGAAGCTGCGCAGCCACGAAAGTTTCGTTGCGTGCTGGGCGGGCTGTGTCACGGTCGTCACGAGCGCGGCGGAGGGTGAGCAGCCGTCAAGGCGGGTTGTCCAGATCGGGTAATCCAGGCTGTGGGACAGACGCTTGAAGACTTGACAAGGCCGTCGAGACAGGACACAGTGGAATAAGTGAGGCACGAGGCACGGGCACGAGGCACGAGATTCGTGTATAAGCGGTGGGTTTGAGGGAAGGAAGGGGAAAGAAGGCAGAAGGAGAAACGGCCACCACCAATACAAAACCTACCGGAGAGAACCTGACGACAAGAATTATGACGATAAGCAACGTGCCCTCGATAGCTCGGGGCGAGGGCGTTTTGGATCGCTTGGCCGGGCGCCCTGGATACCTGCCCCCCCAAAGGGCGGCAAGTTGCGTGTGTCCATCCACGGTGATCCAGGCCGCACCCCAACCCCACGGATGGGTGGTAGCAGTGACAGTAGTGTTCCCGGCAGGAGCTCACGCGAGCAAGGGCGAATCACAGTGGAGCTTACGACCTCGTGCTGGATTGACGTCTGGCGAGGCGGGCGGCGGGCTGTTGGCCCGTGGCCCGTGCGATTCAGGGATCTCCCACTGACGGCCGCTTCAGTCGCAGCGAGTGCTTGCAGCCCTCGCGACACTCACATGGCTCAATCCACAGGCTGTGGCCGTGAACAGCTTTTGCTGCCCACCCGTCAGACCTCGTGGTGCGCCTGACTCGGCACGTTCTGGTGACTCTCCCACCGGCATCTGGTCCCTCTCGTGTATGTTTTGTGAATCAATACATATCAAGCAGACCAAAATGGCCTGTTATGCTGGGCGTTGTATCTACGTATATCGAGATGCGACTGAACCACAGAATGCACGGCATGCTTTATATACTCATCCACTCTGGCACTGTAACTCTACCAGCCAGTGGCATCTAGACTCAATTCAGGAATGACAACCTCTCATCCGGTCAACCATATTCACGATCAATATCTGCGAAGGCTGGGCATGTGGATATGGATGCATTTGTTTCAAGCTCGTCGCCCTCACTATCTTGATTTTCTGGCCTAGGAGGTGCCCACGTGCTCATGTCTGCATCAAGGTTTCGGTTAAGATATCTGGTATCCGCACGTAGACAGCGGGCCAGGGGCCCACGGTCTGGACCTGACGTTTCACTCTTAGCTCCCCGCGCTTTCACATGCCGTAACATCAATTTCGGTGATCATATCTCGTCAACCAGACGCCTGTGTCCATGCCTACCCGCACTACCGTATACCATCACCAGCTCAGATCTCGTTGCTAGGGTACTCCACCTTAGTCGTGGCAACAAATTCCTCCTTCATTGTCCTCATGTTCACAAATCTGCCCATGATCGCCGAGCTTCCGGCCTTGTCGTTCGTGCCCGATGCCCTCGCGCCACCAAACGGCTGCTGTCCGACCACTGCGCCCGTGCTCTTGCAGTTGATGTAGAAGTTACCCGCCGAGTTCCGGAGCGCGTCCTCCGCAACCCGCACCGCCGACCGGTCAGACGCGAACACCGAGCCGGTGAGCCCGTACTCCGTCGTGGAGTCGACCAGCTTGCAGGCCTCGACGAAACCCCCGGGCGTGCTGTCGTCGTACACGTAAGCCGTCAGGATGGGGCCAAAGAACTCTGCCTTGAGGTACGGGTGTGCGGGGTTCGTCGTGCGGTAGACGGTAGGCTTCACGAAGTAGCCCTTGGAGTTGTCGAACGTGCCGCCGGTGACCAGCTCGAGCTCGTTGTCCTTCTTCGCCGCCTCGATCGCGCCGGAGAGCTTGTTGAACGACGCAGTGTGGATGACGGGGCCGATGAAGTTCTGGGGCTCCCACGGCACGCCGACCTTCAGCTGCTCAGTCTTCTCGACCAGCTTCTGCTTGAACTCGGGCCACACGCTCTTGGGCACGTAGACACGCGAGGTCGCGCTGCACTTCTGGCCCTGGAACTCGAATGCGCCCCGCACTGTCTGCACGGCGGCGTTGTCAATGTCCGCAGAGGGGTGGATGATGTGGAAGTTCTTGCCGCCAGTCTCGCCCACAATGCGCGGGTAACCCACGTAGCGTCCCTCGGCAATGCCCTCACCAATCTGGCCGTACAGCTTGCGGAAAACGGCAGTGCTGCCGGTGTAGTGAAGAGCGGCGAACTGCTTGTGGCCTAGCACGATCTTGGTGACCTCCTCGGGCTCGCCCGGGACGAACTGAATCACGTCCTTGGGCAGGCCTGCCTCGATGAAGATCTTGTAGAGGAGCCAGTTGGAAGCGATGGCGTGATCGGATGGCTTCCACACAACCACGTTTCCAAGCAGGGCAGGGAGACCCGGCAGGTTGCCAGCGATGGCAGTGAAGTTGAACGGAGTGATAGCGTACACGAAGCCCTCGAGCGGTCGGTATTCCAGCCGGTTCCACACGGCTGTGGAGTTATGCTCGGGCTGCTGAGCGTACAACTCCTCGGCGTACTGGACGTTGAATCGCAGGAAGTCGCACAGCTCTGCGGCGGCATCGATCTCGGCTTGCCATGCGTTCTTCCCCTGGCCAAGCATGGTGGCCGCCATGATCTCGTATCTGTACTTGGTGGAGATCAGGTCTGCGGCCTTGAGAAAGACAGCTGCCCTGTCGGCGAAGGGCAGCGATGCCCACGCCTCCTTGGCAGCCAGGGCAGAGTCAATGGCCCTCTTGACATCCTCCGGGCCTGCTTTTGAGTATGTGGCCACAACTTCGGAGTGATCTGATGGGTTCAATTGCTTGCCAGTGGATGATGTTGTGATCTATGGGGACAGACGTGTGAGCTGGTGAGGTCGAACCAGGGGGCAACACGGGAGTGGAGCTTGTACTGACTTCTTTACCACCAACCACTATTGGGACGTTGACTGTGCCGTTGCTCTTGACCTTCTGGACGGTAGAACGCAGGCCTTCCCGCTGGGATGAGCCTTTGGCATAGTGGTGCTAAATTTGTTGGTCAGTGTCTTGTCCTGTACGGGACAGCATTGTCGCCCTTGACGTACATTTGGCTCGTTCGCGATCTTGGGCACCTTGAAGGTTGCGAGAACTGAGGCCCTGGGTGCTGATGTCGCAAAGGCGCGACGAGGCAGTGGGGTGCCTGCCAGCCTGGATGATAAGGCGGAGCTTGACCGGGAGGTCACCGACCACAAACCGGCGCTCCTGGAAGTCATAGCCATGACGACGAGTAGCAGTTGGAGGGGCTGTGAGTCTCGAGAGGGCAAAGAAAAGAGCAGGACAAGCGGAAGACTGAAGAAAGGGTATCACAAGAGTTTGGAAAGTTTTTTTGCAGACGAAATTGTCGATCACAAGTCAGAGACTCACAGACGGATGCACCTTTATTGACTTACACGTTCAACAAGGGATATCGCCATCGCCGTCGGAAAACCGCGGCCTTAGTTGAGGACAAGGGTAGCTCCATCGTCAACGTGGAGAAGCATCATGCGGGGAGGGGCCCATGCCAGAAACCTTGACGAGCCAATTGGCCAATCACTGCAGGCCATGACTCTGATAACACCCCCGAAAGCCGGCCCCTTGAGCGCCTCGGGGCAAGGCCTGCGACGGCTGGCCGCCCATGTGCCGGGCCTTTGATCGGAGCCACTGATTCGTCTCGGCTTGCCCTAACATTGACTGCAGCTCTTCTCCATGCAGTCCCCTCTTCCTCCCGACTTGAGCCGCAAGTTCTGGGAATGCCTTGGATGGATGCCATATTTACTAAGGCCCCACAGGCTGTGAGAGCTGGGATAGCCTCCTTTGTGGCTGTCAGTCTGCCGCCAAGAGGCTCAGAGCTTGTGCTATGGCCGGTCCATGCCATGCCAGCCTTTTGTTTACTCCCGAGCTTTGCTGCTGAGGCCGGCCGGTGTCCGAGAAATGTGGCATTCCTGTTGCAGGTCACACTGTAGACCACAGCATGTATGCTCAGATGATCAGCCAATTCGAGTGCCGTCCGGCGCATGTCACCACCGAGCAACAGCTTGTCTCAAACCGTCATAATGAGGTATGTGGACGATAACTTTAAACACCGACTCGTTGTGGTTTCACCGGAGGCAGCCATCTCCTTCCGACGCCCCGCCAGTCTCAGAAGCTCTGGTTTCAGACAAGAAGCTCTTGAGCTTGCGCTCAACTGTGGCGGCTGTGATGCCTCTGTGCGGACCGCCGTGGGGGTTACTTTTAAAGATCATCAATTGAGACTGCGCGTGGCCCACGTGTCAAGACACACAAACTGACACATGCAGCGCGCCTGAGAATTGCCCGTTGGGGCGTGAAAGGCCTGCGAGACGGGATAGAAAAGTCGGTAGATGCTGCAACGTCGTGACGAGTAGCCCACAGCTCGCAGGGACCCCAGATGTCCACGTGTGTGTACCCTTCCAGTGGGATGACTTGGAATAGGACAACCACCTGTGGGATAGTCGCCTGTGGGATGACGTCTGTGAGATAGCCTCAAGTGGAATGGCCAATTGCAGCGAACCTTTTGTAGGATAACCAACCCACTGTGAGTTGTGAGAAAACAATCCGTAGTGTGTCGGTAGGAGATGGGAAAGAGAGGGGACCCATGGATGGAGTGTTTGGAAACTGCATGCCATTGACAGGCCAATGCACCCTGGACAGGGACAAGGATGCGAGACATGGGATACGGACCCCTGATCTCAAGCGTGCCATGGTTCAAGGCCTCCCGAGACCCACTGCGGCGGGCTAACTAACTGGCAGATGGGATAGAGCAGGATTCTGATTTAGATTTGGAGTCGAAATGGAACATCAGAAATTAAACAGTGGCCCTGCCTGCGTATCTCACAATATCATCACTTGCATGGCAGCACAGCACAGCATATTACACAGGCTCCCGTGCTCGCATCGTGCAACTCGGGCAAGCTTGCTGACCATGATCGTGTTTTGTCACACTCTAACTACCTTTTCCGACGCGGCGGCCTCCAAGGGAAGAAGCAGCTGGACAGGATTGGGCGGCTACTCGCACGGCAATGTCTTGTAGTGGGACGGATGAACGCAGCCCTGAGGCAAGATGTATGTATTACTGGCCATGCAATCAATCAATAAATCATCAGTCATTCGCGACGGGGGCCGGCCAGCACAACCACTCGCTCTCTCAAGTCACCCACTACCTCGTGCTAGGAGATAGCCTTATTTTAGCCCGTGTCCCTCTCTCAGCTTACCTGGGAGTCGAGCTGCTCAACTTCCTTGATCAGGACGTCTTGGCGTTGTCATCATCCCCAAATTGCACCCAACCTCCCTCCCCCCAGAAACGGGATCGCGTCAAAATCGCACGGCTGTGCTTGCAGTCGTCCGCCGCCTCTTTTCCACGAGAGCAAATCAGAACACATCAGAGTCCATTCGCTACTGCACCCAGTGGCGTGACTCTGCAGGCCATCACCCGTATCCACCGCAGTTTTGAATCCAATATTCTCTTGTGTTGATCCCGTTTTAAAGAGAGTTATGCGTGCCCTCTGCTGAACCGCCCTCTCCGTATGACCCGTTGACCAGGCCTCATCTCGAATCCCTCGGTCTAAGAATAACATTGGGAGCTGCCCAACGCCCAGCCAACAGAATTGTATCTGAGGCACAAGAGCTCATACTGTTTCTCTTCCTTATCAGTGTTCCATCCTCGCCGCACATCCCTTGCTGGAAAAGTTGCTGCGCACGCGAACACAAGTAACCCGCCCACCCTGCTTACCGTTGCGTGGCTGGGACAACAGGACCGCATCTGCGACAGCGACACCTTTTGTGTAAGTCCCCACATCTGTGAACCTTCAATGTTTCTGCCAATAGCGCGCGCTCTGACCCGTTCGCGACTCAGCAGACCCAATTCGTCCGCCGAAGATACACAGTATGTCTTCTCACCATGCGCACGATCGCGACGCCGACCTGGACGGCCAGCACCCCGACCCACGAAACCCCTACGCGTCGAGTACGAGATGGCGCCATGAGGAATCAAGCCAATTTCGCAAGCATGCGGGTCAAACGCTCCAGCCAAGGGCCCCCGATGGAAAGAGCGGGACCCATGATCTGGCGAGCTTTCTGCACTCTACCAGGGTCCCCTCCGACGATGGCACAAAAGACGGCGCCAGCCCGCCCGGCTCTGCTGTCCCGGGCAAGACATACACACCCATCATGATCGACGGCAACGAGGCCGCAGCTGCGGGCGAGCCGCAAAACGCCATCGACGCTGATGTCGCGAACGCCGTGCCCCAGGACGGGAAGACCATCGCGTGCGGACCTCTGCTAAACTACAGGCGCACCGAGGGGAACACTTGGATCGGTAGCGTCCTGGTCGTTACCAAGGGCGGCGGCAAGACCCAGGAATTCGTGCCAACTTTGGTGCTGCGGAGGGTCGGTGCGGCGCAGAGGTCGCAAGGCGCTCTCCCCGGCTCTGGGCACAACGGGGAGACCAATGGACATGTGAACGGTGCGGACGGCGCGACAGGGGCGACGGAGACGCAGGGAATCTGTCTGTACTCCGATATCCGCAACACATTCTGGCGGTTCGACCTCCGCGCCGAGATGGAGGCGACCGAGGTCAAGTGGGAATACACCGTTCCTGGCATGCGCTTCGCCAGCAAGACGAAGCCGCAGGCGAACAACTTCTACGTGCCTGCCGTCACGGAGTCCATGCGGATCATGTTCCACTCTTGCAACGGTTTCTCCGTCGGAACCGACGAGGACGCCTGGAGTGGTCCTGCCCTCTGGAACGATGTCAACAGGCGTCATGCCGAAGCGCCCTTCCATGTGATGATCGGTGGTGGTGACCAGATCTACAATGACGGCATCCGGGTTAATGGCCCTCTCCGACCGTGGACAGACATCGGCAATCCCAAGAAGCGCCGCGACTATCCATTTTCCGAGCAGCTACGTTCCGAATGCGACGACTACTATCTCAATAACTACATCCGTTGGTACAGTACGGAGCCGTTCGCTACTGCAAATGGTCAGATCCCCCAGGTCAATATCTGGGACGATCATGATATCATCGACGGATTCGGTTCCTACGTCAACGAGTTCATGAAGTGTGACGTCTTCCGCGGTATCGGGGGTTGTGCCCACAAGTACTACATGCTGTTCCAACATCACCTGCCACCGCCGCCATCTACCTATACCTCGGATGCGCCTCAGACAGTGACCGAGCCCGGAGATGGGCAAGCGACCGGTATCGATGGGACCCAGCTCGTTGACACATACGTCGCCGAGCCTATCCGTGAGGCCAGCTATATTGTTGGGCCCAAGCCCGGGCCGTACGTGGCTGAGCACTCTCACAACATCTTCGCCAAGCTGGGCGCAAGGATAGCGCTCGTGGGCATTGACGCGCGTACCGAGCGCACCCGGCATCAGGTCAACTATCCGGAGACGTACGATTTGATCTTCGGGCGGCTGAGCCAAGAGCTGCAGGACGCGCAAGCTGCGGGCACGCCCTTCAGGCACCTGATATTGCTCTTGGGTATCCCAATTGCGTACCCTGTAAGTCACTGGCTATATGCATCAGTACGTTGAGCTTGTCTAACTGTTATCTTACAGCGGCTCACCTGGCTTGAGAATGTCTTCAGTAGCCCTATTATGGGCCCCATCAAATTCGCCAACCGGAGATTTGGGCTAGGTACGTTGGATGTGGTGTCCTCATTGTCTAAGCAAGCATTCCGTTGCTCTGCTACTGGCGTTATTTCGTATTGATTTGCATGGCTTGGCCATACCATTCGTCATAATTGCGATGGCTGACTCTCGGGATAGGCGGTGGCCTCTTCAACCACTTTGACGGATCTGTCGATCTCTTGGACGACTTGGACGATCATTACACTGCTCGAACTCATAAGAAAGAGCGAAATGGAATGGTCGAGCGATTCCAAGAGATATGCAAACAATGTAAGTCGTCAGCAACAACTGAGATCCATCCCCTTGAAACGGGGCCCGAGCTAAATTGGGACAAACAGTCTCTGTGCGCGTAACCATCCTCGGTGGAGATGTTCATCTGGCAGCTCTTGGCCGCTTCTACTCCAACCCTTCGCTCAACATCCCTTGCGAGAACGACCATCGCTACATGGCAAACGTCGTTTCATCCGCGATCGTCAACAAGCCCCCACCGCAGGCTGTAGCGAACCTACTCGCCCGCCGCAACAAGATTCACCACCTCGACCACGAGACCGACGAGACGCTCCTCAAGCTCTTCGACAAGGACCCCGGCGACTCCACCAAGACAGCCAACCACAACCAAGTGACCATGCCAAGCCGCAACTTCGCCATGCTCACCGAGAACTCGCCAAACAACCCGCCAAGGCAACGGCCCACGACTGCAGCCAACAGCGGGACCGAGCAGGCCAACGGCAACGAGGCCGCGTCCGTGAGCGCCGTGAGTGGGCGCGTCTCGGTCAAGTCCAAGGACGCCCACCTGCCCATCCATTCCGGCGAGGTCGACTGCGGCACGAAGCACAGGGCCGCGTCGGCGCATGACCACGGCCAGGAGAACGACGGCAGTCTGGATATCTGCATCCGCGTGGAGGTCGACCAGCATGATCGCGAGGGCAGGACCGAGTCCTACGGGCTGACGGTGCCTGCTTTGACTGTGACGGCCTGAGAGCCTGCCACGACCGTCTAATGCGTCGGCTTGGACATGCTTTCTGTTTAATGCTGACTTGCTTTTCACATTGTTTCATTTTTGTAATAAATACCCTATGTATACCTAGATACCATCCGCTACATTGAATCTTTTCATCTTGAGTTTTATTACGGGTTTTAATTGAGGTATATTCAAGCCTCATATCAAGATCCATTCATTTAAAGTGTTCCATGTTGAAAATGTTTTACGGAATACCAATGGAAATGCCATGTGGGAAGAATACATCACACCTACAAAACCAGATGGTACACCGCTGCATCACTCACACCATAGCTACAGCAATTAAAGCACATCACCCAGGCCTAATTCACATACCACTACCAACATCAACTTACACCTTAACAGCATTATTATGAGCAAAGCTTTCTCAATATCATTATCAATCAAGCATACTTAATGGCACCAATGACGACGTATCACGAGCGGCCCATGGTCTCGGGACCGTCGCAGGTATGAACGTCCTGTCTCAGCCTGAACGCCTGGGCTGACCGATCTCGATCACAGAAGACGCAGCATCGGGCTGTCTTTGCACCAAACCAAGCCGCAGAGCAGATGATCTTTGCCTTACTCCCAAGAGCTGACAGTATCTCCTCCCCAGCCGCGGTCCTGACGCTTGCCTTCCTTCTACGGCGCTGGCGTCCTCTTCTCCACTTCTCCTCCTCGACCACTGGTCTGGCTGCCACTGGTTCGACTGTAAGTGGCCCGGCTGCCACTCATCTAGCGGTTGGCCCTTTTTCCCACATTGCTGGCGACATCTCCTCTACGGCCGATCTGACTGCCACTGGCCTGGCTACTTGCCTTCCTTCAACGGCGCTGGCGACCTTGCCACGAGAGTGAATCTGGATTCTCTTAACACCTTTGGATCGGGCGCTTTGGAGAGGGAGCAATAAATCTTACTGCTGGACAGTTGCACCCCTGTGCTTACTCTCTGTCTCGCTCGGCGGCCACCCTGAAAAGTTTCTTGAGTCCTTGCGGCTGTTAGAAATCTGTTATGGATTTAAGATATTTTTAAAGGTTTCTTAACAAGTTAATACCATGCTGAAAATGTCACTCAACCTCGGCTCTCAACCCAACAATCCCCTCAAAGATCACAGATGTCCTCTCGAGAAGGTGCTTTCCTGGGCAAGTTTGGGGAGTTCTTTGCCCACAAACTACGCGCCTACCCACCAAACCAACTTGGCCACCTCAGCGTCCTTCGACAAGGGAAGGAGGCGCAACTATTCACATCCAGTCCCTTCAACAGCACCATAAGTGCCCACCTGATCGCCACAACACACTTAAATCCTCAGTGGCTCTGGGAAGGAAAGGAAGGAGAGAATTCTGAATAGGTGGAAGCAATGTGTAGTCTCTGGAATACAAGAAATGGAGAAGCAGGCTAAACAACGTTTGATCCTAGTAACTAGCGGCTAGATGAGAATTTGAACGGGATTTCCCCCACCTCTTCGGACATGATTTGCTACGTGTGCTTCTTCAGCGGTAGCTCGCTACATAATCTCTCGAACGACGGTCTGGACGGTCACACCTACAGAAGGGAAGCCGCCCCCTACCGTAAAACAATATCAACCGATCCATCTGCTTCGTTTGGGTGCTCGCTGTGAACAACGGTAGCTGGTATGGGCAAAAGCTCAGATTTCCCCTTGGTCTCAGCCGAGTCGAAGTCCCCCACGGGGCCGGGGCCAGCTCCGGCCGCATCCACAGGTGGGAAACCAGCAAAAGGCTCGAAAAATGTCAAAAATTGGTTGGAGTACTAGCGGATCGAGCACTAGACCTTCCGCATCTTCGGGTGTGTATTTCACCTGTATTGACCCAGCACCCGGCACTCGGTCCGTAGCCCGTTTTTATCATGCATTGTGGTGAACAACAGATACTGTACCATATCTACAGGAGGCCATACCGGTAGTTTTAGGCCGCAAACTAACCCCAGTTGCACATGAGGGGGCGGATCACCATAGAAGGCCTCACCTAGGTCACCAAATCCTGAGAATCAACACAGGAATGGCAAAAACAAAAACTGGAGAACAGGCGGATCGAACACCTGACCTTCCGCACACGCACCGCCAGATATCCTGGATTTTTGTAAATGCAAAGCGGACGCTCTACCACTGAGCTAGATCCCCACTAATTCAGTGAAGTCTGGATGAAATGAACATATATTACCCTTGTTTTCTGCTGGTAACTCGTCGTGCCTAATAAGTCTATTATGTAATCTGATTGCTACACAGCTCTCGTCAACTCCTTTGGTGCAAGCTAACCATTATTATAAAGTTTTATTTAAAGTAGCTTTGCTTAGTTAGCAACAGGTATTTATATATTATTTATTTCTTTTTATGTTAATATTTATCTTCTTGTAAAAAGCCTTAAGTACAGGGTTTCCATTAAAAGATTACCCATGCCAATACAACTCCCCATAAAGAATGTAACCAAATCTAACCAATCATAACTTTTAATTTATACTTTTTTAATTAAACCTACATTATTATAATACATACGGGATATAATGCTATAGAAAAGCTACCTTTTTTCCAATATAATTTTGCCTTAAAAAGCTGGTATTGTTATTGTGGCACGCACAGACAGAACAATAAAGTCAGGGGATCCTTCGCTAACGCCATAGAAGTCACGGATTAGGCTTCTTTGTCAGGAAGCCCTGTACTTAGTTAGATGATATGGGTAGGGATTGTATTAGTACGATTGTTCTACTCTTTTCTACATCCTCTGTAATCCTCCAACGGTTTACTTTGCTTTCTGCATCCCTATAAGGGCGTCCAGAAGTGCTGGTTTGATGCCGAGGAGCGTGGGAGACGATGGAAGCGATGGAAGCGATGGAAGTTCTGTGCAGAGTGTTACAAGCGTTCTGAGGTGATACAAGCGGTTCTGTGACTAGTGTACAGTATCAGGCAAGCAGGAGCAACAGCGATAGAGAGACGATTGACTCGGGAGCTTTGTTGTGGGTGCCGGTTGCTTCGGAGGATCTCACGATGTGGCCTCCCGGGTTTGCGGAGTCCGGAGCCGGAACCTGGGACATGCTGCGAGTGGTCCTACTTGCATCTCGCACAGACTAACACACCCAAGTCAGATCCTGTATTGACCAAATGACCCACAGCGTCACAGTTTGCTCGAGCCTTGGTTACAATTTATCTGAACAGTGGGATATAAGTCCGGAGGGCGGAAGGACTGGCTGTGTGCATACCGCGGCTTTGTGACGGGAGCCTCCCGTGTCGGGCCGTGTGTGGAGCTGATTGGTATGGTATTTGATTGGCCCAGATGGGCGGGACCGATGACGCTAGCCATGTTGAGCGGAAAACTTTTGTCGCATGGCAATGACTCAGCACGGGCCAGCCCCCACGTCGGGAACAAATGCTAATTGATTCCAGTCGCATCGAGAACACCTCTCCATGAATTGGACCTTTCGTCACTTCACAACACAGATGTGGCCACCAAGGCAGTGATGCTTTTTCGCCTCTTGAAGTCAGTCATCATGTCTGAGGCGGACAGAGTGCCGATCCCTCCAAGGGGAGTCGACTACAGAGGCAAACTCGTCCTGGCGCCCATGGTCCGGTCAGGCGAATTGCCGTCGCGCCTGCTCGCCCTCCACTATGGCGCTGACTTGGTATGGGGTCAGTCTCTCTGCGAGTCTCGTCCATCCCCCACCATGACTGACAATCCCTTGTATATGCAGGACCCGAGACCGTCGACCGATCCATGTTAGGTACAATGCGACGAGTCAACCCATCCACAAATACAATCGACTTCATCCGTATCCCGCACCAAGGACAAAAGCAGCCGTCACCCAATGCCAAGGAGTCAGTGATCTACCGACTACACCCCGAGCGCGAAGGGCGAAAGCTCATCTTCCAAATCGGCACCTCCGACCCAGACCGCGCCGTCGCGGCTGCGCGACTCATCGCACCGGACGTGGCAGGAATAGACGTGAACGCGGGATGCCCGAAACCATTCAGCACGCACGACGGGATGGGCGCGGCCCTTTTGAGGACGCCTGATAAGCTTGTGGCGATCCTGGAGGCTCTGGTGAAGAACATCGTACCGGAATTCAACATTGGCATCAGTGTCAAGATCAGGATACTGGAGACACCCGCAGAAACGGAAGCGCTGGTCAGGAGGCTGGTGGCCACAGGCATCACAGGACTGACAGTGCACTGCCGAACAACGCCCATGCGACCACGTGAGAGGGCCATCCGAGGACAGCTGCAGATGGTCCGGGAGGTGTGCCACGAGGCGGGAGTTGCGTGCCTGATGAACGGGGACGTCGAAAGTCGGGATTCTGCAGTGGAGCTCATCAGGGAGTTCGGCGTCGACGGGGCCATGATCGCGACGGCGGCGGAGAAGAACTCCAGTTGCTTCAGAGCCAAGGAGCAGGGAGGCATGGCGCCTTGGGACGAGGTGATGGAGACGTATCTCCGCCTTGCGATGGAGACGGAAAACAAGTTCGGCAACACGAAATACATGCTGAACCAGATTGTCCCTGGAAAGCAGCCGGCCTACAAACGCGTCCAGTCCTGCAAGAGCTATACCTCTGTCTGCGAGGCATTGGGGCTCAGTCATTTAAAAGACGCAGCAACGGACGCAGACAGGGCAGTTGGCCTTATCGTCGACTCGGGCGCGAAATCTGTGGCCGCGTTAAACGGCAGTGCAAAACGGAAGAACGAAGGTGTCCCAAGTTCGCAAGCCTCAGAGGAGGTTTCTACCAAACGTCAAAAGACGGACGAGCTGGTGAAGGACACCGAGATGCTTCGGTCTCCTGTGGCCCTTTCAGTTTGAGCAGGCTATCCACATACATCAACGAGCATATTCATGGAGGGGCATTTTGATGAGCCTGCGACAGTTCGGCGTTATTGGCGGCATGGTCGGACAAAAAGGTTTTAGACAAAGATATCCTAGACAGATCAGGCAATGAAGGCGTAAAGTTTCTTGGATCTCCTTCTGGACTGATTCCAGCATCACGCACTCAGCACATATTTGTGGTTCTCCGTATGGGATCATTATCAGGAGCAATAAGTATCTAAGTACTTCCGCATTGGAAGAAGGGCCAACCCACTTTGAGTGGTGGCTGCCGCCACTGAAGCAGAACCTTCAACCACATGGCTTATACAGATTTTTGATGATTCAGAAGATGCGACTCTTTCAAAAGGTTAGCCGGATTCCAAATTGCCAGTCTTCATTATGATTCCACCTGAGTGATGAAAGGGCATGTTCCGCCGCACTGTGTAGGGCACTGTACCTGCCCCCACATGCATTGGGAAGCCGCCAGACTGAGTGAGTTACCAGGTAGTCTATCCCCTCGCCGCGGCCAAAGCCGCCCAAAACGCACCCACCGACAGCACATGTACGGTGACGTACGTTTCGATTTTCAACGGCCTGCATGCGCACTGGCACATGAACTGATAGTTATCTTAAAAGCCGTTTCCCTGTAGTGCCTCCATTACTTCTCCCAAGCGCGACACCACCACGTGTTGCCCGCCAAAGCGTGCCACCCGCTCAACCCTGTTCGCCTCCCCCATGCAGGCCTGAGAGGAGTCTCATCCATCGATCGCCGGCGGTCGGGCTAGATGACGGATCACGGCATCGGCACATACGGAGCTTCGCGCACTCAAGATGAGTGACCTGCAGAAGGCGTGGGCGAAGAAGAAGATGGAGTTGAGCAATGCAGACGTCTTCAACGAGCTAGACGAGGAGGAGGAGGAGGAGGAGGAGAACGGTCGCATAGGGGAGCTCCCTGAAATCCTGGATGACGACTCCTCGTCGGCCTCGTCGGCCTCGTCCACGGGCACGGTGGTCCCCACTCCGAGCAGGAAGCTCTTTGCCAGACCATTAGGGTAAGTTGTGTGGTGCATTCAAGGTTCAGGTACCCTGGTCCAAGGGTTCCCAAATCACATTACTAATTGAACTGAACCAGTCCCCCAAGAGGAGGAGGCAGAACGTTGGACCAGATACCTTGGACAACGTACTTTGAACGGGAGCTCTTCCTCGAAGGCCAGAAGGACGAGTCTGGGGCCGCCCAAATCACACACCATGCCTATCTGACCTCCCCTGGCGATAAGGGACCACTGTTCGTAACGCACCACGGCGGTGGATCATCTGGCTTGTCGTTCGCCGTGGTAGGTTCTCTGAGATCAGGAAGCGGCTGCCATCGGCAGGCATCCTGTCTCTAGACGCGAGGGGCCACGGATCGACAGTTACAGCTACAGATGCGCCCCTCGACCTGAGCCTGGAGACCCTACGCTCTGATCTGCTGTCTGTCATCCGGCAGACCCAGGCGCAGATGGGCTGGAAGGAACTCCCTCCGATTGTACTTGTTGGTCACTCCCTGGGAGGAGCTGTCGTGACGGATCTCGCAAAATCCCATGCCCTGGGGTCTTCGCTCCTCGGATACGCCGTACTCGACGTCGTCGAGGGCTCAGCCATGGACGCCCTCCAGAGCATGACGACATACCTGTCCACCAGACCCACAGGCTTCGCCTCGATCCAAGCCGGAATTGACTGGCACATTCGGTCGAGAACACTCCGCAACTCGATCTCAGCACGCACGAGCGTTCCCGGCCTGTTGACGCAGGACCCAACTCCCGGTGTGAGCAGGCCCTGGAAATGGAGGACGGACCTCGCAGCAACAGAGCCCTTCTGGTCGGACTGGTTCGTGGGCCTGAGCAAGAAGTTCCTCGAGGCCAAGGGTGGGAAGCTGCTGATCCTGGCCGGAACTGACCGGCTGGATAAGGAGTTGACCATAGGCCAGATGCAAGGTGAGCATTGCAGTCGTTCGTGCTCATGCTAACGTTGAAGCTAATCACTTTTGCAGGCAAATACGCCTTGCATATCTTCCCGGAGGCTGGCCATTTCGTCCATGAGGATGTGCCTGAAAACACGGCCTTGGTGATTGCGGATTTCTACAGACGCAATGATAGAAGTGCCCTGGTCCTGCCGCCGAAAGTGGGAGATCTGTTGGCACAGGGGAAGAGAGTCTAGCCCGACAAGCCAGAAAAGACGTTTCAGATACCCATGGCTGAGAATCATCTTGCTGAAACTCAATTTCTGGTGTGGCTATGAGAGTAGTATACCGTCAAGATCTGGTACACAGAGCCACATGCACACGGCTAGAGCGCATGACGAAGCAGTGGGAATCTCACGGCCTAACCACAGAGAGTGCATAGCCATAGTGTCATGAGGTGCGCAGATGGCAGATGTTCGAGATAGAATAAGATTTAGACACAGCATTGTCAAGATACTCCGGGGGCTCGCTTTGCCCAAGTGAAGAATTCAAACTGTCCAGTACGCCGGAATGTGAACCAAACCCAGACGCTCGTCAGTTGTAGTTACGCTGCTCATTTGCCGTCTCGATCTCCCTCCGCCGCGTCTCCTCCTCGGCGGCCTGCTTCATGGTCTCATTCATGGTCTGCTTCTTCTGCTGCTGCAGCTGGCTGCTCAACTTGCCCGTGGCCTTGTCTTCTGCAGCTTTCGCTCTTGCCTAAGGAGAATCGTCAGTTCCCGAAGCCACGCGGCCGGTGGTAATATCCTCCCCAATCCGTCCGGGTCGGGCTATCTTACCTGGGCGGCGTCGGCAGCCCTGCGCCTTGCCTCGGTGGCATCTGCGGCAGAAGCCCCACCACCATCACCGCTCGCGGTTGGCGGGCCTCCCAGCGTCCGCGGGGGCCCGCCGACGACTCGCTTGTTGCTGGGTAGCGGCGCGGTGGCCCTCTCTGCCGGCGGGGAGTCCAGCCGGCGGCCTGGCCCGGTGAAGTTGTCGTCCCTCGACTCCTTGCCGCAGAGGGCACCCATCTCTCCGTGCGGTGCCTGGACCTGGGCCCGGGCTTGAACGGCACCCGTGAGAGAAACGATCAGGACCTCGGCGCAGTCAATGCGGATTTAACTCAGTAGTGGATTGTGATGGAAGCGACCTAGGTGGTGGGCCGGCCGCGTGATTAATGGCGCTCGGGGGGCTTCGTCAACTGCGGGCGGGCTGAGATAGTGGCAAATGAGGGGATGAGTGTGGCGAGAGAGGTGATTGCTTTGTGGGGCTAGTGAGTAGGTAGCTGCTGCGAGGGCTTGTATGAGTTGGACTGGGGTTTTTCAGGTGTAGCAAGTCAGATTTTCCAGCATCTGGTTCGTCCGGTGTGGTTCCCTCGGAGAGAGAAAGGACGTCTGGAGTCGGATATCGCCTCTCACGGGGTTGATCAAACGGGTCGCCCTGTGGAGGTGTAGCTTGGCAGACGCTACTTAGGTCTATCAGCACCAGCCCGGAGCAAGCACAGCCCCAGCACTTGGCACTGCTCTAATGATCGGGGGGAGGGGGAGGGGTAAGTGTAGACTAATCAATCGCTTCTCAGGCCCTGCGGGCTCCGGCTCACAAGACCGACCCTGGCCGACAGCCTCTGGAACACAGAGCACAAACCAAACCGACATCAGAGAATCGGCCATGGCGAAGCCAGCAAATCAAGGCTCAAATTAAGACTCGAGAAATCATCCGATCATGCAGCCCCTCAAGCTTCCAGCGAGCCTGGGGATTTTTGTTTAATGTAGGTACGACGTACTAAATATGTCCAGGTGACCGCTAGAAGACATTAGACATTTTGATTTCAGAGACGGATGGGCTTAGCATGCAGTCGAACAACAGTACCATCCAAGATGTGCATGTTGGTCTACAAAGTAGACTGTCACTTGCGTCAAATCGCACAAATCGACATCTGCCCTCTATAAAAGCAGCTTCCTCTACTTCACTTCTCTCCGGTCTGTTCCAGCCTGCATGTTGTACTGCCAGCAGCCACTGGAAAACTGACACTGGGGGCATCCACCTTGTTGTAAAGGTGATGTCAACCTCCGAACGCTGCCAATGATGATCCGCGACACAGAGCGGAATAAGACTGGGGCGATGCCGTTGCGGCGCACAAGTTCAAGTAGGATGAGACACAGAGGGCAGAATGGTTGTCAATGCCACCAAGTGGAGGCAACTGGGATGGGGATGGAGATGAAATGGTGTTGAAACTGTGGTTGAACAAGTGTCCAGGCCAATTAGGGCTCGTCGATCAGTGACGACGGTGCCGGTCCGCGGGAATAGGGAGGGCTGTGGAAACGGGTCTCCTGGTGTTGTGATGAAACAGGCAAGAGATGAGAGGTATGTCGGTTGGCTCCTGGGCTTAAAGTCAAAGATTCTGAAGATGGGACTGAAGTGTTGATTGTGTGTGGATCGAGGAGAGAAAAGGGCAGAACATGGGGAGAGTGACGGAGGCTCTTTTGACCATCCGTTCCCTGGAAATCTTGTTACGATTGCGGCTTCCGTCCCTCCTCGATACTATTGCACCATTTAGCCACAAGAGAAGAGGCATTTCTCAACCAGACATTTGCGACTGTGGCAGCGGGCTCCAAGTGGCAGTCGTATGAGATCTTGCACTTGGCTGACACCCTCTTTGGACTTGCTGACCACATCAAACAGAGCTGGCACGGTCAGAACCCTCGGATGACCGAACGATAAGAATGCCCGCCTGGTTGTCCTCACAAATCTACAACTCTAAAGACTCTCACAGCATTGTGATGTTCTCTGGACCACGAGGACTGCTCTAACTAGAAATGCAGTCAAGGCTGTGCATGCCAATACATTTTTGGTGGAGATGTGACACAAAAGTAGCTACTTTTACCATAACAGCAGATTGGATGAGTGTGGCATCAAACGTGCCACTGACATTCTGATGGAGGTACCAGCTGACAGACTCAACTTGGCCTACGCACTGAAGTTGCTGCCCAGCTCAGATGTCTCGGATTCTGAAGCTGGTTATACAATAACAGCACATGTGACAGTATTTATCCGATCTTCCTTCGCGTGGTTGAAGAGGAAAACGAAAATGATGAACAAAGTTCTTGACAACAACCCTACGCGACTGGGGACGGCACGAAATCTTATGATATGAGCCGAATTGAAGACATGCGGAAGATAACTTCACCAACCAGTTGGCAAGTTATTAGACATGGTCCGACTGACCACGCACGCATCTTGTACAACATTATCGAGCTGCTCATCTGCAGAGTGACGAGAATATTTGAAAAAACACTACCATAGGGCTCTCATGACAGCAGAGCCCTCACTTGCATCCATTTCCCTTTCGAGTCACCAAGACATTGCTTCATCGCAGAAGCTAAGTTGGCGCTTGTTACTCTTGCGCCATAACACTTGTATTAAAAGTATAGGATTGTCTGAAGGATCTGGAAGTCGAGCGCAGTCTTATACAGCTGTGCCATCACGGAAGCTCTTACAGAACGGGCAGTTTGAAGCAATAATATCCAAACCTAATTCAAAGAGGAAAATTCTTGGATGTCAGTCCGAATGGTACCGTGAGTGTTTCAACGTCATCATAACGTCCACGCGTGCTAGCATGTTCATGAGCTCAGTGTAGACCAGCACTTTCGCATTGGAGCGGATGTGACGTCGTGTGGTAAACTGCACTATCAAGACCATCGGACAATCTGCCATATGGCACCAAAACAAGGGCTGGTCTGACCACCTGTAACACTGAATCAGGTCTAGACCAGCAGCAATGTGCCCATATGTTCTACTCTCCCTGCCCTGCTTGCCCTTTGCTGGTCATAAACACACAGACTGGTGAGCGCCGTTTGGCCGTTTCGCCGTTTGAGTCAGGACGACGCTTCTGACTTTTCCACCACATAACACACTTACCCTGCTGTATCCCAGACGAGGCATACACAATTTAACTTCCCTGCAAGCGGTGCAACTAAGTGGGTGGAACCCATCCCAGCCTGGCCCAACAGAGGCGCTCTCGACGGCGACAGTTGTGACTCGAGTTCTCAAGATACCAGATGTCTCCCCACTCCATTGGATCCGGCTCTGCACCGTTCCCGTTGCCCGTCGTTGCCCGCTACCCGTATGCAGGTTCTGAAATACCAAAGTACCAAAGGACCAAAGTACCAAAGTACCAGAGTATTCCAGCATCGAGAGCCAATCAGATTCGGCTGACTAAGTACACGCCGACCCGGACCCGAATGCAGCGACGACCATCAAGGTTCTCAATGTCCTGTCCAATTCTGCCTCACATCAGTCCCCTCCACTGCCCTCCTCTTCCAACGTCACCCCGCGGGATTGCACACCTCCTCGCCTCGGGCCATTCATCTCCAGGTTCTGTCCGTCCACCATTCTTTCACCGCGAGCTACTCTTCGTCAACCACTAGTATATACCCTCACCAAACCTTCTGACCACGACATGACTTGAAATCGTGGGACCCTTGGAAAGTCGCCAGCCGGGGACCATCACGGTTCCTCCCTCTCCCTAGCGACCAGCCCGATACCCGTCCAGAACTTCTGGCTGCAATCTGGACCGGCACATAGCGCCTTCGACAGCTCGTTTCCAGACGGAAGCGTCAACAGGCCCGCCATGGATGACTTGGTGCTTAGTATGGCACCCTTTGGGAACGCCTCAGTCCACGAATTCTCGGCGCACGACGACACATGCCTGATTGGAGCAGGCTGCCAAGGCCTTGGTCTCGTTTCTCGCCAAAATCACCACGACAATGGGGCCACGTTCAGTGCTATTCCTTACCCGACCTTCACTGGTTTCGCTAGCCATGATGTCGCATCTCCTTCTCCCCAGTCACCCAATGCCGGTGACACCTTCCCTGAGGCTAATACTGGGAAACCGCAGTCCAGGATGCCATCTCCTGGCTGCGACGACCCTGATCCAACGGCAACCGAGATGGTGTCGTTGGTTTCGCGGCACGAGGCACCTGGTCCGCCACCTCAAAATGACGAGCTTCTCGAGGACTACGCTCCGTCTGAGGCAGAAAGTAACGCTTCTTGTGATAGCCAATGCTCAGGAAGCAAAGGCCCGTGTAGTGCGGGTACATGCGACTTCGTCACTGCCTGTAGAGACGAAAACTGCACGAGACCTGTTGTCGAGCCTGATGTCGCCCATAGCGCCTTCATTTTGCAGACTATGACGAGTGCGAAGGAAGCCAGTGCAAACCTCGTGTCTTTTCAGGACCGTAAGTTTAATAATTCTTTTTTCCATAGCCAGACAATATCCACAGAGCCGAAAGGTATTGCTCTGGTCACTGTGCGAAAAGGTCTACAAGGACCTCTTCAGCTGTCCACATAGCATTCTTTCACGGATCTTCCTACCCACTTGGCTTGCTCGTCCGAATCATGGCTTACGCTTCCATAGAACCGAATCTGTACGAACAGAACATGGGTGAACATAACTATGACTTCAACTTCGCCCAAGAGGCAGGTCCCGGCTGTCCCGACCCAGGGTCGCATGCTACCTTTGCGCACCTGTATCAAACACAGGCGCAGGCTCATGACTCCCAACAGCAACTTGACCAACAAGGCGATCTAATCCAAGTTGACCCTTTCAATATCTTCGCCCTGGGACCTAATCCCCATTGCCATGCTCCTGCTCTGCCAGGAGCCTCAGGGCAGAATGGTATGGTGGATTTCCAAGGTCATGCTAACAGCAGCGGCAATTTTCCCGGGGAATGCGGTGTGCCCTTTCAAGATCCATTGCAGGCTTCGCTGCATATCCAACAGCATGCTCAGCACGGCCAGCTAGTCCCGCTCATGGATCAGGGCTTTCAGTATGTTCAGAATATGCAGCTGCAGCACCCAAACCAACCAGTTTTGGATTTCTCAGGCATGGAAACCGCATCTGCATATGGTCCGTCGAACAACAACTTTGCACAACAACCCGTAACGCCTGGTCATCAAAGGGGGCTTTTCGCATTCGGCAATGAACAGTTGCCATCACCATCGAATCAAAACCTTGGCCATCTCGCATCTCCAAGCGGAGCTAGTTACCACGCATCGGCGTCCGATGCTGGTCAGGAAGTGCCAAATTCCCCGGCCGACTCCTGTGCATCGGGCGACAGCCAAATGCAGGATACCGCACAATCGGTGTGCCTCTGGGAGCAAGGGGCATCCAAGTGCGGAATGGTTTTCGAAAATGCACACCAGCTCGAGATACATGTGCAGGCTGAACACGTCGAGAACATGCCAAAGGCTGATGGTGGGTACGTTTGTGGTTGGGCCGATTGTGGACGCAGGCACAAGCCATTTGCACAGAAAAGCAAAGTCAAACGCCACATGCTAACGCATACCCAATGTAAGTGTAGTCTTACTCACGGCCCATACCCGAGATTAACTGTGTATCCAGACAAGCCCTTCAAGTGTGATCATTGCGTACAATCCTTCTCTGCGAAACAGGCCCTGACGCAGCATGTCCTAATCCACAAAAACGCCAAGCCACTGAAATGTGACATCTGCGGGAAGGCCTTCAGGCAGCAGAGCGCTCTAAGTAAGCTGAACCAACAAAAAATTGTACCAGCGGTAAAACGAGAGAATAGCAGCTGACTGGTGACACTCACAGCCATGCACATACGCACACATACCCATGTGAAGCCGCTGAAGTGTGAAATCTGTGGCACCTTGTTCGGCGAGTCCTCGAACCTCTCCAAGCATCGGAGGACACACGATGCCGTTGGTCGCCACGCGTGCCCTGAACCTTTATGCGATAAGAGATTCAACAGACTGGATCAGTGCCGCCGGCACTTAGAAACAGTCCATAAGCGTCGCCCCGAAGGTGAGAAACATGAGCTCTGCGTTCGAGACCGATTCACATTTGCTAACACATCTTGGTAATCAGAAGTAAAACATCTTGTCGCGCCCATGACATTTCGTCGCGAATCTAGCGCCCGGAATAGTCGTTCCAGCAGTAGCAGTGTGGCGGGAAGCAACAAGGCCTCGCGTCTCCCATCGCAGCAGGCTTCTCAACCTGTACAGGCTGCTCACGAGGACTTCGTCCCAGAACTGGCGACTGTCAAACACTTCTCCGGCCAAGAGAACACAGGCAGCATGGCGGCTCCGATGAACTCGCCCTCTGTCCTGCAATATGGACAGATGTCTTCACAAAACACCCAGATGCTATACAGCCCCCCGGCCGGCACGGGATACAACACTATGCCCATGCAGCAGCAACCCTTCGCAGTCGGTGGTGCGATTCCCAATGGAGCGGCGTACAATTTCAACCAGCCACTTCAGAACTTTGCTGGGTCAGCCTGGTAGAGTAGCAAGCACCACATCTTATTTTCATTTTTTCTTTGCTTTCAATTTCCGTTTTAGCCATAATTTTTTTTTTGGTCTATTCCTTTGCGCGCAGTCTCAACCAGGTCTTAGGACGGGTTAAATACGCAGTTCGACACCAGGGACCAAGAGGTAAAAGCGCATGGCATGATGAGATGATACCCACAATACCAGAAATATGCACAGCGGTTGGCGTTCAGTAGGACAAAGTCTCGCCCAATAGAGGAAGAGGTGGAAAAGGGAGGAGAGGGGGGAAAGGAGATGGAAGCCATGGCGAACATGGATATTTGGTGCTTTTTGAAGTGAATTAGCTTTTATTCCTGGCTCATTACCATTGTCTTGTTCTTTCTGGGGCCCTCTGCTCTCTTCGACACGAGCCACATATGTGCTGGCGTGACCGTCAACGTATGATAATTTTTATTACCAGAATTGATTCAGACAAGACGTCATCGTACATTACTTGTATGAATGTGTGTAAAGGCAATGATTTTCAGCTGATTCAACTCTCAGTGCTGCTCGCAGGCCCAGCAAAACTTCTATGTAATGATTGATGATACGCAAACCTGTAAACACACAGTTTCTACTCGGGACTGGAGACGTGAGACCACTCGCTACGAGTTCCCTGAACGCCGTTGAACAGAAATAAAGAGGTTGTGGTAATCTTGGTTGAGGTGTGTGTTGGGGTGAGCGTTCACTGTATATTTCCATTTGGCCGAAAATTATGGGTAATGCGCAGACTTGTTGACCAGCTCATGGGTATCCGGTGAATGTCCAAAGATCTCAGCTAGGAAATAAAGCACAGAAAGTGGGCTGGACAGCACGGAGCAGGCAAGAATGGTACTTTCGGGCGGGAACTGACTAGCAATCTAGTCTATTCTTCCAAGTACACAGCATCGATAGCATCTTCGACATCCCCGGTGATTGTGATTGCAAGCCAGCGTGGGAAAGCCTTCGATGACCGAACCAAGTTCATCGATATCGCTTGAGTGTCTTTGACCGCCGCACCGTCTGGATAGTTTCAGCCTTGACCTTTCACACGGGGCACAGAGCGTAGGTGGTGGTGTGAAGTCAACTCGAGCTCTCTTTTGGAGCTATCTGGTTGACTAGGTATCCGGGCTTGCTGTCATATATCCTCATAACACCGAGACCCGTAGCGGAAAACAGGTTTTGCCCTGTGATGCCATACGAGAATGCGTGGAATCGTCTTTTTGATTCTCGAAAAACCACGCCAGCGACCTGTAGCCTTTTTGCTTTGACCTGCTTCAATTACCAAAAACCCTCAAATGCCGACGCCGTTTGCCACTTTATGCGGAAGCCTGGAACATCGCATTCGTTAGCACATTGCATGCCCAGCCCAGCCATGGTTGCACCCATGGATCCTTCGTTGCCTGTAGGTGTTTCATTGTAGACGAACCTTGATGGCGTATTTGCGCTGAGGGAAGTGCTGCTGGCGCTTCTTTGTCTTCTCCAGCTTCCTTGCGGCGTCCTCAGGAGACAGGCGGCGACGGATGGCGCGGGTCTGCTTGGGGCGGAGGTCGAGGGGCAGGTACTTCTTGTTCTTGTAGAAGAGGCGCAGGTTGTGTCGCTCCTTAGCGTTGATGATGGTGAGGACGCGGGCGATCGACTTTCGGAGGTCGTGGCTGCAGATAGAACCCCAACGTTAGCTCCCATGCTCCTTGTCCATTCCCATGCATCCTGCAGTGCTCGGGCACGAAGCGTGACGGTTTCGGTGGATCGTGTGGCATGTGTGTATGTTCCGTGTGGAGTTCGGGTTTCCGCTCACATCTTGTTCAGCTTGGTGCCGGAGGAGGCGATCTTCTGGATGCGCAGCTGGCCGAGCTCGGTCTTCAGCTCGCCGAGGGTCTTGGTGAGCTCGTCCTTGTTCTTGGACCACAGCTGGCCGGCCTTGATCTTGCTGGAAGACTGCGACATTGTCAGTGACCCGTCCGAGGAGCAGTCGTCAATCGCGGTCGGCTGGTAGTGGGGGTCGATTGAGCTGCAGGAAAAGCACTCCCACAGCTCAATTGCCGCCCAGAGCTTCGCAGAAATTCGGGATCGGAGTCGTAACGCACCATTTTCGCAGGTATTGTCGATTTAACGTCGTCTGTCGGGGGGCGGGCAGAAGGGCAAGTTGCTGGTCGTTCACGGGAAGGCGCCTGTCGTCCTTGGTGGAGTTTAGGAAAAGCCTGTGGGCAATCCACGTCAAATTTTTCGGAGAAAAGTATTGCAGTCGCCGACTCGTTTGCCGTGGCGCGGTGCAGTGAGCAGCCTGCAGGCTCAGGCTAACGGCCTGCAGGAGCACATAGGCTGCGCTAGGCCCCTTTGCGAATGGCTGTTCTGCCTGAGTGCTCAGGGGGCCCACCCGACGCGACGCTAGGGGTCCAAACAGTAGTACGAGTCACCGACAGTGGCCGGTCTCACTACCAGGGTACCTCCGGATAAGGATCCTATGATGGACCCTGTTCTCCATTACCTAGGCAAGTCCACAGCATTGTCTGTGTCGGCTCCCCAGCATGTGTGACGACAGGCCAGCAGCTCGTCCTAACAACGGAGATATCCAACAGCTTAGCACCACCCTACATGCACATGCATATCACCTAAACCAGAAACACCAGCTCCCCAATTGCTCTACCGACAGAGACCGGTTTCTCTATTTGCACTTCGCCCTGCGTGTTGTCTTGCGCAAGCACCTGCACCAGTGTCGTTGCCACCAGTGCGCGACCGCTCCAGCCGAAACACCGAGTCCGCCTCCGGACACCACCGCCAGGACGACCATGGCATCCTCAACCGGCAACAACGGCTGGGCGCAACTACGACAACAGGCACGATCATTAGAGTCGCAGGTCAGCAGCCATGCCAATGGAAATTTTGAGGGCTGCAGCTAATCCAGGGCGCAGACCGAGTCTCTGTTTCATACCTACTCGCAGTTCTCGACAGCACCGAACATCCCGCAGAAGCCGACAGAGGAGGAGAGAACCACGGAAGCAAGACTAGAGGACCTCCTAGAGAAGGTGAGAAGCAAGTTTCAAATACCATGCCGCATCGTCAGGCTGACAACCCCTGCCAACAGCGAGAGAACGTAATCACCCAGCTCAACCGCCTTCTCGACTCCGACGCGACCCTCACTTCCTCGGCCCTGAAACAGAACAACCTGTCCCTGCTGCGCGAGAAGCTCGCCGCTCACAACAAGGACCTGGCCCGCCTCAAGTCGAACCTCTCGGAGGCGCGCAACCGCGCCAACCTGCTGTCCAACGTCCGCGACGACATCGAGTCGTACCGCGCGTCGAACCCGGAGCAGGCCGAGGCCGACTACATGCTCGAGGAGCGCCGGCGCGTCGACAACAGCCACAACGCCGCCGACAGCGTGCTGTCGCAGGCCTACGCCGTCCAGGAGAGCTTCCACCTGCAGAGGGAGACTCTCGCCAACATCAACCGCAGGATCACGCTCGCCGCGAGCCAGGTGCCCGGCATCAACTCGCTGATAGGGAGGATATCGGCGAGGAAGCAGAGGGACGGGGTCATCATGGGCAGCTTTGTCGCGTTTTGCTTTCTGATGTTCTGGTTCTTCTTATAGTAGTGGGCCGGGACCAGGCGACAGGTCGTTTGGGCATGTGCGGTGGGTTTCGGGGCGTGGGCAATGCATCAACATTTGGCAGGCATGGCGTTTGAGGCGGTGACATTTGAGGCTTGGCACGAGAATGTGTTTGTACATTGAATGGAGTATCCTGGGGTGTAATGAAAGCAATGATGGGATTTCATGTCCACCTGCTTGTACTCTTTCCGCTCGCCTCTGCTGTTGCGGTCTTCTCCGCTGTCTTCTCTGCGGGCCTTGATCCAGACCAGACTCCCTTATCCGCCTCATCCAGAAGCCTCTCAAGACCTTTTGTTAAGGACTCTCTCTCATCGGGCTCAGCAGGTCCACTTCCCGCCCAACGGATTCTCCAGTCCCCATCCACCAGGTACGTGTACCCGACCTTGCTGTTCAGATAGCCGATCGACTCCCTGATCTCATCTGAGATGCCTTTCCTGACGAGGAAGTACCTGTCCCAGTTATCCTTGCCAACTTCTTTCCGTAGAGATCCAGCGAGCAGGCGAACAACCCAGTACTTCAGGTACGAGGTATCCTCAACGTTGATCTGGACCAGCTGAGCCTTTCCCTTGTTCTTGTCGAGAATCTCATGCAGCGCAGGATTCTCCTTTTTCCCCATGAAGGAATCGGCCTGCCTGCGAGCCCATAAGGAGCTGTATATGGCGACCACGGTGGCTTTGCCTGCGAGCACGGGCGTCGTGTCCCGCGCCAGGCTCGTGTCCTTGAGGAGCGTATGACCAAACAGGTTCGGGAAGTAGAGGGACTTGTCGTGCTTGAAGAGTCGCGGAGGGGCGAGGAAGGTCTTGCCCTTATGGAGGGCCAGGTTGGTCCAGTCGCGGAAGTACGGACGGGCCATCTGCGACTTTCTGCAGAGCACGGTTAGCGATGCGCCGGAAGGTCTAGGGGCCGGGACCTGGGTACGGGCTCACAATTGTTCGCGCCTCTTCAGATGCGCGTCATAGTCGACAAAGTCGTCCCTCCGCTGCTTGAGAGAACGGAGATCGACGCCTGTGTTCTCACCCGGTCTGGGCGGGTGGTTCAGGCCAATGGGCCGGGCCAAGACCTTGGGCTTGAACTCCTCGATCTTCTTGCCGTATGAACGTGGTGCATCCGCCAATGGGTTTGGCTCGGACGAAGCGGCTGCTTCAAGGACATTGCTCTGGGTCGTCTTCGAAGCCGCGGTCTTTGGAAGCTTGTTCGGATTGGGGCTTTCGAGGCGAGGGCAGGTCGTGACAAAAGTTCGCCATTGGCACAGCAAGCATGTATTTACTGGCCTGTTGGAGGGCCCCAAAAGAGGCCGTGCCAACGTCCTCTTGAGCATTGTGTGAGGTGTCTCAATTTTGCACCGGATGTCGGCCAGGGACGAGCTGCAGCTTGGAGGTGATCGCTCTGGTCGAGCTTGATCAAGCTCGCACTCGGAAATTCTGCAGGCTGCAGGGATCAGGGCGGCCGGCCGGCGGCCCCAGGTTTCTGGAGGACAGGCTTGGTAAATTGGGGATCGAACACAGGGGACCCCACGACCCGGGGGTGGGGAAAGCAGCGGCTACAAGCGGAGTGAACGTCACCTGGGCATGGCGTGGCTGGACTCGGCTTTGTTTGCCCATGGAGTCGACGGAGAACGGCTCAGACCGCGACAGCCACGGCACAAGACAGCAGGCCAAAACATGGTAATATTGGGGGATTTGCACGAGATGACCGTTCAATTGACCCGAGGGATGTAGTTTTCTTCTTCATCACCCCTTCGCCCTTCTACTGTAGACACAATGCTCATGCGATGCTCCCCTCGCGCGCTGCGGCTTCAGTGGCAGCTGGCCCAGCGTATAAGTCGAGTATCCACCACAGCAGCTGCGACAACCCCATCCCCATTCTCCACGAGGTCACACTCCGAACCAAGACACACCGCTTCATTCCGACCGACGAGATGCCTCCACTCTACACCAAGACGGCAGGTTGTGAAGCCAGTGTTGCTAGCTGATATCGGCGAAGGTAAGACACCCCCTCAATGTACTCGTCACACCCTGAATTCTCACCAGCCTTGTCCCAACAGGAATTGTCGAATGCGAGATCATACAATGGTTCGTCGAGCCCGAAGCCCGCGTCGAGGAGTTCTCGCCCCTGTGCGAGGTTCAAAGCGACAAGGCCTCGGTCGAGATCACCTCGCGCTTCTCGGGCGTCGTCAAGAAACTCTACTATGACGCGGGTGACATGGCCAAGGTCGGCAAGCCCTTTGTGGACATCGACATCCTGGGCGACGTCAGCCAAGAGACATTGGACAAGTTGACGCCTTCCGGCGGTGAGACAAAGGAGAAGACACCACCGGCGTCGCAGCAGAGCACAACGGAACCGGTGTCTCCACAAAAGCCGGCTCCCGGCCCGTCCAACAACGGGGCAGTGGAGACTGTTGCCCCTAAGCCTAAGGGGACGCACGCCGCCCTGGCGACGCCGGCGGTCCGTCATCTTTCTAAAGAGCGAAACGTGGATATACTGGATGTGGACGGGACGGGCAAGGACGGCCGGGTGCTCAAGGAGGACATCTACAGGTTCATCGAGGCGCGAGATAATGGCGCCGCGCAGCCTGCCCGGCCCGGGCCCGGTGCAGCGACGCCAGCCCCGTCTTCTTCAGCACCCGGCGTGCAGACAGAGGACCGCCAACCCCTGACCAAGACCCAGGAGCAGATGTTCAAGACCATGACCCGGTCGCTGAGCATCCCGCACTTCCTCTACGCCGACGAGATCGACTTTACCGACCTGTCGGCCCTGCGCGGCCGGCTGAACACGGTCCTCTCCTCCTCGCCCTCGTCCCCAGCGCCTGTAATCCCCAGCAACCACGGCGTCACGAAGCTGTCCTACCTCCCCTTCATCATCAAGGCCGTGTCAATAGCCCTGCAGCAGTACCCCATCCTCAACGCGCGGGTCGACGCCCCCTCGTCCTCGTCCTCCTCGTCGGCTGGGGAGAAGCCGGCCCTGGTCTACAGGTCGCAGCACAACATCGGCGTGGCGATGGACACGCCGCAGGGCCTCCTCGTGCCAGTGATCAAGGACGTCGCCGCGCACAGCATCCTCACCATTGCGGCCGAGCTGCTGCGGCTGCAGGCGCTCGCGACCGCGGGGAGGCTCTCGCCCCAGGACATGTCCGGGGGCACCATAACGGTCAGCAACATCGGCAGCATCGGCGGCACCTACTGCAGCCCCGTCATCGTGGACGGGCAGGTCGCCATCCTGGGCGTCGGGCGCATGCGCGACGTGCCCGACGTGGCCCGCGACGAGGCCTTCGGCTCGTGGGCGGTCAGGGGCGTCAAGAAGGTGTGCAACTTCAGCTGGTCCGCGGACCACAGGGTCGTGGACGGGGCGACCATGGCGAGGGCTGCCGGCGTAGTGAGGAGTTTGGTGGAGGAACCAGATGTCATGGTTATGCATCTGCGGTAGTTATGGCGCCGTTACCAAAGAATAAGACAACCATAATCCCCCAAAAGCCGGAGAAGAGCTGCTTGATCTCGGAACACTTGCCGTCCCAACATCCTCGGGATGCTCAGCACTCGCTGCATTCCCTTTCCCCCACCCCCAAATTGTGAGCTCTCACATATGCGGCCTCTCGCCCGGCCTGCTCCCTCGTCATGCCGGGTATAGTACCCGCCGTAACGTAGCTCCCGCGCACCCTCGCCCGGCTATGCCCCGAGGGCACCGAACAATCCAGGCACGACGATCCTGTGCCCGTACCAGTATCAATGTTACCTGGTGAAGAAGAAGGGTGTCAGGCTGAGCCGCTTGCACATCAGTCATTCCGTCTCCTCCATTTCTCCGGTTGTGAGAAACGACGAGACCAAAGGACCCAAAGAAACAAAACGAGGCGGGCCGTCCCCCGTCCTAAATGTAAGAGCCTATTTCTTGTTACTCCCTCCCTGCACACTTCAGGCTATTATCGATGGCCGTCGCTAGGGCAAATGAACAGACACACCGGTCAGTACCGTGAGGGTGTGCAGGAGGTGCCCTCTACTGGTGTCACGTCCCCTGGTGACTTGGCATGGGCCGCCAGACAGAAGGGGGCCGGGCGTCGCAGGACTGCGGCCAGCGGATTACTGGCGCCAGGGCTACACGTGGTCGAATGATATCCGAGGCTGGCAGGACAGAGAAACAAAGCCCGCATGACTGCATCTCACCTTTGTCTGTTGGTCTGGCCCTGGGGTTAGGGAGGAGGGAGGAGGGAGGAGGGAGGGGGAAGGGTGGATGTGAGGTATTTCTGAAGTCAACGCGAGTATTTGGGCAGTACCCGGTCTACGCATTGCGGCCAGGACGGGTTGCACGCGGATTTGACGCAGATGGCTCACAGAGAGGGCGGCGTGACGCATGGAAGCAACTAGTAGGACCCAACTCCTTCGAATCTCCAGGAGAGGGCCCTAATTGGCTCTCTCCCCTGTGTTGGTCCTCTTGTGTTCAGGAGGGGGAGGCGGCATACTCAGTATTACCTGCATTTCTTATTTGGGCTGTGTTAATACCTCAAAACCTTGGAGGTCGTATCGAGACAACCCTCACGTGTTGCGGGAACAAATGGGAAACCCTGGACACCCGGGGCACCGGTCCGGGCTGTCACTGAAACCGGGCTGCGCGGGTGGGATGAACAAGACACGCCGTCGTTCTTCGTTATAAAGCCTTTGCATAAAAAGGCTTTGTTTCTTTCTTCAAGACTGCAGATTGCGAGTGAGCTAGCTAATAGTATACTGCTTGCGCTTGATGCTGACTGAGCCTATTCTTCTCGCTGTTCCTTTACCCATTGGGCCCGTCACTACAACAGTTTGATCTCACAAAATGGCCCAAGGTTCCCTTTCCAATGGCAGGATGCAAAGTGCGGTATAGCCCGCAAGATGTGCCATGAACGCTAATGTCTTGTACCGAAGCGCCACGGCTCTGCAGCCGGGGCTGTGTAAATGCGATTCCCACGTCAAAGACCTGACAACTCCTTGGCTTTTGCCTGCCGGCCTCCTGGCCTAACCTTCCAAAATAGTGCGCCGATTGTTTCCGCCGAAAGCATATGCATGCCCGAACCTCGCGTCCGAGACGTTGCGTAGAATGACGTGCTGGCTTGCACCAAGTGCAGAGGAGAGGACTCATGCTGCATCCTCGGCCAACTTCCTCACGGCCTGGTCAAGAGCATCGCGCATGACCTCCTCCATCGACCGGCTGACGTCGACGCTGATGACATCCTTCTCCTCCTTTGTTGGCGGCTCCAGAATCTGAAACTGGCTGCGGACCATCGTGGCGCCCATGTAGTGACCCTTGCGGGCTGCTACCCTCTGCAGGAGCACTTCCTCGGGTGCATGCAGGTAGATGAAGTGGAGCTGGGCGCCGGGGTAGAAGTATGGGGCCACGCGAATGACGTCTCGGTATTTCCGCTTGAGTGCTGAACAGGTGACGACGACACCACTGCTGCCCATCTGAATCTCCGTCAGGGCCTCATCCCGCAGGCGCGTGAGCCAGTCCCAACGGTCGGCGTCGGTAAGTGGGATGCCATTGCTCATCTTCTCGATATTTGCTGGTGGGTGGAACTGAAGTCTTGTTAGGAGGACATTAATGTCAAAGGCTGGTGTGATCAGAGGCTTACATCATCGCCTTCTATGTAGGACATGCCCAGGGAATCCGCAATGTGCTTCGCGACAGTGCTCTTCCCACAGCCTGCAGGGCCCGTGACGAGCCATATGTGGTGATGTTTGGTCTGATCGCGAGTGTTTGTGGCCATGGTGCTGGTGGGCTTGACTATGTCCGCTTGTTTGGGGTGCCGCACAGGCTTTGAGGATGATATGACCGGACGGTTTGGGGACATGTTGGTTGGCGAGACTGGGGATGGCCCGTTGACGGATATAGGAGAATCGTAGGAGAGCATAGTGAATGGAGTCTGTGGTAATACTGGACTATGTGTTTCGTGAATGGTTGCCTGTTCAACGTGGTCTCAAGTATTTCGCGTCGGCAGACTGGTGAATTCGATAGGTGAACTTGACAGGTGAAATTGATAGGTAAAAACGACTGCTGGGGTGAGGGTGTCGCAGCAGGGCAACCAAATGTCTCTTGCACCTCCTCCCAGGGCGATGTGTAGTCAATCTACAATGGATGGGTGGACGAGGTGATTCACAGGAGTAATGTCAATTTTGAGGTAATGCGAGCGGTGTGTAGATTCTTCTGGGAGAGGATATCGAAAAGTCAAGACTAGGTTTTGTGAGGAAGGGCCAAGGGGGCTGCTATGGAAGGGGCCGCTGGGTCGTCCGGGGCAGTTATATAAGTGCTAATAGTGACGGCCCTCAGATTGAGACGAGCCGTCCCAGTCTCGTTCCCAGTCCGCCGCTGCCGTCAGCAGGCCATCGATGAGGTAGGAACCCCAGCCTGTTCCTGGGCAAGTTTGGGGCGTAACTTACTAGGGTCGGGGACCGGGGGGATGTCGCCCGTAGGTATCGACGGGGCTGAGGCATGTACCGGGCAGGGCAAGCCGCTAGGAGTTCCAGTCCTCCCTGGTGTGCTGTGCCTAGGCCGTGCCAGCGTGCATGCGTGCCTGAGAGGATCCCCCGGATTTTTCAAACTGGCACGGAATGATTCGTCCAGGCTTGCTTACCGCACGCAAGGCCAGCGGTGCCCAGGATGGCGGTCATTCTGCAGGCTTCCATCCGACAGGAAAGCAATCATTGGGGCGCGGACGTTGAGCGGGTTGAGCGGGAGTCTGTCTCTCTTTGTCCGCCTGTGTCACATCTTGTCAGCCGGTCGTGTGTGCCGCTGTCCACGCCAATCAAGACTCCGTGGAGGGGAATGTTTGGCGCGGGTACTCGGAGGTACAAAGCCAGGACAGGTCTCGACATGGAGGTCCTGACGCAATCTTGGGTCTGGAGAAGCGTGGGATGGCTTTGCAGACTGTGGGGAATGCGCCAAATCCCACGTTCCCATCCTCTCTTTTTAGACTCGGTGCTACGTAGTGCGTCTCTGCCTCCCCTTGCGACCACCACCAAGTTGGCCCGTCCGCGTCCGCCTCTGGCCAAGCAACGAGTGGTTGTCCGACATTCCAGATCACTTCGATCCCTGCATGCGACCCTGCTCGTGGACTTGAGCCGTCTGGGACGTAACCTGCTGAGTACGTAAGAACTGAAGAGCGACAGACTGGTTGAAAATCTCTCCTGGAACCAGAGTTACGGGAATTGGGACAGGAACCCTGTCGCGTGGGGGTCTGTCCGTCCAGGCTCTGTCTCATTTTCAGGCTGAAATTTGGGGGCCATCGCAGAGACTCCCACGCTCGAGAGGGGCCCGACTCTCGGCGACAGCGAAACGAACAAGGGAGAATCACGATGCCCTGAGTGGGTACCACTTTTGAATTAGCGTGCTGCCGACGGAGTTTTTCTGGAAGGTTTGGAAACACTGCCGCTCATCCTTCCATGGCCACATGTTGTACCGCGAAAGCTGCCAACAGGGCTGCGGGGGGGGAAGACGGCTCGCCACAAAGGCAGCAGTCGCCGCCCCTTGGCTACCCCCTGAGCAGGCGTACCTCGGTCGGCCGTCAAGAACCTCGGAGGGGATCTCGGAGAGAGTTGTCAACGTCGTACTTGGTAATAGAAGGGTTGACTGAGTCCCGACTTGCCTGCAGGGTTGACGGCATTGAGCCGGGTCGGCTTAGGTTCCGGGATGCGGGGCCGGCTCGCGGACGTGGTCAGCCGGCCTCTGCACGTCGCCAAGTCGAGATCCGAGGAACGAGGGTTGCAACGCTCGTTGGATGGAAGTGAGTAGAAACAGGCCTTCACTGCTGTGTGCACAGCGATTTCCGAATATTGGGGCGGCGGGGTGGCTGTCACAGGCAAACGCATTGCTGGGCAAGTACGTACTTGCTGAGGCGTCGAATCTGGCAGAGCGAGGAGGAACCCACCCTGGGGACTCATCATGGACTCTGGCGGGAGAGCAGGCTGACGGCTGACAGGGCGAACTGTACCCCCACGCTAGTGAGGTACAAGGTGTACATGGACGGTGAACAGGAGAGCCAAGTCTGCCGCGGGGCCGATCACGAGCCCGTCGTTCCAAGGTCCCCCCATGTAGACCAGAAAAGTGGAACTGCCATCCCGCATTTCCAAAGCGGTCAATTTCGGCGATGGTGAGTTGCAGGCTGTCAAAAACCGAGCTGGCCAACAACACCAAGCCCGGCAAACATTGGGATCATGCAGGTGCGGGAGGCACACCGACAACCCCGTGGGTTGTCCGGGGAAGTTGTCGGCGTAGAGCTCCGAGGCCTCGTCCAGCCATGAGAAGTAGACTGACTGCCTGCTTCAGCCTCACAAGTGTGTCAGCCAAATAGTCAGGTCCGTAATAGGCTCGCGGGCCGCGATCCGGGCAGGAAGGTGTCTATACCAAGTAGACGCGAGAGGGTCTGACCCAGCATGCCGGGTTAAGGAGCGCCAAGTAGATCGACTACCTCGAGCCTGGGGACCTCGAGCCCAGGGACCTCGGGCCTAGGGACCTCGAGCCTACTTGTAGGGGCGCCTCGTACTCTCGGCTGGATCTCAGATAAGGAGGGTCGAGGCACCTTGCATCTGATATCTTGCATCTTACAATCTGCTATTTGTGCAGGTCTTGTTGGTGATTGCGTTGCACAGCTGAGCATCTCTCGTCCCGTTTGTCGTGGTTTGCTGGTGACATCCGTAGCGCGGATCCCTCCTTGTAGGTACCGCAGTCGATCCAAGGCCCTATCCAGCCGTGGCCATGCAAACCCGTCCGCAACAACAAAGAAACTCGGACGAGCGTGATGAAGACGGTTCTGGACCCTGGGCGTTGTGGACGGCACAGCTCCGATTAGCCAGCCCAGCGTGCCCCAGGTGAGGTGGCTATTGCAGCACAGACTGCAAAGCGCCCAGAGGACGTGGGCTCCTCAGGTGCTAAGGCCAAACCCAGGTACCTAGGTACCGCAGCACCGGAAGGCGTGGGCTGATAATCCCTGCCTGTCAAGGATCTGGGGCAGCTTCGCAGGACGAGCTTCGATGACGCCGCCTCGGATCCCACCAACATGAAGCTCCCGAATCTGGGCCACTCTCACTGCCACGAGACCCAGTATCCCACGATATGGTGCCTCATGTCTCCAACAACGCTCCGAGAGCCCTGTTGAGGGCTAACTGCGCCCGCACGAGCTGCAGGGCCGCCCGGGCCTACAGCACTCCTCGCCAGACCGGCAGCCACCCCCCCCGCCATATCAGCCGCACCTTCTCGAGCTCTACACCAGCCCTCACCATCGTCAGCCCTTCCCTCCCGACACAATCCCGCTGGCTCGCCGCCAATGGTGCTTCAACCTCTCGCTCCCGCAGGAGCTACGCAACTGCATCGAACCCCGACCTTCCCAGCGACATCGCCGTCCTCGGCGGTGGCCTGACCGGTCTCACCACCGCCTACTACTTGACGCGTTTCCACCCGGACGCCAAGATCACAATCTACGAGTCCCAGGCCCGAGTGGGAGGATGGATAGACACAGAGCAGGTCGAAGTCACCACCCTTGCGGGCACTGACGAGACCATCAGCTTCGAGCGTGGCGCCCGCGTCGTCTCGCCCCAGACCACGCTCACACGGTACGAGGATTTCGTGCTGTACGACCTGGTATGGCAGCTCTGCGGCCCTGCTTCAACAGCCCATGTCCCATGCTCATACTGACTTGCCTGTCAGATTGCAGAACTTAAACTGGTAGACGAGTCGGTTGCTCTCTGCAAGGACGACCCAGTGCTGAAAACCCGCTATGTCTTCTATCCGGACCATCTGGTCGCCATCCCAGGAAACCTCCCAAAGGATTTCTTTGGGAGGCTGAAATGGTTTACGAGTCTCGCACACAAGATAATGACTGAGCCTATTTTCACCGGACTTGTCAGGTCGGCAGTGTCTGCAGTCCTTACTACAAACACGCGAAATGCACAGGCAGCACAGCGAGCATTGGCAGAGGGCCATAGGAATAGGTCACACGCCATCGCGGATCTGAAAGACGTGTCCATGGGCGAATATTTCGAAGGTCTTCTTGGCCGCCCAGACGTCGTCGATAACCTCCAGTCGGCCTTGATCCACGGCATCTGGGGCGGTGATGTCTGGAAGCTGAGCATGCGGGAGGGTACTTTCCAGCAAGCGCTCATACAAGAAAAGCACGGTGCAACCCCTCTGATTGCGGTAAAAGATCACGATTTGTACTCGGGCCGAGATATCGCCGTGAGAAATGAATCGGCGTTGCTGCTGGCCAACTTTTTCAACCCCAAGGTTGGATACATATGCTTCCGTAACGGCTTCAGCACCTTGACAGATGCACTGGCCAAGTCCTTAAGGAACAATCCCAATGTGACCATCAAGACGGGCACCCCCGTTACCTCGATCAGGTACGAGCAGGGAAAGGCAGTCATCTCTGCACCCGAACAAGTCGGGGGCACTGCTTTTGGTGAAGCGAAGTACGACAAGGTGATATCGAGCCTGTACAGCGGCAGCCTTGCCAAGCTCACAGGCGATTCTCTCCCAACCTTGAAAACCCACAGCACGGCTGTTACGATCCAGATTGTCAACCTGTGGTACCCTGATCTCAACCTGAATGCCGACCACCCTGGTTTCGGGTACCTCATCCCCCAGTCTGTGCCCGCGGAAAACAACCCACACGCGGCGCTTGGCGTCATCTTCGACTCAGATCGTGATGCGGTGGCCAACGTCCCCGAGCGCGAGTCTGCACCGGGCACAAAACTTACCGTCATGCTCGGCGGGCACTATTGGGACTACCTGGACGCCGACTCGTGGCCCGATGCCAAGGAGGCCACGGCGATGGCCATGGACACCGTTCACCGTCAGCTGGGCATCCCACCCACGCAGCCCGTCTTTACCTCGACCAAAGTCTGCCGCGACTGCATACCCCAGCACCTGGTCGGCCACCGGGAGCGCATGGCCCAGGCCCACACCGAGCTCTACGACGCCTTTCGTGGGACTCTGGCCGTCGTCGGCAGCTCCTACACCGCCCCGGGCGTCCTGCCCAGCCTCAAGGCCGCCCGCGACGCGGCACTCCAGGTCTCTGGCCAGGGCTACAAGCTGAAGGACGGGACCGAGTATGACATGGTGCACGTCGGGCAGACGGGGCTGGCCCGCTTTGCTGGTAAGAATGAGACCTACCAGCTGCGCGACAGAAGGGAGCTTCCGTACCGCTTCGGGAACACCAAGGTTGATGCGCATGATGATGGTTGGTCATTCTAGTGATTGTCTATTGCCAATGGCTCCTTGGCTTGTACATATGATAGAAAGGACTGCCACAAAAAGAATAGAACATGCGAGATCTGAACAGCCTTCGTAGTGACGCCCAACTGATGGAGTCTCTCTCCCACCTCGCTCCACGCCGAGATCCAGGACGTGACTTCAAGGGTATTGTTGGGATGAGTATAAGTGGAAGAATTGCGCAGGAAGGCGCCTCTCGTAGTCTGGGGACTAGCAAATGATCGAATTCGATCGTGCGAGTGTCCTGCTTTCCACATGTACTGCCGAAGTAGATTAAGGAGAGACAGTGGGCCTACATGCATTTCACTGATTCTTCCTAGACTGGAACAAGTAGACTGAACACACGACATGGGGGTACGTTGGGTCCCTGATTCGAGACACACACTGAAGAATCGCTTGGTACTCACCGACTCGTCAAACCGTGTGTCTGGAAAGCGTTCTCTTTCTCGTCCCTGGTACTACAGCAGTCAACACAACAGCCCAGAGGTGAATAACAGACCCACCGAAGATAACCGTGAAGACATATCACAAGCCATTGAGCAGGCATCGTCGAGACGCGGACGGGGAGTGATCGCCTGGTGCCTACGTCGTCCGCATCATCACTCCGTCTCGGTGCCCGCGTGGAAGCTCATCACAACGGTATTCTGCTCGCATAGACTGGGGGTGGGGGCCCGGGGTACTTCAGTTCATAGATGGTCATTTCATGTCGCATTTCTATCTAAACCTCCCAGATTATCATCAGCCGCGGTATCATTTCAGTCCATGCCTTGCCTAAGTGAGATCTACGAGAGGGAACGACAGACAGTATTAATCTGACGCCAGGAGACGTGTAAAGGAAGAGTCAACTTATTCCCTAAATATCCGTCCCGTGCAGAGTAATGATGACGATAGTAATAATAATGATAATAATAATAACCTATATAGCCAAGCGCTCAAAGACTTGTCAAGGGAAGACGATAGAATAGAAATGGTAAGCCACGTGTGGCATCATTATATGGACGTATTTCCGGCGTCCAGGTCATGGTTCTGTGTCAAGCTTGATCCGGTGAGAACGGTGAGCCAAGCTTGACCTCGACCGCCAGCACGCGAGGGCGATCCTCTGTGGTGGGACCCATCTCATCAAGCTTTTCTGACTGAGAAGTCGACCGCCGTGACGACTGAGGCGCATCTGACTCGATCTTCTCAACGTGCTCATCCTTTTGTTCGGCTGGTTCAGTAGGAGTGGAGGCCTGGTATTGTGCGGGTAGTGCCTGGGGAGAAGCCGCCGCTGCGTCGATGTCAGATCCGCGCGCTCCTTTGTCTTTGTTGTCATCTGATGTCGCCCCTGACTCGGCCCCGCGGCGGAGATGGTATTGAAAATCTAGATCCTGCTCCTGTGCTGAGCCCGCCGTCGTTGGCGTCCGAAGAAGAGCGGAATCCTGGCCAACACTGGTAGCAGCACTGGTCGCGGCGCTGCTTGGAACAGCACTACTCGTATTGCTCATAGCACCACTGGTAGGGCAGTTGGTTGATGTCGCGGATCGTGGAGTCGTGGACGGAACGATGACATTGAGGACACAATCGTCCAGGTGTTCGTAGAAATCTTGAGCTGTGAAAAACTGGGTGTGACAGATGGAGCATTTGGCAGTTGCACCTGCACTGGTAGTCCCACGAGACAGAGCTGCACCGCCATCTCTAGACGACGCCGCAGATGAGGAGCTGCTGAAGGCTAGTTGCTTACGACTATTCGGTGGCGTCTGTTCAACATTGTGGACGGCGGTTAAATGTCGCTTGAAGACATCGGCGCGGTTGAAAGATTTCTCGTACGCCGTTCCGGGGCCAGGGCAAAAAGGACAAACCATGGTTCCCTTGTAGTGCGTCAAGGCATGCCGATTCTTGTCATACTTTCTGGCAAATCCTTTCGTATGGTACTCGCATGTCTCAATAGGACACTTCTCTGGCCTTTCCTCCATGTGAGTCAACATATGGGCAGCGAGGTCTTTGAAAACCCGCCCACACTGTGGGTGTGGGCATCGGTTGCGATTTGAAGCAGGTACCTCATCCGGTCTGTTGATGCTCGCAATGTTGGCAAAATTCGTGGTGTTACTTTGAATCGGGCTCGTCTGGAAATTGATCGTTGCCGGAGTAGCGAGAGGCGGGATCTCCAGAAACGGAGCTGCCAGAAGAGGAGCTCGTTGCGCAGCAAGAATGTGAGGAGGCACGCCATGAGGCAGAGAAGGAGGTGCTGGAGCAAGCCTGGGTACTTCGAGAATTGGAGATCGGCGGCCGCTTCGCGGAGACACGGCTTCAGATCGCTGCTTGAAGTCGCCATCGTCTTCACCACTGTCTGACTCTTGATCATTGACATCCACCGACTGTCTGACCTCCTTCATCCAGTCTTTCAAAATTGTCATTGGTGGCCAGTCCCCGCTTGCCTTGCCACCCCTGTGAGGGTTGAAATGCGCTCTTCGCAAGTGAGCGGCCGCGTTGTAGTAGGCACCATATCGTTTCTGGGTGACGCAAGCCTTGCACTTGGACAGTGGTACCACCGGCTGTGGTGAGCCGGGACTGTAAATTTGCGGTTCGGAGCAAACCCATCTCTTCACAAGAGCAGCATGCTTGGCGTCATTGTGCCTTCGAAGCTCGTGCTCGCCTCGGAACCCTTCGGGGTACTCATTGCATTTCGCACAGTAGACTCTGCGAAGTGGTGGTCGTTGATATGATGGTCTGATCCTAGTTGCGGGAATTGGGGAGGTGAGCCCCGTCCCTTCACCGCGAAATAAGGGGCTTTCCGCAACGCTGTGTCTTCGCGCAGGGCTAGTCGACTGCGGCGATACCATTGATGGATCAGAAAAGAGCCTAGGAGCAAAGGAAGTTCCTCCTGGAAGCCCACCGTTTGTGCTCCAGTGTTCGCTGATAGGGCGGACTTCGGGCAGGGGTCGCCGAGGCCCCTCCCCAGTACCAGGAATAGACATTGTCGCAGGCCGCCCAGGTCGATGGCTAGGTGTTCTCTGCTTGATGAAGCCGTTCACGATGGGGCCAATGTTGTCAATGTCCCCAAGAAGCAGCAAGAATTCTCTCGTCGATGTCAGACCTTGCTCATTCCAGTATTCCTTTTTCGTAATGTCGTACAACATGTTGAAAAGCGCGCGATCATCCTCGTTCATGGCTAGGTTATAGTCGTCGAGTAGCATTGGCGATACAGCGCCAAACACGCTGACCAATGCCTTGTAGACACCCGTCATAGTCGTTGCAGTTGAGATCGCGGTGGAACTCGACAGAGGGCTGGGTATCGGACCGGAGGAAGCAATATCCACAAGAACGGTCCGCACAACACTGAACAAACACAATGATACAAAGACAGAAACCCAGGTCCTTGGATTCATGTGGACGCCGCTCTGCGTGATGTTCTCAAAAGACTGCAGGAAGTCAGTCATGCAGTTGTACAGCAGTCGATATCGGCCATGATTGGTAGAGTCATCACAGACTGAGCGTGTCTGTAAGTTGTTTGCCTCTGCATGTATTGAGGGCTCCGCTTGTTGCAAGTCGTAAAACAAGACTTCTCTGAGCAGCAGCTTGACTCGGTATAGCACCGGAAATGCCACGGCTTCAACCTCCCTGTCCGATGACATGTATCCGCTCAGCCTGAGAAGCTTCCAGAAATTGTATGTCGTCCCGCTCATGTTCCAACTGGCTGCCAGAACTGACAGCAGGGGCGGTGGTCTCTCGACTGGCTCTCGCTGGAACGATGACACGGATCTACTAGATGGGGATAACTTCGAAAGATCCTCAGACCACCAGAACCCATCATCGAAATCGAGGTTGTGTTTCACCAGTCGTAAGAAGTCGGTATTTACTAAGTATGCTTGCTCGAGGTACTCGTTCATGTTTCGCCTTGGTACAAGAGGTGAGGCAAGCGGAGTCTGACTTTGCCGTGGCGAGATAGATACTACTCTGTCGTCAGTTGTTACAGTAGCTGCAAGGTCGGTCCAAAATGACGTACTCGGCACCAGGGTCTCAGCGAAAGCGCTGAGGGGCCCTCTATGACAACCGAGGACAGCCCAGAAGCCGCCAGAGGGTTGGTCCGCCTGGCTCAGGCAGTAGGAGCATGGGTCGTTTGAGTCGCACTACACCATTAGAAACAGTGCACATCAGGGACGTTGTGAGGAAGCGATGCTTACCTCCTTCCTCGCTATCTTGCATCGAAGGCATGGCTTGACATCGCGTAGCAGCCTGAGTTCCTCGATAGACTCTAGCCTGGACTGCCCAACACGACTGCGCTTCAGAGGTGGGAGAAGAGGGTCAACTTCGGAGTCGACCGAGCCTCGCAGATCTCTCGAGGACGATGTGGGCTCTGATATAAACGAGTAGGACCTTAATGAGTCCCTGGGATCTCGAGGATGTGCCGGAACCGGGGGTGTTGAGAGCTGCAAGCTGCCACTGGGCCGTGGTAAATACAGGGGTGATGAATTTTTTGAGTACTCATGGCTGTAGTTGCGGTGATGGGCCGCCTGGTCAGATATCGCTGGTGGTGTGCCGCCGATGGACAACCCGGAATCTCGCTTGGACGACACCAGATGGTCCCTGCTGTGCTGGTCTCGCTCCTCTTGGCTCGGAAAACCGTAAATGTAGTGCAAGCACCTTTCATCCCAGCACTTGAAGGACCGAGAACCACGGAACTTTGACGGAAGACTGTCCCTCAATCTCCAACCCCGAGCAATCGGATCATAGTACGATAAATTTCGGTCCAGCCATGCCTCGTATCCAGCCGGAGCATCATGGCGAAAGTAAATTTTCAAATCCTCATTTATCCTCTGCTCGTGGAGGTCCAGACCTGTTGGCATGTGTTAGGACACAGCGAGGCAACTGCCCCGTATATGCTCGAAAACGGTTGGGAAACCAGGACGTACCTTGCTCTAAACAAGCCGTCTCGATACACTCGCACTGGTACTGGAGTGCTCTGGCATCCTCGATCTCAAACAAGACCGGAATCTTATCGGATATATCTGATATGCTACAACATCAGACGGAGGGGCACCAAGAGGGGTACGGTCAGAGCCAATGGAAACAGACAAGACATTGGCAATGTAACAAGTGTGGACAGGACATTCAAGGCCAATGCGGGTTGGGAGTCAGAGAAACACGAAGAGCTTGCTTACGGTTGTCATCGGCGAAAGCGCGCAGGGATTTGAACTTGTGCCGCAGCATGGCAAGTTCGACCTTGAAGTCTGGACCGTGCTTTCGGGGCAGCAGAGCGGCGATCTTGGCTTCGATCTCGGCTTGCTGGTCAAGAAGGGCCCTGATAGTCGGGTCCAGGGTGGAGTCATGGGCAGGACTGGAGGCGAAAGCTGAAGCCTGACCCTGGCTGTGGCTACGGGCGTGACCAGGCAATGGAGCAGAAGGAGCTGGAAACCCAAAACCTGGGATCCAGGAGGGCCCAGGAGCAGTGGTGGCGGCGGAAGGGGCGGCGCTGGAGGTGTCGCGATCCAGCCGGGGCGCGGAGGCGACTGTGTGGATGGGCCCGGGGTTTTCGGAGGCCATGAGGCCTTGACACGGCCGGGGCTCCGGTGGCCGTACGGCAACGCCAAGACAATTGTTGGAATGGGCAGACGGCGTGAAGTTAGGATGCGTCCGCCTCGTCGGAGGTGTTTCAGTTATTGTCTCAGCAGTCGTTTTCCTTTTTTTTTTTTTTCTTCCTCGAATTTTGTCTCGCTTCGCCGTAGCTGGCACCAGGATCGTCGATCGATCCAGCTCTGCAGCATACGCAGCGTCTTGGGTGGGCGGCCGACCTGAACGTCACTTCGGATGCAGCTCTGGCATCCCTTCACACAGGCCGAGCCGACTTGAGTAACAGTCTGCCGATTTTGCCCAGCCCTGCTCGGTTGGTCACTAGCCGCCTCTGGCCTCGTTGGTACACAAATTAATTCGGCCGATGCCGGTATTGGACTCGTCCTTTCCTCGCCGGTGCTTCAACAAGTCAAGATGATCAAGAAGGGAAGCAGGTCCATTTGGTATCCAGAGGAGAATGATTCGTCGCTTCTTGCGCGGACTCATTGGAAGGCGAGGAAGATATCAGACACATATGGACGGCATGGCGCGTGGTAGAGGAGGCCAGTCGTAGGACGGTGGTGAAGTTGTTTTTCTAGGCAAGGAGAGGGCAGGAGCGCGCAGGAGGGGAGACGGGAACAAAGGCGAAGGGCGAGGATAAGAACGGGATGGGGGTGGAGGGTGTGAGGATGTGGATGAGGACGAGGACGAGGGTCGAGACAGCGTGTGGCGCAAGGCGATTCAGTCGAGGCAGGCAGGGCAGCGATAGATAAATGGAGACGGGATGGGCAGGAGGGCTGCTGCATGCTCATGTGCGATTGATGGGATCTGGAGCTGTAGCTGGAGCTGCAGCTGTGCCAAATGAGGGAGGAGGGCGAGGGCGAGGTGTGAGGGTACCGTACAGGCTGCAGGCACAGGCACGAGCACGGGCAGAGGCTGCAGAGGCAGGAGAGGCAGGAGAGGCAGGAGAGGCACAGGACGAGCGAGTGATATACATACAGCATTGCACAAGACAACACCCACCCCAAGTACATGTAGTTATGCAGTCAGTCCGTCGAGTATCCCACCACCAGACTGGGGACAGAGATACATCGGCGGGGAGGGTACGGGGGACCTGTGGACAGAACCCCACCTGGGCAGCTCAAGGGCACTGCAGTTGCAGATGCAGATGCAGACTGCAGGCGCCGCAGGTGTAGTCTAGATGCAGGCGCAGGCGCATACGCACCAGACAGACACAGACGGAGACACAGACGCAGCAGACGGACGCAGACGCAGACGCAGACGCAGATGCACTTTCCAGCTCGAGCCTGGACGGATGTTGAGCCCTGGACGAGCTGAGGGGATGGAGGGGGGGGCCCTTGACCGTCGAGCATCGACATGGTCATGAACTCGGGCGTGACGGGGTAAGGCAGGGGTTTAGGAACATGGGGAAGAGGTCTTCTCTCGCCTGTCCTGTTCTGTTCCGTTTCGATCTCTCCTCTCCTGTCCTTGTCCTGCATGGAGACACAAAAAGTGAGCAGGGCATGCCAAAAGGCAGGACCAGCCCGGACTACGGTACTTGGCTAGGTACCAAGGCACAAGGAACATGATTTCCAAGGGACCAACCTTGGAAAGCAGTGCCAGTGCAAGGATCAGTGCAGATTGGGTGGGGCGACCGTTGACTTGATGATGGTGGCCGTGGCTTGGATGGCTGGATGGCTGGCAGGTAGAGGGGCAGGACGGGGGGCAGACCAAACAGGACCAAACAGGCAGTGTGCATCCGCAGCGGCTTGGTTTATCATCTGCCTATATCGCAGACCACTACCTACTCAGATACTGGTAGTATTGTACACCCGCCATTTATTACCTACCTAGGTACTGTGCGTAGGCATGTTGGAAGACCGGATATCTACTGTACCTGCTAGGCAGGCAGGTATGTATCCACGCAGATAGTCGGCTGGCGCTGGGCTCCTCGAGGTAGTGCCCCAGCTGCAGTGGCGCGACTTCAAAGCGCCAAAACGGCTGCACCTCGCGTGCCCTGCCTGCCATGCGTACCGAGCGCACCCTGCCCAGCCAGCCCAGCCTGTCTGAACTATTTACAGTACTCTTTGACGTGGACTATATTCATACCCACATCGTCACGTATTATAATGGCACCGCACATGGTTTTTGTTGATACCCTCTCTTGCTAGTCCCCCCTTCTGCCCTGGCCACTAATCAAGGTCCGACCATGGCCGCGACCCTCGCTCCTACCCCCAGCTCGATCTTTTTCTGACCCCATCGACTCCTCGACTCGCCTCGACTCGACCTGACCCGTCGATGGCCCCTGAGGTCCACCCGTTACCTCTCCTCTCAGCTGTTGCGATTGGTACGGCCTAGAGAACACTCCATGTCTTGGCACCTGTCCGTCCTGCTCACCAGGCAACCTTAGAAGCTTGGACCCGTCGAGCTGCCCTCGAGCTGCCTCGAGCTGGGCGTCCACAAGCTGCCTCGAGCTCCCACCCCTGCCAACCTTGGACCTCGACGAAGCTTGACCACCTCGCTGATCACCAAGGGTCGGAGCTCTGCGTTCTGGTCCCAAGAAACCCCAGATCCTCCCGAGAGGCTCAGATCACCGGCCTGACAAGACCGCGCTGCGCAACACACGCCGTTCTCCTCCTCACGCACGGTTATCACTCTTGGTGCCCGTCATTAATTAAGTCGTCGCGGTCCTATTCTTCTCCGCTGGCGGGCCGTCCATTCGCTGTCATCTGCTGCCCAGTCTCAGCACCCCTCGATGCCCGCCTGCCCGCCGTGGGCCCAGAGTTGCTGCGTCCTATGTGAGCATCAACGCCACTCGCCTTGGCTTGGCGTCCAAGCTCTTGTCTCGCTGGCCCAGGCATTTGCCGTCCCTCCTATCCGGCTCCCGCTGCCCGTTATAACAGGGGAGATAAGACCTCCCCAAGGATCGCTACATCTCGCTGTCGATCCCATCTTTGTTTGGACGCCAAGCTCGATCAACTCTAACCATCACCACAGGCTTGACCTGCCGAGCGAAACATCGCTGTGTCCCCTGCGTACAGTATATCACACCATTCTACTGGCGGCGTCGGCTTGGACGCCCGGGGCAGCAGGGGTAGGGATGGCCTCGCGATGCCTATCCGAGCACTGAATGGCACTGCAACCCGCCGTAGGCGGGACCGCACGCGCTCCTGCCAGTGCACTGCAGTGGGCAACGCCTGCTGCTTTATTACTGTACCATGCACGTCCAAATCTATGCCGGCATGTTTTGCGCATCCGTTGTTGTGACCAGGCCGTGACACTCGTCTGCCCCTCCCGCCATCATACCCTCTGGGCCCATCGCCGGCCCATCGGTTGCGATGGTACGACTCCCAGCTGGGATTTTAACTGCGGTACTATAGGTCCAGGAAGCCATCGCAGCTCAAAGTCGGTGCGACTCCAGCAGACCGCACCCTGCCGCACCACCCCGTGCCGCCTTTTGTCCCCCGAAAACTATACCGGAATACTTCTCTGGGCACGGATACTGCGGACACAACCTGAGAGGTAGGTCTTCAGAGGCATGATCCTCGAGCTTGCTGATCCGCCGGAAAGGGTCCTGGCTACCCTTGCTTGCCTTGCGAACAGACGAACTGAGTTCGGCCAGACTGGACCCAAGTCTTGACTCGGGATCTACGTGAGATCAAGCTAGTATCCCTGTGATCACCAGCTAGCCATGCAATATGGGAAGGCAATTCGCACATGTTCACAGACACGTCCCCGGCTACCGGACGAGACGTCCCGCGGCTAGAACGTCAAGGGAATCCTTGGGCTGAATTTGGCTCCAGCTCTCGACTTTCTCTTGTCCTCTGCAGTCGTAGATCCCCCATGCTTTTTTGATTGAACCTACAGTGGTGAGTGGAGTGTGGGGCAGCGGAATGATGACATTGGAGTTGAAAGTTCGAGGACGCAGAACTCAGATGAACGTATCGAGTTATCCTGTCACCGCCGGGCTTTTCTTTTTCAGCCACAGCAACTGTTCGGTCTGAAAACTGGAGTCCAAAGCAGGACCTTGCGCTAGGCTTGGGAGTCGGCGTTCGAGCCCCAAGTTCAGCGTTCTTTGTGTCGTCGATCTTGACCAGGGCAACGGCAGAATTCGGTGACCCAAGAGGAACGACTCGGCGCTAGAGCACATGGAACTGACATCGAATGGGGCGACTCAACGGCGGATGAAGGGGCCGCCTTCCAGAAAGTCGTCTAGAAACAAAAAAGACTGTCCGTTCCACTGAGCGTTGGCGACTTGCCAGCGAAACACTGCTTGCTATGCACTACCGAGCGATGGGGTACAAGGCCGCTGTGGAGATATGCCGTCTCTGGTCTTCGCAAAACTCAATGCTGGGTTTGGAGAAGGAAAAAGATAAGATGTATGTGTATCACCCACGCGATGCCATGTGCGAATGAGGCCGTACCGATTGATCCGGGACGGAAAGCTTCTACTCAAGCGGGATCGCCATCGTGATAAGACACGAGCATATCGGCGACTCGATTCAATCAATTATGAGCAGATTGGTTGGCCGAGCACATCAGCGAGCCCGGCACATCGCAAGGAAACTGCAACTCCAAGTGGTCGACATGATAGCCGATACAGGATGCAACCCCGTCGGACGGACGCAACACCCCCCTCTGAACTCTTGCGCAGTACAGCTCCGCGTCCAACGAGCACGAGAACGAGCCTGGTACCAATATCGCCACCATGCAATGCAGACTGGCACGCCTCGTCCGCATGGCGCAGAGACGCATGGCAACCTCTGCCTATCGGCACAAACTCTCTAGGCGCTGGGCTGCCAAACCATCAATTGGCCTTGGCTCGGTTGCTGGAAAGCTAAAGCTCGCCTGGGGAATATCGTGATTCTCAGTGAGCAGCCTCGCTGGTGCAGTGGCCACACCCACTTCACATGATCTATGCCGAGAACTGCATGCTCGTCCGAGGAAAGCAACCCTTCTCAGCTTGATGATCACGCCGGCCACCGACGCCCATCCCCATCATTGCTTCCCCGCCCGGTTGCACGCCTCATCTTAAGCTTGTTTCCACGTCTGTCGGCCTGTCAGCTGGGGCAAGGTCCCCTTCAGCGAGGCGACAGGACAACCGCAGCCTGCCTAGTGGCACTCGACCTGTACACTGCATTTGCTCGCCTCAACAGCCTCAGCTGCCAGCGACGAATCTATCCCGCCCTTCAATGCCCTTTCATCTGTCCCGCATTCTGCTCACGTTACCATTCCCCGACCACATTTGTAGATCCCCGACACAGCCGCCACCATCAGCTGAGCATGGGACAGCAGCGGTGAGCGCTTTGGGAACCCGTGTCAGTCGATTCATGAGGACCGGCACTTGAGCGCACAGTCGCTTCGGGTTGCGACCTTGTTCCCGATGGGGCTGAGCACAGCCGAAGTATTCTCCCTCAAACACTGGAGGTGAGAGCCACCACAGTCCTGTGCTCGTGTCGGAGCTTCCTCGGGGGTATCTGGCTTGCGACTGCACGGCCAGTCGCGGGGTTGCTTGACTTTTGTCCCCAGGCCGTGTTGCGCGTTGATCATGAGGCAGGCAAAACGAGGGAGAGGGTCCGTCATCGATTCATTCTCCGAGATCGTGAGCTTCATGGGCTATAGAAATAGTCGACCCCATCACCCCCTACCCACATAAGCAGTATGATGCCAAGACCTTCAATTTTCTCCAAAAGTTTCTTCGAAGTACTGCGTAGTCGGATCGGCCCCGGAACCCTTAGGGGTATCCCCCTTGACGGTTGCATCTATCTAGTCAGCGCCGTGGCGGCTGCACATTTGCCCACCCGAGAGTGGGGTTGGTTGCTCTTCTCACAATACAGTATTGCAACACGATCTAGTGCCACTGTCAGTGGTTCACATGCCCCTTGTCTGCTTTGGCTAGGAGGCAGGATATGTCCCTGGTTCCTGTAACACTTTTACTTTGGGGCAGTTTCCCGGGAATGTCAGAGAGCTTGGTCGCTGTCGATCAATTATCCACCATAAACCATAAACCCAAGCACAGCCTACCATTATACGTGCGAGGAAAGCGGCCATGGCTCTGACTGCCTCTTAGGGTGGTAACAACGGTCGCACTCACCAAGTCTATCTGTACCAAGCGGGATGGCAAGCAAAGCTCGAGCATGCAGAGCAAGGCCATGCTCCGGCGATGGAATAGGAAGACGGGGCCTGGGCCTCAATCTGGAAGAGCCCATGAAGTCCTACCCAAGTGACTTGTATTGCTACTTAGTACTATACACCATACAGCCGGCCACTCATCGTCAAAGGGTGAGATCGGTTAGTGACACTTCGGAGTACCAGACTTGAAAAGCAAATGAATGTTAAATCGACAGCTTTTGCACAATGTATCTGAGTCTTCAATATTTGAATCCACATCTTCGCCAAGTAAGCAGAACCGCCAACTCTCCTCCCTCAATCTATGCGATGCATTGTTGAGGTTTTCCATCTTGACCCATCTTGACTTGCGCTGCGCAACTGCTGTTGTAACTCTTCCCTACAGAGGCCCCATGGCTTATCTGTAGCCGTATACCTAGTTTGCAGAGAATGACGTGGTGTTGAGGAGCCCATCAGGTCGGTCTCCATAGGTAGACTATGTTTCGTAGTAAAGGGTCACCGTTCCGTCTGCGGTGGGAAATATCTCCAGGAGTCCGGGGGCCGCTGGCCTCCCCATCCAATTACGGCCGCGGATTGCTCCTGGTTGCCGCTCTGCTTGCTGTGTGGCGCCAAAGCAGTGGGCGTTATGACACGTTCCTCTTGGTTTGGTTTTCGTAGATGTCGTGTGGTTAATTGGAAGGTGGCTGAGCCCTACTACACCAGGCTCCGATGATGCTGGCCTAGGCAGCGTCGTCAACGATGCTCCAAAACAATTGAACAATCGCGTCTTGCTCACGCAAATAGATATGCCTCGATGTTGTCCCAGCCGATGTATAGGCTATGTGTCTTCTGTAAATGGTCTCTTGCATATTTGACTTCAAAGAACATCAACCCGCAACCATGGGCAAGACACCAGTGGCTACACATTCACGACAGTCACCCCTTGTGAGCCTTGGCCCATATTCAATGAGAAGCAAATTGTTAGCTGCTACATATTAGACACAATTAGATAGGGCAGACTTGCTTCAGAATATCTGACATGGCACGCGGGTCAAGTCGTACACCAAAAACATCGATAGAAGCACGGAGAACCCCTGACTTCTTCAACTCCCAGTGTACGTGCGTTTCGGACATCTTGCTAGCATGAACGTGTGCTTCTTGTATCCAATGATCCCAGGCTGCTAGTGTGAGCTGGTCATTACACGGGAGAACAATCCATGGTCCTTTGTAACTGTTGCTGTCCTCTCCTGTTCTACCAGGCATAGCTGTGCTTCCAATTACCATTGTGGTCTTGAACACTTGATCCTGCACTGCTCGTGGAGCAAGTTCATTGTCGATTGCGGTGTCATGGAAGTCTGCGGAGATTGCTCCTTGGTAAGAAGGTAGAAATGGGTACTCTTCCTACGTCGTGAGGTCCGAGATCGCTGTTAATGGTCGGTCCCTGATAGCTGGCGAGCCAAATAATCCATGCTGCTGCTCGGTATGGCTCCGACATTACTGGGAAGAAGGCTGTTTTGTGGCCCGAGATGTCCAGTTTCCGCCACAGGCTTTCCTTGTGACACTGGCTGAGCAGTTGAGGCCCATCTTGGCGCAGCGGTGGCATTTCTGGCCCGGCCAGGCGCGGTTGGCTAGGGTGCACTTCACGGAGTTGTCAGGCCTGCAAGTTTACCGTATGACCGGCGATATTCACGGGATTCTAGTCCTTCCTGCAGGATATGCACTTGCTGTAGTCCAAACGAAGTCTCTTGCCGGTGAACTGTAAGATTCCCTATGATAAGTGGCATGCGGTTTAACTGCTCGTTTGTGGCCCCTTTCAGGGGCATTGCTTCCTTGAGACCGACAGAGGACTTGGTGTTCTGGCGGTGGTATCTTTGGCCTCTGGTGACTCGGTGCTGTCTCTACTGTAGCTTGACCTTTGAACTTTTTGATCATATATTCCAATTTTAGTAACTGGTTCATCAGCTCAACCTCTCGCTCGCTGGGCAGATGTTTTGGCGTCTGTATCTTGTTGCTAGGCGGATTGTGACAATCATCTTTTGGTATCTGCTGAGGCTACATAGAAGTGAAGCGGTCTTCCCAGGAAATATTGGAGTCTATTTTGAATTCACGAATGTGCTCTGACCATATATCATGAGCTAGAAGAGATTGTGGTGATGAGAGTCTCGCTGCATTCCCGATGTGGGCGTAAGTGATACAGGCGGCTTAGGCTCCAACCTTAGAGTCAGGCTGAATATTGCTTGTACCTGACGTTCAAAGGCACCTCTTGTTGGCTACTTGTGGAAGCGCCTGTCCGAAAGTCTGGCTAAGTGGTATTGTCGAAGGAAAACATGATCCTTAGATTCGGGTCGTGATGAAGCCTGCAGATATAAACACAGTACGGCGGAGTATTTCTGCTATTGAGAAAGGGAGGAGTTCCTGCTGTCGCAGTATCGCACTATCATGCAGGACCGCAGTGCCGCAGTGCAGGTCAACGCAGCTCGAACTCGCTGCTGACGGTTCTGGGGGGGTTGGTGTCCACCACCCGCACAGTTGCAGTAGCTGACTCCAGCTGCAGGTGCAGGAACACCACCTCGCCGGATGCCGTATCATAGAGTTCGCCCTCAAACCTATCGATAGCATACCATACCTGCCTATTTCTGCAGTAGAGACCCATCTCCAGCAAGACGAACCCGATGGTGTCTTTCCCTCAACGATGAGGCCTTTTGCCGTCGTGGGGAGTGGACGCACTCGGATCCGTTGAAAACCCAGCCTACATTCCCTCTGAGCATGGAGCCCTCCACCAGGCCATCTTGACCCAATCGCGCCAGTACTTGCTTCTAAAAGACAATTATATTATCGCGCTTTGGTATACGCTAATGCCTATATACTGGTTTTCTTTTGACTCCTCGCAGAGAGCATGTTGAATGACTGGGAACCTGTCCCCATCTCTTGGGCAACATCACGCTCGAGTTTCGTGACGGTTGCCTCCGTGCTGAAATCATCGACACCCCAAGACCGGGCGAACGCAAACGGGAGCAGGGAGCAAGGCCTCACTGCTCAGCCCACCGCCGTTCCCGCAGCGGCAGCTCCTTTCCCTCGGCGGTACGGCTCCCGTCCACCTCGGCCTTCCACGCCCAGTACTCGCCCAGCCTGGTCTCGGCGTACGACGCGTAGTCGAAGTCGATATCGGAGATGGTCGCCTGGATGAGCGCCCAGATGCCCCAGTAGAAGCCTGGGACTCCGCGGTAGAGGTCGACCTCGTCGGCCAGTTTCTGGATCTCGGATGCCTCGTCGTGCTCGGGTTGCCCGGGGAGGAGACCGAAGTACGACCGCACGAACTCGGTGATGAACTCGCGCCGTTGGGACTTGGTGGGCAGCACATTGTAGTCACAGTCAAAACCACCCCATTCGGCAAAGTGGTTGCACAAATCGAATGCTGCCGGGGAGGGCACGGCGTATTCGTAGTCAATAAAGGTCACGGTCTCATCGGTCCCATTCGCGGTGCCGTTGCTGATTATCCCGGAGTCTTGGTCGCTGCCCTTGGGCAGAACAATGACATTTCCGCACAGCAGGTCGCAATGCGCGAAGACCAGCTAGGTAAAGTCAGCTCTGGCCTGGCAGCGTTCCACCGGGTTGGTCCTTGACAATAACTTACACCATCCTTCCCCAGGCCTGGCCGGTGGCTCAGCTCAGCTACCAACTTGGACAGCTCGACTTGCAGCAGTTGTTGCCGCTCCCTCTGTGCAGGCGTCTTGGTAGGCAGGGCAAAGATCCACTTCTGCATGACGGTCCACACGTTGGGGGCCTGCTTCCCAGGCGCAGCTGCATCTATGGCCTCCTGTAGAGTCGCGTGCTCCTTCGCAGCCCCGTTGAGCACATCAATGCAGTGCACGTCCATCTTGTCGCTGATGTGCGTCTTGCCCGGAAGACAGGGCACCGTGGCATGCCATTGAGCCAGCCTCCTCGCTACGGCTTGGTATATCTCTGGCCGCCTCAGGTCCTCAGGATGCGTGACGCTACCCCTGATGAACCTGTACATCATGCCGTTGTTGAACCGCGCCAGCAGCTCTGGTGCCAGGCCGTGCTGCGAGAGCAGCTCGTGATTTTGTGTTTCCCGGGCGCGATCGATGATCAAGTCGGTGCCATGGCCGTATGCACGCAGCAGGATGGCCTCCCGGTCGACCTCGTCCTTGGACAGCCGGGGGCGCTTGCTGACGGCCTTGAGTAGCGTGTTTGTGATGCCATCGGTAAAGCGCACGAACTCTATTTTGGAGTCTTCTGATGACCACTCCGGGCGCAGGGCCAGGATGAGCTGGCGGGCCGAGTTTTCGGAGTCGGAGCCGTCGTAGGTCTGGGGAATAAAGCGGACCGGAGGATGCTGGTCAGACCCGGCGGCGGCGCGAGGGCCGTTGTCGCCGTTTTGGTGTATCATGGTTGGAGTAAGGGGGGAGAGGAGGGGTCGCTTGCCTTTGTCGGGTTGGTGTGGGTGTGGAGGGGTGCCGGCCAAAAAGGGGCGTCTGCCGGTTTTTATGTATGCAGAGCAGCAACGAATGCACAAACGAGCACTCACAAGACGACTAGGTTCCTCGACACATGCCTTTATCTTTTTGAGTCCCGCCGGTCAGAGCTGATACGACTTGAAGCTTGCCTTTGTTTCTACGTGACACATCCACAGTCTGGTGGGGGAAGACGTCATACTTTGCCCAAGGAGGCAGTGAAAGGGGGGGTTGGGGCGGGAAAAGAGGAAGCAAGCACACACGGGAGACGGGATACACTCACAGTCACAGGTTCTCAAGGTGCTTGACAACAGCTAGTCACCTCGGCGTGGAGCTATTCGGTAGCAAGGCCTTGAAAACGCAAATGCAAAGAGGAGAGGAAACGGTTGGGAGTGCAGTGCGACTGTCACGGGAAGACCAGGTCGACCGACAATACAGCGAGCAGACTTGTATTTGCCGAACAGCAAAATGACCTCGAAACTCAACAGTCTGTGGATGAGGGGCACGGAGGGGCACGAGGACGACTTCCCGAAAAAGAAGCGATCGATGGAAGGGGGAGAGATCTGGCTACTGTTATTAGCCTCCCACGTACCTGTCCAAAAAGCCTTCTGTTTCTCTCCCCCTCGCAAGAGGAGGAGGAAAGGCCTGCCCCTGCTGCTGGCAAATGCCCCCCCCCCCCACACAAGGGTCCTGTTTGCCTCTTCATCTCTGGGCCCACAGTTGCTAAGAGAAATCGAGTCCCATGTGATAGAGGTGGCCAGGCTGGGAGTGGGGAGAGGCTCCCCAACGACCAGCTGTCAGCAGCTGGTTGCGGGGTGTCTACCAGCTACCGCCAACCAGGGAGCGGCTGCCGTCGAGTTCACGATCAAGACTCCCTAGATATATAGTATACGTGACGGGCCATACTGAACGTTGTGTGAGGAATTGGCGATGCTGATATTTTATCTTGATCAGTGGTTGCGTCCCAATACCGCATCATCCTACAGAACCAGCTCCAACCCGCCGCCCACGGCACACCGGACAACGATGTGACGGTCCTTTTCCTCAACGCGCCAATGCTCATGCGCCCAACAGACCACATCACCCATGAATGATGCCTTGGGGTGTGTCGACTGAAGAACCTGCATCGACCTTTTCATGTGCAGGAACATTCCTCATTTGAAACCTAACATTCGATGCATGGGGCGACCTGTCGCAACTCAACACCTCGCCTGATAGCTGAGACCCGTCGAGTATGACTCTCCCGGCTCTCCCAAATCCTTCCAACTTTCTTGGAGTGGCCCTGGTCATCAACAGGAACCGCGATGGGCCCCGCTTTGTCTTCCACTACCCTCCTCACATAGTCCCTGTCGAGGACCGGCACACAGAGGGCAGTGAGGACGGCGTCGACGAGGACGACATCTTGCTGGAACGCGCCGCTGCGCCCATGGACGGCTCGTCGCCGTATAACCTGAACGTGTCTGAGATGCTCCCATGGGATCAAGATGATCACATCGTCACCGACAGCGGCACTCAGATTGTTCCGTGGGAGCATGTCGCTGGGCTCCCTACCAAGGACTTGGAGAGCATCTTGACCCCGGCTAGAGCATATCACAAGACGTTATTCCAAATCTCCTTGGATCCGCTGTACTTCGTTTCATATCCAATCCACAAACCTGACAATGGTATCTGGAAGAAGAAAAGCAAGAAGAGGGAAAACCAGCAGAGGCACAAGAACAGTGATGCCTCGAAAAGGGACGACGACCAGTTGTCACCACACGAGGACCCCCTGGACAGTGATCCTGGCGCCAGAAAGGGGGAGGTAGCCGATGAGGACAACACCGATGTCAGGGACAGACCGGAAAAGTCGACGGTCGGCGCGGGCAAGCCTCAAGACGAGGCAGAAGACAAGGTCAGCTCCATGACCATGTTCAACCTCGTATTCATCCTCAACCCCAGGAAGCACGAAGCCAAGGACCTGATCGATTCCATGTACACCAACATCATCCGCAAGGTCAACAAGGCCTACAAATACGTCCAGCAGCGCAGCGACTTCGTGTGGAAGGAGTCTAAGAAGATCCTGTCCATGAAAGACAAGGCGCGCGAGGAGAAGCGCAAAATGAGCGTGTTGTGGGAAGAGATCCTACATAATTCATCTCTGGCCGCTTCAATGCAAGACCTATACGATGCCATCTCACGCAACAAGATCGCCGCGCTTCAGCTTGACACGGGCGAGGCCACTGTCACACACTCGGTGCAGATCCCCGTTCCCTTCCACATCCCCGATCTTCCACCACTGGAACGCGAGGAGGACAGTCGCGGCTTGTGGATCACAACGGCCAACACTTTTGTCGGAGACAGTGATGCGTTCGAAGAGCCACATTATCTTGATAAGAACTTTGCATTGCTTCTGATGGACGATGACAAGAAGATTATCGCAGAGCTGTCTGCTGACCCTGACGAGACCACACTATCCATGATCGAGTTCGTCCGCCACTCGAAGCCGACCATGTCTTTTCACCAGGTTGCGCAGCAGACAAACAACATTCTCACGCTTGGACAGGTGCGAAAATTCGCACAGCACTTCATATTCTGGCGGCGCGCCATTGCCATACCTCCTCTGCATGCAAGGGACGTCTATTTCCTCAGCCCCAATGCCGACATGAAGGCACTGCCAAGGGCAAGCGCAGACTGGGCGAGACAGTTTCCCTTTGCACCGGCCCTGCCTAACTTCCTCGCCGACCTATCTGCCGCCCCAAGACCATACAAGTGGTTCTGCCCGTCCAAGAGCTTCCGCCCCAGCTATCTTCAGATGTTGGCGTGGCTCATGCGTGGCGGATGGGTGGCACAACTCTGCACTTTCGCGTACGTCGTTGTCTGGCCGGAGATACTGTATGAGGTGGAGTATGCCCTCGAGGCGGAGGAGGTCGCCAAGGCGAAAAGGGCACAGGTTGCAGCTGTGGACGACCTGGAGCACGGCTCGCCTGAAAATGCACCCAGCGCAGCGAGGAACAGGAGAGGCAGCGGAAGGAGCAGTGACATGATGGCGGGAAGCGTCGAGAACCTCGCTTCCTCCACCTCTGCCCTTCAACAAACGGCCAGCGTGGCAGGGACTGCCCTGGAGAGGAGCATCGGTGATCTCAGCTCCGTCTCCATCGGGGATGACGTTCAGCCATCGCCTCTACCCTCATCTCCCTCTACGTCCGTAGTCCTCAGGGACGCATCCGCGCCGGGCTCGGAGGTGCAGTCCCCCACCTCCGCCACGTCCCACGGCCGGCCGCATTCCCAGCCCACTCTGGCCGAGCAGGTCGCGGAGAAGGCCCGCCTCGAGCGCATCGCCGACAAGCTGGCCTGGGAGCTCGCCGAGAAGGCAACGGCGCACGCCCGCAAGGCCGTGCCCAGGGCGACGGACCACCCCAGCGTCAACAAGGCCCCGCACCTGGCCCAGCTGAGCCCGCACATCATCCTGGACGCCAAGAAGGCCACCGGCAAGGAGTCGCTCTACCTGTCCGCGATTGCGAGGCGGCTGCGGGAGAGGAAGACCGCGGCCCCACCGCCGTCGAAGGCGAGGAAGGACAAGGCCAAGGCGCAGCCTGGCCTGGGCGAGGGCCCCAAGAGGGTAGCCGTCGGCGCCGGCTCGGCTGCAGGTGGGAAGGATGGCAAGGCCGGCGGTGATGGCAAGGGCGTCGACTGGGACGAGAGGGTGGCGAACACGTGGCCGCTCTTCTGCAAGTACTTTAACGGGCGGTGCGCGCTGGAGCGGATCGCGCTGCAGGAGGAGATGAAAAGGAAGGACGTGTGGAACTTGTTGACGGCCATGAGCGAGTACCTGCAGACTGTCAGGCACTGGTAGGAGGAGGAGGAGGTGTTGGTAGTATTTGCCTCGGAGCAGGCTGGGGGAAATCCTCGTGTCCAGACCCTCCAACGACCATTCCCGGTCTAGAGTCGACATTTGAAATTCGGGTGGGAGGTCATCCCTGGGACCTGAGCAAGCAGCTTCTGGAGGCGAGAACCACTGCTTATTCATGCTTCTTTTTGCGGGAACATTCCATAGAAGGGGCCCAAGAGCTTGGTATATGTTGAGGACAAACTTGTGGTAGACCACTGAACATCTATTGCTGGAGCCAGCCAGGCAGGAGCAGACACAATCCAGCTTATGAGGAATAAGCCAATGACGAATGGTCATCCCAGTCACATCTGCTCTTAGAATGAGGTTGTCTATGATAGAAATCATTTATTCCAAGGATGTTTAAAGTTTGTCCGAGACACCCAAGTACAACTCGTTTCCACCATGGGACCTGACTTGGACAGACATGAGGGCAGGCAGGTCGATGTTTACAGTGCTGCTACGGCATATTCACGCATCCAGAGGGAGCAAAGATTGACAAATTTGTGTAATATTTCAAATAAGCACAACGCAGGGCCTTCCCTCCCATCAACGGATCCTGCCCCATCCCTTGCTATTGTTGTAGCCTAATCCCCCACATCAGAACGACTCAGGTATCATAGTAAGCAATAACGATCTGTAAATATCAATGCCAATTAACCAATGCGGCCCAGCCCAGCCCCAAAAGAAAAGGAGGGAGAAAAGGAAAAGCCTAATAGTAGAAAATTGACGAATGCAGTGTAAGGAGTCCAGACAAGCAATTGCCTAAGCTCCGGAGGCGGATCCCGTCTGCGTATGCTTGGGGAGGTGGTCCCCTCGGGAGTGGAGATATGAGATCTCAAAACCAACACAATAACGCCAAAATATGTTGCCCTGCCTGGAAGAACACTCCCCAACGTCCGCCTGATGCAAGCAAGAGCAAGTGTCTTGGACTGACTGTAAAGGGAAATACAGATGACCTCTTAGCGACAAACAAAGAACGGGGACCGCCGAGCCTGGGCTGTTGAGGCCGATGTGGCTCTGGGCGGTTAAAGAAAACTGAACAAAAACTATGTGTGACTCGGCGAAGCATGCGGTGATCGCGGCAATATGGAAGTATGACGTCTCTAGTTCGTCAATTCCATGAACTCGTCTTCTTCGTCAAAGCTGTTGCGGTTGAACTTGATGTCTTCCGCGTCGTCTTCCCAGAAGGTGTTGGCCTCCAACATTCCGTTGCCAAGATGGCCGTTGGCATCCCCTTCTGGGCTGATCGAGTTCATCTCGGTGCTGTGGTCGGCGCTGTTGAGAGGCTCCCCCTTGTAGTCGGTGTGATGAGGCACTCTCAGACCCGTTCCTGCCGTTCGTGAATAAGTGAACTCCGTAGCCTCATTCTTGGCAAGGGCCTCCAGCAGCTCCGTCTGCATTCTCTTCTCGTCCTCGGTGATGCCGAATGGGGGATGACCGCCAAGATCATGGATCAAGTTGATAAGCTCCTCTTGTTGTTGGATCTTGGCCTGCAGCATCCACATGAGATCACGCGTCCAACTGACGGCGCCATTCAGAATGTCACCCTTGTTGGGACCTTTGTCCTTGTCCTCCATGGGCAAGCCCGTGGTTATGTTCCCCGCAGCTCCGGTGGTCGCTCTTCTGGCACCTGGACCAGCCAGGCCTGATGTCGCTGTACCTGGGTTGGAAGAGCCGGAGAGTGTCGGTGACAGAGGAGTGCCGTTGGTGATCATCTTGCGGATCTTCTCATCGTCTAGTCTGTGGGCGGGGACCAGCTTGCTAAGGTCCTGGATCCTCTCGTTGATGTTGTCTCGTCTCCGCCTCTCGACCAGATTGTGGGACTCCCGGCGACGCTTCTTCTTGGCCTCCTGCTGCGAGGACAGCGCATTTCCCTGGCCCAGCTTCGTGGGCATTGACGTACCCTTCATCAGGAATTCGTTGATCTGATGATTGCCGCCGTGCATTTCGGTCTGCAGCGGTGAAGACAGACCAGAACCAGGGAATGAGGCCATGCTGTTTGGCGTGTGGGCCCAGTGGCCAGAGGGTGCCTTGACATGGTGAGGACCGCCGCCTGTCCGTATTGGCTGAGCGCCGAATCCGTCTTGAGAACCGATAGACAAGCCCAGCGCTCCCATCTTAGGAGTGAGGGGGCTCCTCGCATTGGAAGCCTTGCGCTGCATGGCCTGCGCCTGGAGTCTCTGACGAGCTTGGATGTGGGCGTTGTCGTTGGGGTCCTTGTTCATCTCGTTGGCCAGGGGAGAGCCGGCGTAGGACATGGGCGACTGTATTGAGTTGCCAAAAGGCTGCGCATAGCCGTGCATGGAGCGGTGTTGGCCAAGGTTCTGCATGAAGGGACTTTGGATAGGATCCCCGTCGGGTGTGTTGGAATAGCCTGACATGTGCGACTGGTCGATCGGAACACTTGGGTGCGCGTTGAAGGCACCTCCATTCTGGTTGTAGCTCATGTTCATCTCATTCATGCCGGAAAACTCCTGGCCTTGCATGCCCGAGCCTCCTTCAGTCGGGCTTGCCAGCCCATCTAGTAGTTCGTCATCGCCAAAGACGGCCGAGCCACTGGAGAATGCATTGTTCTGGTTGTTGGAGCCTGCGCCAAAGTTCTGCTGGAAGCCTTGATTGAAGTTGAGTTCATTTGGATTGATGCTCCCGCCGCCGCCGTGGCTGTACTGATTGAAGCCCTGTTGGGCCATGATGTATCGCAGTGTTTACGAGGCTTGGATGGGATACTTCGGTGTTGGATTTCGGTGGTGCGAGAAGTCGTCTGATGATGACTCAAGTGGCGCTGTCGCTCCGAGCGTGTCGCGATGCGCGATGGGTGCCGTTATCGATGGTTCAAGGTCGGCTTTTAAGAGAACAAAGTCAGCCGCAAGCCTGAAAAAGTACGAATCAGGACGATGCACGATCAAATGTGTCGCTGGGGCGCGATCGCAGCCCTGCAGAACAAGATGACTCGAAGTGGGCAGCGTCGCAACTTGCGGTCAGCATGACCCAGCCAGGGTGCAGACCGAGGCAGTGTTTCTGACAGGCTCTAGGACTCGAAAGCGGCCCTCAGGAGCAAGAAAGCAAAGGGGAGACGGCTATTACCAACTGTGAGTAAGGACAATTGTTTGTATTATATTTCGGGGTGAGAAAGCCCAGCAGGAAGCCGCGGAGGGTGAGGCTGTAACTCGGTGCAGTTCCCGGGTGAGGCTTGGCGATGGGGGGGGTGGGAGGGGTGCGAGTCGGTCAGCGCAGAAAGCAACGAGGTGAGGTTAACCCAGAGGGAGGCGGCCCAGCGGCTTGGTGCGACAAGAAAGTTGCGACGACACCGAGGTGGGGGATCCGGACAAGATCGGATGCTGTGCTATGGCATAGAAACAAGCACGACTTGGGAGGATGTGGGATTGAAGTCGTCGAGGAAGCGTCGGCCGAGAAAGGTGTGAGACCTTTTCTTGCTTCTTTCTGTTGCCTTGGGACTTGCGGAGGGCGGAACAGGCGGGCAACGCTGCTTGTCGGCTTGCTCGCTTGTCGGCGCTGCTGGGATGGCTGGGACGGCTGTTAGAAGGCGCGGCCCTTTTGGAGCAGGTAGGTGGTGTTCTGTATGGAAGCTCTCAGCCGCTAGCTCCTGTCGCATTGCAGGGCGACAGATGCACCGAGGACCTGTCTTGTTCCGAGCGACAAGGCCGGGGAAATAGAATGCAGCGGGACAGCGGGACAACAGAGGCTCCTAGCGGCGTGCAGCTTGCAGGTCGCAGGGAGGCCCGACGAGGCACTTGCACTTACTGGCGCCGGTACAGGCAGGGACGACGAGGGCGAGGGTGTCTGGGAGTCTGGGTTACTGCGGCTGCAATTGCGAGACGGTGGGTTTCGATCGCAGGTCGCGGGTGCGGGTGCAGGTGCGGGTCAGGTCTGGAGAAGGCGAGATGAAATGCTGGGGATTTCTGGAGAAGGGAAACCGAATGGAGTCAACCCGGCCTGTTCAGCCCGTCCTGCGGTTTTGTGGCCAACGAGCTTGGCCTAACAGCTTAAGAGCGGAGGGAAGCACTGGGCGGGCGCGGGCCAGTGCGCCCGCACTTCCATCCTCCCACTTCCAAGAATCCACGCTGGTTTGTACCACGGCACAGTACAATGCGGGACAGGTACACGGTACCAGCGTACCTAGGACGGGTACCGCGTAGGGGCCGGGGAGGGTATGGTGGGGATGGTGGGGATGGAAGCGCCCTCGCTGCCTTGAACGAGTGCTAGCGCCGACGACAACCACGGCCGCCAAAAAAAAAAGAGAAGGCGATCAACCCTTTCTGTATCGAATATTTGGGCGCAAGAGCAAAAATTGACTGACCTTGTTTTGAAGCTCGTATCGGCCCCACGACAGCCCAGATGCTATCCTGTCCTGGGTGTGGATTTCGTGTGGTTTGACGCTGCAAAGTGATGTAGTGCGCACCGCACTGCGACGAGACGGGTGGTCAGAAGGTATTCTCTCGATGCTTTGGTTGACCGATAGTCGATGGCTGGGATGGATGATGGATGGAGGGTGATAGCGGGGGATCGGAGGTGGTGGTGGCAGTGGTAGTGGTGGTGGGCGGTGGGTGTGGGTGTCTCTCAGCACTGCTTGGAAGTGGTGCTGCGACGGCGCTGCTGACCTTGGAGATGATGATATATGACCGGTCCAGTCCAGGCCAGCCCAGGCTCGATAGCACAGAACGCCCTGAGCCGATTCTTGATCGGTCCAACGGTTGTCCAGGTCTATTGGGGTTGGCTGTCTTGTTGGACGAGATACAGACCGATCTCCTTTTGTCCCTTTCTGTCCCCCAGATGGCCGTCGTTGTCTCGTTGGAGCCTCCTCTGAAGTCCTGCCCTGGGCTTACTCCCCGAATTAGAATTGATGGTGGCGATGGCGATAGGAGGCGACTCCAGTGAGACGATCCGGTCTTACTCAGTCAGCATGTGAACGTTAATCAAAACAATCAGTCTTTCGCATTTGTTGCCGAGAAGAAGTCGTCATCTCATCGCTCGTGGCCCCTCCCGAGTGCGGGACCAAACAACCCTTGAGCGACGGGCGATAATCGATGCGGCTTCCGTGTGGCTATCCCGGCACAGACACCCGCAGGGAGAAAAAGAAAGAACATCAGATGCGTACCGGTCTTGGATCGTCTGGGTCTTTTTCCCGCTGCACTCTCTCACCGTCTGACGAGATGATGTTCAAGTGCGAGCCGCGATGCGCCGGGTATAATAAGCCCGGCTGGCGGCAGCAGCGGTCTTCGCACCTCGCAATATGGGGCGGTGGTCTCGACCCTCGCTCCGCCGCTTATTACGCTTCTAGTCGAATCCAATGTCTCTTTCCTTGCTTAGTCTTGCTGCTTCTTTCGTTCGCCACTCGGCTAGCGCTCCCACAGCTTGGGGTCGCACACCTGAATTGGGACCTTGTGTCTTGCGAAACTCGGATCGAGCTCTGATGTCGCTCAAAGGCTGTCGCCAACGTCGATGCGTCGTTTGTAAGTGATGGGTGAGTGTGGGGTTCGTCGACGCGTTGATCTGTTCCTCGAATCCCTCTTTATTGGTCAGCTTCCGACTGTGCTGGGTCGAGGTGGGAGCCTCATGAGCCTGTCATGGCACGCGGCGGTGACCGTGATGTGCTCTTGACGGTTCCCCCGAAGGGCATGACACGTTAGGACCTCATACCAGATAACAAATTGTGACCAGGCCGGCAGAGTCGTCTGTGGTGGTTCCTGCGAGGCTGGATTCACTTTCTGTGGCGAGACAAATGAAGAGGTACGAGATTGGCGAAGCTGCAGGGGAAATCTTCTGGTCCGTACCAGGTCCTATTTATATGATTCCTTTGGAAGGCCTCAGATTGGCTGCCACACTTTGGAAGTGAACGCAAGGTGCGAGTCATAGGAAGGATACGTCTAGACGAGAAAGGTCCGGTGGCAGGCCAATGTATCGCAGGACGACAGCAGTTTATATACTCTACACTAATTCCATGTACCTCGCCGGCGAGAAGTGTCATGTACCAGGCCCATTTTCGACAGTCAAGTCTTCTGACTTGGACTGGCGGGATGGTGTGGAAGCCAGAGACACAAGATGTTGCGGCACAGCCTCAGCCTTCCTCCCTTCACTGTATCTTGCGCGTATATGAGGTCTGCCGCATGCTGAACCTACCGGGAAGTCTCCGTGGCATTCTCCAGAGATGGCAGAACTGGATCGGTATGGGCATTCCCGGAATGCGTGTGAAGGGGGGTGGGCATCACATCCAACGTGACTCGTGTAGACGACCGCAACCTAAGACATTTAGCACACCAGGAGCAGGGCAAACAAGCTTGGAACCAAAGAGAATGTGCGACCTGCCAGCTCTTCCCACGTAATACAGACGTCGACAAGCTTGCCAGCGGCAATAACGGTCGAAAGCCGCTTGTTATTTCAGCCACTGTTACTTCCGAGGTCTTGCCGTTAGTTACACAGCGATAACTGCTCTGCCTGCTCCGCGTGTCGTGTTGATAGGCTCCCACACACAATCACGAGCAAATGACAATATAGCCATCATGGTAGAGAAAGTCCCCTGTCCACCTGTCGCCACAGCCACGGCGGGATTTGGACCAACGAGGTGATCGACAAGCCCAGCGGATCGCGGCAGTCGCTGAACCGAATCTCAGATACTGTGGCCGACGTGCCCTGGTACCGTAGGAGTTTATTAAAGTTCTGGCGATGGGAGCCCCCACACCCACGTCGCGCTCGAAGGGGGGTAGCTTTGCCTGCCCTCTGAATCGCACCGGCCGGCAGAGCTGCAGGAGATGGGAGCCCTCCGAAGACCGATGCCTAGGTAGGTAGCCGGAGCAGGAGCATGGGAGCCAGAGGCCAGGGTCACACATCATGACAGGCTAGGCAGTAGCTCCAGCGCCGTCGCGGGTCCCAAGTGTTGATGGGCACCCTTGGCCATGGGGCAGTTGGGAAGATGTGGCTGGCCCGGTGATGCCTATGGGAAAGCCATGGGATTGCCCAAAGTCCCATATTTTGATGAGACAAATCCCGTCATAGCTGCCCAGTCAAGCGCAAGGACGGACCTGTCTGCGTGCCGTCTTGCGACTAGGACCGATCATGACACCGTGCCCGAGTTCCCTGCACGCAGGGAATACAGAACAGATACCCGCAGCAGGGTACGAGACGCAAGCTGTAAATGGCTGTGTGAAGCTCGGAAGCGTGATGTGCTTGGTGTGTGTATTTGTATGGTGTGGGTGGGGGGGGATGGACGGGAATGGGTGTGTCCAGGGATCCGTTCGAGTACGGGACCCCTGCTGCGATCTCTCCAAGTGCCGCGCTGTGTTGGGGCACGGGGCACCCTAAGGCTTTGGCATCTGCAGACCCCGGACCCGCTATTTCTGGGAAGGTAGCACTAACTCAACGTCCCAGGCTCCCGACGTCGTCCTGCCCATCAGCGTCATCTCAGAGCTGAAGTTCCCGTCCGCGAACCTGGACGTCACAACACGACACACACACACCCTGCCAACCACACACCAACAGCTCCTCGCATCCACGCCCAAGGCACCCAGAATCGCCCCGGCTTATCGCTGCTACCTGCCAGCCTCCCCGTATCGTCACCGTACGCGCGGTTTGCCCAGGCTGCCAGAGAGAAGCCCTCGTTTCGGGACACGTCGCCAGCGCAATACGAAGCTCCCCTTCGGATGATAAGACAACCGCACAAGCGTTGATCCAGATCCACAAACCCTGCCATCAACCACCCCGGCGGCTGAATCGAAGCCCAAGCATACCAGAGCACAGGGCGCAGAGACAGAGCACTGGCTCGACCCGACCTGTCTCCTGAGCCTTCCGCGTACTGTGCGCCTGCACCTCGCGCGGTCCCCATCCACACCTACACAGGAACCTGCCACAGAGAAAGCGGTAGGTGACCCTTTCAATCACAGCCTCGCCCTCTTCATTACGCCAGCCCTCCTTAGTGGCTCCATGGTTGCTCCTATCTGTCTCTATCTCGACGCCGCCCAATAGAATCGAGCGATTCCCACATGCTGCACCCCCTTCATCCTCCTCGGAGGAATCACAAGGCCGGCCACTGATTCTTGTCACGGTAGTAGCAGGTCACTGGGCACACCTTTACGACACCACGTTGAGGACTCGGAACAGTCGGTCGTGGCTATTCAGCCCTCTCTCGAAGGGTCCTTCAACATTCGCATTTGCAACGCCCTTCCCGGACCGCCCGGAACAAGGCGAATAGCCCTGTTGAGGACAAGATGGCATCAGCATCATTCCGAGACCAGATGAATGCCCTAGGCTGGTCCAGGCGCGGGCAGGATGAGCCCGTGAACACATCCCAGCAGAGCGGGCTGCTATCGTCGATCAAGTCGTTGAATCCATTTGGCGACCGTGGCTACGTACGCCTTCCTACGACGGAGGGCGCCGGCGCTCCACTCCCGGCAGCCTCGCGGCGAGAGGAGGAGGAAACTTGGTTTGCATGTGAGTCGTTGATCGTCGCTTAACAGATTCCACCTACCTCAGAGAGCCTCCGTTCCCCTTGCAGACGGCAGCCGGCCCTACGAGGGCGCTGCTCGAAGCGCCGTGTCTCACTACCGACGGAACAAGAATGTCTATCCTTACCGCGGGCTTGCATCCGTCACAACACAGAGAGGCTGACTTGGCGGCCCATGGGCTTGTTCCAACAGTGAATAGATGGGACCGATTAATGATTTTCGGTGCTTGCAACTTGGGCGCTCTTGCCTGCTTCGTCATCTGCTTTTTCCTCTTTCCGGTCCTGTCACTCAAGCCGTCGAAATTTGTCATTCTGTAAGTCCGCATGTTTCCTTGAGTACCATGTGAACATCGCAGGGGGGGATAGCGCTGTTTGCCCCCATCCCAGGATGCCCAAGGCGGTACATCCCTCTTTTACATCCCATGCACGAGGCCCCCTTAGCCGGCCCGTTCGGTCTGGAGGAAACAAGCTTGGTTTCCTGCAGCTACCCGGCGCGCATAAGCTGTCGATCTCGCATGACACGCCGAACAGCCAGTTCCTCGCCCGGTGACTGGTGAGGGTGACCTGCAAGGCACAAGCCCCCTTTCCAACTTATTCCAAAGCACCTACTCTTGATTCCGTCCCGGCCGTGGTGAACATGCATGACTGACTCGTAAACTTGTCTTCAGGTGGACGTTGGGATCGACACTGTTTCTTGCATCCTTTGCGGCTGTGATGGGGCCATGGGCCTACCTCCAACACTTGCTCTCCGGCCCACGGCTGCCCTTCACGGGTGCCTACTTTGGGTCTATCATTCTTACATTTTACTTCGCTCTCGGGGTGAGTCATTCTTCCCGTCTTCCGTTCCTTCGTGTCCTCGAAACTTCGATCTCTTGAGACCGAGCCTTTGGCTGACATAGTCATCCTGTCGCGAACAGCTGCGCAGCACCATCCTCACACTATTTTCAGCCATTATACAGCTAGTTTGTCTTGTCTGGTACCTCGTCAGCTATTTCCCCATGGGTTCCAGCAGCCTACGTGTCGCCTCGAGCTTTGGCGCAAGGAGAGCTGCCGCTTGGGTAACCGGGTGAGGTGTAGGCGTGTGGGCACCCCGGCACCGGAAGCAGATAACTCATTCTAAACGATTCCGAACGTCACGAGGGTTGAAAGTGGTCTTGGAGGCATGGCCTATTTCCCACACGGCTTACGCTGTCACCAGGCGGTTTGAACCAGGACTACTAATCATGAGGGCGAGGTGTAAGGAGTAGATGCGTTTCCAGGCGAAGACGACCAAGACTGGAGGTGCAGTAATGATGATGGGGGCGGCGCACCCTTCCTCTGGACAAGACTCAGTACCGCAGAAAGAACCACTGCAGGAGGGCCGGCGTGATCAGAGATCATGCAGCGCCTGCCTCAATGTAACATAGCATATACATCCCGGTTTCCGTATTCCGAAGAATGCACAACATACATTACTGCTTTCCATATCACATATCATGCGCAGCTGCTAAGGGCGGTGACTGGTCGAGAGCTGCGCGTTGAGCGCTGGGCGCGGCTACCTGAGAAATGAAAGCGGCCCCTCTGCTGCTACTAACACAAGTAGGCTCGATGTGACATTGCCCTTGCAGTGGCCTGGTTCACGCTATCAACAAGACCCTCGAAGGGGACCCCTTGAAGAGCCGATACCATGACTGCCCTTGATTGTTTCCCAATCAGGGTCTTGCTGGGAGCCGTCCCGGCCATGGCAGTTGTCAGTTCGCATGCGTAGCCGACGTCTGTGATAGATACGGTAGCACGTCCCGTGCGAGTATTAGCTTCCCACCGGCGCAACCCCCCCCCCCTTTTTTCTCACACCTCCCCCAGCGCCGTAGAATCCCCTTACTGGAATCAAGCATTCTTGGTCGGGTTGAAATGAATGAAAAAAGCTGTGTGGCGACAAATGCTCGCCCCTTCGCCCCTGCAAAGTGTACGGTACCGTACGAAAACATTCTGCGTGTTTCGGATGAGCCACGGCGCACCTGCGCGGCGAGCCATCACCGTCGTCATCACGTTGCAGCGGACCTCCACCCTCTGCGCCGCCAAGACATTTCACTTGGCTGTGGTGTGTAGGAAGACGGGCGACGTGAGTTGCACGGGGGCAGGCACGCGCAAGCTGCTTTGTATGTATGCAAGACGCCCGATCTCGCTGTGTGTACATATGTGTATGTGTGTGGGTGTGTGTGGACAAAGTTGCAAGAATGTCACCCAATATCCATTTGAGAAGGGGGTGGTGTAGAGAAGGGGGGGTTGTGCACCTTTTGCCAGGGCTCTCCTTTGTCTGCAAACATCATCACGTGGAAGGGCGTCTGGTGACCACCCATGTCCGAGGACGAGGTGTGCCCTCCTGCTTTGAGTCTTGCCTGCCCCCGTGGACTAGGTGGTGGTAAAACTACCACGGTCGTCATGCGTTCTGACTCGTCGTGCTCGGTTGAGAGAGAAGGAGGAAACGTTCCGGGGGGGGGGGCACGGGAGGAGGATGGGGCACGGGTGGGGGGATTCTCGTTTGTTGGGGGCAACATATCTCTCTCTTCTCCTCTTCGCGGTCTGCTGGTGGCAGTCGATATGTGAAGGGGAGGGAGACGAGAGCGTTGTCTCACACAACGCACCACCATCTCCACGAAGCGAAGCGAAGAATGTCGGCGATCTGCGCGCGCTTCGCGGTCGAAACAGAGAGATAACGCCAGGCCGTTTGGCATCTGCAGTATGCTGTCCCACAATGCCTGCAGCGGCGGGGAACGGGCTTCACGTGCACCATTAGATCTGGGGTCTGGCGTCGACGCCACTATCGATGCACAGCGGCAGAATTCCCTGGTTTGCCTGGTTCCCGATCCTGTCTCTGATCCCGCGGCGGGCGCTGTGTTCTAATCTATATATATGTATATGTATGTGTGAGTCTAACAGCAAGCGGGAAGACATACCGTGTCAGATTCGGCCGCGCATATGTGCGTGCGCGCGGGACGGGCAGCGGTGAGATCTCAGACAGAAATACGTCACCCAAATACCAGCCCCGTGCCGTGGCTGCAGTAGTACAAGACCTCGGGAGCGAGTGGCCGCATCCTGCCGGCCCGCGGGATACCTGCATACGGGACCTCTGTTCATCACCAACAGACTGGTCAGATGAATCGCTTGCATCAACGACGGCGCTGGAATAAGTGGGCAAATTGTCGTCTATCTAATGACCCATTTGGACAAGTGTATTGTGGCATGGTGCTAGGGGCCATGGTTGATTGATGATGGCTTGAGTATAGGCTATGCCAGCTTGACAGGGTTTTGGTAGTAACATGGGCTACCTCAGACCGTTGTAAATTAGGCACGGGCATGTAAACAATGTGTCTATAATGACATAGTCACCCAGGTATTCAAGACTTGACAAGTTTTCGGATTATCCTGTATCTACTTTACTTTATTGCTATCATTTTGTGGAAATCATACCACACTGGAACTGATGTCCACTTCACGAGGGTAACAAGTCCTTCTGTGTAGGTTGTATTGTGGACTTTGTATTCACTCGAAATTATGTAGACATCACACTTTCTTTGTAATTTCAACGAGAGCTCTTAGTATTGTCTGCGTTTAGATATACAAATGATCGTGACTCAAGACGTACGTAGGAATAACACGGATGCGAATAGGACGTCCGGCGTGCTGTTATAGGCCAGATTCCATGCCATGCCAGCGACATGCTCGATTGGACACTCTTGCGCAAGAACGTAGTCTTGAAGGTCTTACTCACAGTACTGCTCTTCGTCCTGACTCACCAGCAGTTGTCCTGGCTGTGGAGGCAGTCACAAGTTCTTGAGAGCTCCGGGTCTGTCCCCAAACTTGCGTGCGCCCACTTCTCGGATAAACAAATCATTTCAGGCTGATGTTGACTATAGACTGGCGGAATATAGGGCTTATAACAATCTGCACGATATCGCAATTCGCTGTTTTGCTCTCCATCTACTTGGGGCGCTGGGACCAAGGCACATTCTATATGTCCAGACAGCAAGCCGCCGTGCTGAATTGTGTGGATGGGTCGCTGATGATATTCATGTCGCCAAGATGCAGAGCGTAGGCGTTCGATGCGGTCGTCGATATCATTGCCAACCATTCGTTCTCTACCCTGATCTTCAACTGTGCTGTGGCCAGGCCGCTGCGACAGTTTTCGGTATAGGCCAGGCGTGGGCGTGAATGCCCGGTTTTGTAAGTTCTTCTTCCACACTGACCATCAACATCCTAGCCAGTGCTTCTAGAGTCAAGCGACAGGTTACATAATATCTCTCACGGAAGCAGAGATGGAGCCAACGAGACCATAGAGCCTCACTGGCTACCCCTAGATCTACAATAGCTTCTACTCTCAGATGACACATCGATGAACTCCGTTCACTGCGTGTTGTCTTGAGAATCTAAAGTAGAAAGCTTGTTCTACCTGTCAGATTTGTTACCTTGTGAAGAGTTAGTTTTCGCAACTTGATATACTACCAGACGCTGGATAGCAGCACGACTGCTCAACACGAGTCCGATGACCCCATGGAGGGCTCTTCTGCATTGGCTTTCCTCGCTCCAACCATTGTGTTTGATCAGTCGCAGTGATACTCGTATCCGCTGACACGGAGAGCGTCTGCTAGATTACCGCCTCAGTGCGTGAAATCTGGACCTCGCCTCTGGAGTGCGCAGTGATTATATGTGTTTCGCGTCCGCAGCTCGGCCTGACTGCCTCAGCACCTAAAATCGTGGTATTGGTCGCAACTACTGCGTACTCTTCTCTCATTGTCATCGTGCTGCGGAGCTCAGAGGTCCTCCACGCCCAGCTGTTGCAATCTGTCATTAAGGCCCTCTGGAATTCTTCTCCGGCACAGATGTTGGCGTCACGACAAGCTGCTTCAGCCGGGACAAGTCCATATAGTTGACACCGAGCTTCCCCCGTGTCTGCACCGACTTCATCGATGAATTCGGCGACGACTCCGCTATGCTGCTCAACACTCATAGGTGTGATCCTGTGGTGCATCTTCTCTGGCTAGGTATTTCGCTACGATCTTGGTCTTGATTCGCTCTTTTTCTGCTGACGTTTGCACATATCCCAAGTCAGGACATTCCGTCAGGTCCGGCTACTGGACTTGGGATCCAAATCTCCGCCCTTCACACATTTTCTCGCCCTTGCCCAGTAGCTGTCACCGTGAGGAAGTTTGCGTGGCAGTCGCCGTTCGAAGGCCGCCTCCGCACGTCCAAGCCCCGTACTGCTTGCTCTTCTGCACCCAGCGGTGGCTAGATGTTGTCTTCGACCTCATGGTCGCTTTCCTGGTGGCCAATTTTTCGTGCGGTGCCATCACGAGCGTCAAGATATTCTGCGCCGAGGCTCGAGTCCTAGAACATGTTCTCCCCCAGGCTCTGTGCCGTCCCCGCGGCCTCGCCGTCCCGCGGCCGCATCACCACCAAGAACCTGGCTGCTTCCTATACTGCTGGAGGCAAGCTGGTTCTCCGCATCGCCACCGCCGCCGTGCCGCCACGCCCGTCCTTCCCCAAGGGCACGAGCCTGCGGGCGAGCGTTTTGGTGACAGCCTCCAGGTCAAGCGCGCAGCACCCCGGACCGAGATGGCAGAGACAAGGAGATCCTCGTGGTTCTGCGCCGGCTGGACATGGCGGGGGACGTGGAGAGGATGAGCCAGCTGGAAGGCATGCTGAGGGCCATGAGACTGTTCGCAAGGTCGACGGCAGCTACTGTGCCTGGCATCATGTGGCTGGGCGAGGCGAGCAGCAACGTGCCTGGACAGGAGGTTGGCAAGTAACACCCCCATCACTGTCTTTGCCTCCCCCCTGCTCTGCGCTGTCTTTTACGTGATGGAAACAAGTCTCATATCTTAATTTACGACTTATCGCTCTCGAAAACACTGAAGAGAGATGTACCTCAAAACACATACCAACACGCATGTTCGCTGCGGGGCGGTCGATCACGCAGATCATCCGCGGGAAAGCCGACGACTGGGCCATCATTGCCGTCGTCCCTCGCCTTGGCACAGCTGCCGGCTTCGACCGTCCCGTCGTCCGTCATGAGTGGTGGCTGGTTGCTGGAGTGTGATGGCCCGCGGGCGGTGCTCCCGCGAGACAGCGAGTTTGAGGGGTTTTGGGGTCTGTCTTGGATCAGCATGATAGACAGCAGCACTCGCCAGTCACCTACAAGTTGACCTCAGAGACCATGAAGTGCCGACATCTATGTATGGCGGTTGAAATACACCCTCATCAAGTCGGGCACAAATAATACGGGATCGGACACGCGGCTGTAAGCCCTTGGATGGTGTCACTTCGAGTGCCAGCCGTGCAGATAATTGCCCAAGTTGGACATCCAACATCATCACTGGTCGGGTAGGTAGACGTTTTCACCACTCTCTTCGCCGGGGTAAGGGCGGGCTGTCGGTCCGCTGCAGACATGATGAACCGCCCTTGAGTGGACGGACGGATGGTCCGTTTCACAATGCAGGGTGCCGCGAGAAAGCTTTCCTGAAACCAGACGATCGATCTGTGTTTGAGGTAGGCTGCATACGACACCGACGAAGCTTGGGGATTGCTTCTGAGTTCAGTCATCTGAACAAGTCGGATGCGCATGCAATGGGGGCGATCGGCCCCGGGATCAGCCTCGTTGAGATCCACCTGGGGAGAACGACTCTCTCCGTACCTGTGCGTGAGCTTTGTTTGACAGAGACTGCCACATCTTTGAGCAGGTTGCATCGAACCAAAATTAGAACTCTGCCATGTTTGGCTGTCTGCCTTGGCGAGTGGATGATGAGCGAGCGAGCGAACTTGCTGTCCTACACATCGTGATCTGGATGCTCGTGGGCGTCCGAACAAGGCGCACTTCGACATTATGCAGGCCAGACAGGACGCCAGGAAGAAGCACTGTTGTTGAGATTTGGTGGCAAGGGCGCAGTCCCGGCACCGCAGTGGCCTCGCCAACGACAGGAGGCAAATTGTTAGCGAAAGAAGTCAGGTAGAAGATATGCCCCCGATGGCCCCGTGCCATCTTGTGCCACGTGGGGGCGAGTACAGTCGATACTGACTGCACCGTAGCCCGTGCGTGGCACGCTGTGAGCATCGGTCTGGGGGAGGCGGAGGCGGGGAGGGGAACGGGGAACGGGGAAAGCTGCGGCCAGTCCAAGCCACCTGCCGCTTGACAGCTGCCGGGTGGTTCCGCCTCCACCCCCCCATCAAAATCACACCACCAGCACCGGGGGACGAGGCTGAACTCTAGCCAGCCTGTCGTATTATTCTCATTCACGCACAGATACAGGGTGTCTCTGGTGGAGTTGCTGGTTGGGTGGCTGGTCGCCAGTCAATCAGCTTGCCTGATGATGTGCAAGTAGGTCTCGGCAATACGGTCTCACGAGGTCGCTTGTTGATTTCCGCGGGGTGATGGGGGAAGGGGCCCAGGTTGTTTAAGTTGAGTGCCATTTCTAACGTCTCGCTGGGCACCGGACTGGACAGTCTGTGCGGCGGATACGTCGTATCAGTGAGTGCACCGAGTCGAGAAGAGAGAGACTAACTGGCTGGCCGCGATCTTCAGGGGTCTTTGTGACGCTATCCCACGACCAGCTACGTATAAACAAGGCCCGGACCGGCGCTTTCAAGGCTGTCCGGCGCCCCAGCTGAGCCAATTGGGTGGCTGAGGGGGGAGCGGCTTCCGTGAGCTTGTGCTCCTCGGCCCTCATGCCGTGGCGGCGACACAGCTGGACCTCCCGATTGGGGCTGTCTCTGGGCAACAATGCAGCCTGGATAGGTAGGGCTTGCCGACGTTGCGTGTGTCTCAAGAAGCCGCGGTTTGCCCTACCTCACCCAGTCCTTGGATATCCCACCGCCAGCAGTTGGAGGGTGGACGGTGTGCCTGCTTGGGGACATTGGGGGACGTGAACCTTGACAAACAAGAGCCTGTGACATCAGCTGTGTCCGAGAGGGGCAGCTTGTTGCCGGCGGACCTTCCAGAGGTTTATTAGCCTCAGGGTACTTGCTGGCTGCAACGCAACCTTCACGAGCAACACACCCTGGAACCGGGAGGCTTGGACGGAATGGAGGGTCCGAGGCGCCTCTCTGCCCGGCGCGGAGTGTTGAAAGCCCTTGCAGCGGTCTTGATGAGGCAAGACCAGCTGTCACGGGTCTGTGAGATTAGGTGAGGTCAGTTTGGCTGAGGTGAGGTGAGGTGAGGTTGATGAGATGGCCTCGGCTTTTCCTCCTCCTCGGAAACCCGGATGACCGCACAGTGCAGGCAGGCTCTCTATTTTCGGTTGCAGGCGGGGTATGGGTTTTTTCGGCAATGCTGGGATCTCTGCAAGGGAAAATTTCAAAAGGGAAACGGTGCAATACAGAGGTCCGGTGGGCCCAGACACTGTAGCCAAGAGGTAAGACAGATGAAGATACCACGGCAGGGAACCAGAACCCGGCACAACTGGAGCCGGGTCTGTCCGTTCTGCATGCGTGGTGAGGGCAGCATGCCTACCTAGGTATAGACCTGCCTATCCACTAGATACTCTAATACTCTGCCTAGGAGGATTGATCTTGGGACCAGCCAGACTAGGTACCTAGGTAGGTAGCTAGGCTGAGACGGTTGGCGGTGTTGTGGGGGCATCAGCAGCAGCAGTGGTGGTGGTACCTTTAATGGCTTTGCAAGGGAGGTCTGGCGCGTCATGGGGAGCGGCAGTGTGAGGGAGAGTGTGTGCCCAGGCCGAGATAAATGGTTTCTCCCAGCAAACGGCCCGCGTGCTGCTGTGATGCGAGCCTGCAGAAAGCGGAGGGAAGGAAGAGGGCCTGGGAGAACAGGCAGCGCAGCAGGAGATGGATGCCCTTTAATTGTTGTCCAGATTGCTCATGCCTCCTCGCATGCACACACACAGACTCACAAGCAACATACACATACACATACACATGCAGTCAAGCACACAGGCAGGCGCACGCTATTCATTGAACCCTCTGCATTCATTCCATGCAGTGAATGACTCTCGCGGGAAGCCCTGCTTTAGATTTGGCCATTGCTAGTCTAACTGGGCGGGGGCGCGCTTCGGCCGCAGACTCAAAAATTTTCAAAAATTCCCTGGGCTCCTCCTCACTTTTGCAACAGATTACCTACCTCCTACCTACCTCACCTCTGCCTCCCACCCTCTCCCTACCTACCCAATACCACCCCGTACACTCCGAGAGTGTGGTCCTGTTCATTTCCTTGCGAAAAAGCCTCTTTCTGCGTCCAGAGGAAGAGGTGTCGTCGACATCAGAAGCAGCAGTAGCAGCAGACAGCATCCCTCGGGAATTGCTTGCAGCCAGCTTTTTTTTTTTTCCCGTCACAGCAGCAGCAGCTCGCTCGTGCCCGCCCCGTCTGTCTGTCTGTCTGTCTGTCCGTCGGTCGTCTCAGTCAGCCCGGCCCAGCACTCACCAAATTTGCCTGCCTGCCTGCCTGGCCCAACTCGAGGTTTCGTTTTGTGCGTCTGCTGTCGGCTCGACCCAACATCCCGACAAACGACGCCTGCTGTCTCCGACACATCCTCGTTCGTGCCGTTGGTCATCGGTTGTTGATCGTCGGCCTTGAAATTCTCTGTCCTGTCCCAGGGCTTCCGTGAGCCCCGCGCCCCGCGAGATCAAACAGAACCTAGAGTGGTATTCGGTACACATTCTTCACTGCAAGCCTGCCTCAGCCCAGCTGGCTTGTTCCTCCCCGGAGCTCACCACACAACCAGACCCAAACTGTTTCGCAGTCCCCCTACGGCGGCCTGGACACCACGCCTTCCGAGACACCTGCCCACTCGCGAACAACACCAAAACACCAGACCACCGTCCCCCGCTCGCTTCCTTCCCGGTTTCGCGGCCAGGGCTATATCCTGAGCTCCCTCCATCCGCGCAACCGAATCGTGTTGTGTTCCTCGCCTGAGGCGCGCCTACGTGCGTGGGACACATTAACCCTACCACCCAACACCACAGGCTGGGCTGCAACTGCGCATCGCTGTTGCAGGCCAACCACCCCAAGTGCCTACTGTGAATCAATTCACATCTGTCAAGCACTACACACCGGACACCATGTCGGCCGCTACCACCTTCTCGTATGCGCAAGCCGCCAAGGGCCGCAACGCCACCCAGTCCGATCCCCAGTCCGCTGCTGCGAGCCCTGCTCCGGTCGACCTAGCCAAGGACGACAACAGCTCGGTGACCACAGCTGCAGATGCCTCGGCAAAGACCTTCTCGACTACCTCTGAAGTCTCCGAGTCTGTCAAGAGCTCCGAGGTCGACCTCGAGTCTGTTGCCTCGAAAGCCCATTCAGAGGTCGCCAACACTGGCGATTCCGACGGCTCGGCCACCTCCGCCAAGTCCGAATCCACACTCATGGCTCTCCCAGACGAGGCACCCAAGACCAGTGCGCAAAGCACGACAAGCGAGAAGACCTCCCGCCCGTCAAATCGCCCCAGCGAGTCCTCCGATTCGAGGAAAGGCCGCAAGGGCAAGAAAGGCAAAAATTCAGACAAGGACGCCGAGGGTGATCAAGTCCAGCAGGAGCAGGAGAAAGAGGTCGTCCCTGTGAAGCTCTTCGAAGCTCCGCCCCCGACCGTCAACGTATGGCAACAGCGGGCCGCTGCTGCAAAGGCAAGACAACCTAGCGTGCCTCCTGCCCCAGCTGGCACCGATGCACCGGCCAAAGTCGTCTCTCAAGACTCGAACAAGAGCACCAGCAGTGCCGAGGGTATCGACACCAAGGATTCTTCTGAGACCGTTCGGCCTGGGAAGGCTGCCGATGGCTCACGTCCATCCAGCGAGCAAGCCCCCCGCAGGAATCCACGAGGGAGCAGGGCGAGTGACCAAGTCACGAATGGCAATGTGCCCCCAGTGCAGGACGCATCTCTTTGGCCTACACCGGACACTGTGGCCGCTGAAGACAGCAAGCGCAAGGTTTCCGAGTCGGATGCACCCTCAAAGGACAAGCAGGAGGAAGGGTCGCAGACCAAGTCTACCCGGCCCAAGTACGTCCAGAAGTTGGAAATCAACCATTCCGTCAAGTGGGAAACCCCGATGCAGACACGCCCTGCGAGCAAGGGCCGTGGCGGTGGACAACCTGGGCGCAACTCGGTCGGCCGGGGCGGTCACGCCTCGACCGCCAGCGTCTCTGGCGACAAGTCGCAAGCCGCATCTGAGGCGCAAGGGCCCGCTGCCACCGGCGATGCTCAAGGGAAGCCGAGGGAAGAGGCACCGGCGCGTACCAACTCGCTGCCTTTCGAGAAGAAAAAGTTCTCTGCCGAGACCCGGGATATCCGTAAGACATCAGCTTCGGCCGAGCGTCGCACAGGTGCCTCTGGCGAATATCACTCCACGTCCAAGAGCGAAGCAACGAAGGGCTCCAAGGGCGAGTTCGCCCAGGGTTTCGGTGGACAACAGAGCGGCTCTCGAGGGGACGGCGCTGAGCCTGGAAGAAAGGATGGAGGCTTCGCCGGCCACAAGGATGCGAGACCCAGGAGAGGTGCACATGGTAACGGGCGAGGCGGGCACAACGGAAGCCAGTCTTATACACAACAGGCATATCAGGGCAATGGACACGGTCCTCGGTCAAGCACATACAACCCCCCTCCTTTTGCCAACGGGTATTCTTACGGAGGTCCTGGCTCAGGCCGAGCTGGTCGTGGTCGCCCTGCATCAATTAACGGTTACAAGGGCCCATCGAACGGCGCCGTCAAGATGCCGCCAATGCAGCCTCTCAACACGGACTTTGGTCCTTTCTCGCCCTATGGCCAAGCACCCTATTCTGCTTTCCCAGGGGCCTTCCCACCATCAGACTACAATCTTCTGGTCCATAACGCCCTGAAGTCGCAGATCGAGTACTACTTCTCTACGGTCAACTTGCCCAAGGATGTGTTCTTGAGAGAGAACATGGACACCCAGGGATTTGTGCCCCTGGAGGTCATTGCTGATTTCAGCCGAGTGAGATCAATATCCCAACAGAACCTGCAGCACGTGCGAGAAGCCTGCATGGACTCCGAGGAGATCGAGTTTGTGCTCGGTGATGGCAAGACTGAGCTTTTGCGGCGACGCGAAGGCTGGGAGTTGTACGTTCTCCCCGAGGCCAACAGGAGGGAGCAGGCTCGCAATCCTGGCCCTTCCAGTTTTCAGCACAAGTCAAGACACAGTATACAGCACGCACCGAACTATCACCAGCAGGGCTCCATGCCATTTGCATATCCGGCAATGTCGTCACCAGCATATGGAGGGCCGTTCCCTGGCGACATTTACCCGGGGTACCTGAACGGATCGGGTTACAATAGCCAGGGGGTCAACGGCGGACCAGTCAGTGGACACCGTGCTGATGACTCCCAGCTGAATGCTGCTGTACCTGAGTTCGCACCTGGGAATGATCTCACGTACGACTTCACTCGCGCTGCACACCAAGCACAGGGCTCTTGGGTAGAGGATGCCCTGCTGCAAGCCACAACTTTTTCAGATGATGAGGTTGCTAAGCTGCATGTTGTGTCGCCAGGACAATCCAAGAAATCTCAGGAGGCTGAAAAGCTGCCCAATGGAGACACGCATGGGGCCACCGAGGACACCAAGGGTGCTGAAACCAATGGGGTCCATGCTAGCCCAGATGCATTGAACACGTGAGTACTTGGGTGCGTGCCAGACTCGGTGGTGTCATCATCGACTGACAACTTGCACAGTCCTGAGCTGGGCCCAGTCACCGACGAATCTGCCTCCAGCTCTCCCGCGTATCACCGATTTGATGGTACAGTGGCACAGTCTTCTGGTGGTAAGATCACCGAGAAGTATGTAGATGTCCGAGCGAGGGCACTGGAGTTGCGTCAATCTGCAGCCCCAGGAGACGTTCCAGAGGAGATGAGGAGACTTTACAAGTTCTGGGCATCTTTCTTGGTGTCGAAATTCAACGCTAGCATGTACAGGGACTTCCGCCAGCTCGCCCTCGCAGATACGACATCAGAAACCCCGAGCAAGACTGGCCTCGGTTATCTGCACCAGTTCTACACCAGTGTGCTGTCCAAGACTGGTGAGGCAGGCATATGGGCGCCTGGCCATCCAGTATACCAAGTGCTGGACTCGGATTTCCAAAGCTCCCAGACCGCGGCAGGATCATCTGAGCCCCAGGTCTAATGCATGCTTTCAGCACTGCGTGTCCAGCTGTGTCCTGATTGCTGTGGCGCTCAACATGCGAGGCACCATGCCGGCCGAATGGGCAAAAAAAAAGTGAACCCGGATAACTGATTCCACTCGAGACACCTATGATACTGGACTTGGGCAGAGGCATCTGAGCAAACTTCCCAGGATGGTACTCAAGTGGCCTTGCTCACGAGTCTCACGGGAAGCTCTGTACATGGACATCCGCAGTCAAGGGGTCGTTGCTCTTTTGGCACTGGAGCCTTGCAAACGAGTGTCTTCCTCGAGGCAGCACGCTTTTCACCGATGACCATTCATCACCTTTTGTCCGTGGAGGTTTGGGTTGGTCAACAAATCAGTACTGAGCAGCCTTTTGCATCATGATACCCGTTGGGGAAGCCCGCATCCTCTGGAGGTGTGTGTCTTGTATGGAGCAGCACACTGAAGGATTCCTGAACTGGATGGTTAGGACTTTGGTGCCCATGCCATCATGAGCTCCTCCCGGCTTCTGGGTCCCCAACATCCACGAGATAATATTTGCAAGAGATTATGTACGACAATATTCATGGTCCATTGAGAGGACTATTGCGATTTTGCAGCAGCCGGGCACCAGTGATTTTCAAAGGGAATAGGAAGGGATGATTGTCATGGGCCTTTGTGAGAGAGCGCAAGCTTTGGTCAACCAGCTGGCATTCCATTCATGCATTCAGGCCTCTTGATTGAGGCCGTGGAGTACTGAAAGTCATCTTTCCCCTCAGCATTTGCTTTGGCATGGAGACAAAGACAGAAACGAAAAATATTTGGCCAAGAGAAAAAGTTGAAGCATGCAAAGGGACAAAAGTTGCACCGGCAAAAGCCTCTGCTGTTCTGTCTTTTACTCTTGTGCATTTTGGATGTCGAGTGGCAAGAGGAAAAACAAGCGACGGGGCGGCTAGGCTAGCAAAAGGAAAATCAAGAAGCCCATTTGACATGGTCTGAAGAGGTGGTGGTTCAGTTCAGTTCCTTTCAGTGTAAGGAAACGGGAGAGGACCAAGTGATGGAGGAACAAGCCTGGACTTCTGTGTTTTGAAGCAACGGACGGCTCGTCAGATCTCCCTCCCTTCTATCTCTTTTACACTTTTCTTTTATTGTTCTTCAGGTGTCCGGAATGGAAAGACAAAAAAGATTTACTCTCATGCTTTTTTGCTTGTCATTGTCATGAGCTTGGCTGTATGAATAGGGACTCAGGGCAGACAGAATATCACATCGGAGCACAAGTGGACAGGCGGAAAAACCCCCCCCCTCAAGCCAATCTTGAGCAGCATCCTTGTACATAAGATCTTGAATGTTGAGGGCAAAAGCGAACTGGTTTCATGGGCTCGAGCAGTGGCTGAATTTTTGTTGTTTCTTGCCTTCTCCTCTTTCCGTGGTGGCTTGCTTTCGAGACTCTACGAGGTGTGATTTGCGGCCAGGCAACAAGCTGAGAAAATACCAAATGACACTCCTCACCACTTGCAACTTGCAATTCGAGGTTCCTAGATTTTTGGAGGGGAAGTGGTGGTGAGATCCCGGAATGGGCCACCATCTCGACGCGGGGGTATGCCTGGGGGAGGGGTTGTGATGGGTTTTCAATGATTGTGCAGCCTGTCTGTTCACCACTAACCCAGGCGAGTACCTAGCAGGACTGAGAGAACACCATAGACAGGCTAATTAATATGCATTCTTTTTTTTTTTCCCCCCTTTTTTTTTTCTTTTCCTTTCCTTTTCTTCTTCTTCTTTTTCATAAGTATACAGTAGCAAGGAATTTATATTTTCTGTGACACCTTTGCATGGCATGGCCCAAACCTGTTGTAGAGGATTTTGTGAGTTTGAGAGTGGCAGGATGGATGGCTTGGAGGAGCATGGAGGGGCACAACACTACGTCACAGTGGGGCAGGGTTTCTATGTGGTGGTTGGGCAGCCAGCAGTGGCTGGTCTCTCTGCCCGTCTCGAGCAAGCACACCACATTGGAATGCGATACACCAACGGAGACTACTACAGTAGTTGTGCGTGGAGATGTGGAGTGGGCCGGGACCGCGAAACGGTCAGCCCGATGCCTGCGCCACTGATGTTGCTTGCTGCTTGTCTTACCCGCCACCGTTCCGAACTAGCCTTGGCTGCTGGTGGTGCACATCACTGGACTGATTATCACCCCCGTTACTCCACGCAGACGTTGGCCAGGCCGGGCAAAGAACCCGTCAGTTTTGCGAGAGGAGGCCTCTGCTCCTGTTTCGTCGTGTCGTCTCCGTGCAACGACACCTTTCTCTGCTCGGTGTGGCTCGAGAGCGGGGAGGGGGGAGGAAGTGGCCGCCCGTGTGCTATACAAACCTGTCGCGGGCGATGCTGTGCCTGTGCTGTGCCACACACGCACCCACCCACCCACACACACACGCAACAGCTTTGGACGGGCAGAGGCGGGAGTGGAAGGTGGGAGAAACAACTCACGCTTGGCCTCCTGGGGTCATCCTTCGATGACGGTGGCCGTTGCCGCTGTCTCATTGCTCGGCTCGAGACGGTCTGCCCCACTAGGAGCGAAGGGCAGGGCAGGAGCAAGGCAGGAGCAGGGCAGGGAGGGAAGGAGGGCTGTGGCGGCTTGCTGTCTGCTGTTTGGGGCAAGACGAGAGACTGAGTGCATGCTGCCTGACGAGACTGCCCTGTCCTGTCATGTCCAAGCCGGCCTGAGGGATCCGACCCTGCAAAGTAGGCACCTCGGACGGCTGTTGTCGACTGTCTATCCTGTCCGGGAACTTCGCACTCGATTGACCCGTGTGAACAACCGCGATTACTTCTGTGTGCATCATCGTTCCTAGGCGAATGGAGAAACTGTTGGGGCCATTATAGGTTCAAGCTCAGCTGCTGCTCTGTCTTGGATCACGCATACGTTATCAAGATCTTATTTTAGGTGCAGGCGGCCATATTTGTCGTCCACCACCGGCCACCCCCCTCTGCCGATTCCCCCCCTCCCCTCACCTTACCTTGCCTCGCCCCTCCTCTGCTGCCCACTGCCCAGCTGAACCCAACACAACCCAACCCTGCCCTGCATTATTCATTTCCCGGGCTTGACACCTCACTCGCCTTCTGTTTTTCCCACTACATCCTACCCAACCTAAGGGAATCAAACTAGACCCTAGGTCTGATCGCCGGCAGCTTTCTCTTCGCGCTCTGCCGTACAAACAACACAAACATACGCAAACACACACACACACATTATATCCAGAGCCTGACCAACTCATCGGCGGGCCTCTGACGTCACCTTATCCTGCCTGTCACCCAGATAGCGTCAGCCATGAGCTACGACTACGACCCTCCGCGCCGGCAGCGAAGCACCCGGGAGCACTATCGCGAGGAGAGGTATGCTGAGCCTCAAGATCCCTACTTGAGGGTCCAGTCCACTCGCGACCTCGTGCCGAGGGGACGAGAAGACAGCGATCTGTCGGTAGAGGAAATCCGCAGGGACTTTCCTCCGCCCGGCTACGCTCGTGGCGATATCCGGAGGGCTCGGTCGGCAGAGCCCTATGATTATGACGATGATGCGCGCTCCGCCTACACCCGCAGGAGCCGCGATGACTACTATGACCGCGACTACGATCGCCGCCGGCGCCAGAAGGCCGAGAGCGTCTACATCGAGGAGGAGGAGATGAAGCGCAAACGTATCCTGAGCCAGCAGGAGAAAATCATTGCTGCCGTCGCCGGAGCTGCCGTCGCCCTTGGAGGCAAGGAAGTTTATGACCGCCGCGAGGCCGACCAGGAAGGCGGAGACGTCCATCGCAACTTGATGTCCTCAGCAGCTCTGGGCGCCGCCGGTGCCTTCGCCGCCTACCAGGGCGCCGAGTTCTACAACAAGCGCGCCGACAAGAACGAGAAGAAGTCCACCCACATCGTCCACAAGGGCCGCGATGGCAGAGTTACCGAATACTACTCTGACGATGAGGACGAGAAGCACAAGAAGGGTCACAAGAACTTCCTCGAGGCCGCCCTCGGAGCTGCCGGCCTTGGCACAGCACTCAAGGCTCTCACCGGCGGTGGCGGCCACGACGAGAAGCATGGCGACCGGGACAGAGATAGGGACAGGGACAGGGACAGGGACAGGGACTCCAGGTCTGACACCAGGAGCCGCCGTGGAAGCCGTGAAAGATCGCAATCCAAGGGCGGGCCTGGCGGTAAGATCCAGAAGGCCGCCATGGCCTCGCTCATCGCCGGTGCCACCGAGGCGTTCCGGGTGTCCAAGGAGCCGGGCGCTTGGAAGGGCGAGAAGGCCAAACGAGTTCTCACCGCCGCTGCCGGTGCCGCGACCATTGATGCCGCGCAAAAGCCCGGAAAGGACGGTAGCAAGCTTGGCCTGGCCGAATCCGTCATCGGTGGTCTCATTGGCAACCGCATGATCAACGGATCCAAGCGAGACATCATCGAGGACAAGAGCACAGGGCGAAGCCGGTCACGCTCTCGTGCCAGGTCCGAAAGCAGCAAGGGAGGCGGCGGCGGCGGTATGGGTCTCGCTGCACTGGCCACTGCTGGTCTGGGCGCCATTGGTGCTAAGAAGGCTGTTGACAATATCCGTGACGATCGCTCACGTTCCCGTCGCCGGGACGACTCTCGTGACTCTTACGACAGCCGAGATGGGTCTCCCAGGCCGCGTGCGCGCAGCCGTAGCCGCAGCGTCGTCGACAAGGCCCGCAAAGGCTTGGCGAGGATTGGTCTGGGCAAGGGAGAGGACGATAGCGAATACGGCTCCCCACGTGGCTCGCGCCGAGGGGGCCGCTACGATGACGATTATGATTCTCGGGATGGCCGGTACCGCGATGACTATGATGATGACCGGTCCTACCGGGCTCGCAGCCGGTCAAGAGGAGCGCCGTCCCGAAGCCGGGCGTCCTCTCGGGGGTCAGTATCCAGCTCGGATCTGGGAGATTCGGACGAGGACGAGAAGAGGGCAAAGAAGATGCGAGGTAAGCAAATCATCACCACTGGCCTGGCAGCCGTGGCCACCATTCATGCAGCGCACAACGTGTACCAGAGCATGGAGAAGCGGAATGCTCGGCACAAGGCGGTCAAGGAGGGTCGTCTCAGCCCGGAGGAAGCCCGTAAACTCAAGTCAAAGGCGCTGCTGCAAGACGCCGCGTCGGTTGGCATTGCCGCGTTGGGCATCAAGGGAGCCGTCTCCGAGCTCAAGGAAGCCCGGGAGATGAGCCACGAGGTGACGGAGTGGAAGCACCAGAAAGAAGAGCGGCACCAACGCCGGATGAACCGCCTCGCGCGCCAGCAGCAGAAGCGGCTCGCATACTCGAGCGACGACGACTATGACAACTCCGACGACGGTGCCACACAGTACAGCAGAAGATCCAGGGCTGACAGATATGCTTCGTCAGTTCCTCCGCGGGTCGGCGGCAGGTACGACGACGGGCCCCATTACTCCGATGGGAATCCTTACTCTGCCTTGCCTCCACCGCCTGCTGGCTACAGCAACAGCAGAAGATGATCACTCAGACACGCGCGATGCAACAAGTATGGATGCCTTCGTTAAAGTCTGCCCATTCTGCTGCGCGCGCTCCTCCACCTGCACCCACATCAGATCAGCCTGGCTCATTTTGCACACCACGTCATACGTCTGTCTGTCTGTACGACTCTACCAGTCTGGCATCGCACATCCCACAACGTTTCACAGGCAATAATATACCCTTACGACTGTTATGATGATCAAAAGTTTTTGAACGTGTGCGACGAGCGGGAGGCGCTAAAAGATCATTTGGAACATGTTTACGAAGGGTCCGAGAGATGTCAAGTGCTTTCACGATGGGCTTCCTCCGTTGGCTCGACGACCTTACTCCCTCCGCTGCAGTGCGATGGTAGCCACAGCTTGGGCTGGATGGCCCGAGCCTCTGCTGCCTTACCCCATGTTTTATGATGCCCACGCCACACCAGCAGACACATTATTATTATTACACAGCACCGATACCACCAAAGATCTCGCGTACATTTGGAGGAATCAGATAGATTTCCCAGGCATTTGCTCCAGCCCCTTTCTGCTCAGCACTAATTCATTTGCTCTCCTTCCACACAAAACGTTCCAGTGCAAATTACTGATGGTCTCCCAATTTCGTGATAGATCGGCGCAATCGCCGCTAAGAAAGACGATCCCTCCCGCGTCGTGTGGAGTCAAGGATGTCTGAGGATTCGGGAGTTCTAGGCACCAGCCTGTTTCTCCTGGTGTGCGCTTGTGCAACCGTTCCTTCGGATTCGGCCACACGAGCGGATCAGCCGGGAGGAACAGCGAGTGGGCCAAGGAGAGCCGCACGCAAACCTCAGAACGAGCAGACGAGACAATACACGCGAACACGCGAAGCGGGTGGCTGACTACGACGATCACCTGCAGCCCACGTACCCACAGATCGGACGATCGGTGTTTTTGAACCCTCATCAGCGAACGACAAGGCGAACGGGCCCTGGAACAGTGCACGAAAAAAAGTGGCCGGGGTCCCACGAAGGGGGGAGGGGTGGCATTGGTGTCGATGCGGGTTTCAAAACGGGGATCTAAAAGGGCTTCGTGGGAGGCGAATGGCCGGGAGACACGTCTGTTAGTTTGGATGCCGCATATTTTTGGGGGTTCGATCTGGGTTGGTTGGGCTTTTTAGGCCGGGGGGCAAGCATTCTGGAATTGAGAACGGGAACCTCACGACAAGCAAGGGCTAGCTAGCCTACGCACAGGACGAGATGACGACTACACAAGTTGATGACCTTTTTCTTTTCCTTTACTTTTGCCTTTCCCTTTGTCTTACGATATCAAGAAAGCTCCATAGCAGTCAAATGCACGATTTCACGACACTCAGGACATGTGGCAATAGAGACACAGGCAAAATCGCCTGTGCGTGACAGAAGCTGTTTCTAATGTCTTTTCACGTCTGACTACCGAGCTCTGTGATGTCAAGACAGGTACCGCGAGCCAATGCAGTCTAGCCAATGCGACAACGCGCCGGCGGCCAGTCTACTGAATTGGGGTTGCTGTTGTGTCAAGCGGCGTGAGGGGGGCTTGGGCTTCAGGGAGCACATGACCATTTCGAGCCCAGCGAGCGGGTGGTCGTGTCGGGAGAGGGGGGCAGAAGTCTGGATCCCCGAGCCATGGCCGCCTGAACTTTTCAGACGACACTGCGGGCCGCCAGACTGAGGCTTCTTTTGGGGGGCGGGCTGTGTGTGCACAGTAATAACCATTCTTCCCGCCCCAGCGGGACAGCCGAAATCCACCCCGGCTGGCACCTTCAACCTTCGCTCGCCCGGGAACCAAGGAGGCGGAAGGGCGGGAATACGGGAGTTCCCAGCTTGGCATTTGCGGTCACGCCCATGACATCACCGTGCAGAAATGGGCGCGCCTGGCCTGTGGCTCCCTCCATCCCCTCCCTGTCTGTCATGCCATCCACAACGGGTACCAGGACTCGGGCCGACGAGGGGGCTCTGTGACTGGTGGCTGGTAGGTCGACTTGGTTGGCTCGTCGGGTTTGGAGAGGTCAGGTACCGACAGGGCAGGTGGGCAGACAGCAAGACCCGGCTGGCCTCCTCGGCATTACATGTAAGCTGCGGTAGGCACACGTTCAGATGCTGTAGTGGGCTTATGCAATGACAAGAGAACTGGACAGATACGATACCATGTGCCATACGCTCCTCAACAGCCTTGTTGGGCAGTGGCTGCTTCAACCGGAACATGTCTGACCCAGGAGCTCTGCCTAACCCCCGAGTCTCGGGCCCAAGCACCTCCTCCGAGCCTACTACAACATTGGCCGAGTGTATTGAAACCACTCGAGGAATGGATAAAATGTGATTCGTTTCGTCCATATTAGTAGAGAACCCCCTTGGACTCAATTCTGCTTCCACGCTTGTGCCATGGCCAACAGGTTGGAGATATCTGCCGGCTGCTGCTCGTCCACGGGGAACACGTAGTCGATGTACTCCTCCATCTCGCCGTCCTCGTTCTTCCTCGTCTTCCTGACCTTGCGCGGCATCTGCTTCTCCACCTTCTCCACGTCCTCCGCCGAGCCTTGCTCCCTCTCGAACGCGAGCCACGCGTTGAGCAGCGTCACACGCTCCGCCTTCCTCTCCCGCATGCTCTTGAGCGCCCGCTCGAACACCTTGCGCGTGCGGCCCTTGGCCTCCTCCGACACGCCCTGGTCCTCCTCCTCCGGTGCCCCCTCGCCCTCTCCTTCGTCCGGCGCCCCCAGCTCGAACTGCGCGTAGCTGATCCACACCTTGGGGTGGTCCGCCTTCTCGAGCAGCCGCTCGTACAGCGCCCGTGCCCGCTCGAACTCGCCCTCCTCCTCCTCGAAGTCGATGTACTTCTTCCACACCATCTCCGGCATGTCCAGAACCGGCTGGTCGATGCCCAGCTCGAAGATGGCCCGCGCCCGGTCCAGGTCGCCCAGCGCGCGCTCCAGCTGCGCCCAGTCGATCCAGGTCTGGCAGTTGGATGCGTTGTACGACACGTGCTTCTCGTACAGCATCCGGCACCGCGTGAACTCGTAGAGCTTCTGCTCCAGCGCCACATACCCTTTGAACAACGAGTCCTTAGGGCACATCCCGATCGCCCGCCCGAGCGTCTTGCGCGCCAAGGTGAGGTTGCCCTGGCGGATCTCGAACTGGGCTTTCAGCAGCCACACCTTGGCGAACGTGAACTTCTTGTGCGGGATCAAATTCAGGCATGCGTCGTAGACCTGTCGCGCTCGCTCGATATCTTGGGCCTCCATCTCCTCGTATATGGCGTAGAAGATCCACAGGTAAATGTAGCGCCTCCACAGTCGCTTCTCCTGTGCTGGTGGAACCTGGGCGACTGCCTTTTCGTAGACTTCCCGTACCCTGTCGACGTTGCCGGATGCCTGTTCCAAATTTGCGTAATCGATCCATGTGTCGTAGTTCTTGGCGTTCTCCTTCACCTGCTCCTCGTAAAGTCTCCTTCTCTTGGAGAGGATAACATCCTCAACGCCGTCCCGGTCGCCAAATTGCTTCTCGAACACGGTGTACTCTGCGTGGAGCTTCATAGACCTTGACCGTGGCAGGTTGTCCAACGCGAACTTGAAGATGGCCCTGGCCCGGTCGTACTCCTTGAGTTTTGCCTCGTACCTTGCAAAGGCAATGAATAATCGTTCGTCCACGAACTCGTCCCCTAATGACTCGATCGCGGTCTGGAAAACCTCCCTCACCAGGTCACTCGTCCCGAACTCCTCTTCGAATTTGGCCCATTTCAAAAAGTTCCGCGGCTCAGGATGAACAAGGACGAATCGCTGCAGGATGTTCCGCGCATTGTCGAACTCCTGATATCGCCTCTCAAAGTGGATGTAGGCGCTCCAAGCCCGCTCATCCGGCTGCCAAGTCATCCACCTCTCAAAGACCTGCCGACATCCTGGGATGTCGCCCAACCCTTCCTGGACGAAGACATACTTGTACCACATCTTGTCCACGCGGGGCAACAACGTTACCGCGCGGTCAAGTAGGTTCCGCGCATGCTGGATGTTGCGCTCCTTGATCTCGAAATCAATGTACCGCATCCATAGCGCCGGGTTGGTGGGGAGCACATCCAGGGCGCGCTCAAAGACGGACCGCGCGCGGGCAAACTCCTTGTACTGGATCTCAAAGTCGGTGTACTGGGTCCAGTTCTTGAGGGACTGGCTGTTGCGGCGGATGTAGTCCTCATACTCGCGGCGCTTGCGGCCCTGGAACTCCTTCAGCTCCTCGAGGTCCGCGAAACGCTGCTCCGGCTTGTCGAGCCCGCCCTCCTGCCTGTCGACGGCCTCGCGCAGGAGCTGCTCCGCGCTGATCTGGATGGGCGCAGCTCCCTTGTTCTTCACACGGGGGGGACCGCGTGAGGACTCCATTGTGGGCGAGCAAGTAGGACCAGGTGACGGTGACTGAGATGAGCCGAGGAGACCTGAGACTGACTGAAACGGCGGTCAGAATGTTGGGGTTGGCCCTGATGTGTTTGGGCTCGAAATCGCAATATAATGGGCTAGTAGGTGTGAGGTTGCTCTCAAGTACTTGAATCGTTTATTTTCATCGCCCCCAGACGCCGCTAAGCTTGCCTGGTCACTGCAGCTGCGCTAAGGCCGTGAGCTCGCACGGACCACCAACTTTTTCCAACCTTCCTGCATCGTTGCCTTGACAAAGAGCTTCTGATATCAATAACTCCTTCTCAATTCGTCACATTCCTTCCTTGCGCAACCACAAAACCGCGTGGCGATTCATATACAGCCACAGTCTTGCATTACAAAACTCCGTTCGACTGATAGACAAACGGGCAAGATGTCTACGCTCGTGGACGAGCTGCTCCAGGACTTCGAGGACTCGGGCTCAGAGCCCGGCGACGCCCCGAACGAGGACCACTTCCTAGGAGCTGACGATGGCGAGGCTTCAAAAGAGGCGCACGGAAATGGCGATATGGACTTGGACGAAGGAGCCGACGAGGACGATGAGGAGATGGGTGGCGTCGACAGCAGCAAACAAGTCCCAGAAGACCCCGAGGAGGCCAAGGCAAGGGTTGAAAAGATGCAGCTGAAGGACGTCAACGACGTGCGGCATGTTGCTGGTCTCATGAAGACCTTGGAGCCCGTTCTTGAGGTTAGTAGCACGCCGTTGAGGCACCCTCCGCCCTCTACTACTTGTTCAAGACATCGTGAAGTGTTTACATCTTTATCCCTGGACATTAGCCCTGACTATTTGCGTCCGACCCTGCAGAAAATCGAATATTACCAAGCGCAACCACCAGAGGCACGAGATGCTAGTATCGGCAACATCGAGGACCACCCCGAATACAACCTCCTGACCGAGTCGAACCAACTGTCCACATCTATCGACAGCGAGATTGTCCTCGTACACAAATACATCCGCGATCACTACTCGGTACGGTTCCCCGAGCTCGAGACGTTAATCACGAATCCCCTTGAGTATGCGAGGGTCGTTGCGATTTTGGGAAATGGCCCCCTGGATCCAGACAACGTCAAGACCTTGGAAACGTCCAAGAACAACATCTTGAACTCTACGTTGAAGGAGGTACTTGACGGTCCCTCTCTCATGATTGTGACACTGGAGGCAACGAGAACAAACGGCCAAGAGATGTCGGAGGCCGAGCTCAGCCGGGTGATGAGGGCTTGCAAGATGGTTGTGGACCTGGACAAGGCAAAGAGGACCTTGACGGAATACGTGCAATCACGCATGAACATATTCGCACCAAACCTGACCGCTCTCGTTGAGTCTCTCACAGCCGCGCAGCTTTTGAACGGAGCTGGGGGCTTGACCGGACTGGCTAAGACACCCGCTTGCAATATCTCTGCTTGGGGATCCAAGAAGCAACAAAGCAGCGGAATGGCTACAAATGTCGGTGTCCGCCAGCAGGGCTTTCTTTATCATTCTCCAATCATCCGCAGTGTACCAAGCGACATGAAGAGACAGGCCATGCGAATAGTATCCGCAAAGGTCGTCCTTGCCGCCAGGGTGGACTGTGCACACTCCAGCCCGGACGGTTCCGCCGGCGAAGACTTTAAGCAGCACTGCCTGGAGCGGCTCGACAAGCTGCAAGAGAAGCCCCTGAGCAAGGGACAGCGCGCCTTGCCTGTGCCGGACGACAAGCCGAGTCGGAAGCGAGGAGGACGGCGCGCACGGAAGGCCAAGGAGGCCACAGCCATGACCGACCTGCGCAAGGCGCAGAACCGTGTGGCCTTTGGCAAGGAGGAGAAGGAAGCAGGCTACGGTGCGGGAGACTCCACTGTAGGCATGGGCATGATCGGACAAACAGACACCGGCCGGGTGCGTGGGACACAGATCGACGCGCGCACCCGCGCGAAGCTCAGCGCGAAGAACAAGGGCTGGGGCGGCCTCGCGAGCTCGGTCACGGGCGGGGCGGCCTCGTCGCTCAAAGGGTTCGGCCAGACACCCGGTGGCCTCGATCTGCGCGGCAATGGTCTACGGACATCTGGTGTCGGGACTACGGTGGGCGGTGGTGGAACCATGTCATCGCTCAACTTCACGCCCGTTCAAGGCCTGGAGCTGGTGGATCCAAAGGTTCAGGCGGAGTTGAAGAGGAAACGGGAGGCCGAGCAAGATCGATGGTTCAAGGGCGGCACATTCACACAGGTCGGCGGTGACAGCAGCAAGACGAGCAGTGATGGTGTCTTCAAGAAGCCGGCCCTGCCAGCTTCCAAGCGGGTTGACACAGGTGCGACGAAGAGGTGAGGCGGCATCGGAGCAGACATTCCGGCGGAGGCGTCGCGTCTAACGCCTGCACAGGCGACGCCACAGGCATGGGCGAATAGAGGACAAAGGGTAGCTATCGCGCTGGCTCCAGTCGGCATCTGAGGAGCAAAATAGGGTTTACTTGATACGAGACCCCAACCAGTAAGCTGATTAGTGTGTTGGGGAAAAGCATCGCGGAACCATGCAGCAGCCCATCAGCCAACACAGCTCGCACGGATCTCAAACGTCGGCGCAAGACTCGACCAGCGCGTTCTTCACTGTGAGGTGACTACTTGTGGTCCAATCTGTTGGGCGCCCATGTGGACAGCTTCCCGTAAGACCTCCCGTGAGAAGACCTTTCTTGAGGAAATCTCCCGCGGGAGAGTGTCTTGCCTGACATGGAAATGTGAAGATATCGATGAACCAAGCCCAGTGTTCACATGTGCAAGTTGACAATGACCCCAAGGACAGCTCGGCCGTAGTCGTCAACAGCCACAACCTGACACACCAAGCTTGTTGAATCGTCCCTCCCAAACCTCTCAACCCCGCTTCGGAAAGCTTCCTCCCCCAAGCTTGCCTGCACGGCCACGCTAGAGCTTGCGCTCGGCTTCTTCTCGTGATGACTTATGGGCACCTAGGGGGCTGCAGCAAGAAAGAGAAAAAAAAGGACAATCACTCGCCGCCGCTCTCCCGGACGCGGAATGCCGGGAGGGCGGGCAGGATTCAAGCGGGCTCGGCAGGCTTTCCATTGGAAAGAATTAGTGGCAAAATAGGTTGTCGTTGCTGTTATGATGATCTCCTGAAATATTCATGACAGGAATGTGGCGAAATGAACATACGCAACACATGTGTTGCGATCCCCGGGGGCGGGGAGTCTGGGACTGCGAGACCCTGGGTACAAACCCCGCTACTGCAACGCCAACATCCGGCTTTGTGATGGGGAAATCTTGCTTTCATGAAAGCCTAGGATGGGGATTTCTTCAGAATCCCATCTTCGCCCAGGCTGGCAGGCCTTCAGTAGTGGGCTGATCGCCGGCGCACTGTCTACTCTTTTTTTTGTTGTCGTTGCTCCTTGTATTTTCGCCCCTCGCTCGTCGCCTTTCTGGTGGGGAATGGTGCATCGTGGGTTCTGAATTTTTTTTTTCTGTCACAAACTGTCGGCCAAACACGAGTGATGATCCTGTGTGCGTAGGCACACATTTGATTGACATGACTGACATGGTTGACTTGACAATGACGGCATCATGAGTGAGTTCGCCCGTCACTCTTGGCCGCGCTCGCGAACACAGATACACGAACCGCGGCGTATCAGAAGGCTCCACATAACAGGAAGCTCATTCCTACACATTTCACCTAGGAAACCTGTTTGCCTCAGGGTCCTTGGGCCCTGCATGGGCCAAAATGCTCTTTTGCATGGTCTGCGACCGGTCTGGCCAGAGACATGCACTGTTAACCTGCATGCACCTGCGCGTGGTGTGCCAGGACTTTGTTGGGGTAGGGTAGTACGTGGCGGGACGATACCGTATGTCGAGTCTAAGGACTAGTCTGCCAGTTATTCACGGCGCTGGAATATTGGTTTGAAGACCCTATTCGCCGACTGGACAAGCGTAAAATCAGAATCCTGTCTCGAGTCGAGGAAGGAATATCATATCACTTCCAAGGCTCGGGAATCTTGTTGACCACTCGCAAGGCGGCCGCCAAGGGCCGTCGAGGTGATGAAACCCAAGATGCTGTTGTCATGGTACTGTTACTCCGCAGCTGTTTCGACTTGATGGCCCAGCTGCTGGTTGGTGACCGAGCCCTCCTGTTCTGGCTAAGGGTTCACGTCCTGTTGAGACCGCCGGTGAGATGACCCCTCTTTGTAGGGTGATCCCCTCCGAGATATCCGGAATGCTCGTGTGAGTGTCTGGAGTGTCTGAGTGTGTGCTTACACCATACCTCGGACCAGGGCTCCTGGGCTTACTGTGGCACGGTATGGCCCCCTTGGCTTGGTGTTCAAACTACCCACTACCTCGTGTCGTCGGCATGTTGGTCTTGGGCCCTCTGGCTGTGCTGTGTGGCCGGGCTGATTAGTCCACGTCGTCTCATCATTCTCCATCGGCTCAGGCTTCCTTGTGGTTGGGCCTCCTCCACCTCGAGTTCGAGAGACAAGTAGCCGCCAGTCCCAGCTTAGCACCGAACCTTAATTGCCCCAGGTCGACGGTCTGGACCGGCCGTATACGTCAACCTAGGGGTTGTAATCTGGAGCCTCCACAACGAGCTCGATACCTCCGTCGAATCCGAGCTTGTTAGGGGCGTCGCCGTGGGTTGTGACAGGAGCAACTGTAAGTTCGATGTCTTTGCGGGGACAGAGCATAGCAAGAGTACTCCTAAAGGGAATGTAGCGGCAGCTCAGCAGCACGGCAATCTCCAGACTAGGTACCTAGGTACCTAGGTAGTCTATGTAGATAGTCTAAAGACCTGGGTACCTGCTGCAGTAGACTGGCCATGTGTCTACGGATGTAGAGATTGTGGTACGCGCAGCTAGTGGGAAGCAGCCCCTTGGTACCAGCACAGCCAGTCCGGGCGGGACGGTACCTAGACACACACCTGAGTAAGTGGGCATCGGTTGGTTTTGTTACGTCACTGCTTTTTTGCAGTATGGAGTATCGCGATGACTGCATGTATATTTGCAACGGCAGGAACAGAGGGTGCCCGAGGCCTTTCCTTTGTTATGGCATGAACATCAACAGACAGACAGTCCCAAGTCTTGACCGAACAGCAAAGGAAATGCCCAGAAGTCTAGTCGGAGCAAATGCTCCTCAACCTGTCCGAGTCTCACAGGCAGAGAAGGGAGAGATCTCGATCCGGGCGGCCACGCGCGCAGGCTACCCCTCCCAGACACGAAGGACCCCTACATTCCCGATGGACCCCAGCTTGCAGTTTTAGGGGTCCACCCACCTCCCCCACCCGGATCACATATCCATGTGCCTGCCCCTGCTCCCCTTGCTGCCTTGCCCTGCGCCCTGCCAGCTGCCAGCTGCCAGCTGCCTGCACGCCTGGGTCCCCTCAGCCAGGCTCAGGCTGGGCCAGGCCCTCACCCCGACAGCCCGACCGTGACAGCCCGACTGTGGGACAGCTCGTCCGACCCTCACTGAATGAATCCCATTTCCTCCGGCCCCTTGGCTTGTCGACGGATGTGCCCCATCAGAACCTGCAGTGCACACTGACGTCCTTATCCGAGCTCAAAAAGGGTCCTCACCCGGCACCTCAGCATCCATCCACACCGAGAGGATGACTCATCAGACGATAGCGTCCTCGGGCAGACACAGAGAGACTGCCTGCCTCCGTGTGAGCCAGCTGGCTGCCTCACCGCACACGTGACAAGGCCAACGTCCAGTGCTGTTGCAAGATGCTGCCGCACACCGCCGGCTCAAAGGGTCTTCTACCAGAGGTGAGAAAGAAAGGCTGGAATGGAGCTCCATGTCAGCTGTCCCTGAGCCCGGGCAGCAGCGATGCAAGGTCAGGCCTGGGGGTGCCACACTAGCTGGCCGAGCTCCACCCCAGAACAAGAGCCCCACACGTGTTCGGGGTGGGCCCTGTCTCGGCGCCAGCGGAAAGCCGATCCTCACCTGAACTCTCGATCAGTCTCCCGAATCTTACTGCAATCCTGGGACCCTGAAAACACAGCGCACACAGCCAGTACGGCGACCCTCCAGGCTCAAAGTACTCGCAGCCTCGCAGTGCCTGTGTCTGCCCACCGCCTCAGGGCCCCGTCAACGGGCTATGTCACCACTTTCCTTGGAAGCTCGCGGAACTATTCCAAGGAACACCGCCCAGACGAAACGCGCAGCTGTCCCCCAAGGTCGCGTGGGTCCAGCTAGGTTGGCCCGAAGCGCTGGGAACACTCCGACACCGACACCAAAACAAAACCGCTAGACCAATAAATGTTTAGCTTCCTCCATCGCCCTAGTCTCTGGTCTACTCATTCTATTTCCAAGGCAGAACATCATGCAAAACGTGCTTCTGTAACAGGCGAAGAGATCACTACCAAGTCGTTCAGATCGCAAAAAGGAGGCTATCCAGCAGGGCATAGGAGGAGGAAAAAAGGAGGTTGTCGAATCCCCTCGGCAGCGCGACAAGGGTACAATCGGCACCCTGAAGACAGTTTCTTTCTGGCATGAGGGCGCTGCGTAGATAGCGATGCATACCCATCACAGATCTAGCTACTATACGCAAGTTGCCCACCTGCCGGTAAATATTCATCAGGTCCCCTTTATGCTTGCGCGGACTGGAACATGGCGTGGCCAGCTGGAGCGCGACATACCGATCCGGATCGTCAACCGGTCGGTTACACATCTGACGGATCGCGGTGCAGCAAGCATTGCGATGCAAGCGCTACGATATCATCGCTTTTCAAGACTAGCTCGTGTTTCCTGAGAGTACTCATCTAAAAACGCGGCGCGTGCATGTGTCTCTGCGATGCTGATCCCAGTGTGCGCACCGGGACGCCTTGCTGATCTTTGTTTGCTCCCGGATTCCAGAAGAAAACCCTACTTTCGATGATGGGAAACTTGCGAATGCGCATGCGCAAAGAGGGGTGGCTCGGAGAGGGGAAATAGACGCATTTTACTTTCGCAGAATGCAGGAGTTCCCTGCTCGGGACGGTGTCATTCGCCCACGAATCTCCTCCCGCAAGAGCTAAACTTCATCCACGGGAGTCTGTTACGGGATGGCACGACCATCCTGCAGCATGGTATGCATCAACGACGGATTCCGGATGACCCTGTTGTCATCCATCAGTCGACATCGTCTTGCCGTGAGTCGAGTTGTCGAGAGAGCTTGGCCGCGGTGGAGCCCAAGGCAAGGACCCTAATGCAAGTGACGCTACTTACTCACAAGTACTGACCTCCGACCCCCTTGTCGCTATTAGCTGTCCATGTCGGCGGGCTGGAGGATCGCGGCTCAAATTTCCAGAAAGCCCGATTATTGGCTGACAGCTTTTTCCTACTTTTTTGTCGCCTCTGGCCCTCGAGGTACCCAGGGTACTTACTCGCACACCCGGCCGAGCCACGCGACGGGCGAGGCGTCCAGCACTGAAACGGGGTGACGGGTAGCACGGCAAAATCTGCCCTTGTCGCCCAACGATGAGGCTGTCACGATGAATCGGCGATCGTGATGCCAGATTCAAGTCCTTCGCGCTGGAGTCAATATGACAGGTTCCGGGCGTCGGAAACCTGGTTTCCACTGCAAAGATTGTGCCATCAGCCGTCCCAGATGCCCACATCGACAACTGCTACCGAGCTCTCGCGCGGATGTGTGACAAATGCGAAGTACTGCGCAAAAACCGCTTCCAGTGGGTATGCACTGGTCGAGATAACACCCTATTGGAAAGCTGATGGTCCGGATGTGGATTGTCATTTTGGCGTTGCAGCCCTACCCAGATGGCCTGTCCTCAACCCGGACATGCATTCTCTTGGGCCGGTCCCTGATCATCCAGCGCGACCCTGCAAACCCTGCGCGACGAAAAGATTGTCCTTCCTACCACGGCGGCAGTACGGCCAGGTGCTAATGCCGAAGAATACCATCCCAGCGATCAAATTACCCATTCCATTCCTGGTCGTGAGACTGAAAAGAGCCGAGCCATAGATAGCATCATGACACACGCCAGGGTTTTCCCATTGAAAAATAAGCACCATCCCAAGCAGGCCAGAGCATGTCGAATGCTTCCGGGCCCCCGGGTAAACTTGTTCGCGGCCATTTCCGTCCCTTGCGGGCGTCAGCCAGCCGGCCTTGCTAGCACAGCTGGGTGCAGAAGAGGTCCAAAGAACCCAGGGCGGTACTCGACGTCATTGTTCTTAAATTCTCACAGCATGGAGGAGCCCCATTGCCCCCAGATTCATGCAGGAATATCCAGTGTGGTACTGGGCCCCTAATAAATGAGGCCCACGCGTGTCAACGTCTGAGCAGCCCGCAAGATGGCCGAGGTGACCGGTTGCGACAGCGGGAGGATCTTCCCCAGGAGTTTTGGGTCCGCCTGCGCGGCTGAGTCTCATAGGCTGTTGAGCGCAGCAGTGGAGGTCAACCCCAGGCTGCATCCAGCGCAGCTGCTGATGGGGATGAAGCTCGTTGCCGGGCGATCAACAAGATAGAGCGAGTTTGACCCGTTGGTCGTACTACACAGTAGTCATCCGCCCGGGCGGACTCGATAGCAAACATTCCGGGCATCGCCCTGCCGCTGATGCTCAGCCGTGCGAACCTGCTGGAGGCCGGGCAGCTTACCCCTCAGGGAAGGCAACGCAGAGGTCATGTGTCAGAAGCGACTCGAGGGTGAAGTTAGGATCAGCATGTTTGGTGCTCAGCCGCGTGCCCGTCCGCGCCGTGCTCGGGCACCGGGCAGCCGTAGGACCCTTGGGCGACTAGGAACGGACAGGATGCTCCGTAAAAGCATATTTTCTGTCAACAAAGACTCGGAGAGAACCTCGTTTGCCAACTCATCTCAGGAAGGATTGTAGGGGAGCGAGCAGGTCTACGGGCTTGACCTCCCAGTTTCCGATGCGAGTAGGCGCGAAGCCTGTGTGCCGAAGGCGAAGGAACCACCACACTGCATGCCATGTATCACGAACACGACTCCCAAGAGCGAAGCGTTTACTATTCTCGCAAGACTTCTCTGGGATGGACAAGCTCTCTTGAATGGCCTCGTTTGGGATTACCGTTGTGTCTTCTCGACGCGAGCGCAATCCCGACTTTTGTCGGTGACCCGTGGAGGGGATTTCACTGGCGGGACTGATAAATTTTACCTTTGACTAAATGTGCCAGTGTCTGGGTCTCTCAGATCGCGATCTGGGACTCGCGGAGGGCTCGTGTGGATGCAACGTCTCCTGTCACCAGGCCCTGTCTGGCAATGCGGTCTAGGTACTTCGGGACGGGGTCTTGGAGGTACCTCGCCGTGTGGGTGGTCCCTCAGGGCCCGCAGCAGGGAGGGCAGGGATAGCCCTTTGTGGGCTCCGAGCCCCCTCGAAGAGCCTGCGCCAAGAGGGGTCACCCATGTCGCGCGGTGCCTGTCCAGGGGGGTATGACGAGAGCACAGAAAGCCCATCCGGTTTCCTGATTTTTCCCACCGTGGCCGTCACTTCTCGATTTCACAGGCAGACCCCTTCTCCTGCAACAAGACCCCGCGCATGGACTTGTGCTACATCGAGACCCCTCGCAGAGAACTCTAAAACCGATCAGGGATCCCGGGCTGGTCTGGGTACCGCCTGGAGTCTGCGCCCACCCACATCGTCTTTCAAAAAGGAACACTGCCGTCCATTTCATCAGTTCACCCGTCCTCCCCTCCCTACACCCTCATGGTACCACTACACGACTGCCCTCTCCTGTGAACACTCCAGCCTACCACGAATACCTCACCGGACCACAATGTATGTTTATGTTACTTACTTCTGCCCTCATGAGGACCCCGACCAGCCGTCGGACCGTATCAATTGACATGCCATAGCTGCCGCCGTGCCGCCAGCCCCAGTCAGCCCCCTCGACCAAACTCACCATGCCGTCAACTCACCGTGACGCCTCGGGACGCGTGATCTCTATCCTACATGATCCCCATGAGCCCGAATATGAGCCGCACACCTCCCAGAAGACTGGCCTTCACTCGCAGGGACCGTCATTCGGCTCGTCGCTGATCTCGCACAGCATGCGAAGTCACGGCTCATACGCCTCGGCTGCACCCCACATGGAGAGTGTGCATTCTCACCCCAGCACACCAGACCTCATGCGGTCCGACTCGTACGACTCTCAGACGAGTAATGATCCCGCAAGCCCCATCACCCCCAACAGCACTTATCAAGAGCAACTTTCTCCCAGGAATTGGGCGCAAAACACCATGGGGTTGTCGAGCTCAGATACCTTCCACTCGGCGTCAAAAGCACAGACTACCTCGGGCCCCGCGTACCGTGGAGAAGCTCGCCCGGTTCTGCCCCCGATCTCATCCTTCGCCAGTCTGCCCAGTCCACGAACAGCAACAAGCCCGAGTGCAGCATATCCATATGACGCCATGCTTCGGCACCACTCGTCCTCAAGCCTGGAAGAGCATCACTATCGCCGCAGCTTCGATGCGCGCGAGGACTACCCGGCGTCCGTGCTGGATGCCGGAGCTGAGACCTCCATGCAGAGAAACGTCGAGCATCACAACGACTTCAAGCACCAGGCCCCTTCCCCGTTGTCACTGGAACAGGACCACTGCATGGACCTCGACGAAGAAGATGAGTCGGTCGAGAGCACCTCCCCGGGCAAGAAGGGGTCCAAGGGCAAGACGTGCACCTCTCCCAAGCGTTACCCCTGCAAGTTCAGGGAGACGTACAGCTGCTACAAGACTTTCACCACCTCGGGCCATGCTTCACGGCACGCCAAGATCCACACTGCCGAGAAGACTGTTCCGTGCTCCTGGCCGGGCTGCAACAGGAGGTTCACCCGCTCCGACAACATGAAGCAGCACCTCGAGACCCACAAGAAGGATAAGCCGAGGGCCTCGACCCGACAGACCCGCCGGCCGTCCCTTGCAGCGATCCGACGCCAGTCTTCTTCGAGCAGAAGCAGTGTCAGCCGATTCTCGCTCCCGCGCGACACACCGCCTCTGATGTCGCCGAGCATTGGCTCTACTCTGATGTCTCCGACCTTGTCCGCTGAGCGCTGGGCCAGGCCTGTCGCCTCGAGGACACCTAGCAGCGGCCTCGAAGCCCTTGCTATGGTCGCCGCAGATACGAGTCGCGCTGAGCAGGAGGCTTCTTACTACCAACAACGGCCACTGCAGCATTAGCCTGCTCCAAAACCGGCCACAAGACTAGCTGGCTCGGATCTGTCGACGGCCACAGTGATCATGGCGATCTATTCTAATTGTACATTTTTTTTTCGGGTTCCATTTCATCTATTCTCATCTCGGACGGCCAGATTGGGGACACGGATATATACCCAACATGAATCCCTTTCCTTTTGATCGGCACGGCGCAACATGGGATACGGAAACTAGACGGCTGCACGAACACGCATAGCAACCCGGCGTTCGAAATTTGATCTTTTACTTGTTTTCTGTTTTATTCTATACACGCGGGCGAACTCGGAGCCCATGAGGCGACGAATGGTCCAAAACAAAAGTGGTCGCAGTTGGATGGCGCCCGCAGACCGTTGGGGTCTTGCGGAGTTGCCCACCTCGAGCGTGGGTATGACACCAACATGTCTTTCTCTTTTGTGTACATATACGACGGACAGACCAGCGGTGCAGATGGTTCACGGCTGACGGTATTTATACACACGGAACTCAATGATACCACGGGAGGCGATACTGAACGTTTTTGCAAAAAAGCCGCATGCACACGACAGCGCGGGAGTAATGCAGCTATACCCATATTAGTGGGCGCCAGGAGCAAACGGCAAGGGGAGAGTCGAGAGCTGAAAATGAGCGGGAGACAGGGAACTTCCTTACTTGATCGCGCGTTGCTTGTACGAGATGCGCGACGCCTGGAAACAAAGCATGAGCATCCATCGCTTTGCTCAACAAGCTTGGTCGAGAAACAATACAGTCAAGTCTAAACAAGAGATAATGCATCGTGACGTATACTCTTTTTCGTAGCTCGAGATAATAATAACCTTAGCTCCACGGCCTAAGCAGCGTATTGCACACCATTAACGTCTCAACACCAGACTCACAAATAGTTGACACATCTCGCTGGTCAAGAATACTTCATCCGCAAGGGAAATTAGTAGTCGTAGGAAGCAAAGTGCCGAGCCTGGAATGATGAAAACACTCAAGCAACAGCGCATTATTATATATGAATGAATTCCAGACTTCGGCAAAGCAATTTTACGAGCGAAACACTGGCCGCTTTATGATCTCGTACAAACACAGTATTCCATTAACGTGTTTGATGACACCCCAGCTCGAAGTTGGAGTGATCGACATTTACTCATGCTGTTCAGAGTTGCAAACGGCAGATCGTATGTCGTCGTCGTCGCCAAGAGGCTTACTTTACCAAGATCGTTATAGCTCCCGTTAGGGATCCAAGCCACTTTCGACGACTAGCAGCGCGAGGATCCGTCCATTGTGTGTAATGCACCTAGGCAGAATCTCCACATTCTGTTGATCAAGTCCTGCATAGCACTTGGGTGGCTTTGACGCTCCCTGCGTGGGCCAGGGGCATATGAGAACAAACGTACGCCGAGTCGACCCACTGGCCCTCAGGGACCTCTAGCAGGGCTCATCGGTGAGATGCACTCTGACACGGCTTCCTCATCAACGTGTACTACATACAATACCCTCGACGCAGTGTGACGACGTACCGCAGGTTACCGAAACCGACAGAGACAAGGCGGAAAGCGAATTCATGAACGCGGCATCTTAAAAGATTGCCTGAGAATACCCAAGTTCCAAATTTGGTCAGATTGCCCTTCGATCGATAGGAACACCGGTGCGTTGATAAGCCGTATTCACATAGATTGTGGTAAAGGGCTCCTCGTGAGGCCAGGGACAAGAATTGTTTTTATGAACAAGGAGCCCCGTTCGATCAAATGTGCCTCGCTTTAGCCTACTGACAATCTCTCAAGCTTCGCTACTCTTAAATGAGTTAATCCAAACACAATCATAAATGTGTTCCATTCCCTGGGTTTCCCTCCGCTCTATTTCCCAAGCATTGTCAGACCAACATTCTGCTTAGCAAAGGTTTTTGTATCTGGCCAGTAATCTATGTGCAGAAAAGGCACCTATCCAGTCTAGTAGGGAGTCCTAGCAAAGTTTTTATCGTTCGAATTCTCTAGCGGGTACTGGCGCTTGCGCAACATAATTATCTTCACAAGTACACCACAAGCTGGAGCCCTTTCCTTCCCTTGACTGCTCATCTTTCTGTAGACAAGTACATGGTAAAAGCACGGTGATACCTGTTGCCATCGCTATCCTGGAAGAGCCCCAGTACTACACCATCTCAGTCATGGGCCAGCTGCTCCATGTGGGGAGAAAACGCCTCCGGCTGGATCGCCTGAGGTGGGACTGGTTGGTTGACCGCGGGCTGAGAACCGGCCGGTGAGCTCAGTGTTAGAGATAGAGGGTATGCCAGTCTCTCCGAATGAGGCGATCGCTTGTGTTTCACGCTATAGGTATTTGCCCACTTATAATGGCAGGCTTGTCCAAGTCTGGTGTGCTCAGCCCAAATGCGACCTAATGTCTTGGATTGCTACTCTTCGGGCTTTTCCAGGAACGTCAGTTGCTTGAAGCGAGCGTGCCGTTTGAGTACTGCTTGTTCCTGAGATGAATTCTCAGCCTGTTTGCAAATGGGTTTGCACGTCATGATTCCTGTGTATGCCAGGGGACGGAGAACAGGGCGGGGTAGACAAAAGAGTTGCTAAAAGGGAAAAGGAAGAAGCATGAAGTAATTATTGTTCCACATCAACGATCCGAACTCTGACAATATTCACCTGTGACAAGAGTTGACGGTAATAGTGGTAGGTTACGCAGTTTCGAACCTATACGACTCGTCACTGCACCATGCGCTCTACTGATAAGCTCTTGCTACATCACGTCGAGAATGCCCAGCCTGCGTGTTTAATTTATGTCATTTTGTAAACCTAGCTGCGTCCCTTTCCTAAACCCTCTGGCAAAATGCACAGCTCCGTCGTCGAGGAAGAGGGAGGACGGCCACCCGAGCCTGTGATGTCCTGGCCGCGTGACAGCCTCATCCCCAAGCTGTGGAAATATTCCAAGTCACGCGCTGCGTCATGGCACGTTAGAGTATCTCGCAGTGGACCATGAGGGGCCAAGCTGGAAGATGAGAAGCAGCATAGTGCTAGAGAGAGTCACCAAGCGCTGTTGAGTCGGGTCTCTGCCGATGATCTCGACATGGCATGTCTGATTTGCAATGGCCGTGGAAAGGCTGAATTGATCGCACCCCACGTCCCAAAAGCCAAGCCTGGGTATCAAACTCCTTGCTCACATTGCCTGCCCCCCTCCCCTTCTCCCGATATTGGTTGTCCATGAACTCCCCTACTTTCATAAAGAGCCACCCTCTTGACTGACCGACAAGGCCAGCCATACCATCACCGAAGACAAGTCTGAAATGGTGGACTTGGTCTAGTTCTCAGGATCCGCCGTCGCTGTTCCCTGGCCCCAGCACAGTTGGTATATTTGGTAGGCTCCTGGCAGCCTCTGTCGCGTCGAGCTCGTATGCTACCTGGCCCGATCGCAGCGCAGGCATGGGGAGCTCGATGCGGTTCGGTGCAAACGGCATCCCGCGCAGTGCGGCGTCTGCGATGTGGCAAAAGGTCCACTGGTCAACGAAGCGGCGGTAGTCTGGGCTCTCAGTCAGCAGCTGCAGATTTAAAAAGATGGCGTAAGACATGTTCTTTCGAGGAAGAGAGGAACGCGTGAGAACACTGACCACTTTCTCGCGTGAAGCGGACCCCCAGCCAGCGAATATCCAGCGGCACGGTCGTCGTGGATATCTGGCCCGCATCCGAGCCTCGTTCTGCCGACCTCTGCTTGCTTCGCCACGAGGACGGCGACGAGAGGGAGAAGCTCCTCGCGCGGACGGCATTGGGCGCGCTCCCGCGTCTGCCTATCGCGCCTAGCCGGCACTCCTTGTGCTTGTCGTCGCGATTCTTGAGCTCCTCTTGGAAGTCGGTGACATGATATTCTCGGTACCGCCGTTCGCGCCGATTCGACGGCTTGTTCGAATAGAAGGTAAGGCAGTGGTGCAAGGAGAGCCGGTCCCTCCACAATTTGATTCTCTGTATTGTCGCCATGCCTCGTACGGCCCCTGTTAGTGAGTCCGTCCTGCCGTGGGTATCGGAGAAGACAACATCAACGTCGAAGTAGTCGACAAAGTCCTGTCTTCGTAGGTCGCCCTGGAATCGCATCGAGCCCTCGATCGAAGTGAACTCATATCTCACTTCGATCACTTCGTCATGGACCACCGTACCGTCGGCGGTGGTATATCGTATCCTGTATGGCTCTCGGAATGTGACAAACAGCTCCATCTCCGCTGGGTCGGAATAGGGCCGATGCTGGCCATGTAGCGTGACAGGTTGCGCCTGTGCTGGGAGGCCTAATGGGACTGCTATGAGTGTAAGCACACGCTGACTATAGATGGTCTTTTCAGTCGTACGCACGGAATTGTTCCAAGATCTCGCCTTGGTAGCTGCTCTGCCAGACAACTCGGCGGGTGTCGCCCTCTAATACCTCCCATGGTCCAAGATAAACTGTGCGCTCGTGCGGTGTGCGCTCGAAAAGGGTAATGGTAGCCTGGTAGCCCGGGGGCCCGAGGTCCAAGGGACGGAGTGATGTGACCCGGAACGAGGGCTCGTAAGTCACAGCGGAGACGGAGGAGCTTGTTGGAGTTTGCGTGAGGTGTGAATGTGTTCGACTGAGGGACGGGACAGCTAGAGATGAGGAGACGTAGGACGACGATGAGGACCCGGATTGCATGGATCGACTGGAGGAGGAGGCCATGGCTGGGAGCATCAGTCCCCGGGCGTCTTGAAGCCCAGCTGCCTTTGAGCTTCGCCAATGGCAAAACTAAGGTAGAGAGTGGTCCGTATCGAAGGGCATGCTATCGATTCCATGAAATTTACAGTAGCAGCACGGCCCGAGAAGACTTTCGAGATCCCGGGAATGCTTGCGGCCGCGATGCCGGCTTGAGGGGCGTGGTCCTTCACGGCACGAGGCGGTAAGATATATGGGAGGTGCGCCTGGGCAGACGGCAGGCCGGGAGGACTTGGCAGGCCGGGAGGCTTCCGTGGAGCAAAACAATATTGGCGGATGAGGGTGAAGGAGCGACGACAGCTACATGCCAATGAGCTACAGTCCGCAGGGGGATGTTTCCCGGGAGAGAGCGAACGCTTCACTGGAAGAGGCAGCCGTTGAAGACCCAAGAGCACTTGGGCAGGTCGAGGCAGCGATTAAGTTTGCGACAAGAAAAGCATCTCTGTCGTGGCCGAGCTCGAGGGTCAACCGTTGCGCTGTGTGATTCGTTTCAGGGCGGGCCCATCGCAGCTGCAGGCGTAGATGAGGTTGAGATCACCAGTCTGGGTATCTTATCGGAGAATGGATGATTTGCATTGTTCGTTGCTGCTTGCTCCCTGTTCTGCTCTGCTCCCTGCCATGTGTCTCTTCTGGCTCCTCACTGGCCGTGGCACTGTCTCCCAGGCCTGGAGCAGGGTGTTGATGTTGCCGAGCGTACTCCGCGCAGGGCATGCAGGCCGGCAAGGAGAGTAGAGTTCAGGGAGAGCGGGGCCATCGCGGGACGCCATTGGTGGTCCCCCGGGTGGTCGAGATGGGCTCAGGGGCCCCGGACCAGGAGATGGCGGGATGCAGCAAATAGAGCCCGGCACACGAGCACATGCCAGAATCCGACGACGGGATTGCACCGTTGCAACTCGGCCGGGCTAAGCCGTTCCGGGCGGGCTGCATGCTGATGGCATCACTGGCGCAGCCTCGCCCTTCCTCGCACCACTCTCGATCCCCCGCCATCCGATAGCTGCTGGCCTGTCTGAGAAGCGTTCATGGCCCCGAGGGTTGAGCCCCCTGGCGGCGGAGGGTGCTTGCTGGGTCGCATGGCCAATTGGTCCGGCAGCGAGGACGGGTGCCGGAAAGACGCAGGCACGAGACAGTGAGCGATCTTAATATAGAATGTTGATGAAACAACCCCAATGCCGCTGGCACGACCCAAGCACACCAAGAAGTGACATTGCGGGCCAGCCGTGGTGCAGCAATGCGCAGCGGCGAGGGCCAAGTTGTGTGGCACCCCAGAACCAGGCTGCTGGGTACCTAGCGCGCACGAAACATGAGGCTGCCAAGCCTATAGCCGGGAGCTGTGTCGGGGCCGGAAGGGTGGGGGATTGATGATGCAGGTGGTGCGGATGCAAAACTTCAAGAAACATATCGCCAATGTCTGATCTGGCCCGGCCCGGTGTTGGCTGCCCGCCTCTAATTTTATTCTGAGCGTGCGGAAGAGAAACAGCCGAAAGCCCAAGACCGGGGCGCTCCCGGCGGGACGAGGCTCTATAATCATCATTGCTCGTCGTGATGGAGAAACAGGAGTCTTCTCCGCGGTTCGGGCGTGCCCCGGAATTTGTGTTTGTGACAGCTTGGCTGGGACCGATTCGACGAGGTGCTGGTGGATCGACGAGCCATTGGGCAACGGGCCACTGACAATGAGCTGTTGACGTCGGACCACAACTACTAGGGGCCACGGCCAATGTACCATGTACCGTGTAGTCCACCCAGATTTAGTGATGATCGAGCTGCCTGCGCCGTCGACCGGGCTGTTCATCGTCTGTCGCACCTGCCCCACGTGGGCAATGCGCTCATGTTGGGGCAGCAGCACTGGAGCACCAGGCCAGCCTCCAAGACAGGCAGCAGATAGAGAAAAAGAAAAAGAAAAAGAAAAGAAAAGAAAAAAGCAAATTGGCTTCTGGGTGGTGTGCCCAACATGCCCCGGTGTCTATTTTGTGTTTGCGTGGTGGACGCCACAGGCAAGAGGCAGGCGGGTGCGTGAGGCCAGCCACCGATGTGATAGGCAGGTGCAACGGGCCATGTCTGGGGCGTCAGTCTTTTGCCGTAACCACCCCAGCGACTGGCTGATGTTGGTTGACTTAAACTTCCTGCCTCGGATTTACACGTTTCGACGAGCCCGACCCCGTCCTGAACCACACCCGCTCTGCCACTGGCCCGTTCCATTGATCGTCCTGATCGTCCGTTTGACGGGTTCTTGATCCACATCCAGATCCAGGTCCATGTCCATGTCCATGCCCGTACCCATTCGTACCCATACCCATACCCATACCTCACCAAAACACACGCACAGCTACGGCTACACACAGCTCGAGCCCCAGCTGCAGCGTCGACCCAATCGGGACTCCTGGCATGGCTTGACCCAGCCTCGGCCTTGCAGCCTCGCAACTCTCATACATGATCCTCTACGCCCACTCGCGGGGAGCTGAGGCCGAACGCCGATACTATCATTGCCTCTATCATTCTCCAGACAGCACATATTCTTGCTGTGTTGTTGGCTGTCTCGCCCAGCACTGGCCACGGCCGACTGAGAATCACTACCCTCAGAGTTACTACTTATTTATGTCTCACAAAATGGCCGCCTGAATATCCTCGATAGATCTCCCCTGGTAGCGCTTGTAACCTCATTAATCGCGTACACACGCCCTATTGAGGTGCTAGAGACGGCCCACTTTGTACAAAATGCCGCGAAACATGTACCCAGACGACGCGGCGAGGAAGAACCGCGGGTTCTTGGGCTTCGACAGCTCTGCTCTGCCCCCAAGAGACCTACAGGTGAGTCTCCTCTGTACAGACACAGCCTCGTGTATGTGTAAGCATTTCAAGTAACCAACACACGCTCCCAGGACCGCCAGCAGTTACGCTATGAGCTGGACCTGAATTCCTGGAACCTGAGAATCTGGGGTGTTGCTGCTTCCGGGTTCCTCACTGATTCGTAAGTCTGACTCGCCCTATTCTGCATCTACACAACTATTTTCTTGTAGACAGCGAGCTCTGGGGGCTGACAGGAACGCAGTTATAACCTATTCGCGAGCAACGTCATCTTGACATCGATCACCTTCGTCTACTTTCCCGATCAAAGGTGGCCTGGCCTCGTCATAAACCTCTTCACCCTCTTCGGCTCGGTGTGTGGCCAGATACTTTTTGGGTATCTGGCTGATCGGTATGGACGAACTAGACTGTACGGCATCGAGCTCGTACTTGTCATCGTCTCGACCATAGGAGTTGCCACAAGTAGCTATGGCTATGGCGACATGTCATTCCTAGCTTTGTTCACCTGGGTCAGTCGGACTTCCCAGAAGAGATGTCGACTGACATCAAACTAACATCCAACTTGAAACAGTGGCGGTTTGTCATGGGCGTTGGAATCGGCGCTGAATATCCTCTCAGTGCTGTCATCACCTCAGAATGGTCTAGCACCTCGTCCCGGGCCACCATGATCTCCTCCGTCTTCATGATGCAGCCAGTCGGCCAGGCACTGGCCCAGCTCGTCGGTCTATGGGTGGTAATAGGGCAGAACAACCGGTACGACCTACAGGGCATGCAGTGTGGGATCAACGACAAGTACGAACACGAGTGCAAGCAGATCATCGACGGTATCTGGAGGATCGTCATCGGGTCCGGCTGCGTCCCGGCTCTCCTGGCAATCATCTTCAGATTCTTCTTGTACGACTGTGGTCTCTACAGCCTGGAGGTCAAGGCAAAACCTGGGACTGCCTTTCGTGATACGCAGAGGGTATATGGTGTACCGCCTCCTGCTGTCAATGTTGACAGCCCTTATTCCCCTGGGGGCTTCCAGGCTCAGCCCTTCCAGTTCATGCCGATCCAGTTTTCCCGTGAGGACCTGTACAACTATTTCATCACCGATGGTAACTGGTACTACCTATTAGGAACCAGTGCAACATGGTTCTTCTTGGATGGTAAGTGCTTGACTATCGACTCCTCCACTCCCTAAACCCGTCTGTAGAGTCACCACATGCATCAGGACTTGTGCTTTCTCTTCCGAGTTGCCTTGCCATTGAGTGCCTAGCAGCGGAAGTCGTTGGAGGAAGCTAACTTGAGCTGTTACAGTCAGCTTCTACGGGTTTTCCCTCGACAAGGGCAGCACACTCGCGGATCTTTGGGCGACGAGCCTCAAGCCGGCCGTCACACCCGACCTGTCTTGCTGGAACTCCACCCTCGACGGTGGGAATTCCACAATACCTCTATGGAACGAGTACGGCATACCAGCATGGCAGACAGACTATGCCAAGCCGTGCTCGACAATCTACGACACACTTCTGGACCAGGCCAAGCAGTACCTCCTCACGGTGTCTATTGCATCAATCGCCGGCACTGCATGCTATACCTTCGCGGCGAACCGCCTGCACCGCAGACACTTTCTGACCGCGTCGTTCCTGCTGCTGATGGTCCTATTTCTCATCACTGGAGGGGTTGTAAGTAACACCCAACGACATAGTCACCTTTCCGTGCTGTGCCCAAAGCCTTTTCATGTTTGGCGAAGTATTCGACCAGCATCAGGTGCATTGGGCGCTTCACACAGCACGCCAGATTTTCCCGTCGATCTCCCTCAGTGGGCGCGAACTCAACTAATCCGTTCTGTCGCAGTACTATGGCGTCGCTCACACCTCTTCCGCCCCAGCGACAGTCGTCTGCGTCGCGATCTGCCACTTCTTCTTCAACTTTGGTAAGCAGTTTCATACCAGCTGAATGACAACTTCGCTATGTAGGTGTCTTCTAATATACTGTAGGCGCAAACACCCTGACTTTCATAATACCCGCGGAGATTTTCCCAACCTCATACCGCTGTACCTGCCACGGCATCTCGGCCGCAGCAGGCAAGATCGGGAGCATGGTGGCGGTGCTGGTCGTCTACGGCATCAACGCGGGCTACAAGTCGTCCACGCGTCAGGGTCTCATCTTCCTGCTCTTCTCCCTCTTCATGGCCATGGGCGCCGTGTGCTCCTGGGTCTACCTGCCCGACATCCAGCGGCGCGTGCTCGACCGCGAGACCGGCAAGCCCCTGCGCCTCGAAAACAAGAACCTCGAGGACCTCGGCGAGGGCCGCGAGCGCGCCAGGAGGGATGGCGAGGTCGTCACCGTTGGGGAGAAGCTGCGCGAGCTGAGGAGACGGAGGCGCGGCGCGGGATTCTCACTTGGCTCGGGCTCGGGCGGGCAGGAGGTGCGGGGGCAGGATATCGGGATGAGATGAGGTTTTTTGTTTCTGTAGAGGCAAAGTTTGATAGAGACAACAGGCTTGGTAGATAAAGTATCGTATATACATACCTTTGAGCCAAAGTAAACAGTGTCCTTCAGCAGCTTAGTATCCATCACCTTCTCACCCGCATTTTATTGAACCAGAATTACCCTCCGCGGCGAAAAAAGAATCTTAATTCCACAACTGTGGAAGGCTGTATTTACTTCGTAAAAGTTGAACGCCTGATCTATCATGCAAATGCCCATTCGAATCATTTTGGCTGATATACACATTGGCCGGCATCATCTCGCCGTCCCGGCATCACTCTCCCCGCTAACGCTCGCACTCGCATCTGACAGCTCCCCGCCAGGGCTCCCACCATTCCCACTGCCAGTGCTACCGGTCTTACTCGACTCCCCGGATCCCGAGCCCGACCCGTTGAGCATCTTCCTCTGTGGGACCTCCAGCCGCGCGACAAGCGACCCGCCGATGCCCTCCTCCCCCTCTCTGTTCCCGGTCGCGATTCTGACATTGGCCATCTCCAGCGCCTCGCGGAGCGTGTCACCCGTCTCGTCCAGCGCGGCCAAGAACCTCGCCAGTTCCTTGCACAGCTCCCAGTCCTCCTCCCTCATCGCCCTGCTCAGCAGCCTGACGCTCTGTTCCGACGCAGACGACAGCTCATCAAATGTGTGCAGGATAAGCAGGTAACCGCCGGCAGTCTTCAAGCTTCCGCGCTGAAGGCTCTCTTCAAAGAGCTCTTGCGGTGGGGGTAAATATGCGAATAGGGTACGCCAGGAGCGTACTTCGGTCTTGCGGGTGCATTGCACTACGATGTCCAGATATTCTTTGAAAGACGAGAGCAGCGATAGGACGCGAGGGAGGATCGCGCTCTCGGGAGGGGGCGAGGGTGACATGTCCACTTCCTCATCGAGGACATGGTGAAGGAGGACCTCGAGCGCGTGCGCGAAATACTCCAGATGTTGGTACTGTTGGGCGAGGTAAAGGGCTGCTAATGACTTTCCGGCGATGAGGTGGTATCGTAGGATTTCAGGCAGGAAGAGATTGGTCTGAGTTGCTGTTATTAGTGGGTTGAGGATGAGGCGAGGCTGTGCAAGACTTACCCGTATTGAGAAGCGGAAGAACGAAAAGTTGATATCCCTCCTCTGAACAAGGTCTGGCTCAACACCGAGGATGATAGCTTTCTCGAGCAGAACGGAAAGTGGATAGAAGTCGATGTTTATGGCAACAGCGGGAGGAAGCTCGCGGTGGTTGTCGCCTGAGATTGCATTCAATACCTTTTGCATATCTGACCAGGCCTTCAGATCTCCACCGTCGAACATCCATAAGGAATTGAACAGATCCTCGTTCTCAGCCTCTGCGGGGATATTCGTGCGAGGGGGGCCGATCGGACTTAGAAATGGCTGGTCTTTCATGGAGACATAGTACTCGACGTTCTGCGCGATGACTCGCATATCGTACTTGAGTTGACCTTCCTCATTTAATGAAGGTCGCAGCAACACAAGCTTGCCGTCCACTAGAAATAGCACTGATGCGACGGCAACATCCTGCGAAGGGTCGCCTTCGACGAGTTGGTTTTCTGGTAATACCCAGCTCAGGCCCCGTACCCTGGCGGGAGACCTGACAATGCCGTGAAAGGCAATCTGGCCGACTTGCACAAGCCGAACAGAGCTTCCGAATGGGGCGAATATGAAATGGTAAAGGAGGTTGTCGTAGGTGTAGACCAGAAGTGAGTCTTCACCCGAAGGCGTGAGGAGGACGACCGGTGCGGGCATGGAATGGACGTAGACGACAGACGCATTGTCCAGATCCTTCTCTCGCGAGAAAAGCCGTAACTCGTAGGACTTTTGGACCTCTACAGCAGCCACCAGGACGTTTTGGTACCAGCACATGCCGCCTCTGACTTGGAATTCGTTCTCCATATCCGTGTTGGAGAACGTCTTCCACCGCCCGCTGTTCACGCTGTAGTGAGCGAGGCCACGACGGCCAGCAACAGCCAAATAGCGCCCATCTGAAGAGATGACAGTACACCGTATTGGCCACTGATTCAATAGATAGTTCGCTGGTATCCTGGCTGTATGCCAAAGGAAAGGCTCTGCCGAGATGGTGCTCATGTCTGGGAGATCGTATCCCCTGTAGATCATGACGCTTGACGTGCTCTGTAGGACGGTCCGGAAAATGTTTGAGGAGCTATAGCAACCAGTGACGGCGCTTCTTGCCATCTCCAGCAGCCAGAGAGCCTCGTGTTGCAGTCCAACCAGGAGGATCTCTGAGCCGCCTCCGAGCCACGACGCGTCCTTGATGCCTGAGATCCATTGCTCGTCATGCCTGGACACGAGATGCTGATCGACCCCAAAGCTGCTGCTTAGGGGCTTCCCGTACACACTCCACGTCGCCCACCCCTTCTCGTAGCCTGCAAACAGACAATACCCGTCGGGAGAATAGCTCAACGTAGTCAATGGGCCTGAATGAGATTCCGATACAGACAGCCTGTGGATGTGGGACGAAGGGACGTTGCCAGAGTAATCCCTGACTGTATAAACTCGGATGGCGCCGTCTTCGCACCCGAGCGCTATAAGCGAGAACCGAGCGTTTATGACGGCATGTGTCCCACGGTCGTGCTTCCCCTGTGGAGTGTGAAAACAATGCCCTTTGAACAGCCTTTTCAGGTCCATCTCGCCAGTCTCCGGGTTGGGCTGACCCTTGGGCGTCCGCTGGACAGCGTACGCCTTACCATCGCTTGTGATCCAAGTAGACAGGTTCATCGACCTGTCATTCGTCATTTCGGTCACGGTCACTTTCTTCCCGAGCCAGGCCATTTTGCTCAAAAGCTCGGTGCTCGTCTGGCTGCCTGAGCTGTCTGGACTCCAGCGTATGCATTGTACCGCGGCTGGCTTCTGCGTGGCCACGACCACTTCGTCGTCGAGCGCGAGGGCGCTCACTATGCCGGCGTCCACCTTGATGACCATACGGAATCGCACACTGATGTCGCGCACGCCCTGGCCCTCCCCAGCCCCCCAGAGGATCTGGTCGGGAGCAGTGTGCCCCGGGCCACCCCAGTGGCTTTGCCGCCGTCGCTGAACATTGGTATGACTCGTAAAGTAGGGTTTATAGACTCGCGACTCGGAATCGGTGGCCAGCGAATACGTAATGAGGAAACCCCGGCTGGTTCGCACGACGAATATGGCGGAGTCGGGCCTGAGCAGGAGGTCGAGGTTGGTGCCGTAGGAATCGAGGGAAGCCTCGGACCGCACAACGACAGCAAGTATTACGGTGGGCTACACACATTGTCAGCTTTGCTTGTGGGCACTCGAGGGCTGGGTCAAAGTATGCGTCGCACCTTGGCCTGCCATATGGTCATGGAGGTCGCGGTGATGACGGCGAACAAATGACCCGGGCGCGCAACACGCAATGCCAGAATCGGTTCCTTGAGCGGTATAGCTGCGGGAACAGGAGCTGGCTCATTGCTGGTGGAGGCTTCTGAGGCAGAGTCGAGCAGGTCGTGCTCTACCGAGTTGATTCCGGGCGTCTGGGGCGTTATTGGGGTGACGGGAGTGGGTGGGACAATGTCATAGCTCGAGGCGGATGCGGAGTCGGAGGTCAGGAGGGAAGCCTTGTCAGCCTTGTCTGTGACTTCCTCAGAAGGAGCTGGAGGAGGCGGGAGGCCATCATGGGAGACGACGAGGTTGAAACTGGCAGTCTGGGTGCTGCTGGTGGCATAAACTCGAGGTGTGCCAACGGGCCAGTACATGGCTGGCTGTTGGGAGCCAAGAGGCAGGATGTGTCTTCATTCGTGCCAGTCCAATGGCTGCTGTATGGGGTGCGCGTGTGATCGGAATCCACTGCCAGCATTTAGCTCATCTTGATTGGTCTTTGTGTGTGAGGTGGCAGGTCAGGAATCAAGGCGCACAGAGGTGGTGACTGACATGTGGTGAGAGGCAGCGCAGGCTGAGCAAGGCTTCCTTTTGTTCGTGACGACAGGTTGGGATCAGCTTAGTGGAGCTGGCAGCCCTGTTTCCCGCCTGCAGGGCCCTGTAACAAGTGGGCCAATGGGAATCCCCAAGGGCCCTGGCCGGCTGAAGCTTACCTAGGCACCTCCGAGGTTTGGCACTAGGCAAAGAGCAGCATTTTGAGCTTCATGAGAAGCACCCATGGCATCTACATAAGACAGCTGGGCTATGTGGAGAGCTGCATCAATTCCTGGTATAGTTCAGACTCCATTCACGGCTCTCATACCCCAGGATTCTGTGACATGTTTGTGGAGGGTCAAGTAGCTTTTGTACTCTCTTTCAGACTTCCATGACACAGACCATATGTGAGGACCTGATCCCTGAGTAGCCTCTCCCCTGCTTCTGCCGTGCTCTTCAACATCAAGCTCGTCTATCTTCCCAGTCTTGCAGCCACAAAGCGAGCGACTCAATCGAGGACTTGTTGAAGCTTTCATAATTTGAAACCCATTGACAGGAGGGGGCATATCAAAGACCAACCCAATTTTTGGTACTGGTATGTCAAACCAGCCTAGGTTTTAAATCCTGTTGGACCTGCAGATACTGACCGAGGACGAGTCCTGGACGAGTCTGACGACCAAATCACCACCCTTTGTCTCCGTATTCTCCTATTCTCCGTGCGCCCTGCCGCTTGCAGCAGAGATGGCTCCTCTGAAGCCTCGAAGTAGTATCTTCAAGCAGAACTTTGCAAGTCACTTCAGCCAGCAGAGAGCTCAGGCATATTCCGACACATCAAGAGGTGGCTCATCTCACAAGTACGTCCGTCCTCTGCCAGCCTGCGTCTACAATGACCCTCGCCACCCCAAGAAGGCCCATTGTTCGCCAACGGGAGGAAACGGTGTAGCAATATTGCAGGCTTACTGACTCTTACCAGCATCCGTTCAATCGCATGGAATCCTCAAGGCAGCCTGATCGCCACCGGTGCTGCTGATAAGACGCTACGTGTCTGTGAGTAGACCAATCTCACCCTTGATAGCCTACCGGGTTGGGACCTGACGAGAGTCCTAGGGAACCCAGAGAAGCCCAATGTTCGCTTCTCCACCGAGCTGAAGGGCCACGCAGCCCCGATCGAGAAGGTCGCCTTCAACCCTGTCAAGGACGCCGAGCTCTGCTCCGTCAGCAACGACGGCGTCGTCAAGTTCTGGGATGTCCGCACCAAAGCCTGCGTCAACGAGGTCAAGGGCCTGGGCGAGGCCTTCACCCTCGCGTGGCACCCCGACGGCGAGTCCCTGATCGTGGGCACAAAGGTGAGAACAAGGAGATCCCACCTCGTCCAGCACCTGTTACCCCCCTCCAGCAGCGGCTGACCCCAGACCGCCAGAGCGACAAGCTCCACATCCTGTCCCCGACGCAGTCCGCGCCCCTGGCCTCGCACCAGCAGCCCGTCCAGACCAACCAGATCTCCTTCTGCTGGGGCGGCAAGAAGGTATTCGTGTCGACGGGCGAGGGCAAGGTGCGCGTCCTGTCCTACCCGGACCTCCAGCCCCTCATGCACTACAACTACGACCGGTCCAGGGTCGACGGCCCGGGAGCCACCCGACGAGTACATGATGAAGGGCCACACCTCGTCCTGCCTGTCCGTCGAGCTGAGCCCCAACGCCCGCTACCTCGCCTCCGGCGGCACCGACTCCATGATCTGCCTCTGGGACACCCAGGACTGGATCTGCCAGCGGTCGTTCACGGACATGGTTGGGCCCGTCAAGAGCCTGAGTGAGTTATCCCGACCTGGTTCCATGACAACGTATGGGTGATGCTGACGCTTTGCCCTTTTGCAGGCTTCACCTGGGATGGTTACTACGTGGTTGGCGGCAGCGATGAGGGCACAGGGATTGAGTGCTATCACTGCGAGTCCGGCGAGCGCGTCCACACCTTCAAGACGGCTAGCCCGTCTCCTGTCGTCTCTTGGGCTCCGACTCGGTATCACCTTGCATATAGCGATCTGGGTCAGCTCCGCATTATTGCGGCGGATGTGCCGGATAGGAAGTGACGAGACATGGGTCACAACGCAGCGGGACGCTCAGAGTCACGCCGCACAGCCATCACAGAACAGAAGAGGGAGGTGTAGTTTCGGCCTGGAGATACCCTAGTAATCAATAAGTCACGCATAACGACTCAAGAGGTCCTTTCAAGTTGACGTGATTTTTCAGATTTGGTGGCACACATCTCTCTTCAGAGATCTGACAACTATGGCCTTTCTGAAAGGACATATGTCACATCTAAATTCTCTTTAACGCCGCCGAACGCTGTTCCATAATCCGATGCTTGGTATCTGTGCCCCTTAAACGCCTGACCAAATGCTTTTGTGTTCCCTCTCCCCTGAGGTCCTGAAACGCCTCTGATCGCCTTATTGTCTGCCACTTCCCTCATCCGTCTCTGTGTCTTCCTCAAACGTCTCATCGCCCTCTAGGAGCTCTTCATCATCACTCTCATCTTCTTCTCCATCAAGACCCGGGAAGGGGTCGTAGGGTATGTAGTCGCCGTCGACCCAATGCCTGCTCTCGGGAAGCTGATACGGGTCGAAGGGAAAGTAAGGCGTGAGCTGCAGCCAGCTCTCGTCGTATGGGTTGTGACTTGCTGTTTCTCGCAAGGCCTCCACGCTCGAAGAGACGTACGACGAGAGGTAGATCCGCCGATTGGCGTCGATCTTGTCGTGAACGTACATGAAGCCAAGGTGACCGGCAAGCTTGGCGAACTCTTGCACGATGGTAGGATGGCAAACCCGCAGGGGGTTGAACCCAGACCAGATGTTCGCGCGAAGGAGTGGGCGCAGCTCTTCCATCCACTCGAGATCTTGGCCCATATATGAGGCGGGATCCTCCGGGTCGACCAGGTCGGGCTTGTCGATGACCAGATCGCGCCATCGGAAGCAGAAAATGTATAAAAGTCCTTGGAAGAGAGCGTAGTAGGGGGTAAATCTCCTCAGGTCTGGGCGTGCAGTCGCTTGATGTCTGTACCGGTATGAGTCGATGTGCTTGATGAGCACTGTGCATATCGTTCGCACAGACTCGGCAGGGACCCTCTTGCCACGAGCTGCGAAACTGGCAAGATAAGCGGCAGCGTTTTGCCTCGTGATCATCGAGTTCTGATTGCCGAATGCGATGTCGAGCAGTACTCCAGCAAACCGGTCTGTGAGATCCTCTGAGAGCTGGCTAAAGTGGAAAATGAGGAACTGGGTGTGGCGACTCGAGTATGTGGGAAGGATTATGTTGACAAATTCTGTGAGCATGTTCTCGAAAACGTCTCTTGCACCATCAGAGTCGGGCTCGGCGAATACTGGCTCATAGAGCTCGAAAAGGCTATTCATGATGAAGTCCATTTTCTGGATGTGTTGTGCCGCTTTCAGGATCTTGCCGCTGAGCTCGTGGCGATCATCACTCTCGTCGCTTGCAACGCTCTCAACATCACTCAAATCGTCATCGTCGGCGTCGTCAGCCCTGGAGGACTGGAGCTGCTGGATTACGCCGGCAGCAATGTCGTCGTCGACCTCGTCCAGATCAACTTGAATCTGCACATCAATCTAGGGTATTGTAAGCGGGCAGCTCAACAGAGACAGGGGGGGGGACATTACTCACTTTTACAAGCCGATCCGTGATCAGTTCCATGATCTCAGGTCCCATGTCCGGTGCGTATTCCCGTAGGCGCAACAAGTTCTGTACGAATGCCATATGGATGCTCTTGGATTCGTCGGAGAAGGGGAACTCTTTGTTGACCAGGGACAGAAGCACACGCCTGGCCGCGGGAAACAGCTGTAGGACATGGGCGAGTGCGCGATGGAGGCGTCGTCTCATGACATCGCAGCTGACGTCAGGGAAGTAACCTGCCCTCCACTCGAACTCCCTGAAATACCGGAATCTTTCCACGAGCATACCAAGAACGTTGCTGAGGTAGATGGATTGGCCGGTGACGAGGTTGGCCAGGAAGTCGATGTAGGCGGTCACGAAGTCGTCAGGTCGGCCCAGCCATGGTATGCTGAGGACTTCGTGCACAAGGCCTGAGCAGGATCTCCCGAGCTGAGGTGCGCACACCTTGAGAGCCTTGACGTAGTGTATCAGATCGGAGGGGTCAACTTCATCCTCGACCTGACTCGAGGTTGGAGTCTGTCTTCGGCGTCGGTCGTTCTCGAAGGTTCCCTTGAGGGTGTCGTAACCTTCCTGGTCGCCCATGCTGTGCTCCTTGAGAGACCTCACCACTGCCTGCTTGATTTCTTCGGCCTTCTCCTTGGACTCAGCCGGTGTCGCGGGTGCGATGCTTTGCACAGTGTTGGAGTTCATGTCGAAAACGACGGTCTTGCGACGCTTGGTTGGACTCTGGGGCTCGGCGTCTTCGTCGTCTCCGTCTTCTCTCATGCGACGGCCCAAGGTTGTCAGACTCGTGCGCAGGATACTCTTCAAGGCAGAGCTCTTGGCGGATGGCGATGACCGCCGCTCTGCTCTTATGGGTGTGTGTGTGGCCATGGGGAGAGGGCCAAGTTCGCAGTTGGTGATTGCTGACGTCGAGGTAGTTGAGGATGCCTGTCGGATCAAGGATTCGGGTTTTAGGCGTCAAGCGAAGCAGAGATCAAGGATTCTGGAGAGAGCAGATGTGACATGTTAAGGTTCTCCAGGGAAGGAAATGAAGCTGCCTAGGTATTGTTCTGGTTAAAGCTGCAGCGTCTGAATGGCAACAATATCGGCCACAATCGTCTTGTAGGCACGAAGGGTTGAAGATGATGGTTTTTCCCCTCCGAGAAGGAAATTTAGCACGCGAGGGAGTGGAGGCAAAACCCCCCAACTCCGCTCCACTCCTGCCGCGGACCCTAGACTGGAGTGGCCCGTGCGCCTTCAGATTTCGCGAGCGCGTAGATGCTGATTGAGACAAAACTTAAAGTCGCAGGCAGAGCACGCGTTCTGCCTGGCTGGCTTGCGTCTTGGAATGTTTGCAGTGTCTATCTGTGTGGTTTGTCTCCTTGTCAGTCAAAATCCAAACGCAGCACTAAATGGCTGGACGGAAATTCCAAATGATACAACATGAGCAGGCAATCTCGATGCCTCAAGTGGAAGGAAGGCGATGATTATGCAAGGAAGTGAAATTTGTGGTTGATCTGCTCGGGTACGTATACGGTATGCGATGGTGTCCATGTCATGTCAAACACGGTACCCAGATGCAGCACCAGCCAGCTGCTTGCTTATTGTCACCTCTGTTTTGGCCATGGTTGTTCTCTCGACGGCATCGGCCGTCAATTGTCTGATGCTCTTGATAACGTGCAGACTTGTTCGACCGGGGTTTGGCCATTGCCTGCAAGAATGAGGATTTCCCTTGCTGGACCACGATGCTGGGTGAACACTAGGAGCAGTGGCCGCGCCAGCCCTCACGGATCCCATTACGCTTTTGGTTGCGTGACTGGGAGCAACTCGCGTGCCCATACTACTTGGATTTCCAAGGGTCGTGACGACGCGAACATCCCTGCCACGGCCCGTCCTTCACTCCTTCACGCGGGCTGAGCACAACCGGATGAGCCCCAGGGCAGCAAGCTCCTCCCCGGTCATGCAAAGACGCCCACGGCCGATTGCGAGCAACATCAAAAGCTTGTGGCTGCCCGTGCACATTTTACAGCAGGTTGGACTGACCTATGAGGGGTCGGTCGTTATGGTGTCTGCAAGCCGCTGGGTGCGCCCCTCTGACGCTCGTAATTGTGAGAACCGACAGGCAGCAGAGGCCTCAAGAGAGCAAGGCAGCGAGCGGTATAATAATGGGCCAGGAAATCCTCCACAAGGGGCCAAGCGCAGGTCCTCTCAGGTGCCACGCAAACGCTGCGGCTGTGGGGTGACGATCGGCCTCGACAGCCTCCGCTGATTCGTAGCGGAGCCGGCTGCCGGGTGGCGCTGCAGGCCTCGCAGCGAGCTAGTCATCTACATCGAACAGCCAACATCCCGGCCAGGAACCTCGGACTGGGGAGAAACAAGCCTCAGCTGCGGATCCATTTTCACGAGTTTCGGCTCTCTTGCTGCGCTGCACTCGTCCTCCTCCGCCCCGGAGAATCAGACAAACACGGTGACGTCTAAATATGGACCTGCGCAAGGTTGTGCTCGCCGATCAGAATGTGCCCTGCGCCGATTGCTGTGTTGTCGTGTTATTTCTGTTGTGGTCCCAGCCCAGCCTCCCGTATATCGCGACACTCGAGTGAGTCCGCCCGACCTGCTTTCTCTTCGCTGTGAGTGCCGAGTTGGTCCATCTCTTCTCATCACTTTCTACTCTGTTTTGTCCTTGGACTTTCAGCAGCACATCATGGCTGCTCCATCGGGCCCTCTGTGGCTGGACGTGAATCAGTCGCCTTACAGCAACAACGGCAACGCTATTGCCAGTGTTTTCTTCCTCGCCATTATTGCAGCCAGTCTCACCTGCTGCCTTGCTATTTCGTGGCAGACGCAGCGCTTTATCCCGTTCAGTCTCGTTCTCAGTATCACGTGTATGCTCGAAATAATAGCCTACGCATTGCGGTTACAAGAGTGGTACATCGTCAGTTACACTACCAACTTCGGGCTGTCGGTCATAGCACCCGTCTTTCTCACCATTGGGTAACGCGATCCCCACAATTCAACGCTGCACCAATTCTTGGACTGACAGTATCAAACAGAATACATCTATGCGCCGCCCAGGTCCTCCATGTTCTCGGAACCGAGCATGCCGTCTTGTCGCCTAACGCCCACATGCGAGTCTTTATATGGTCAGACCTCCTCGCCGGTCTGCTCCAAGCCGTCGGGCTCGGCCTGACCTTCTCACGCGCCAAACAAGCCGGCCCCTGGGGTATAACATTACCGCAGCAGGCTGGCCCGGGACAGGATGTCATGTACGCCGGTCTTCTGCTGCAGACGCTCTCGCTTGCCGCGGCGCTGAGCCTTCTCGCCATCGCTTACTTCAAGGCTGGCAGAGCAGACCGTAAATATGGGTACACGACCTTCCACAGGGACGGAGCTGGATATGTTCCTCTCACGCCTCGCTTCAAGACTTTTCTCGTCGTTCTTCCACTCGCCGGCGTTTGCGTTCTTGTGAGGTGCGCATATCGATCTGCCGCAGCGTGGGGTGGGATCGGCAGCCCGATTGCGAGGGACCAGATCCTATGGCTCGTAGCCGAAGGCGTCATGCTAACCGAGGCAATCGTGACGCTTGTGGCCTTCCACCCCGCGATATGGCTTGACGACGGGGTCAGCGGCAGGATGCAAGGCGACGATGCCGAGCAGGATGGGAACAGGACGTCCAAGCTGGGCAAGAGGCTGACGGTCGGCACCTTCGCGACTGGCTTGACGGACCTGGAACACGGGAATGTGAGGGACTCACGGCAGGACCTAGGCGACATCAGCCAGGTCATCTTCTCGTCGGCCCTGATCGCCCCCTCGGACGTCTCGTCAGAGGGCTCGCCCTCGCGGCGCGGCTCGGCGGGTGAGCACGGCCACGAGCCCGTCGCCAGGGACGCCGCGCAGATGACCAGCAGCCCCTACGACCCGCACCTGCCGCCCGCGAGGCGGTACTCGGAGGACATCACGGCCGAGTCGCGGGCGCTATCGCCCCTTGAGGCCGAGGAGGAGGCGGACCGCGTGTCGATCATCCCGGAGCCGCCGAGGAAGTCCAGCAAGAGGATATCGCGCGCGCTGGAGATGGCCCGCCTGCAGCAGCAGCAGCGGGACGAGGGGGAGGAGGAGGAGGACGACCGGCTGGAGGTCGCGTCGGTCGTGTTGCCGCCGAGGAAGCCCAGCAAGAGGGAGACCAACCACGGCGGCAGGGAGGACGACCTGGAGGATGTCGCGCTCACGTCGACTTATTCCCAGTCGCTTTATTCGCAATAGGAGGGGCCTGTTAGCAGGGCAAGGGGCTGGCAAATATGGGGAACTGGCATAGGGTGGTTTTGGTTGCAAATGATACCCGGAGTTTGTTTGGTGGTTATTCTAGGTTGGGATCTCATCAGGAGCAAGGTTGCCAAATTGCGGGCGTGTGCATATCTAGCCGCTCAGTGGTATTGTTTAATGTGTCATAAGTATGTATAAATATGAACACACAATACAAGAACATATAATATCGAGGCAATGTAAGTGTCATTAAGTCTCTGCATATGCCTTCAGCAATGAACAAGCTGTCGTGGAGTGGGATGTCCGCAGCCCTACTTCTCCGAAACGAGGGATTTCTCCCGGGGGTAATATACATAGAATGTAGACGGAGAAATAGTCTTCCATCTTTTATCCGATATTCGCCAGGCCAACCATCCGTGCAAAGTGTGTTGTCCAAAGGGAAAAATGCCCAAACCGTATGAGAGCGCATCGTCCATGCTGCCCACCCGCCTTTTCAAGGAGAGACCGAGTACCGCTGTAGTCAAAGATCAAACAGAACAAAAGCCAGCCGACCGCCTTTCATATGCTTGTGCCAGATGCCACTGTCATCAGATCCACCCTGACGCGCAGTTTCAAGCCGTAGACTCGCGCAGACTTCCCCAACTCCTCATTAACACCAAATGTCCAGCCCGGTCAGGGCTGTGCATCCCATCCCATGTCCATTGTCTCCATAGGTCCCATTTGTAGCATTGTCCTCAAAACGCCTTCGGAGACAGGCGTCATCCCCGTTGTGCCGGAAGTGAACTGTTCCCAGTTGAAGTCACCCGTATTTGAGCCGGCAGTGCCGCCCCCTGGTGTCTTCCCTGGAGTCTCTGGCATCGTGAACTGCTGATTCGGCGTGAGCCCGGTAGCGAAATCGCTTCCAGGCAGATTTTGGAAAAACGCATCGATGTTCCCGCTCTGTAGCTGGTCTCGTTGCACCTGCGAGTTGTTATTGCCGTTGTTGTTGATGATGTTGGTGGATGATGCCGGGCTGGCTTCGAACGAGTTCCTTCCCGATCGGCTGCTATTTCCTGCCGTGAAGCTGTTGCTGCCGCCGTTGTTTCGTTCGGATGCAGATGTGCTCGAGTTTGGCGTTGGCCTGTCAGATGCGAGCCCTGCGTCTGGCGATGCCGACATATCGCCAGAATTTGCTTCGTTACCGAAACCTCGAAGCATCCCAGATCCGAAAGTTGGGGCGTTGCCAGATCGCAACCGGTCCATGTACGCCATAGCGCCCGTGTTTGGCCATCGACCGCTCGCTCCGGGCATACTCGAGGCATTTGCCTGATTGCTGGAACGGCTCGGTTCGGGATCAACGATCTCGGGAACGCCCACCGGGTCACCGCTGGTATCGCTGGACTTCATGTAATGGCAACCACTCTGCGCAAATATCCCGTGGTTATCAACCCCATCGTCGCATTTAGCACCTGGTGGTGTTTGACCCGGCCAAGGATAGCCTCCGTCTTGCTAAAGGAGGATGATGCTGTCAATCTACATTTCCTAATACTGGATGAGGGTTCCAGACTCACGCCTAATGTGCTCCGTGGGAAGGCTGCTCTCAGCTTGGGTATGCGCGCACCGAGGGCTTCCAAGTCGACATCAAGCTGGACAAGGAAGGACTCGGTCAAGGGGTTCCGCCTCTTCAGCGCTCCCATTGCTGCAAGGAGGAAGCGCAGTGAGTCGACAGTCTGACTGTCGTCAGGCCGACTTTTCAAGTACTGCACAAAGACTCGTGCAGCAACGTAAAGGCAGAAGGAGGTGAAGGGGTTGACCTAGCAATGTTTAGCATGGCGGCTGAGATTTTGCCGTATGGAACACTCACCGTTGAGAGGTCTATATGTGAGATCGTCCTCATGGTACTCGCAATCTCATTTGCTGCAGTGATACAGCGGACCTTGCTCTCGGCACTCACCGAGGCTGGGAGTCTGTTCTTATCCGCCTTGAAGATGGCGGCTTGGTGGAGGCAGATAGTGGATGTGTGTATGCACATGTTCGTGAAGATAACGTTTGGGTTCGTCAAACCCGCGGGCAGTTTGAGGTGAGCTGGGAGACAGAGAGACGTATTCAGGAGAATGTTGTCCAGGTTTCTATGTCGTTTCCAGAATTCGCCATTCAAGTCGTGGTCTCGGTCATCGACATCCGGACGGTGGAGATGGAGGAGGTTGCGGCCGAATAAGCATGCCATGAGGACGACACCGCCCATGGTGGAAATGCTACCGGCTCCGGCGGGGGTCATGGAATCTGCGAGTGTTTGTGTTTGCTCCGGCCGGCTCATGTTGTAAGAGTCGTCTGAAGCAGGCATGTTGCTCATGATATCCTTCTCATCGATGGTCATGGGCCACCCCGTACCGATACTGGCGTATCTATCTTCAGTGAACGCCATCCAGAAGGTCCGCCGTCTTTCCTCCCTCTCGGTCCAATCCCGGGGTGGGGGAATGCATTGCTTCACGTCCAACCCAGCGCCATCCAGGCGATGCAGTCCCATCATCTGACAGAGCCGAACTGCAGAACCGGTACTCATCCAGGCTCTAGGGAAGTACATCATCTTGAACTCATACTCGGCGAGCAAGACGTGGGTTTGCGCATGGGCGACCGAAATCAGGTGTTCACCAAACCCTTTGACATAGTCGGCCTCGACATACTTGCGGGCCCGCTGGTAGAACAGGTCTCTCAGATCGGCAAATTTATCTGCTACCGAACAAGCGAGCGTCCATATCGCATATCTGAGACACACCGGTGGGCGTTGGTTTGGCGCTCTGTACACCACATTAGCCCGATTTACTACAAAAAATAATAATTCCACAACCGAACAGGGGGTGGAACTCACAGGTTCATAGCTGCGAGGTAACGATACTTGTGTATCATGGGCATAGAAGGGTGGACTTTCTCAAAGTATATCTGATGGCTGCACATCGTTACGGGTTAGTCCTGCCTTCTGCCAAGGTGAAGGCCTCGCGGGAGCAGAGGGCCGATCTTACAATTCGTCGATGGACTCCTGAGGAGGTAGTGGCTCTTCCAAACCCAAGCCTATCATCTCCCACGTGAAGCTGTTTTGCATCGGTATGGCATTGAAGTCGAAGGTGTCACCGGCGGGCTGTGGAGGTTGGGGCGAGCTGTCCCCGTGGAAATTCCACTGGTCTATGTCGGCGCCAGCGGCAAGGCTGATAGAAGGGTCGTTGACTGTGAGGTTCACAGGCGTGGAGAGGCTGTCGTTGATCTTGGGGTCGGAATTGACTGTGACGGGGGGCGCAACTTGCACAACTGGCTTGGGGGCAGCGGGTGGATCCTGCGTCTTCAGCAGAGTCTCGACTTGCTCTGGAGTCTCAACTCGTGTCAGCGATAGTTTCCCCCAAGAGTCACCTCGTTATTCACAAGTAGAGCGATGGGGGCGGGAGCGGGAGTAGACGCACTCAGTCGCTCCTCCAAGGCCTTGACATATCCACGCTTAGGGCCGCTTTTCCGCCGGACCTCATCGTAGGCACAGTCATGGCCCAGCCTCGTACATGTGCTACAGCGTGGACGGTTGCCGTCGCATCTGAGCTTCCTCTTCCTACATATCATACATGCCAGGCGCTTGGGCTTTGGTACGTCGGCATTGTTTGGGGGATGGGGGGCCGGGGCGCCTGTTGCCGGTGGGCCACTGGATTCCACCTGGACGGTGAGGGTGTCCTCTGCCTCCTCGATGCCATTCATGGCCGTGTCCGTGTCTGGCGACGTGGACATGGCGACGGTGCCACGGATCGGCCCGTGGGCTTGCGAGGACAGGACGGGTGTGCCGCAGCGTCGGGTCGCGTCCGGAGAATGGCAGTGGCAAATGCGATGGATGGGTGGTGTTTAGTCAGGCCCGGGTGGCCACGGGGGCAGAGCGGCGTGGATACCAGGCGGCCTTGGTTTGTACTGTCGGTGTTCGGTAGGGGCCCCGTCTGGGGAAGCCAGCTAGTGGGAATGACGGAGTGACGACTAATAGGGCGGGGGAGTGCGGACGTTGAGGGGCCGGCGAGCTGGAACAGGTCGGTGATGATCTAATCTGCAGTTGTCGGGTTGGTGAGGCGAAGAAAAACGGCGGGCGAGGGGCCATGGGAAGTCCAAGAACGGGTGCGAATCGATCAATGGTAATCGACGGTGGGGAACAGATGAAGAGTCAAGTCAGGTCAGGTCCAAGTCAGATATGTATGTACTGTACTATGTATGACCCCATCCCTTTCAGCTGCGAGACGGAGCTTGTGAGCGAGCGAGCAAGCGGGAGCGCGTGTATGCTGTGTCTGCACGGGCGGGATTGTGACGGTATGCGTCCCGCGGCGGCCTGCCTTGGGCCTCTGCTGGGTATTCTCCGGTACCCGCTGCACGCAGGGTGCTGGGTGCGTTGCAGAGGTCCCTTTCCCTCGCTCGTGCACGGCTCGTACACACACGCAGTCAAACAGTCTAGTTTGGTTGCCTCATCCTTGTTACCAGGTCCGTGGGCATGGGGGAACGGGATTCGACGGTGGACAGCACCGCTACAATCCGAAAGCGACTCAGATGATCGGCAGGTCCAGGTCGGGGTGCTGTATACCTCCTGGAAGCGCCCTCAACCACCCACCCTCATGTACCTGCAACCTTGATTAATAATGCAGCTAGAGATCTGGCGGACTGGCCTAAGGCTCCAAGGTTCTCTAGCCTTCCACAGTAACTCACGTCCACACTGCGCTACGGTCCAGACTACCACGCAAGTGCAACAGCCGTCACCTCGCCCGTTATCAATCTGTGCGTCCAACAAACCACATGGCTTGACAGACATGAAGCAGACTCGCAGCCACAACAGCAGCACCCATCAGCAGTAGCATGGTTGCCCACCCCTTCGAGGCACGCCATGCGGTGGTCTTGAGGACACATCGCAGCCGCTGACTGGGCCTGGGCCCGGGGCCGAATCCTGACAGCTCTCAGCCATGCTTCACCCATCCTCTCTCTTCCCAGGTTGCCATGGATGACGCGCTCATCTCTACGTCCAGAACTGTCTCTCTGCCTGTCAAGCCCAACACCAACAACCAGCATCCCATTCCGTCTCATCATATCACATTCCATGCCATCCTATCCCATCCCATCCTACCCTGCCTACCCTCCTGTATAGGAAATTGCCACGCTCCTTGATGCCTGCACAAGTACCAGCAGCCAGCACTGGCGATGGGGCCGCATGTGCATCCCCCTAGGCCATGCATCTTGAGAGGCGTTTTCTGCATAGAGAGCCCAGCCGCGTGGTTCCAGCTTGCCTGGCCAAGAGAAATTTCACGGGACGCACAGCCGAGTGCACTCTTGTTTCTTCCCTCGCTTGTACACGCGTGTCCACGCCGGCAAATGCAGCCCATGTCGGTCGGTTTTTTGTCCGTCTTACCCCCCTCCGCCTCTCACCGCCTCCCCCTGTCTATCTGGACCGACCAAGGCTTGGCGCAAACCCGACTGTTTCGCTCCCGAAGCTTGTTGTCTGTTGCACTCACCCTGTCCAGCGCCCATCGTCACCGTCTCGCCTCCACCTCGGGGCCGAGCGAGCGCCGCTCCGGCCCTGGATCGTCGGACAAGTCGGGGCCTCAACGCCGAACCAGCACACGGTCACGTCCCGGGCAAGAATCAGCCTTTCAAATGCTCAGAGGGTGTCTGATGTAGTGCCCAGAAACTCTCCCAGGAAGTCTTGAACTGACACCTCTTGGCTTTCCCTCTCTCGGCATTCAAGTCCTCAGACTATGCCAATTGGTCATGCGTGTCACCGGACATGGAGGGCCCGCTCATCGGAGCACTCCGCAAAGGCGGCCGCACCTGCGCGCCCCTGCGGTGATTGGCCGCGCACATTGTTGCACGCTCACGCACTGCTGAATAACCTGATTACTTCTTTTGTCCTGGTCGCTGTCCCAATACAGTATAACCACCATGGGATCCAGGCAGGAGGTGACACTTTGTTGAACATCCACCCAACTTCACCACCACCTCATGCATGGCGAAGCTGCTTTCTCCGCCTGTGACGGGCGCAGAGGTCTGCTTCGCTGCAAGGATGTCGTCGCCACGGGGCTGCCCAGATCTTATTCAGCTTGCTGGAGCACCAATGCTGGGCGAGCAACGAGGGTGAAGGCCGGCGTATATGAGGATGGCGGTCTGGCCGTTGCGTGTCGTCCTGCCCAGAGCAGATCAAGATACCCCATCCCCCGTCGACTCTGAATATCATCCTCACTTGCCAAGCAGACAGTTGTGAACAATGGAGGCGCATTCTGAAGACCGGCCATCCTTCACGTCCTTTTGGAGGAAAACGAAGGACGAGTCGACAGCCCGGGAGCTCACTTTCGTTCAAAGCGACCCCAGCCAGTCGAACAGTAAAGGTGTGTGGAATTTTCTTGTTCATAGGTGCTACTGTTGCTCTTCTTATAATTCCAAGGCTTTTGCCCTGCTGTAACCAGCCGGGCTGGGCCAAGAATCTGGGAAACCTGCAGCGTGACACATTGTCTTGATTTGGTGACCAAGATTTGTCAACGCTACGCTGGGAACGGCCCACAGTCGGCGCCAGGACATGGAGCTTGGGAACATGCATGGGACTTACTTGCGCCCTGGGATATGTCTTGGGTACCTGCTGCTACATCAAGCCACTTTACCACGCCGCTGTTCTTCGTAAACAAGGTTCATATAGTCAACCAACCCGAGCTAACACATCCACTCTCAGTACCGGGGCAGGCCCAGGAGCCGGGGCAGGCGTCAAAGGACAAGCGGAGAATCCAGGTTCGAAAAGCACAAGTGGCGCACCGCCAGCGCAAGGCCAAGTACGTCGAGCAGCTCGAGGCGGACATCGCTGGCATCCGAGACAAGATCTCCCACGCCGAGAGCGCACGGCAGGTGCTACGGGACGAGAACGAAGCCATCCGCGCTCAACTCTCCGCAGCGGCCGCAGCGGCTGCTGCCGCCTCGGCCTACAGCCAGGCCCAGGCCCAGGCCCCGGCGCTGCAACTCTCGTATATGCCGCAGTACTTACACAGCAACCTCCAGTATCAAGACCACGGACTCGGCATGGACCAATTTGACGCAATGAACTTGAGCATCGACGGCTCGCTGGACACATTTCCGTCGTACTACGTGAGCGAGTCTTCTCCCTTCGCCAGCTCAGGCGCTGGGTCCTCTCTGGGAGGCTCGCCTCAGTGCCTGGCTACGAGTGGAGGGAGCTCCCCGTATCCCTACTTGCCGGATATGTAGGTTGCAATTTTGGACAGGGCTTTCAGAGGCATGGCCTCCCTGCGTGCTGCGAGACGGAGAGATGGCGAAGAAGAGCTGGGCCGACCGGAGTGAGGGGTATCATTGATTGCAGGATACCCAGGAGTTCTTCGATCCGATGGGCTGGATCCAGATGAAGGGCCCGAATTAGGTTACCCAAACCACTTCACCGGATATCTCAGTGGTTGACTCTCTCCATCCAAGACCGGCTTGATCAGATCGGGGCCAGGGAACCCAGGGTTACATCAGCCGGTCATTGTCACAGCGAAGGTACATATGCAAGCGTTGTTTTCAATAAATGTGAATTAAAAAAATATATATATTTAATATCTCGGAACCATCTCAAGCATCCACCCAATTGACCCACTCACATCGGCATCCCCCCCTGCCGCCGTCCACGCCTCCCCAGCTCAGGTCTCCGTCCGGCAGCCGCGGGTTGACGGCGGCCCCGCCGAAGCCGACGTCGTTGGTGAACAGCGTGGCGTCGGTCGTGTTGACGTGCCTGTCGGGCTCGACGCCGTACGCGAAGGTGGCCTTGAGATCGACGCTGCCGCCGTGCGTGTCCTCGCCCACGGTCACGGGGTAGGGGAACGTGCCGGGCATGGCGGCGAGGTCGTCGACGTCGCCCGCCGGGCGGCCCGACCCGCCCATCAGCCTGGCGGCGCCCCCGGCCGAGTCCCCCTTGCGCGTCCAGATCTTGACGACGAAGCGCGTCTGCGTCCACGACGCGAGGAACTTGGCGCTCCCCTCGCGCGACCCGCCGCCAGCGTCTGCCGCCACGGGGCCGCCCGTCTCGTTGCCATCCATGGAGGTCACGTAGATGGTCTTGTTGAAGTGGGAGTAGAAGCCGTAGTGCTCGGTCGGGAGGCCGCGGTCGAAAAGACGCAGCGGCTGCTGGAAGGGGAAGGGCCGCAGCTGCGCGGGGGCCCCCGTGCCGTCTGCGTTGAGCTGAGGGGCCGGCAGGAGGTCCGACAGGCTGCCCGAGCTGTCCGTGCCCGAGCCGATGCCGTTGCCTATCCCGCGCCTTTCTGTCTCGGCCCCGGCCCCGGCGCCGTTGGGGGTCGTCAGCATGTTCGGCCCCGCGGACCCGCTCGTGTTGGTGAAGAAGCTGATGTAGAAGGGCGTGGGCTCGCCAGCCTTGTCGTCCGAGACGATGCCGTCCGTCGTGTTTCCCAGGAACCACATCTCCTGGAAGGATGGGGGGTCTGGGTTTGGCGCGATGCCGATATCGTACAGGGTCGTTGCGCGTTTGTCCAGGTTGTTCGCGCTGGGGCTGCCAAGATCGCCCCCCTGTATGCTGTTGGCGGCGCTGGCGCTGGCGCTGGCACTGGTCCCGGTACTGGTGGCTGAGCCAGAGCTGGAAGCACTCGCACCGGAGGTAGTAGAGCCAGTGGGCTGGGTTGGTGTCGGGGGCGTCCCGTTGGGAATGTTCCACAACTGGCGGGTGTTGTTGTCGTATTGGATCTGGAAGATGAATCCAGGCTGGTCGGCATCGTGAGGCTCATTCGCAGCATGCTGCTCAGGAGGCAGCGAGCAGCTCCACAGGGTCGAGGGCGCGGCGCACCCGTTGACAATCTGCGAGTTGTCCGGGGCCACAATCGTCGACAGGCCGGTGGGGATGGGTGGGAAACCGGTCAGGTTGAGCCAGACGGTGTCGATCTCGGAGCCGCCGGTGGAGCCACCGGTGGTCGTGTTGCCGCCGGCCGCGGGACGAGCCACCCGGCGTGAGAGCACGACGCCCAGTACGACGCCGAGGGTGGTCAGCAGTAGGAACGCGAGGCAGATGGCGCCGATCCAGATCCTCCTACGCTGGCGGCCCTCGCGACCCGAGCGTCCATAGCACCCGTTCTCAGGGATGCACCCACGGCCCCTCCAGAACCCTCCGGCCTTGTGGGCGACGTAATCCTCCTTCTCATGCCTGCGCCTCGTCCGCTCGATCTTTGCGGCAGGGTCGCTGCCGTAGTTGGCGAGGAAGTGGTCGCCAGTCACATAGGTGCCTGCTGCCCTGTCGGGCAACGCAGGGTCTGTGGCGACTGCCGGCGTCAGTGGCACGTCGGTGAGCTTGATGCCTCCCTGTGAGGTCATCGTCCCGTCAAGGCCGGGGCTGCCGGACTGCGGCGATGGTGGGTAGGCGTTGGTTAGCTCATGTCCGGGAGGAAACACGGCGCGGAATCTGACAGGCTGGGACTGCTTGGTGGACGGTGTTCGCTCGTAGGGTGGTGGCAGCTCTGTCGGTGAGCCCTCCTCTTCCATCATGACCAGAGCCTTTTCGGATCGGGTCTCTCCTTCATGGCTGGGGGCACGAGTCGACGCGCCAGACGACGATGACGATGCTATCGTCGGAGTGGGGACGCGGATGATGGGAACCGGCGATGGATGCGGTCGCAACGTCGCAGAAGATGCCGACGAGCTCGAGGCAGGATGATTCTCAATATGAGCAGCCCCGATCGTCTTCTTCTCATCTTGGCCTTTCCACCATTCGTCTCCAGCCGGACTTTGAGTCTCCTTGTCGGATTTTGATGTTGGGCTGAAGCGTTCACGGAAGGGCGTAGTAAGATGGTCCCACCAGCCAGACCGTGCGCTGGTTGGTGCCGGGGAGATCTTTGAGGCAGCGGAAGCTGGGGTCTTGTTGCCGTCCTCCTCAAATAAGGTCACTGGGGTGTAGTTATCGTCTTCTTCATCGAGATCATTCCTCGACAGTCTGGCCTTGACTGGGTTCTTCAGAGAGGACGGCAATGCTGGTACTGGGGGCACGCCGGCCTGGCCTGGCGTGACACCGGTGGCCTGCGAATACACGCTTGACATGGAACGTAGATGTCGTGCCGGGGAAAGACTATCCTCGGTGTCGGGAGACCAGGCCGACTTGGCTTGCTGGTTGTAGAAGGGGTTCGTCGAGGGCTTGTTCAGAGGCAGTCTGTCAAAGGGAGTGGCGACGACGGCGGTCTGGGGACTGATGTCCTTTCCGGCGGCGTCATCCTCGGGCAGAGATATGCCAATGACTATCTTGCTGCTGTCAGGGGTGGTAGCCTGGGTAAACGATGAGACTGATTTGGCAGATGGGCTGTTCCTGAGCCACGCCCAGTTCCCGACCGACGCTGAGTTGGGCGATCCTTCCAGAGCCCTCAAGGCGCTCGCATCAGCAAACTTGCCTGTCGCCGCATGACTGGAGTGAGGGCCAGGCACAGGCTTCACGAGCTGGGCAACATGATGGGGTCCTTTCCGGAACCTTGTCATGTCCGTGACCAGCCTGATGCCTGCCTTGGCATTCTGGTCTTTTTGTCGCTTGCGGGACTTGAGTCTTTGGATTCTCAAGGTCGACTGCCTCGGTTTTGACAATCGCGGTGCCGTGTGGCTAGTTGTTTTCGATGAAGGGGAAGAGCCGGATGCTGCCAATTGGGTGAAAGAGTCATCTCCTTTGGGCGTGGAAGGTTCATCGTCTGTCCATTCCTCCCATTCATCCCGTTGGTTCCCATGCCGAGGTTGTGTGGTAGCCATGCCAATATGCATGGATCTGAGGTCCTCCATCTCAGGAGTGGTAGTGTAGTGAGTGTGTGTCCGAATTTACTGTGTGAATAGAAAAGGACGTCTCGTCGAGAGATCAATATCCTTGAGTATGTTGTTGAAATATGGGCAGATGAAGGGTATGGTGCCAGGCGATCTGGAGTAGGAAAAAAATGCGAGACGAGATGTAGCGGACAGAGAAAGGTTTCAGGCCGAGCCCGAGGGAAGGAAAGGTACTCGAGGAATTAAACCAATTAGATAGGTGTTTGGAAGGGGTCTTGTGTGTGGTGTGTGGTGTTGACTGAGCTGAGGAGCGTGTCAGGGCGGGTGGTGTGAAGAATGGGACGGTGGAAGGAGAACAATGGCAACAGCAACGCGTGTTGGTCAGAACAATGAGAAGACCATGACACGGGAGCAACGCACAATGACTTGGATCGGAAGAACAAAGACTGAGAACAAAGAGAAGTCAGAAAGATGAAATTCCCAGCACGATCGGATGAGCATCCCCGTCATGGCACGAGGAGTGGGTGGCGAGGGAGCAGCAGTTCGGTGCCCTGCCCCGCTAACATCTTGACTGGTGGATTGCGAGACTGCGCGACTGCAAGAGCCCCGGTCCGCATGTTTGACCACGAAGCAGATCTGACTGGCCTGACTGGCGCGGACAGGCATGCGATGAAATCTCGCCAGTCTACCTGCAGCAGCCCAAGACAGGGCTCGCCTGCTCATGACGGCGCTTAATGGATCTCGGGCCCTCCTTCGAGACTTTGACTGCGCTGCTTGTTCGTGTGGAGTCTGGAGTTTTTGCTGCTGTAAGCGCTGGAGTCAAGAGTCCTGGCCCCACTAAAAGTCTTGGGGTGTAAGATGATTGGCCAGGCGCTGCGCAGGGCCCTCTGGAGAAGCGCCCTCGGTCGCCAATCGGTCTGGCCCGGGACGACCATCTGGCGCGCAGCCCCTCCCCTGCAGATGGGCCCCTGCATATTGCTCCAGGTTCATCCTGCTTTGGTGTCAACGTCGTGATGGTGAAATTGCGTGTCTGCACATGCAGACAGGGCGACCACCACCACCGTGTCTCGAGCGTGTCAACAAGGGTGCGAGCCGTCCAACCTTGCAGCTTCGCGTCAAGGATGCGACAGTTGATACATGCATGTCTTTCTGTCGAGCCTCTGCTGTCGGCAATCCAGTTCGCATCTCGGCTCGGCGCTGCTCCCGTCCCCGCCGCCCACGGGGCCACACGCCCAGCAGCGTGTTCTCGACTCCAGCAGGCCCGAGACAAAGCTCTAGATGTACAGCTGAAAGGTCTGATGAGGCGTCTACAATATTGTCGAATTGACTTTTCCTTGGCCAATGACCAGTGAGGTCAGCCGTGTCCACAACACGCCGTTGTCGAGCGACATGTGGGCCTCTCCATCGCGGCAACATTTCACCAAAGCCACTTGGTCCCTTGGTCCTGGGCCACCTCATGCCGTGGGGAGGGCTCCAACTAGCTGCACCACCCGATTCAGAGGCCCGCCAGTTCGGGACGCCAATAGTGTATGTAGGGGCGGGTAGGGAGCCGTCTCAAAGTGTTCTTCTCGGTGGGTAGCACCCAGGCAAAGCGAGCGTGAGCGTGGTCGACTCCGGACGTGGCATGCTCAAGGTCGTGTGCGCACCTTCTTCTCCGCATGGCAGGCCACGAGCTGGTCAGATCGATCAAACCACAGAGTGGGGCTCTCGTTTGGCCCATAATATGGGGACGACGGGCCTCAAGCTGAGGAAGTCTGAATGAAATGCTGGCCCCGCGTCTATCGAGGCGCTTAAGCTCGGGTGAGCTGGGCTCCGTCCACTGACCCCTAGCCCGGGTCCGCTTTGGTCCGCAGGCACAAATCCACTACCACGTTTGTTGCAGAAGGTAGTATTAGACTCGCGGATCATGGGAACTTCTGCACGTGTGTTAAGGGGCTTCGAAAACGTGGACAAGTGCAAGTCTATCATTCTTCAGTGGAGGGGCCGGGCGCGGGGGTGGTGAGAAATTGGGAGGCTTGCTTCATCGCTGTTTGGGGGAGATGCCTAGCTGTGTCAAGTATCTTGTATTTTGCTTTTGTACCTATATTGATTTTGTATAGTCCGGTTCCCAGGTCGTCCACGTTGTCAAGTGCTCCGTCGGCCTCAAGCAGCGCCAGCGCTTTTACATGCTAGAAAACACGAAGACGGAAGTTTAGGAGTTCAGGAGGAAGAAGCCCGTGTGAGAGACTATTGTGTATTGAAATTAATGAAAAGTTCATTAATTTCAATACACAAATTCGGAGCAGGGTTGATAAAGAGGTTCTTCATCAACACTAAATGTGACTGTGAAGGTAAGTGGGCTGAGGGACGAACACCACCACCACACTGAGGTCTGTCCCGTACACGCCCTCGGCAAAAAAAGCGAGGCCAACGAGTCTGACGTGCATGGTCGACAAGGTCAGTAGGACCAAAAGCATCTTGACAGCTAACAAGTCTTGGGCAGCTGTCGACACAGATCCTTGCCATGCCCCGGTGCTTGGGCCATGGTCGTCCCCAAGTGGCGAGGGATCGGCAGGGAGCCCCAGCGGGCGGAAGCTTGAATTGCTTGGCGCGAGAGTGGTGGATGCCACATGCAGACAGTGCAGAGCGTATATATTCCGATGTGTGCGCGTGGGTTCCGCTTCGCGAGGGGGTATTGTATCAGATAAAGTCTGGAGGGACATTGAACAACAGTTAAGAGTTACCACACTGGTTGCTCATCACGATTCGACCTTGCTAAAACAACCCGGGAAAAGATGGTCTCAGGAGAGCGGCTCAAGTCGACGAAAGTGTCCACGTACAAGATCAAAAGCAAATATGACAACCCCTGCTGTCCTTGCTCACGGCACGAGCAAACATGTTCCTGGGGAGTCTGAGTTGAAAAGCTCGGATCTTGAACAGTAGCTGAGTCCACTAAGCCTATAACCGCTCTGGAGTCGTCCAGTCTAATTGATATATGTCGATGCTTCAATCTTGATTCCACACATTGGGTTTCTGCCGGCGAGGGGACGCTAGCAGATGGTGCCGCTCATATGGAGTATTTACCTTGAGGACCATCGCCTTGCACTCGTGACTGCTTGTCCTGAGCGGCCTGCACGAAACAACAACCCGCCGTCGGCGGGACTTACCTGAAGCTCACGTGATGCTCGTCTTACTTAGAAACAAGACAGGTGCTCAGGTCGAAGGGCCAGGCCTGTCTCGCCTGGCTCGCCTGGAAATCAGCCTCCCTTGCCAAGGCTGATGGATGTCTCTCTTGGCAGCGCAGGCGACATATCTGCCGCTGGTATCGCGATGGAAGTCGGGTGCGTCTAGAAAACATTTGAGTACGAGACGTCGTAAGAGTCGATTGCCCATCTGTGTCCATTCGAGTTGGTCGTCTGTCGTTGTGGCGGCGATGCCCACAGTCATGCCTCTCCTTTTGCCGTGTGGGAGGATGCGGTAGTGCTGATGGTCACCTGCCGAGCCAGGCCGGATAGAGATACGCTCGGTTGCGATTAGTGAGATGAAGTCCGTATTCAATCCAGACCAAGCTGTCCCGCCGCCCTTTTTTGCCCGCCACCGTCTTTCCTTGGGCGCGCAAGCAGGCGCTTATGGGGGGAAAAAAAAAGGGTAGACTCGAGGACAGCAGCTTGTTGCAGGCCTGGAATGATTCTGGCGTTCCATACAGCTGTTCTTGTTGCTTTGTGCTCTGGTGGCGACGTGGTAGCCGTCGCATCCTGCGGGTAGCATCAGATTGTCAGATTGTTCGTCTGATGTATTTTGGTGACGACCTCTTGGACCCCTGAGATTGCAGCGCAGCGTGCTGTCATTTAAAGTTATGGGTCGATGGCTGCACGGCCATTCCCCTTCCAGCCGAGTCAGTGCTCTTGTGCAATCTGTAATCTGCGATCTGTAATCTGCATTCATCTCATCAATGTGCTCTTCCTCCAGCCAGTTGCGCGGGAAAAGCAACACCGTCTTCGCCCTCCCCTTCCCCCCGACACTTTTTTCTCTCTACTTTCAGACGCGCTAAGAAACCCTTCACCTCTTGCGACTGCAGGATACACAACCACATTCTTTGGGCTGCATGACAATTTATCGGCCCAACGCCAGCAAGCACAGCACCAAGTCGTGCGCGCCCGTCCCCGTTCGTCCCATCGCCTCCAGACCCTGAAAGCACCACATTTACCGGCCCCCCCTTCCCCCACCCAGAAACCACCCGTGGGCCCGAACCCGTCACAGTGACAGCTCTGCCCTGGCACGCGGCGACGACTCTGTCGATCGCTCTGCAGCTCGATATTCCCATCGGTGACGGAGACACCTGTCGTGACCAGGTTGCTCCTCGCTCGCTCGCTCGACGCGCCGACCCAATAGGGCACCCGCGAGGTCCTGTGTGCATCTAGTGAGACCTCCCGGCTGTGCACCCATCCTCAAATCAATCGTCGACCCGACTCGACTCGACTCGACTCGACTCGAGCACTTGAGGCTAGACACAAAACGGATTGCAACCCCACGCCCGCCCGCCCAACACGTCGCATCCTTGCCGTGACACCACGCCTTCACCTCCAACCTCCCTACCCACCTCTCAGCCCCTTGGCTTTTTCGGCTAACCGGGAGGCAAGCCTTGCCCTCTGGTCGCTGCTACCTGCACCGCCAACCTGGCTCCCCCAAGATCATCCGCGACCTCTTCCTCGGCTGAGGACAGACCGGCCCCCTCGCATCACCGAAGACGCTCGTCCGCATCGAGTGGCCTCAGGGTATCCTTGGGGGGCGAAACCGCCTCGTCGCTTGGGTCGCTTGGCGTCCATCGGCAGAAGCCCAGCCAGCTCTCCCCGATCCCAGGTACGTGCTGTGTCCCGTACCACAGTTCCCGTTTCTGGTCGCAACCACCCGCCCGCCTCCCTGCGCCCGTGACAGACAGCTGATCGTTTCGCTCCCCATGGCACAGGCACCCCAGGCCTCCAAATGTCCCTCTCTCGAAGCCCATCCCCCCTCCCTGCGGGCGGATGGAGCAGTCCCGGTCTCGACATCAACACGAGCGGTCGATCCAGCCCTTCGACCGCCTTCCCAGGCTCCAATGGAAATCAGGTCGTGTGGGAGTCTGCGCGCATCAAGAATATGGGCAACGGCGGATACCCGTCGTTCGCGACACAGAACCAGGGCTTCTTCACTCGACACATGCGACGCATATCGAACAGCCTGCCCCAGTTCAACACAAGCACACACTACGCTGAGAAGGAGAAACTTCAAAGGGGCAAGTGGGCGCCGGCTCAGTCGGTGCCATTATACGGCAGAATAAGGAACATACTGGGGCGCATGGGCCGAAAGTCGAAGCTGCGGGTACTCTTTGTCTTGCTGCTGCTCCTCGCCATCTTCATATTCTACCAATCTCGTACGTGTCGCTGGAATCTATGGGCTCTGCTCTAAATGCTAACGCACACCAGCTTTAATATACCACTGGCGCCGCACGGCATGGCTCGGTGGCGGAGAAAAATATGTCATAATCCTGGCCGCCAACGTCGGTGGGGGTGTCATGGAATGGAAAGGCGCGCGAGAGTGGGCGATCGAGCGAGACAGCATGCGCAATAAAAAGAAATACGTCGCAAGGTGGGGCTACGAGCTGGAAGTCGTCGACATGAGCACTAAGAAGCGTTACGCTCACGAGTGGCGAGAGAGCTGGGAGAAGGTCGACTTTGTCAGGAACGCATTCATGAAATACCCAAAGGCAGAGTGGTAAGTACGATTTCATCAGCTCCTCGATCTTAGGCTAACCAGTCCGTAGGGTGTGGTGGCTCGATCTCAACACTTATATCATGGAACCCTCGTACTCTCTCCAGAGTCACATGTTCGACCAGCTACAAAATAACGTATACCGCGACATCAACGAGTACAACCCTCTGAACATCACGCATCCCCTAAACGACACCTACCTCGACGATGACCTGCGCAGCCCGGACGGTGACGGGGATGTCAATTCGGTCAACTTCATCCTCTCCCAGGACTGCGCTGGGTTCAACCTTGGCTCCTTCTTTGTGCGCCGTGGCCAGTGGACTGACCGGCTACTCGACGTCTGGTGGGATCCGGTGGCTTATGAGCAGAAGCACATGGAATGGGCCCACAAAGAACAGGATGCATTGGAGCAGCTCTACCGAAGCCAGGCCTGGATCCGATCCCATACGGCCTTCGCCCCGCAGAGAAAGATCAACAGCTTTCCTCCGGGCGCGTGCTCCGAGAACGGGAACAACACTCGCGTTCACTACGACCAGAACGATCGCGACTTTGTCGTCAACATGGCAGGCTGCGAGTGGGGCAGGGATTGCTGGGGCGAGATGTACAACTACCGTGAGCTCAGCTACTGGCTCAACCGCAACCCGTGGGAACGCTTCAAGGAGGACCTTATTGCTCCTATCATCTACAAGGTGACTGGCAAGAAGGTCAAGTTCTGAGGACTGCCCATATCACGGTGCATCACACGGCCGCCAGTTTCATCATGCAAGCTAATACCTAATCACCTGTGCCATTTCAGTCGAGCTGATCTGGTAGCATCCATTCTCCAGCCTACACGTTAGGTATCTTCAACCAGCCAAATTTCTCAAGCCAAATCCCCAACCGACAGCCCTTGTGCTGCGGTGGCTCAACGGTCCAGAAGACTTGGCGACCCGTACCTCTTTGTCACTGGCTCCACAGCATCCGCATCTGTCTTTGTTCACAGCGCCCGTGTGCTACTATACCCCTTTCGTGTTACAACGGCGGAGCCGAGGTCCGGACATGAATACGACAACCTACTTTACCCCTTTTCTCACGATGACGGTTCCATGGTTCTGACAAGCACTGGTGGGGAAGAGGGTCACGTTTCTGCATATGCATCTCATCAGGAGTACAACGATTTGTTGGATTGAGAAGCAGCAGATGATGAACATCTCTGTTGTTTCGTTGAAAGAGTCACGACTAGTTCGGGGGTGATTTTCCAGGACGGGTGGTTCTAGTTTTAGACGGCTCAAGGGATCTTTCTTGATGGCAGTAGGCGCAGTCAAAATTTATCGCAGAGGGATACCATATCAGAATTAAATGAATTTTTCCAATTTCCGACAAACATCTTATCCCGTAGTTCAATTACCACAAACGGGGTTTATAAGCCAAGACCCGCAGTTGAGACTATCACCCCCCTCCTCCTCCCCCAAGAAAAGAGGAGTGGGAAAAGTGATGGAGAGAGGGCGAAAAGAAATCCAAATAAGTAGTCCACTCGTGTCTTCCAACAACATGTGTGTGCGTTTTCCAACGCCATCGGAGAACATTTCCTCCAAAAATAAACACCCCTTCCCTCCCAAACAAAATGAGTACCTGCGTTCCCTGCGACAGGCCAAAGGTCAGAGCGTCCTCGAGATAAAAGCTACTGCGCGCTGCCACGCACAAGCAATCTGGCATGCAAGCTTCAGTACTTGATTCTCCTGAGTCTCAACGAGGCGCACTCCCCGGCTGGTTGGTGTGTCTTGTGTTGTTCACATTTGAGCACAGGGGACACAAACTATGATTCACATGGTGACTAGTCTCAAAGCATTTGTCGGATGCAGTCGTGCTCGCGTCCACGCTCATCGACATGAAACCGCCCTATTCGGCACCGTCAGGCTTCATAGTGCCTGCCCTCGTTCTTGAGAATGCGGCCTTGACAGGCCTTGCGACGTGAGGCTCAAATGAGCCTATTCATGTGAGAACTTCATGATAGAGTGCACGGCAAGCAATTAGTAAGTAATCACAACGGATCTCTCTCTTTCCCTATCGAGAAGCTTGCTGGCCTCCACATTTCACGACCTCACGTATCAGACTCAGATAGCCAAGACTCCACATACAAGTGAATACGGTGATAGTATTCTCACTGCTGTATCTAGACTTCTTACTCGGAATTTATCAGTGAGCATCCTTCGGTGGGTCCCAGCGCATGATCTCCCAGTCACGATCCTGACCCGGGCGCCACTTCCACTTCCCAACACTACGGAACCCAAGGCTGTTGTAAAGCGTGGCTCCGTCCGGGGTTGCGGACAGGTGGACGGGCAGGCCGTCCTTCTCGGCGTCATCTTCACCGTCTGGACTTTCGCGGTACCAGATGCAAAAGGCTGTGATTTCCGGGACACCGTTCCATCCCTCGTCGCTGGGTTCGAGAACAGCGACGATCGGGGAAGCGGTCGGGTCATCCAGGCTGTGCTTGATGATGTCTGCTTTCACCTTGAGATATCTGGCTGGATGGTCGTTCCGCTTCGGATACAAGTATGCGTCTTGCGGGCCATCCGTGTATGCAGCCACTGCCGCCCTATAGTGGGCATCATGGTGTTTGTTTTCCCAATTCACAGCTCGCTATGGTCTTCTTATAGCTTTGCCGGTGGCTCATAATCTCCTAGTGTATCTTTTCTTGATATAATAACCCCAAGTTTTGAGGACCCATCAAAGAGGAGGCGGTCCCTTCTCGTACTGCATCACCCCCTCAGGAATCGGCACCACCGCACTGCTCGTCCAGATATGAATGACATCCTTCCACTCCAAGCCCTCGACGCAGCCGGCCTTGATACTGACCATCCCCAAGGGCGTCCCGTCAGGCTTGTGCGAGTGGCCGTAGAGCCGTACCCCGCACTTTGGGCAGAAGTAGCAGTGCTTCTTGTTGCCGCTGTCGGCGGCGAGCGTGAACAGCTGGAACCTGTCCTTGGCCTCCTGTGGCAGGTTCGATATGAATGCGTCCGCGGGGTAAAAGGCCGAGGAGCCAAACGCGGACGCCGACTGCTTGCGGCATGAGGCGCAGTGGCAGCAGGCGATGCGCAGGGGCTGCGCCGTGGGCGTGCGGAAGGAGATGTAGCCGCATTGACATGTCACTGGGAGCCCCTGGTCCTCCGTTCGTGTGGCAACTGGCATAGCGAGGTGTTGAAAATAGTCGACGGAGAATGATGAGTGTGGGTGTGGGGTATGCCCGAGTGGCTAGCCAAGCCTGATATACCTTGTGTTGAAGACTCGGCGCGGTACTAATTGCCGATCTTGAAGGAGCGCCCTTTTGTCGTTTGCTGACTTCCAAGGTTTCCGCCCAAGGCATTTACGACTGGCGGGGTGTTCGTTCCTTTTGAAGGCCAGGTCGGTTCCCTGATGACAGATATCTGACCGCCTGTGCGAGTACAGAAATTACGCCCTTCCTGTGAAGAAGCTTAGGATCTTACATTCGTGCAGCGTGACTCGGAATTGGCTTCGGTTTTTTACGCCGTAAACGACAGAATAATATTGTGCCGAATTCCAGCCTGGGAACAATGTGGATGCAGTTATTTCAAGGTGTGTCATCTCGTAACAGAAACAAGGACCGCCGCAGAGGACTTCACTAGGCTCCTTCATGTCCTTGAGCCACTTCTTCGCTCTCTTCTGCCCTTTTACTCTCTTCGGCGTATCTGGAGGTTCAAGTGCTGCAGGCTAAAGCTCTCGAATGATAATATCTGCGGCCTTTTCCCCAATGGCCATGGCCACACTGCACGTGTTAGAGCCCACGTTGCTGGGTGGTATACTCAGATCGGCGATCTTCAGGCCCTTCACTCCGTAGACGTTCAGGTCGGGATCTACCACACCGCCGTCGTCGAAAGAGGCCATCTTGCACGTGCCCATTGAGTGCCACGTCGTCGAGATACGCTCCTTGAGGAATTTGTTGATAGCCGGGTCGTCCTCTGGCGTGTATTCAATATCGTGGGGGGGGGGGGCTCCAGAGGTAGGCTGGGCGTCGATAATGGCGGCCTTCGAACCATTCGGGAATTCCGGGTGGCCAGCGGCGATTTCACCGGCGAAGTTGTCCATGCGGCGAATTTTCGCGCTGCTTTTTGTACATCCAAAAGTGCTTCTTCTGATCGATGCTATTCTCATCCGCTAGGAATCCTGCATCGAAATCATACGGGTCATTGAAGTTCGGACCCGTAATGTGAACACGGCCTCGGGAGAATGGATGAGTGCTAAAGGTAGCAATACCCATGTATTGTCCTGCTGGAACGCCAGATGGATCTCCTGGGAAGCAGCTGACAATAGACATAATCATGAGAGGCTTATCGGGGTTGTTTTTGAAGTCTTTGTCCCATGCTGCCTGGAACTGAGTTCCCAGGCTTGCGATGTCAGCATCAGATGGTCGAAGCTTGCACTGAACGTCAACCCCATTCCAGCTCAGGAGAGGGTCGTTCTTGGGAATCAACTCGGCGACGTTGACACGGCCTGTGAGGATCCCATCCATTGTCTGGTCTGGGCCGACACTGGTTTTATATGGATAGAGCATGATATGATGGTCCTGGAAAACGGTTTCTTGGTGACCTGATTTCTATGAAAGCCTCAAGAATACAACTTACTAAATACTTCTCACCCACTCCCGGCACAGAGGCGACAAGCGGGACTCCGGCGCGTGAGAGAACCTCGGAATTGCCAACACCAGACCTCTCTAGGATTTGAGGTGTCCCAAGAGCACCTGCGGAGAGGACTGCCTGCTTCCTTGCGTTGACGGTCCTAGTCTCTTGTTTGGAGTCGGGCTGAAAGTCAGCGCTCGGTCGGAAGACCATACTCACAGCCTTCTTGTTATCGTCAACTATAACACGCTCCACGTCCGTCTCGACGAGGACGTGGAGATTTGGGAATTCTCCACTCCCAAGCTTGGGATGGATGTACGCGTGGGCGGTGTCCTGGCGCTTTCCGTCAGGGCCGACGTAGCGTTGGGCACGCATTGGTCCGTTGATGGAGTCGAGGATGTTGTTGTCTGGAAGCTCTGGCCAGCCCAGCTTGCCCACGGCGGAAATGAAGTCATCCTCTAAGACCTTGCCCCGATAGTTTCCGGGACCAACTAATTCATGTCTTGATCAGCAAGCTTCCCACTCTAGCCTGTAGCCATGTTGTGAAAGAGACAAAATAAATGAAGACGTAGTGAGGTGTGGTGCCTGGAGGCATCTTGCCGTGGAGTGGACCGTTGTGCCCATGGCTATCCTCTGATCCTGAAGGTCAGCTCAGAGGAGCAGGACGATGCGCATGAAGTTGATGAAGCAATTAAGCAAACGATAGTTGATTGTTGTTGTTAAGGAGAGAAATCTCCTTGCTATTAAACGCTTAGAAGGAGCCTATTTATAAGCTAGCGTTAGCGTATAGGCATATAACCCTCGCACCTTTCAACACACCTTTTATCGTAAGTATTATCATTTTAATAATAATAAAAGATATTCCATTTTAATAATTAAAAATATAATTTAAATATTTCGCCATAATTTATATTAAGATTATTATATAAATATTATTTAACATTTATATATTCTGCTTATATTATTTTTAATTAATTATTTAAACGCTCTTTTAATAATATAAATTTTATATTTATTTTAATCTTAATCTTATATAAGCCTTTTTAAGAGTAAAGCAAGGTAATGCTTTTATATAAATATTAATAAGATTATCTTTAAATGCAATATAATAAATATTATATATTTTTTTAATTCCTTTATGGATAAAGTAATAATAAATAGCAATATATTTTAATTAAGCGTTAACTTTATAATTTTAAATAAGGTTTAATATTAATTAATTATTAATATATAAAATAAATAAATATTTAATATGCTTAATATTTAAATTTTTTAATGCTTAAATTATTTAATAAAAATATAATAATATTAATAAATATATTATATATTTCGCCTTATAAGTAAATTTTATAATAATAAATTAATACTTTAATAATTAAGCAATTAAGTTATTATTAAAGAATTATATATATTTATTAAATGCTTTTAAATTATTTAAATTAGTATTATAAAAAGCATTAATATATATATTAAATATAGCAAATTAAAATAATAATATTTATTTTAAAAGTTATAGGGTATAATTTAATATATGCTAAATATATTAAAGCACCCTCTTTATAATATTTAAATAATAAATTGCAAGCTTTATATTAAATATTAAGAGCATTATATATAAAAATATAAGATTAAGTTTTATTTTAATAATAAAAAAATTAATAAATTTAATAAGTAATTAATATATTATTATATTTATTATAATATTATTAAGTTCCTTTTATTATGGAAATAAATTAAAATTTATAAGAGTTTATCTTTAATTATAATTAAATATATTAAAGCATTTTAAAATTTATTAAATATATTTCTTTTAAGAAATATAAATCTTATTATTAATTTATATAATTTTTAATTTAAGCAAATACTTATAAAAATTAAAATCCTTATACTTAAAATATTATATAAGCTTAATATAAAATTTATTAATTTAAAAGAAATTCTTAATAATAAAAATATTATTAATATAAATAGCAATAATGATTTAATTTTTAATAAAAATATAAGGGTTAAATATTATTTCCATTAAATATTTAATTAATTCCTTTTTAAAAGTATTAAATTATTTACGGCTTAATTATTTAAGTTTATATAAAGCATTAAGAAGTTTTAAAATAATTTATTAATTCTTAAATAATATTTAATACCCTTATAATAATTACATATAAATATTATATTTTAAATAGCTATATAAATATATTATTTTAATATTAAATTGCTAAAGCTATTAGCTTATTATAGCAGTAATAATAATAATTAATTTTAAATTATTATAACGCATTATTAAGCTATAAATATTATTATAATTTATATTATAAATTTATATATATTTATAAGTAATAAATTAAGCTTTATAGCGAATAAGCTTATTAAAAGCGTTAAACTTCTTTGCATATATTTAATAAGGATTAATAATATATTAATTTATAATAATAGGTATTTTAATTTATATACTTATATTTAAAAGTAATTTAAGTTCTTTTTTAATAGCTTATTGCTAAGCATTTCTTTTATTACTCTTTATAACCTATATATATATATTAAGGATATTATTAATATTTACTATATTAATAAGTAATGCTTAAGTAAAGATTTAATTAAGGTAGTTAGCATTAATTAATATTAATTAAGTAAAATTAATATAAGGTTTGCATTAATTAATGTTAAGTTATTAAAATCTTTAAAATATTTCATAATAATATTTATATTTTCTTTTGCTTTTTATAAAGGTTAAATTTATTATCCTTAAGAATTATATAATTATATAGGTTTCGCGAGTTTAAGTAATTTATTAATAAGTTTTATAGGTTTAAATAATTTATTTACCGGTTTATCTACGGGTTTTATATTATTAATAAATTTTATTAGCTAAAATATTAATAATATCTTTATCTTAAGTAATATGTTTTTATTTAACTAGCTAATTATTTATATAATCTTTATTGCTAAATTAAATTAAGTAATATAGCTTAATATTGCAATTATAATAACGTTTTAAAGTAGCATAAATAAATGAAAGATAGTCTTGCTTTTAGCCTTAAATCTCATAAAGTATACCTTTTTAGCTTTATTTAATAATTTCATTTTTAGTTTATAAGCCTTAATAAGGATATAAAGATATATAAAGTAAAAGTATAATTAAAAATATTTAATATTAAGCTTTTATTTATAAAGCGCCTTAAATAGCATTATTTAATATAATAAGGTTAAGTATAGTTTTTAATTCCATAGGTATATTGCATAGGAAATCGCTTTAAGCTATAAAAATAAGTAATCTTTATTATAAATTATTATATAAGCATTAATAATAATAATATATATAAATCTTTTAGGCATGCTATTTAATTTATAATAATAAAAGAATGATTTCTTATAAATAATTCCATATTTTTAAAACATTATAATAATTATCTTATTTATATATTTATTCTTATTATTTAAATTAAATGTCTTAATTTTTACATTAAATTAAGTTTTAATTATATTTAAGAATCCCTTAATAATATTTAAAATATTATTTTTTTAAGTAATAAAGTAAATTTAATAAAATTAAGTATAATTATTAATAAATAAAATAAAATATTAAAAACCTTTTAATAATGCTATTAAGAATTTGCCTAATAAATTAAATTAAATATACTTAAATAGCTATATAAATTATTATTTTAATAATAATTATAAACATTTCTTAATAAACTTTATAAGTTAGCATAATTTATAATGAAAATCCATTAATTTATTTAGCATAATATTTTTATCTTTATATAAGCATTAAGTAATTAGTTTTAATAAATTATTATAGTTAAAAGCTTTATAAAATTTACTATATATTGCAAATATTATAAAGTTATTTTTTATTATTTAAATTTTAAAATTTCTATATTAAAACTTTGCTTATAATATCTTATAAGATTTATTATTTTTTAATAATAAAAAGATATTATTTTTTTATATATTTAGTTAAAACCTTTTTTAAATTATAATTTAGCTAAATAAATAAGTATTCTTTAACGTATAATTATATAAAATGTTAATAAAAATGCTTTTAATAATTAATTTATTTAATAATTATAAGAAGATTTTTATAAAGTTAATATCTTTTATAATAAGTTAATTATTGCTTATAATAATAATTATATTTAAATATAGTTATAAAAAGTTAAAGTTTTTTATATATCTTATTATATGCTTTAAAGCATTAAAATTAAAAATTTATAATATTAAAGTATTTATAATTATTAGCAGCTTTACTATATATATTAAAATGTTAATATATAATGCCATTATATTTTTCTTATTATTATTAAAAATTTTAATAACTTTTTTACTTATAGCTTAATTTATAATAGCTTATTTCTTACCCTTTTTTTATTTTTAATTAGCTTTATATTTAACAAGCTTTATATAATTAATATATAAATGGCTAATAAATATAAAGTTTTATATATAGCATTAAGTATATTCTTTATTACTTAATATAAAGTTAATATTTATTAATATAAACTTTATAGCTTTTTTTATACCTTTTAATATTAACTTCTTTTAAGTAAAGATAAAGTAAACTTTAAATTATTTAACCTTTATATAAAAAATAATATTTATTATCTTAAGTTTAATTTTAAAAAATATTATAAGGTTTTAACTACTTAAGTTATTAATAATATTATTTATAATATTTAATAGCATTATTAAGAAAAAGAAGCCTTTAACCTTATTACTTTTAAAAAGTAACTTTATTAACTTCTTAATTAATTATTTTAATATTAAGATTTTAATATAAAGTTTTATTTAAAGGTTTTAAAAAATATTTAAATAGCTTTATAAGTTAAAGTTATCTTTATATTATAAGTTTATTAATTAATAAAAAAGGTAAATAATTAAGTTATTAATATTATAATTAAATTAATTAGTTAATATTTTTTAAATATTAAAAGATTTTCTATATAATATAATAAATATTATAAGGCTTAAATATATTAAGCTTAAAAATATAATAAAGGCTTAATTATTAAGTTTTTCTTATTTTATAAAGGCCGCACTTTTATTTAATTATTTCTTAATGCTTATAATATATTTACTAAGGCTAATAAATTAAAAACTATAACTTTATGCCACCCTTTAATTTAAAAAATTCTTCCCTTTTAAATTTAATTTTAAAAAAGATAATAAGTTAAGCTTAAAATTAAGTATATTTAATATTTTTTAAATAATATTTATATATCTTTAAGCATATTTTAAATAATATTTATATATTTATTTATTTATAATAATTAATATTAATTAATATAAATAAATAAATAAAAAAGGAGTAAATAATTAAAATATTAAATAAGGTAAAAGTATTAAATTATTATAAATTATTATTAGCTATAATAATTATTATAAGGTATAATAATAATATATAAGTAAAGGCTAATAATATTAAAATCTTAATAATTTAAGTATGAAAATAATTATAAAAATAAAGGTATTAATATTTCTTAATATTTTAAAATATTTTAAGCAACGCTAGGCTTATAACTTAATAAAGCAATTAAGCAAATAATAGTTGATTATTATTATTAAAGAGAGAAATCTCCTCGCTATTAAACGCTTAGAAGGAGCTTATTTATAGGCTAGCGCTAGCGTATGGGCATACGACCCTCGCACCTTCCAACAGAAGTAGTCTAAATGGGCTGACATGTTTACAGCCCAGCCCCCAGTGACTGTGCTTTCATGGTTCTTCATGGCATTTCGCGAATATCAGCCCCAGAAGACTTGCTCAACGTCATTTCTTCTTGTTTTCTTTTGAAGCGGGACTTGAACTTGAAGTGTTCAGCACAGGCAATGTGGGCGCTGGTTGAACGGCAGCAAAAGCGTGCATCCACTGTGACAAGGTACAGAATCCTCACGAAGCCAAGGCACCTCACCTGAAATGGCAGAAGCTCTTGGCCGGGAAACTGACGCCCAAGTGCAATTGACCATCCAGAATAGTGCGAATGTTCCACTTTTCTGCACTTTTAAGTATAGGATGTACCACGACGATCCGGGGGGAGGCGGCAACGGTGGGGCACCGGATCAGCCACCCACACAGGCATCCCGCAATGGAAGCAGACGGTGCACACAGTTCGTGCTTCTGATCTTGGGTGTCATCGGTACCGCCTGGTTTGTCGTTCGCTCTATTGACCTGTGATTCTCTGAACCAAACTCCGCATTCTTCCAGGTGCAGCGAATCTCTGTATGCTTGTATGGACGCGGAAGTCTTGGAGGCAGACACTGAACTCAAATTAGCAAGGGAAGAGGTGAGGTTGCGCCGCGGCTGAGCCGCAGTGGGCGCCGACCCAGTGGCGTCAGTCGATGCTCTCGGCTGAGAGCCCGTGGCATGCTGGCCCAACGGTTTTGTTCAGGTACATCCTCGGTGCTGCATCGACGCCTCTGTATCTGGGTGTTGGGCCGGCTGACCAGTCACTGTGTAGCACTGCAGCACAGCTCGCAAGGGCCCCAAAACTTTCCAGCATTGGCCTTACCTTTCTGGGAGGGCAGAACTGTTCTCCACTGGTTTGGCTGGAAATTCTATATAGAGACAAATCTCGAGATAACGTCGATGGAAACAATAACAGGCATTGGTTACAAAATCTGTTCAGCTGCTCGGGTTCGGAAGCTCACCCTCCACCATTCGTGTGGAAGTCCCGATTAGGCAGTCAGCGCGCTGAACATTGTCGCGTACCATAACCAGGCCACAAATAGACAGCCTGCAGGGGCACCCTCCATCGGGCCATTGTCCTTCCTTGCCAAGCCAAGAGGCTAATGGCCACCTCGAAGCCGGGCACACGATCTGGGGTCCGTCATCCAGCTGAGCTGAGTTGGAGGGGGTCCTGCTGTCCTGATCGACACTCAACACTTGCAACATTCCTCCACGACAATCCTCCTGAATGCCCTTTGCAGTGCGCGTTGTTCGCGTCTGTGCTGGCTCGTCGGACGAGCCGACGACACTCTGAGACACTTGGCAGCTAGAGGACTAGAGCCAGGCCTCGGGACCCGCAAGCGGGTCTGTGGTTTCATCGCATCTTTCGTGTGGTCGACCATCTGTTCTCTTTGTTGCTTGCTCCTGCAGTCTTGATCCTGACCCGTGGACAATGCTCGCGTGGTGCTCGCCAACATGTTCAGCACCCGCAGCACCCGGCTGCTGATACTGGCGCTCTTCATCGCCGTCACCTTTCTGTACATCGGCTGGGATCGGCCGTTGGCATGGGGCGATGCTCCTGACTTTGCGACCGATCCGGCGGCTGGAGGGGTGACGGATGGGAAGACAACTGCACCGCCGTCCAGTGGCAATGCTAGTCCGGGCCAGAAGAATCCAGGGTCTTCGGGATCGAGTCCGCCAAAGATCACGGACGTCTACGGCGATGATGACGATGACGAGGATGAGCCTCAGGTTGAGGTCGAGCAGGATGAGGATAGTTACGACTTTGAACGCCCGACTAGTCCTGGGGATGTCCCGCCTGCAGCCTCGGCCAATCCCGAGAAGATTGACGAAGAGACCAAAGTCATACCTGGGAAGGTTGAAGAAGAGGCCCCAAAACCGACGGTGGAATGTCCTATGAGCTTCGAGAGCTACATGAGTAGCCAGCCAGGCCCCAAGTCTACAGGCAGTCGACAATTCCCGCTGGTCCGTCCGCCTCCAGAGTGTCGGACTTTCGTGGTCCCAGACCTCGAGGAATATATCACCAAGATGGAGTCGGTGGTCAAGGACCCAGACCTGTACCGGCTCTTCCAGAACAGCTATCCGAACACGCTCGACACTATGGTCAAGTGGCACGGCTATGCGCAGGATAACGGCACCGACACGACGGAGGAGCTGAGCTACATCAGTAAGTAGTCCAAGGGAGATCATATCCTTCCTGGAATCTCGAGGATGGCCTTATTTCTTATGCAAAGCAAGAGTGACGAGGACCTTCTTGAGATCTCACTTGAGATCTTACTCCCTTCCCGCATCTAGGATTTATATGAGATCGACTCACTAACACACTGTCTTAGTCACGGGCGACATCGACGCCATGTGGCTGCGCGACAGCGCAAGCCAGCTGTACTCGTACCTGCACTTCCTCACGCCCGAGAGCTCGTCGGTAGGCGGCAGCCTCAACACCCTGAACTCGCTCTGGCGGGGGCTCATCAACTCGCACTCGCGCTACATAATCATATCCCCGTACTGCCACTCCTTCCAGCCGCCGCCCGAGTCCGGGATCCCGCCCACCGTCAACGGCGCCTACCACCACAACAACCCGCGCCCGGCCTACGACCCGTCCGAGGTCTTCGACTGCAAGTGGGAGCTCGACAGCCTCGCGTCCTTCCTGCAGGTCAGCTCGGGGTACTACGAGCGCACCAAGGACCTGGCCTTTTTTGCAAGGTACAGCTGGGTCGATGCCGTCCAGGCCGCCGCCGACGCTGCCGCTGCCATGAGGGTGGGTACGTATGATGAGGAGGGCCGCGTGCTGCCCTCGGCGTGGACTTTTACGGGCTGGACGAACCGGGGCTCGGAGACGCTCACCAACGACGGGCTGGGGAACCCGAGCAAGACGAACGGCATGGTTCGCACGGCGTTCCGCCCTAGCGATGATGCCACAATCTTCCAGTTCCTCGTGCCCGCCAACATGATGTTCGCAAAATATTTAGAAGAGGCATCCATCATAATGGAAATGCTCGCAGACAGCAGCGGCGCCGCCCTCCCGGGGATGGACGCCGAGAAGACTGAGCTGGCCGCGAACATGACGGGGGAGATGCGCTCGCTTGCGGCCGGGATCCGGCGGGGCATCGACAAGGACGCGGTGGTCGAGCACCGCGACTTCGGCGAGATCTTCGCGTACGAGTGCGACGGCTTCGGCGGCGTCAACCTCATGGACGACGCCAACATCCCGAGCCTGCTGGCGATGCCCCTGTTTGGGTACGCGCGGCAGTCGGCCAAGTTCGGCACCGCCACCGAGGGCTTGCGGCCGGCGAGCGAATACGCCAAGATCTATCAGAACACGAGGCGGTTCGCCCTGTCGCTCGCGAACCCTTACTACGCCAAGGGCCCTGAGATCTCTGCCGTCGGGGGCCCGCACCTCGGGCCAGGGAAGGCGTGGCCCATGGCGGCGTTGGTGGCCGGCATGACGGCGTTTGACGAGGAGACGGGGCTCGTCGGCCCTAAGGGGAAAGGGGGCGTAGAGGACGTGGTTGCCGAGCAGCTCGGCATGGTTCTCAACTCGACGTCCGGCATGGGAGTTGTCCATGAGAGCGTCAACTCGTGGAACGGGAATTCCTTCACGCGCGCGTGGTTCGGCTGGGCGAATGGTTTGATGGGCGAGCTGATCATTAGGATTGAAGAGTGGGAGAAGAAGGCTAACAAGTTGAGCGGGGACGGGTTGCTGGGAAGGAGTTGGCAGTAGCTCAGCTAATGGCGGCCCAAAGCACTTATAGCTATAGCACAAAAGATCAGGATACTAGTCAGGACGTTATTAGTTCAAGTCCTGAATTTAAAGGCAAACAGCTCCGGCGTTGCGGTTGCTTCATGTTTTAAAGGCTTCTGCCAGCCGCTTTTACCAGCCAGCAAGATGCAAAGTCATTCTGTTAATCTTCGCATAACACAATTCACATCACTTGACTGCATAAAACGGAAAATTTCTTAACGTGCCAGATGTCCCTGAGGATTGGTATATTTCATCGCACTATGTACCGTCATCCTGAAGCCCACGACGAAACCCCGGCCAGGAGACAAAAGCTCTCAAAAGAAATGAGCCCAATATGAATCAACGCCCATCCGTGCAAACAAGTGGTATCAAAATGGCATGTCGCCCAAGGTTGTAGAACCAGGAGAAGAAAAGAAGATCTCCACACAACACCTATCCCCCGTCTTTTGTCCATTCACGCCAGGTAAACGACGGCAGAAGAGTATGTGCAGCTTTCGACAGTTCGCCTTAGGCTTGGTAATCGCGTGGCATGAAACGCATGCCCCTCTTCACGGGGGCGCTCGTGGCAGCCGCTGCACCGTCAGACTTGCTGTAGACCTTGATCGACTTGAAGAGCCCTGTTGATGGTTAGCTGCTGTATCATGACAGGAAAGACGGGGAGTGAACTTACAGTATGCGTCTACAAAGGCATTGGGGTCCTGAGCTGCGTATTCCTCGCAGGTGGGTGCCTTTGCAGAACACTCGGCATCGTTGGCCCAGGTGGCACCGGCCCATTGACCACACTATAAGTCTGGTGTTAGCAATCTGGCAAGAAGGAGTGGCGAGGTTGGGATGGGGAGGTGTACTCACGAAATCTGTGTTGATGGTGATCCAGTGCTCCTTGAAGTTGTTGTCGATGTCGCAGGTACTTCCTCCCACGAAGCTGGCCAGGGGAGTGCCGAATGTAGAAGAGTCGACTGTTGTGTTTGAAGACGAGATCTTGTTCTGCATTGTGCTGTTCCTGGGGAAGAACCAGACTGAAATGGCGTCGCTAGTCCACTCCATTGCATAAACACCACCACCGTTTGCGTTCAGGCCTTTGCCAAAGTTCTTGGTGCTGTTGGTGGTCTGGGGGCAACCAAGCCCGCCACTGCCGTCGTTGCAGTTTCCGCTGGTCAACTCCGTGCCATCAACCGTTTCGCCCTGGGTCATGGTGCACGTAGGCCCAGTATGAAGGGTCACCTGGTTGGACTGCTGGCTGTTGGCACCCTCAATGATGTCAATCTCGCCCTTGTACGGCCAGGCCTCGTTGTACGTCCACAGAGCGGGCCATGTGCCGCATCCCTATACGACAATGGGTTAGTACTTGTTTGTTTCTGATGTCTCTGCGAGGGTGGGAAGGTGAGAATTGTAGGTTGAAAGGATGGAGTGGCTTACAACTGGCATGTGCACGACATCGGCGACAAGTAGCATCTGGGTGTACGTCTTCTTGCTGTTAAGGCGCGTACTGGCGCGGCCATTGGCGGGGTTGGCGGTCTTGTGGTCGCTGCCGACGTAGATCATGTCCTGGTGGAAGCCCGCCAGTCCCTGGGAGGCAGCGTTGACCCTGTCCTGGTACTGGACGAAGCCCTTGGTGGGGTCTGCCTCGGAGAAGAACTCGAACGAGTCGAAGAAGTTGGCTTGGTTGTAGTTATCAGTCAAAGTGTAGGCCGCCCCTGCCACCAGATGGACAGCGCCGAGCAGGGTGGAAACGGTAGTTGCGACTGAAGGCATCTTGTCAAAAGATATGTACAGTGTCGAAAGTGAGACTGTTTAAGATGCTCGAGACTGAAGAAATCGAAACTTGAGATCGAGTACTGTCGAGGAAGGAGGCTGGCTCTTTGTATGATTGCTTGCCCGTCGCCAAAAAAAAAGTGACTGTGAGGCAGAAGCAAGTCTGACACAAGCAGCAAGGTGACCTGTACTGGGACTGAAGCTCAAGCAACGAAGATCGAAGGGGGCCAAATCAGCCAGGCAGACTCGTCTGTAGACAGATTTGACTGCTTAAGTATGTGTATCTGTGACGAGGTCACAGTGAAGAATGATCGTGGGATTTCGAAGAATAAAGCTATTGTTGGGCCTGCAACAAAGAGTTCTATGCCTTGACAATGAAGGTCGGTATTGAGCACAATAAGGAAGGAATTTTGCCAATCAAGGCGAACGCCGTGTGAATGAGGGACGGCGGGAGAAAGGGAGGGTTGAGAGATCAGATGGTACCAGCCACGCGGTTCCAAAGTCGATCAACGATGATACCAGCCTTGGGTGAGCAGAGTCTCGACCTTGCGAGAACCGCCCATGTGCCTCAGACGGGAATGTGGTGTTAAATATCCTGCACAAGCAAAGTCGCGCACGGAATGAGTGGGCACGGCTCGCCCTGCATGGAGCTTGCATGGTCCAGATGCCCGCCGTCCGAGTCACCACGCGCACTGGTGGGAAGGGGGAGACGGAGTGGCAAGCGACAAGCGACGAGGCGTCAAAAGGCGACAAGGGTAGTGGCGCGCAGATCTGCCGGGGAGCCGCACCACCAGATGCAGGGGAGGGGGGCGAAGAGGCGAGTGGGTAACGTCGCTTGACGCCCGCACATGCCTTGTCTGTTGGTCCCTTCTTGCCTGCTACTCGCCAATCTAGGCGACCTTGCAGTCTGGCTGAGACTGGGGACCTTGGGAAACTGGAGCTCCTCTTCTTCCGGGCCGTTGAGAGGGTCGGGCATATCACACCCAGATCAGGAGATGGGCATATGAGAGGAGAAGGGATGATTCAGGGTGGGGTTCTACTTGCACAGTACTGCGTCGCTGCTCCGAGGCACCGAGTGATGAGACATGCGCGGTGAGCAGCTCGATATGACAAGGAGCACCGCGCGTGAGGCGGGCCGGCCACTCAGAACGGCATACCGAGAGATAGACACGCTGCGCGTGTGGGAGCGGCTGGGGCCCCGAATGGACCAGACGAGCTGCATGAGAAACATTTGAGACAGGGTTCGAAGCCAAGCACCGACTCTGTTCTCTTTGCAGATGATCGACGTTAAAACACTGACAGGGGCTGGCTATACGTGAGACCTGCCTAACAAGCGTGTGCCGCGGTGGAGACTAGCGCACACGGAGGTCGTATATCTGGCTCGGCCAGAGTTTTGCCTGTATGAGATCCGGACAACACACCACCAACATGGCCCCAAAGGGGGAAAAGAAATGGCATCTCGAGATGTCCTGGGCAGCTCTGCAGCTTGCAAACATCTGCAGGTACTGCAGGGCCACAGGGCCGTGTTGGGAGTGACCGAGTCAAAGTCCCTTCACCGATCAGTCGTGCCAAGTTGGCCGCTGTCCACCAGGCCCGCATTCTTTGGGCTGAGATCCGATCACAGATAAGCTTGCAATGGTGCGGGATGGGCTTCGGGCTCCGTAAATCAGGCTGAAGTGGGATGCGGATTCAGTGGGGTGGACGGGTGAGTGAGTAAGTGAGCTGGTGAGTCGGGCGGGTGAAGTGGAGTTGACTTAAGGTGAGGTTCAGGGAGGCTCAGGGACGCAGGGAGGCCGTGTGTTTGGGAAAGGTTGCCGGCTCGCCCTCCCTGGCCGCCTGATTGGACGTCGGCCGGTAGCTCCCCGTCGGCACGCCAGGCACGTCAACCGCATTGGCTGAACAACGGCCGGGGGCATGCTTGTGTGTCCCGCACTTGCATGCATGTGCCACAGGCGCACAGGTGCCGCAGTAGTGCCCTCCCCAGAGAGCCGTCGCCCAACTGATCTGCGAGACGCACATGCTGGTGAAACATGAGAAGCTTCCAATGTTTCGAAACATCCGCCTTTGCCCTCCAGGAGTCCATCGTGCAGATCCCTCGGCCCTCTTCGCACTCGGCAGCACAGGAGAACGGCAAGGCAGCTGGGCCCTTGGGTACTGCCAACCTCGATACCGGGAGCTGCCAGGCTGCCAGGCGGGACGGCCAGGATAAATAGGCAAACAAACAGGACTCCGGCCTCAGCGGGTGGGGATGGTTTTGCCCCTCTGCGGAACCACCTTCCCAGGACCTCGACTACCACAACGGCTAGCAGCCAACGGATCCGAGCATCTGGTAAGCATTCGCAACTTTACTAGGCGCCGGTGTGCGATCTTGAAGCAGCTTGACCGCCTCCGGTGTGCACCTCTTGTGTGTTTACGCGTACAATCCTGTTGATGGCGAGAGCCATTTTCCTGTCCGCCGTCTCCTTTTCTTATCAATCCTTCATCTCGCGGGCCACTGTGCCGGTTCCGCATTAATGTGCTGTGCATTTGTCAGTTACTGTGCTTGGCATGACTGTTCGCAATGAATTATGCATATGCATATGCAGCAACAACTGTATCAACTTTATCTGTGAGATCTGTCTGGTGGCAGGACGCCAATTCTATTGCTATGCATCGACAATAAACAGCCAACCAAGACGCCAGGCTAATCTTGATATCCCAATGCCTCGTATATGTCCAAGCAGCGCAATATATCCAAAGGGCCAGTATATATATGTAAATGCCCATTGCCCATTACAGCGTCTCTCGTAATCTCATTACTCAGTCGATGGCTCTTCGCTGCTGCTGGCGCTTTCGACGCCCACATCTTTACCACCCTCGCTGTCGGCCGGCGCCTCGTCGCCATTGCCCGCCCTTTCGCCTCTCTTCCGATCGTCAACCCACTGTTCAACATCTTCACAGCACTTCGGCACCCGACATCTCGCACGCTCGCTCGCAGGACATGTCCGCCAGAGCGTCTCCCTCAGCTCCTGGAATACTTCGCGCTCGGCGTCCATTGCCCATATGACATCGAGATGCTCGTACTCGGGGATGACCTTGTTAAACACCAGGCGCGCATGCGGCTCGCGGCCCCGCTCGAACCGACGCAGGAGCTTATTCCCGTCTACCAGGTTGTCGCGGCCGCACACCCAGAGCGCCATTGGCGGGCTTTGCGAGTTGTACCATGCAGATGATCCCTTCGGTCTCCGGTGGTGGTGGTGGCGTGTTCGGTGTGTTGGCGAGTGCGGCTCGTTGATATGAGCCTCGGGGGGCACGGCGGCGACTGGGTTCTGAGACTCGTCCTCGTCCTCACGCTCTTCGGCGCGCCATTCCTCCTTCGTAGCGAGGATACATTTCTGCGCAACGACATTAGCCCAGGAACAGTACGGAGAATGCGTGCGCCGCCACAGGCGACGGGGAGCATTGACTCACATGTTTTGCGAAACACTCGCGCCCCAGCCACCACCTCATCGATTCTGCGCTGACGTAGACAGGAGCAAACTGGAAGTATCTGTTCCTAAGCCCGCGGTCCCACCTGATGTCCGTCCAGTCGAACAGAAAAGAGAACACTTTGTAGCCCAACCAACCGTAGAGCTTCGCGGGTAAGAGTCCATGCATGGTCAACATGATCGGTATAAAGGCGTGAATACCAAACATCATCCTGAACATAGCCGGGGTGATCACCCGCATGAATTTGAAATACATCTTCCCAATCAGCGGGCCAGCATAGGCGGCTGGTGCCAGGGCGCAGAAGACAGAGAGCTTCTCCCCCAGCTCCGGCCTCTGCTCCTTGGCCAAGGCGACGAATGTCTCGGTCGTGCCCTGAGAGTGGGCTACCAGGCCAATCTTTGAGAATCCCGTCTCGAATTGCACACGGGAGGTCAGCGCGGGCAGATCAAAGACACCCATTTGCCTGATATTCCAACACCACATGCGGGGGTCGGAGTACTCCAGCAGCACGTGCTTCGGCTTGAACCCGCAGCGATTGTTGCCGAGCCAGACGTCATATCCGGACTTGCACAGCCAAAAGGCGAGTGACTGGTCGTCGTTAACGCAGTACGCCCCGGCTGACTGCAACAGGCCGTGGATGAGCAGCACTGGGTATTTCCGCGGCGCGTTGGGGTCTTTCAACGCCCTGCCCCGCCGCTTCCCGCCCGTGAAAGGGTCGGGGCCCCGGGGTTGGCGCTCTTTGGGGTCCAATCCCACGTATTCACGAGGGTCGTAAACATGCCACAGGTCGATTACGAATCCGTCCTCGGTTTGAACACCAAATTCTTCAACGTCGAGGCCAACCCGTCGAGCGTAGTAGCCAACGTCACACTTTATTGGGTCTGGGCCACCTTCTGATGGGATATAACCGTCGTCGTTCAGCGCACTGTCGGTATCGGTCAGACGTCGCTCCTCGGAGGTGCGGTGCGTCCACTTCCGCGCTTCCTCCTTTCTTGCGTCCCGTCGGCGGACTTCCTCCTCATAAAAAGGGCGATCTTTATCGGGGTTTCGAAACGTGAGTCTGAACCAGATGCGCTTTGCGACGAGTGGGATGCTCGTAAAGAGGGACCCCAGTACTATAACTCCTAGGAACGAGAGGCTGAGGAAGAAGGAGGACACGCGGAAAGCCGAGCAATGAATGTCTCGCAGTATGGACGAGGGCCCGTAGAGAGGCAGTGGGGGGAAAAGGGGGTTGGTATGCGAGGGCGGCATTGCTCGTCGCAGGGAGCCTTCAGACGTCTTTTGCAAGGACTTGCCATTGGGCACGGGGGGTGCGGTGAAAGCTTTGTGCGCTTCGCTTGGGTCGTGGGAGCCGTGGGCCTCGGAGGTCTGGTCGGCGCCGCCATTGCTCTGTGTTTGCGCGGCTGCGGGTTGGTCCTGCTCCAGTTCCTGCTTCAGTATGTTCAATTTCTGCGCCTCTTCTAGCGGGACCCCTGGCAGCCTGTGTCCTTCAGCCGTGGCGATGACAGCGTCTCTGGGCGTGACGAAGACAGCCTGGGCGGCGACATTGTCCGAATTATCCTCCTCTGGGTTCTTGTGCGACAATTTCTGTGATTGCTTTGCGAACTCGACGGCGGAGTGGACCAAGGGCGTCGAGCTCGGGCCGGCTGTGTTGTTACCTGTCATCGCTGTCGGTCGTGCTTGCGACGGGAGTGAAGCAAGCCAGAGAAGGGCGAAAGGATCAAGGGCAGCCAAGGGGTCGAGAGTGAGGAAAAGGCAGTACAGTGAAAGCGCGCATAAATTTGGAAAGACGTCATGGAATATATATACAAAGACTATTGTTCTTTAGTTCAGGAACTGGCGTCGGTCGTCTAACGCGATGGTCTAGCTGCGCAAAGAGAAGAAGAAAAAAACCCTGACTACCCTAGAAGATAGAACTAGAGGGACCTGGACCACTCGGGTGGGTAGCCTATACTGGATCAGTGAGGGACGGTTTAAAGGTGAGAAGGCACGCTGAAATGGCACGAGGGCGGCGCTCGAGAAGAGCGCGTGACCGTGGTATGTGATAGTATGGGGTAAGGAGAGGGCGTCGTCCGCAATACAGTGTAATGGTTGGTCCATGGTGAGAGATTCAGCCCCCGCGTCATCATGCAGGGGTGATCACCGAAAATTTGCAGGCGGCTCGACTCGATGCCGCTAGTCATACATGGATCTCAGGCATGTGAAGATGAAGCCACACTGGCGGCGGTGTAATTATCCATGAGACAGAGCAGAACAGAGTGGAATAGGACGGAAGATCCACCACTGCTGGAGATGTCAGCGAAGGGAATCATGGTTTTGCATCTGGTGTCGTTGTGATGTTGCCGTCAGTGTCTTGCAGTGTCTGCTGCCACTTGCAGTAGTCAGGTCGGACGCACGACCAAGTAGGTTGCTGCACGTTGCAGAAAGCAAGCAATTCGCATAGAGAAGATGAACATGTCCCAGTTGGGATGGATCGAAGTTGAGTTTGTGAAGATAGATAGATTGTTACCTATACATGGGTATGGGCCGTGGCCTTAACAAGGTTGCCTACAGATGCAACTAAACACGGACACTTGCCGGTCGGCGCGGCTTGGAGTTGGGTTGGGGTTGGAGTCGGCCGGCTGCCCATTCTGCAGCCCGCTTGCCGAGGTTCTCCAGGAGAATCGGCAGGGGTCCACGGCCCTCGTCAACGTGCCTCCGCGCCGAAATAATCGACTCCGACACGACCTGTTGCATGTCTGTCCTGCCTGCAGCACAATAACTTGGCCTTGGAGACCTGCGCGCGCCACCAGCTTGGTCGAACGAAGTCGAATGCGCCGTGTTATATGCTGCCCCATCTCCTGCCCCCATCCTCAAGCAAGATCATGAGCTCCCGATAGGCAAGCTCCATAGCTGTGCGCTGCGGGGCCGAACGTCCATCGCCGTCCTCCAGGTCAAGCGTCTTGCCATACTGGAGCTGCGACTCCCTCGGTTCCTCCCTCCACCCATCCCTCTCTTGCTCATAACATCTGGCGGCTATGTCTTCGCTGGCACCAGTCGACCTGTCCCATTCCCATCGGAAGCGCAAGAGGAGGCGGAGGAACGACAAGCCTGCCATTGCTGCCCGCCTTGTTCTCGACGACCATGTCAAGGGCGACGTTGGGATCTTATCCGAGGACTTGTTTGCCGACCTGTTTCCACACTTGAATTATGGTAGCTCTTCCTGACTCCATCCCCGCCTGGTACTCTCTCGCTAACAAGGGTTCCTTCCGCTGAAGACACCGAACATGACCAAGACGCCGCCCTCGTCCCCGATGTGCTCCATGTTGCTCTGGCCCCATGGGCGCCCAATGCCTCTGCAGAGACCACCAACTGGACCATAGTTCCTGTCACCCAGTCTTCCGCCCTCGCACACTCGACTCTCCAGTTTTCTCCCTCCTCCCTGGCCCTCCAGAGCTTCGCGACCACCCTTCAACAAGTTGCACCATCCAAGCTGTCCAGCCACAGCCGAAGCGGAATTGAGATACTGGTTCTGGATGTGGTGGCTTTGTCGCTGGATACCGTCTTCGTGAGCCTCGAGGGTGAGCTTGCGAAAAGGTTGGAAGACGGGGAAGGCACCTTCTTCCGGGACCATCCAGATGTCACATCTGCCCAACTTAAGGGCAAAGGCTCCGCAGCCGAATCGTCCCCAGAGGGTCGTCTAAAGACGGCCATACGCATTGCTCTTGGTACATTGAAAGTTGTTCATGCTGGAGACCTGTTTCCGCTACCTCTATCGCCCCACGCCATAACTCACGTGCCACCGAACCCAGGCAAGGTTACGCTTTGCGAGCCAGTTGCTCAAGGTATCTTGTCTCCGTCGACTAAGATCATCGTGTCCAGAGGTCGCATTCACTCCAAGGACAGCCGTGCTCCTTCCGCTATGTCTTCGTCTCAGAAGCTTAATGGGCTCGCCGAGGATGACGACGACACTGCAAACGATCAGTTTTACTCAGCAGCTGAGGAGCGGTATAGGACGGGGACCGAGGTTCAGACTGAAGAATCTGATGTCATTACTGAGACTGAGGAATCAGAACTTTCCTTGGACGAAAACGATGATTTATCAGATGATTCAATGGATGACATGATCTCCCTTCAGGCCCCAGCCTTACCCGCAACGGCTGCGAGCGGTGTGTCTACAATCGCTGCTGGCACGCCAATGACGCTGGGCCGTGGGCGAAAGACCAATGGTGTAAGCACGCCTGGTTCAGTCTTCTCGACCTTCACTGCCACTACTGCCAGACTCGATCGACCTCGTGGGCGGCTTTTCAAAGCACAGGGTCTTATGAAACCCATTCCTCCAGAGCTCCTGCATCCGAAGGTTGTCCCCGCTGACGATGAGGAGGCGCGTGTATATGTCGACATTAGCAATTTGACCAGAATTGGCTGTTTCTCTGGCGACTGGGTGAGGCTGGAACCCGCGCAGGAACCACCTGTGAACGGTTTTGGCCAATTTGGCCTCGGGAGCTTTGGCGACATAGGCCAGGATGAGCCAGATTGGCGACCTGTCAGGGTCTTCGGGCTGCCAGAGGGGTATTCGCAGCGGCCTGTGACAAGAATTGTACACTCCAAAAATGAGGGAAGACGACCCTCGTTCTTTGAGTCGCAATTACAGAAACCGTCAAGCCCTGCGGTATATGTTTCACCAGTTTTGTTGGCGAATCTTGACGGCCCAGCCTATCTGCGCATCGCACCTTTGAAAAGGGGCTCTCCCGTTCTGGCGAAGAACCCCTTGTCCAAGCTGACAGGCTCGTCGCAACCACCTTACGCTCGCGAGGTTACCCTGAGGCATGTACGAACTCCCAAATCGGTCGAGAGAGACGTACAAGCAGCCGTCATGGCTGGTGTCAAGTGCTACTTCGAAAAGAAATCGAGAATAGTCAAGATTGGTGACTTGATCGCATTTCCCATCGACACGCAGCTTGGAAGAACACTCCAGGAGTCCGGCACGGATAACCTCGCTGTTGATGATATCTTGTCTTTGGCAGCGTCAAATCCGACCAATCGAAGACAAGGCCTCAACTATGACGAGGTGGTCTGGTTCAAGGTCACCCATATCGTTAATATGAAACGTGAAGGCTCTGAGGAAGAACCTGAAGAGGATACATGGGGCTCAGTCGCATGTATCGATGTATCAATGACACTTTTACGACAGACAGGTTCTGTGACCAGTCGCATACCGGGCGTCAAGGACAGTACGTGGAGGTATTATCTTGGCCTGAGAAAGCCGCCAGATCGAGCTTTTCAGTCTCCACCCACAGCAATCACGGAGCCAGAGCGGCCCCAAGTTTCGCCCCTGCGGAACCGCTTGCGTGAACTTCTGGCAGCAGCAACTAGCCAGAGGGCTATGCAACTAAAAATGCCACCACTAGCGATCTTACTGGTTTCCACTCAGAGAAACATTGGGAAAGCCACCGTTGCTGGCGATGCATGTCTCGATATTGGTCTTCACACTTTTGTGCTAGATGCATATGATATCGTCAACGACGCAGGTTCGGGAGGCAGCGATGTCAAAACGGAAGGCTTTTTGAAGAGCCGGGCCGAGCGGGCCATGAGCTGCGGCCCAGAATCTTGCGCTTTGCTGATCAGGCATATCGAAGCTCTTACCGCGGACAGGATGGTATCGTCAATGAAAGAGATTCTGGCTGATGCCAGAGTGGTTATCGCTACTACGACCGAAGTGGATAAAGTCCCCGATGGAGTAAGAGGACTGTTCACCCACGAACTCGAAATGAGAGCTCCAGACGAAGGCGAGCGAGAAGTGATACTGAGGAGCATCATCGATGACCGAGGCATTTCTCTCGGCCCTGATGTCGACTTGAGCAGTGTCGCACTCAAGACTGCCGCTTTAGTCGCAGGTGATCTGGTCGACGTCGTCGACCGGGCTTTGGTTGCTCAGCGGTCACGCCTCGAGAAGCTCACCTCCCAAGCGATGGATACGAGCACCAGGCTCACAGTCCGTGATATACAAGTCTCCGGCGGCGCTTCTTCACGCGGCCTGACACCGGCTGATTTCGACATCGCTGTGGAGGCTGCGCGCAAGAACTTCGCAGACGCCATTGGCGCACCAAAGATTCCCAACGTGACATGGGATGATGTTGGCGGTCTAGAAAACGTGAAGGACACCGTTTCAGAGACCATTCAACTGCCTCTCGAGCGGCCTGAGCTGTTCGCCAAGGGCATGAAGAAGCGCAGTGGCATTCTATTCTACGGACCGCCAGGCACTGGCAAGACGCTGCTTGCGAAGGCCATTGCAACAGAGTACAGCCTGAACTTCTTCAGTGTGAAGGGTCCCGAGCTGCTGAATATGTACATTGGTGAGTCGGAGGCCAACGTGCGGCGGGTGTTCCAGAGGGCAAGGGACGCCCGGCCGTGTGTAGTGTTCTTCGATGAGCTGGACTCCGTGGCGCCAAAGAGAGGCAACCAAGGAGACAGCGGCGGTGTCATGGACCGCATTGTGAGTCAGCTTCTGGCTGAACTGGACGGGATGTCAAGCGGCGAGGACAGCGCTGGAGGAGTGTTTGTCATCGGCGCCACCAACCGGCCGGATCTCTTGGACTCGGCGCTGCTGCGGCCCGGGCGATTCGACAAGATGCTGTACTTGGGAGTGTCCGACACTCATGAAAAGCAGCTGAGGATTCTGGAGGCGCTGACGCGAAAGTAAGTGGGCACCATAGTTTCACCCGTCCGAACATGAGGACTGACCATTCATCTACAGATTTACCCTCCACCCCACAGTCACCCTGCGCGCCGTCGCCGAGAAGCTGCCATTCACCTACACAGGCGCAGACTTCTACGCGCTATGCAGCGACGCCATGCTCAAAGCCGTGACGAGACAGGCCGGCAAGGTGGACGCCAAGATCAAGGTTCTCAATGCCGAAGCCGAGGCCGAGGGCAAGAAGCAGACCATCTCGACGGCCAACTTCTTCGATCACTACGCCACGCCGCAGGATGTGGCCGTGATGGTGACCGAGGAGGACTTCATGGACGCGCACAGGGAGCTCATTCCCAGCGTAAGCGCGGGCGAGCTGTCTCACTACGAACGGGTCAGGGCCACCTTCGAGGGCGGGCGGGAAACCAACGGCGGGGCGAGCACCAATGCGGAAAAGCAGAGGCCTATGCCTCTCAACCTCGGGCAGAGGACGGTGTCGACTGCCTCGCAGCGAAGCGCGAGAGGCAAAGGAAAGTCTGTGGCTGCTGGCAAGGGAAAAGGAAAGGCTGTCGCCCAGGGGAGTGACGGTGAGGATGCCGAGTACGAGGATGACTACGGGGTTGCAGCCCAGGACGAAGATGAAGGGGATGGGCCGAACGGGATCAGCAGCAGGAGTAAGGGGAAGGGAAAGGCGGTTTCTGGGTTCCAGGACGGCACGGCGAGTGATGATGAAGGACTGTATGACTGAGTATCCTTCGGACTGGGCTTGGTGTCTGTTTTTCCGGAAAAGTACATAGGAAAATGGCGACCGTGTTTATATAGCTCAGAAAACATTTTGAGTCTGGGCATAAAACGTCTTTTACCGTGATCCACAGTTTGCCCGGATGGTGTGTGCTTGATACAACTCTGCTACCCCAATCTGAGTATGTTGATCTCCAGGTTTATTGTCACTCCCTTCCAAGATAATTGCTGCAATACACACCTGTTGATGAAGAGCCTACCTGCTGAGCGCTCTATTCCAGCCTCGGGCATTGTCAGAGTCCAGAGTTCATAAGGGTTGACAGCAGGCACACGGTATGAGCATTCTGAGTATGAGTCCAAACATGGAGTGTTAGCTTGCTTTAAGCTCACATTAATGACAATCTGGGGAGGCCAATTGGTGACTCTGACGACTTATAAATCATCACTGTCCCAGGCAGATGCACCTTACCTGCTCAATCCAAAGCACACATAAAACTTGCCACATTGCCATACTCCTTGCCACTGATCCTCAACATCAGTTGAACACATCTGTACTGTACTAGGATTGTGCTGCAATCCGGCAATCTGATTGACCTGCAATGATCATGCCTTGCTTCCCTCCGCCACCTCCTCCTTTTCGACCTCACCAGCCGGGTCCGCTACAGCGTCCTCCTCCGGCTCAGGCTCCTCCTTAATAGCCTCCCGGTTCTCGATTCTCTCGATCTCCTCAGCGCTCGCACTCTCCACCCTGGCGCCCGCGAACGTCTCCTCCGCCGGCGCCTTCCACGTCGCCGTCGTAGGGCTCTGCACCGTGTGCAGCGCCGCGCCCAGGCTTGCGTCCCCGCTGTTCTTCCACGCGCCGCTGGTGGGCGACTGCAGGCCTGCGCCGGTGGCGGACGACGATGCGGACGCCGCGACGGACAGCTGCGACATCTCCTTTGTCGGGGGATCTGCGGACGCCCCGGTCGCTGTGCTGGGAGATGCGGCGGCCTGCTCGTCCTTGGTCGCCTCCCCTTCCTCGCCGCCTGCCTCCGCCTTCTTGCCGTGGACCTTCTCCCTGAGCGCCTCCAGCTTGGCCTTCTTCGCCTTCTGCGCGGTCTCCTTGGCCTTCTGTGCCGCCTCCTCCGCGACGCTCCTCGTGGCGGCCTTTACCGTATTGTTGTTGGACGAGTTCTTGACGGCCTGGGCGATCTTGTTCGCGTTCTGCTCCGCGGGACTCTTGACCCGCTCGGGGGGCGGCGGTGGGTTAAGCATGGCGGGCGGGTAGGGCGTCTTGTCCTCGGGCTGCTTGTACTTGGGCACGGGGGCGACGGCGCCCTTCTTGGGCTGGGTGAACTCGTCGTAGTAGATCTTGACGTGCTGCTTCAGCTCGCCGTACTCGTTCCACTCCTCGATCTCGACAATGTCCTAGGCCGCAGAGATTGGGTGTTAGCTAGCCATCCTAACCAAAGCGATTGAAGTGATGAGGGAGCTGTAGAGGCGGCTGGGCAGACTCACGCCGAGCACGATGCCCGTCTGCACGAGCCCCGGCAGCTTCCGCGGCCGGCCGTCGGCGGCCTTGCCTGCGCGGCGGCCCCAGAGCATGCGCGCCTTCTCATCGGTGGCGACGTCGATGGCCTTGAAGGGCACGCGGTTGGCGCGCAGGATGGTCTCGAGGCGCGAGGTGGCTGTGATGATGTGCCTGTTCCCGGCGGTCAGGGAGGTGTAGATGTACAGGGCCGGGTCGGTGCTGTAGTTCTTCGCGCCGGCTTTCCTGACTGTCTTCTTGACTGGGGCCTTAGCCGGGGCCGAAGCATCGGCCGAAGATTCTGCCGGCGTCTCTGCCGGCGTTGAGCCCTGTGCTGGTGGTTCTTGGGCTGGAGCTGCTGGAGCCGGTGTCGAGTCTGGGACAGCTGAGCTGCTGGTTGCTGCTGCTGCAGGTTCCTCGGACGCCATGGTGGGTGGTCTGGTGCTTTCTGTGGGCTCTCGTGGAGGCCAACGGATGGTCCTGAGATGGTCCTGGGGTCTGGGGTTGTCGCTGGAAACGTGGCACTTCGTTGATGTTCCTCTCAGGGCGGTCAATGTTTGGAATGGGGGGGCAAGGCAGATGGACCAGGGTGGGATGGGACGGAGGCACGCGGAGGGGCCACTTCAGAGACAGAAAGCTCTGGGCTTAGAGAGATCAGAGGTGGCCGGCCTCAGCGTATGAGCGTATGAGGGTGTGGATCCTACGTTTCACCAATGGGCCCGGCCAGCGGTGGTGGCCACTGGCTGAAAGAAAGATACGATCTGCAATTGCTCAGCTCTCCCCGCCAAAGCTATGCTAACACTGGGCTGCAACTTTTCGTTGCAAGAAGACAATTCCATATGGCGTGAGTCCTGTCTTCTGCTGTCCTCTGATTGCCTTATCGATAGTATGACGTACTCAGGGGTCCAAATTGTCAACCTCGGCACACCCTGGGAATGTCAACCTGCACTACATCCCCGGTACAACTGGACGACCACATGGTCAGGTGCGTGTCACTCGGCATGGTAGAAGCTCATCAAGACAATGTGCCGTGGCGACCCGGCGTGGCCGATGTACGGGCTTTCATGAGACATTTCGAGATATTTGCATGAAAGCCACTTTCTTGGAAGTGGAACAACCTTTCCATTACTATGGCCCTCCACCTGGGTTCGAAGGGACCACAATGTGTGTGAGGTTAACTAGAGGGGCTTTCAGCACAAAGCCCACAAGCAGCAGGTGCTGCATCTTTCCATTCAGAGGCACTGGATGCGAGCGAGGGATCTCCTGTCGTATTGTTGAGTTTGCGTAAGACCAATACACCAACAAGACATATTGTCCCCAGAGGGGCTCGCTGTGATAGTCGCAATCATGCCATGCATGTGCCACTTCGAGGCTGCGGTTACATGTTGGTTTCTGCGAAGTGATATAAGACCATGTCCACAAATATTGGATACGTCTCTCTGCCTTGCTGGCATCGTTCTGCAACACTTTCGAATATCTAGATCAGCTTTTGGGTCCAACATGTGCCTGGTAGTTCCTCCTAAAAAGGGCTCAAAGGGGCACAAAACCGCCAAATCGAAGAGCACCGTCCAGGCCAAACCTACCGCCGTCCCTGCTAGACCCACATACAGCCGGATGCCTCAGTCCAAACCCTGCATTTCTCCAGCGGCATCTGCCGTATGTCAAACAGAGTGCCTTCTCGACTTCCTCAAAGAAAAATATCCAGCGGACAGCAGCACCTGGGAACAGTACAGCCACAGCCTTGGTCTACGCCACTTGGATGAGCGTGTCCATTCACAGTTTGACCAGGCCAAATCTGCGACCGAAAATGTCGGAAAAGGTGTCAAGGCAATCCAGGAGCGCCTAGACCAGATGGGAGAGACCCTAAAGGGAACAGACGAGGCTGCCAAAGCAGCCAAGGATTTTGGAGAGGAGACGAAGAAGAGACGCTCCGCGAAGGCGGACGAGCAGAGGAATATGAGAGAAGAGGCGGCGAAGAGCGAACTTGAGCGCTTGAAGGGGCTGGTAGTGAAGCAGGAAAAAGAGAATGAGGAACGGAAGAGCAAGCAGGCCCAGAAGAAGGGTCTCGACGAGGCGGATGTCCTGAAGTTGCTTGATGAGCGCGACATGCGGCGGGAGTTGGAGAGACTGAGAGGTCTCCAGCAAGGGGCTGCGCCGGAGCATGACAAGGACTGCCTTAAAGAGGTTGACCTTCTCAAGATTCTTGATCAACGAGATCATGAATGGGAGCATGCCAGACTTCAGGCGCTCGCGAGCCAAAGAGCAACGGACGTCAAGCAGGTGAGTGATTGGAACACCAGGGTGACGGGCGTCATCACCATCTAACACCGTCCTCCCTTGCGAGCTCCCATCCACCGACCACCAGCCAATGGGAATTAACCCTGTTGCAGGACGATATAAAGACGCAGGAAGTCCGATTCCGCGAAATATTGGAGGAGAACGAACAACGAAAAGAGTTTGAGAGACTTAGGGCTTTCGAGGCGGAAGCACTAAGACATGGAACCGGTGGCCATTCGAGGCCAGGCGACACAGCAACCGTGAGCCTTACAGACATCGAACGAGTAATCGAGGAGATACTGTTGAGGCATGACCTGGCCCGACGCTTTGAGGAGAGCTCCAACACTCTGGGGAGCGGGCGGAGACGGGACACATCGCCAGCAACTGCACCCAACCGCGAAGCCGAGACCCAACGCACGATCGATCAGATCTTAGAGACGCTCCTGCAACGCCGGCATATCGACAAGGCGACGGAGTTGTTGGAGCGCCTGCTGCACAAGACAGAGCACGACAACCACAGCGACCGCCACTGGATCCTGACTGAGGTCCTTGGGTCTATAGAGGAGTACCTCCTGCCCGAGCAGCGTTACGGCGAGTTCATGCGGCCTGGACTTTATCACCGTTATCACCTGGATGGAATGAACTGCGGATTTGGTTGTGAAGTGCCAGGAGCGCGCTCTCACCCCCACAACATCCGTACCTCGCCTCCTTCTCCATATCGCCAGCCCGGTCCCGGTCCGTCAGGCCGCTGGCAGCCGATGCGCCCTCGGCCTCGAGTCGTGAGACCCACCACGCGTCCCTGGGAGCCAGAGGCTCAGTGCTGGCACGGGAGTCCACATTTCTGAAGTTTCACGTCCTTTGCAGAGCAACATGGAGACCCTGCTCCATGTGCAGTGAGCTAGGCTGGCATCGTGACCCGTCGGCAGTGCTGGTTTCTCCTCGGCCTGTCACGCGTCTGGGCAGGGGTCGGATAGCCGAGTCGATGTGGGAGAACGTTCTCTGTGCGTCGCCGAACTTTTTGTAATACAGCTGCGGTGCTTAGCCGGAGGGCTCGACCTGCGTGGAGACAATGGAGAGACCGGAAGGTGGTGGGCCTGACCGCTGTTTGAGACGGCCCGTTTTGGGCAAAGCATCCGACGTCGTCCTCAATGGTACTATAGTGGCATACAAAACACCTCCTGGGCTCAGACCTGGACTTTGTAGAATAGGAGTCGGTGGGGTGGTCCCAAGCCCGAGGGAAATTGGAAATGGGGTTTCTCCTGCGCAGACACCACCGGCCGACCTTTGCGACCTGAGCACGACGGTCAAGCTCGGGCAGAAGCTTAAACGCGTGCGTCAAGCTTTATCGGAGGTCTGAGGCCTGATTGTCTCTTAGTGGCGTCTTCTCTATCAGTTGGCGTCGGACAAAACACTCCTGGTGCGACGTTGTCTTGGACGATACACATCCTGTGCGACCGTCTGCTGAGGACAATACGAAGAGCCATGCAGCTTGGCTGGCTCTGCCGTGCGGAGGAATGGTTCTATTCATGCTTCGATTCCGCCATTATCGTTAGTCCTGGCCTATTGTCGTGACCAGTGGAGATCGTCCTGTCACCCAGAAGGTGAACGACGGTCTTTCGAGCCGGGGTGTCACGGTGTAAGTTTTGCCACCTTGATGTGTTGTCAGTCATCATGCAGACATCACACGCTCTGGACTCCTCCAGACGCATGGTTCCAAACTCTCACCGACAGCAGAAGCAGGCTTGCAGGCTTGCAGGCTTGCAGGCTTGCAGGTTGGCCCCCAGCGGCCGTCAGTGACCATTCGCCATTTATTAATATGGCGCATTGGTCGAGTCAATGTCGGCGTCTTTGGGGTCTGACTTTTCGCCATGCCTCCTGGCATCGGACCCTTGTCGTCTGTATCCTCAGGGCTTGCCGATCTGTATATCGATGGCCAATAGGCTTGGTTTGTTCCTGAAAAAGATGGGCCTGCGCCGCATGGGAAACCCCAGGACCCATCTTCAGTACCACGATACCCTCCTCCCATTAAGGTAGTGGATTCCCAAATGCAGGGCTGGCATTGGCCAGACCATCTCGAGTCCCACTTGCCTGACAACGTCAACCCGCTCGGATGAAATTGCGCGCTTCCTCCTGCGATGGGCCGGCTCACCTCTTGCCGTACAATGCTCCAGACAAACAGACAACGCAGGAAAAGGAGGCGCACCTGCCCCCGTCCCTGCCCGCCCACATGGCCCCTGCTGCCCCATCCCACGCGGCCGCAATATCAACCTCGTCGTCTTCCCTGCCTCGGCCGTACGTCCTTTCTCTTTCTTTCCCCAGCCAGCACCCTCAAATACACTTGCTCAGCTTGCCTCGCGCAGCATTTCATTCGCTATAACTCACGACTCTCGACGGACGCTTCAGAAACGCACGACGACAAAGACCACTCTGACTCATTCGACTCAGTCGCGAAAATCTCCCGATAACAACAACAAGTCAAAGACATCAGATCACAACCCACATCCTCCCTCAAGATGCAGATCTCAAACATCCTCTTCACTGTCCTGGCCGCCGGTGCCTCAGTCGTCTCCGCCCAGGACTCGACCACCGTCCTGACTACCTCCCTGACAAAGAGCGTCACCCTCACCAAGGTCTCGGCGACCGCCAGCAGCAGCCTGATCTCGTCCGCTGTAGCCAACACGACCGAGCCTGTCGCAACGCCAACCACTTCCACCTACTTCCCCCTAGGCAACTCGACCGTCCCCTACCAGTCGGGAACCGGTGTCCTGCACACCTCCACCAGGGCCTCTGCCACCGCCACCGACTCGTCTGGCGAGACCGGCAGCGCCACCGGCTCGGCTGCCGCGAGCTCCTCCAGCTCTGCCGCCGCCGCCGGCGCGCAGACCCTGCAGGGTGGCCTGCTCCTGGGCGCCCTGGGAGCCGTGGCCATGCTCGTCTAAGGGGATCGCCGATGGGAGGGGGTTCCTTCTGTCACCTTAACCACATTGGGCTTGCTAGCTAGCTAGTCGGCCGAATGCAGCTCAGGCATCGATTTAATATTTCGCTTCAGCCTTCACGTCAGCCATGGGGTCAATGATAAGCGTTTTTCTAATTCTCGAGGGGACGAGACGATTGGGGGTTATTCTTGGTCGGCGGGCAGGGGAGAGGAACGACAAGACTTGTGATACCACGATGCATCTTTTTTCTTTGCCTCCTTTTTTATTTGTTTCTTCCCATCTATCCTTCTTGTTGGATTCATCATCAGTTGGCTACTGGCTGGCACGATCCTACCTTTTTTCGACGGAAATTGGACTATAACTCGCCATAGAACGCTGGAAAAGAGAAAAGTTTTTGGTCCCGAGCACCTGGTCACCTGGGGAGGGGGAGGGGGAATCGTCACGGAGATATACGACGGCGGCAAAGCAGTTCATGGGCTTCATGTTGCATAGTTTAGTAACATTCTCCACAGCGGGATTGAACATATTGCACTCGACACGAAATGATGATCTGCTACTGAGGCTGTCTGGGCTTGCCCACTCACTCGCTATTGTTGCTCCTCGTGCTTTGGGCATGTCTTAAAGTTAATTCACCTTGGCGCCAGTACCCAAAGTCCATCTCAATCGGGAGCTCGCCGGGGACCTGATACATCTGCTACGCCTCAGGTGCTCGGTTGCGTCGAGGGCTGGCGGGTCAGAACGGCGAACAGGGACCTCCTTGCTCGATGAGGCATCTGAGATCCATTCGGCAATTACTGTGGGCTCGATGCGACACGTTGGGTCGTTGGGAGGCGGAAGGCGCAACGTCATGTGCTATACTGCGACGACCTACAGGTACCTACCTACCTAGGTACCTAAGATATGAGGTGGTTTAGTCGCACCTGCTTCTCTGCAATGGTAGCTCCTTCTCGACACATCTTCTCTGCTCTCGCTGTTGACAGGCTGGCAAATTTCTGTTATCATCTGGCTGCCCTGTCTATCTCTAAATCTCTGTCCCCAGGCCAGAGACATGCAACGCTGCCGTGCACACGGCCTCTCTTGAATATCAAACGCGAACAAACCAGTACTTGCAGCGACTGAAAGGCGAGTTGACTTCCTTCCCTCGACCCTCACCATAGACGGAAGTTGCAAACACCCTCCCGTGCCGTCCATATCGAAATCCTGATCTGGGAGAAGACCAACCAGCCAATTTTCTCACGATTATCTCCCACCATGTACATACTGCCTTTCGCTTAGGATTCCTAGAGCACTTCTCCAGCAACCCTTTCCTCGTTCCTTGATCTGATCTAGATGTCCGAGTGGTCGAACTCCTGATGCACAGTCATGTCCCCAAAAGCCTGGGCGAGGCAGCTCTCCTTCCTAATATTCGTTTTGCCAGGCAACCAGATCCTTGTGTAAGCTCAGCAGCTACACATATCCTCGTCCAGAAGTTTGCCAATCAGTCGTTCGGTCGGTCGGACGGACGCGCGCAGATTCGTCCTGTGCTTCCGGATATTTGCGCATGGTTCGACGCCGGCAGATCCGTTGATCTCATTCCCTCTTCCCTAGAGAGTGGTCGGGTGAGGACACTTATTCGCTTTGCACAGATCGCAGAGGTCTACACCGGACGTTGTTCTATAAGGACAACCGAGGGGATGGTGGTCACACCACTTATCGCTCATTGTGTGCGGTGGGTTGTCTCCGGGGTGGATCTCTACTGCGGCGGGCTTGTGCCTGGCTAAGTTGTGATCAGTCACGACATACTTGTGCATGATGGGCCCACGACCTACTGACTGATATAGGTGGAGAGCAATCGTGAAACGACAAAAAGGTGACGGTGCTAGCCTCGTCGGAGTAACGAAGCCTCTGGGGAAAGCGTTGCGATCTATCGAAGGCACGAGGCTCCTCGACCAGGAAAATGTTCTCACATATATCAGGGATTGAGACCCCTGTCGTCGACTGAGCTTGGGCCCTTCATCCAATCCGACATGTTGTACCTGGCAGTGTGGGTGTCTGATGGCGCAGGTGACCAGTGTCAGGACGGCAAATTTCCACATCCTGCAGACCACGGTACGACATGGGACAGCCTGAAACGCACGCATCCACGGCTCTTTGCCCCAACAGCTCGGTACGCGAATCCCTTCTCGAGGGGCATGGGCTGCTCGTGGCGCGGGCTTGCAAGGGAAGAAGGCACGCGCCGCCCCGCGAGGGTAAAAGACAGGCCGGCGGGCAGCTCTCCTCGCCTAGAGGAACTTGGCACGGCAGCGATGTATAGGAGCAGCCCGAACATGCCCACGCCATCCTCGGCTGTATGGCCAGATACTCGGGATTCACAGCTGCTGACGACACGCAGTAGCTGACATTGGACATCCAAGACAAGAGTCCCCAGGTGGCTGTGGGCTGAGGAACCTCGACGAGGCAATCCATGCTCGGGAAATCCTGCCCATGCTCAACACGCATACAACTAACGCGGCAGAGCCAACCACTATCGCTGGATGGCACCGGCAGGTTTTTTGCTTTTGCTTTTTGGGCGCAGAGAGGCGCGGTGTCGGGGTCCTCGACATTCCCTCTTTTGGACCGACCAGCATTGCAGATCGGCGGGCGGGTCCAATGGTCCTGCCGTTCGTCAAAACTTCAATACGATATGGCACTTGTACACAACAAGCGTCGTTAATCAGATCCTACGGTGGTATCAGGATGAGTAGCGGTGAACCTTGTGCCAAGTAAGGTTTGAGGGTAGAGGGCGAATACCCGATTTGGCGGGCCCCCTTTCGCGCTCTGCATACCCGTGATTTTGTTATGCAGGACGCAGGGAAAGAGTCGCGGGTACATTGGAGGTTCTGGTGGCCATGATGGTGTGAGGGCCCATATGTGAGTTGACCGGTGAGTCTCAGCGCCTGCTATCGTTAACGCTCGTTGACGAAGGCGGGCAATGCCAGCCGACGGGTCCAAAGCGCCGGCATCTCCTGTCGCTGTCCCATGTCGCAACGGCCGTAACGTGGACGGTGAGCGCCGTGCCGAAACAAGATTTTTGCTCGAGGATCTCCGGGTCGTCCCATTCCTTCATCTATCTATTGAGATGGGGCAGGCTATACGGTTCACCCAGAGCGTTCGGGCCGTCCCTCTGCGCCACTAGCTCAGGCCGTCTATTGTTTGGATGGTTCAACGGCCACAGCGATCACACCTCGTACTCAGGCCAATCCCTGGGAATGCGGCTCGCACCCAGGACGCGGCCGGGAGTTGGGCAGAGACATAATCGGGGAACACGAGCACGAGCTGTCAGCATTCGGGTCTCGAGAGGCGGGAGGAAAGCGCTTCATGTTTCAAGAGAGGGAGGGCTGCTCTCTCTTTGTCCCGGTTCCACGGTACAGTGAACCCACCGCGGTGGAGACGAGTGTCTGGCGTGTCGGTGCTACGCTACAATATACCTGCTCTGTGTGCGTGTGTTTGTGTGTGTTTGTGTGTGTGTGTGTGTGTGTGTGTGTGTGCGCGCGCGCGCGCTGCGGCGGAGTAGCCATGAGCGTAAGGGAGAGACGTTGTGGATATCGTTCGTACAAAACAATGCACAAAGCACGTGGACAGCGAATGACGTGCAGGTGCTTTAGAGGCTTCTTCTCTCCTGCCGGTTCTTGAGTGAGTCTAGCGTGGCCCGTCACGCGGCCTGGTTTTGGGTCGAGGGCGGCGACCTGGTTACACTGCGCGTGCGAGGGCGTCGATAACCTGGTGATGGTGAGTTTTGGTCGTCCTCTAGTCTACTGACCAGGAGGCGCCGCACCGGACTCGCATGCGGTGCTGGAATGGGGTTTTCAGCGGGCCGTTTCAACCACGATGCGACAAGCTGAGTGGCGCTCATTCTTGCAGCACTGGAAACTCTGCCTCTCCCTCTCTCGGTTGAAGCCAAACCTGGGAGCTGAGTGGTTGTGACATGGGGCCCGGGACGTCTGAGCGGAGAAATAAACGTGGGAAGAAATTGAGGACTGACTCGAATGAAAAAGGCCCGGTGTTACAAGTAGTCGAGATGCACCATGGACAATCTCCAGAGGGGCCACGAATGGGCATGGAGCTGCAGCACATGGGAAATAACCAAGGAGCGTCTCTGTGGTAGCCAAAGTATAAACAGATGCGGCATGTGAAACAAAGTGTTGGCGAATCACTATAGCCCGGGCCCTAGCTGCAGGCGATGGACCCCAGCACCTAACTTCCTAGGGTACTAGGAGAAGACCCTTGGTCCTCGGGAGGCTGACCTGCATGCGGCACAGTGGATTGCAGTGACGAATTGGCCCCCTCTCCGCCCTCCCGGGTCAGGGTTCCGTGCTGACATCACTGCAACGTGATGGCACGATCCTCCAGATCCCAACCTATGAATCTACAACGCTGGCCACCTCAGCTCAGCCCAGCCATTTGATGACCGCAGCAGGCGGCCAGGCGGGAGGCGGAGTCGGAGGCCGCACCACTCGGTCGCGGCCTCTGGCCCAGGCCGGCTGGCCCGTAACTGTGACTGTTAGAGATCCAAAGGCTGGTTGGTTCAGCTGAGGGGTGAACCTTGCCTCCCGAGGGACCCTGGAATGGGCGCTCTTTGAAGGGGGCGCATTCGCATTCACTCGTCATGCCGCAATCTCGGCTGCTTCCTGTCGGCCGCCCGCGTGACTGGCCTGACGTGACGTGACGGCCCTTGCCTCTTATAACCCGATCGCTGATCGCCAAATCGCATGCTTGGTCCCTTCTTCCCCTGCCACCTTCGCATTCCTTGGCACCCAATCGCACACTGCATCACCCTACCAACCTCTTTTGCGAATAGCAATAAGAAGAACATCATGTCTGCTAACGATTACTACTCTGGCGGCGGCGGCGGCCACCAGCCAAACCAGTACGGTGGCCAGGGCTACGGACAGCAGGGCCACAACCTCCAGCAGGTATGCGACATCCCCTCTACCATTGCCCATGTGCAGGCGCCGCAGAAATCACAGAACCTGAGCTGACACTCTCGGGCCTCCAGGGCTACGCCCCTCCTTCGCACTCCCCCTACAACCAGGGCGGATACAACCCACCTCCCCAGCAGAGCTACAACCAGTACGGCGGAAGCCCCGCTCCTTACCAGCAGCAACAGCAGCACCAGGGCTACGGCGGCCCCCAGCAGTACCCACCCCCGCAAAACCAGTACGCCCCTCAGCAAGGCCACCAGCAGCAGCAGTACGGCCACCCGCAACAGGGCGGCTCCTACGGCGGGGACGCGCCCCAATATGGCCAGCACGGAGGAGGCGCCCCGGGCCAGCACGGGCAGCAGGACGACCGCGGCCTGATGGGCACTGTTCTGGGGGCCGGCGCGGCCGGCTATGCTGCCCACTCGGCGGGAGGCGGCGGTCTCGCCTCGGTGGGAGCTGCGCTCGTTGGTGCGATTGGCGGGAATGCGCTGGAGAACAAGTTCGACAAGAAGAAGAAGGACAAGAAGGACAAAAAGCATAAGAAGGAGAAGAAGCACGGCGGCCACAAGCGGAGGGGGAGCCATAGCTCCTCGTCGAGCAGCGATTCCGACTAGGCTGTGGCGCAACGGGGCTGGGGGCGGGGAACTGGGCTTGTTTCCCTGTCTGCCTTGATTGGGCTTGGATAGCCTTTCCCAGAAGACTGAAGAGGCTCACAATTTATTGTGAATGCACAAATCTGCCACCGCACCGAGTTAACGTTGGGCGGGTAGTCAGCCGTCCCAAGATGGCTTGGTAGGACTCCCAAGTACACTATACATATGTCTCACGGCTTTGGGTCTCCCTTAAGATTGACCAATCTTGATATGTTGACTTGAAACCTTTCGCGTGTACAACATTACTAAGTGAAATAGTTTATCTGTTACTGTGATGTGACTTCAAATGTTTTGTCTACGATTCTGGCCTCGGTTGCACTGCCGCCAACGTTGACATCCAGCTTTGCCTGTTGCTCCGGCTAGCTCAATCGTCAGGTCCTGATCCTGAACATACCTGCTGCGCAGAGTATTACATATTCGAATTTTACGCCTGAGAATCGGATGTTGCAGCTTGGCCTCCTAGCCTGGTCATCTTGATGTCAAGTGCCACATGGCTGCAGCTTCTTCGCCTTTGCTTCATTCGCCAGGGTCAGCTATCGGTCATATCAGGCAACGGATAATGTACAACCCTGGAAGACAGGGCACAAGTGCAGATAGATACTGCCACTATGTAAAACAGCTGCAGCAAGCAAGAAATTGATTTTCAGCTCATAGTTGTCTCGTTCAGAAGATTGCATAGAGGCTATTGGTATCTTGAGAACCAGTTCTCGCGACAATTGCGAGGCACTCGGCTGTTTGTGCAACCGAGAGCAAAATGGTAGAGTCAAAACGAGTGCTAAGTGGAAAGTCAACCCAGTAATTCTCTACCCATATAACAAAAGCCGCCTTGCAAAGACCCACTATATATTTATAGCCATCGCTTCCTCCTGTTGAAGATTGGATCTACACCTCTAGCAAAGCCGGCACCGCCCCAGAAGAAAACCTCCCGGCTCCTCGAAACCATAACCACACACCTTGATCCCCAATGTGCTTCATAATATGTGGGCATCGACTGATGTTGTATTCTACTTGAGTGTGTCCAAATGATGGTGGGCTCTACCCACGGCCTCACATCGTCAACAATAAACTTGATTTCCAGAATTTTAGGGAATGGTGTAGCTTGAGATCTGAGAGCATCATCACAAATATAGATATACGGTGGTCGGTGGCTGTTCAATTGGGTTAACGCAACAGACAAAGATGGACTCATCTAACCCCCCCCCCTATATAAATGCGCTTCACCCATCTGTCAATTGGTACGATTGAGAGACAAGACCTGTCTCCCGCTTGAGAATCTCACTCTCCTGTTATATGAACTTGTCAAGCAGTTCTCATATGATGTCTTCAAGCCTGCTGGAGATTGGCCAGTCACATCCACAAGATGTCAGCGTGAGGTTTCATCCAGCTGCAACCCTAGCCTCGCGAGGCGCTTGAAATCGAGCAACCATGGGGCATAGCGCCTCACAATCTGATGCCGGATAATCGAGGTTTTAATGCATTCGATTGCCCCAACTACATAAACCCGAGCCACGAAGGTTCTCAACTACGCTTTGTCTCAGAGCACAAATTGTGTCAAAAGAGATCCTTCTCAATTCCACACAACAAACGTGATCTGTTTATAGAACATGGCTCAAACAGGCTAATAAACCACTCTCTCCGGTGCGACGTAGCAACCAACTTCACTATGTTGACTTTCTCCCCGGACTAAGTTATCTCCAAAACATGGTAGCACTATCAGGGCTCCCTGTTCCGCTGTCCATGACAACGCTTGATTGAAAGAGAGTACTGTTCCCGGTGTGTATAATGCACAGCATCACAATGGGATGTGGCTTGCGCGCCGTTCAGCCTCCTGGGGTCCGGATCAGGAGTGTTGTCCGGCCCCAAGCAGGATTTCTCCAACACTGACGGCACACAAACTCTGTGAGCCCCTCACGACACCGACAGCATCCCTGGATCACTTTCGCAGCGTGTGATCGCCGCACAGCCATGTCCCGCTGGGAGAACATAGATTGCACCAACGGAAAGCATTTCTGTTATGTAAAAGGTACACCCCTCATGGAGAAGCTGTCGTGAGGCGCAGGCCGCGGACTGCCTCCCTTGCAGGACAGCTACGTTCGGGCCCTGCTTCGACGAGCCGCCGTGCTGTGGTATCATGAGCTTTTTCGTTGACGAAAGACCTTCGTGCCGAGGAACGCTTACGCTCGGGGGTTCTCTACGCCCTGCCCAGAACGGCCACCGGAGCTAGCATTTGCGACCATCAACCAGCCATGTCTGGAGAGCTACTGTCGGCAGTCCGAAGTGCTGATGTCGACGAAGAATGCTCAAGGAATTGAGTGCTGGAGTATTTCTGCGGCTCTTACTATCTTCTATAAGAGATGAAGATCATAAAACCGATCCGAGTTCAACGCTGAGGCAGATGTGCCCTGAGGACCGACATGAGCTGGAACCACATGTTCGCCTGTCTGCACCTTGGCATGACCGAAGTCTGGTTGTCATGGCCCGCATCCACAACGTCTTGTTGTTAGTTCCAGGGGTTCGTCCCAAATCATTGGATGAACAATTGAAACAGCTCACCACTGGTCAGTAGAGCCAGCATCTCGGACCAACTGCCACAAGGGCCATCAAGCTCACCGGTCCTACCAGGTTGAACCAAGTCTTCCCCGCATTTTGCGGATGGACAGACCCATGACCTGTAACGGGGGCATTTTTTGCCTGGCCTAAGCTCGTCCGACGACACCCAGTACGGCCAATGATCCGGCCCAGGGCAGGCATTGGAACTGACCTCCGGCCGAGTGCAGCGAGTGTCGACCGCCTCGAGCACACTGACGAGGTCCTCCGGCTGCGACCTTGTGTCGCATTCACAATGGCGAAAGACCGGGCCAAGCATTTGCATCAGCATCACAAGTCATTCCGAAGCAACGTAGGCCGAGGATGTGTCGTGGAGGCTGGAGGCGTGCGGTCATGATGCAGCTCCGGCCCAGCTGTGTGAAATTCGAGAATATTTATATGCCCTGCTGATCCTCCGCTCATCATGCCCTTTCTAGGTCTTCGGACTGTCCCTGCATCTTGAGAAGCATTCATTGTGATAAACAAAAACACACGGCCTTTATATTCAACTGCCTGTCAGAAAACTGCCAAAATGGTTAACTTCGGCTCTTTCTTCCTCTTCGCCACGGCCATCACGGCCCTGCCTTCCTTGGTCAGGCGTGATACCGCAGAGACTCTTGCCAACCTCAAAGGCATTGACAACTCGACCAGGTCTCTGACCACCACCGTCACCTCGTGGGACGGATCCCTCCTCGGGGCTTTGGGCATCCAGTCTGCCGCCACCGCCGTCGGCGTAAGTCTCCCTTGCCTGGAGCATCAGAGCAGCACTCCCTCCTCCTTTCCTATCTCACAAAGCACGAATGCTGACAAGTCCCCACAGACCCAGATCGACAACGCCAACACCGCGGCCTCGGACGAGCCCCAGGCCTCGAGCGCGGACTCGCAGACCATCATCACCTACGTCACGGGCACCCTCACCCCTGACATCCAGGCCTCGCTGACCGCCCTGACCAACCGCAAGGCCGACTTCCAGTCCCTGGGCATAACATCCATCGTCCTGTCCACGCTCCAGAGCCTGCAGTCCAAGTCTGCCGCCCTCGGGACGACGCTCGTCAACATCGCGTCCGCGGACCAGAAGGCCGCGGCGCAGTCTGCAGCCGACGCCATCAATGCTGCCTTTGCCGCTGCCGTGACGGCCTTCTCTTCTTGATTAGTATCATAACGCCACTGTGTGGCGTGGTCCTGTACCTGGCTTGCTGCCCTTCTCGGGGCGGAGGTCGTCTATTCAAATTGACAATATGTTTCGTTGTTCAAGATAATATACGTACATACAAATCAAGTAGCTGGTAGGCCAGGCAACACTTGTAGCAAGAAAAGGAGGAACAATACACTCATTTCGCTCCGCAACTTTCAGGGCTCAACTGAAGAGCAATGTGCATGACTGTAAGTTCGAACATGGGCCATAGAAATTTCTCGTCTCCTTGCCAGAAGGGAGTAGTCTATGAGGTGTAGAAGCTGAGGCGAGTGCTGCCCGAGGCGGAGCTTCGGAAGGAAGGTTGCGATGATCTGCGAAGCTCCAGGCTCATTGGGTCGGCTGGCAGGACGAGATCAACAGGGCCCTTCCCGTCTTTCACATGCACGTACCTTGGTACCTGACCTTGTAGCGCACCTGAGCTGTGACGAGTGTGGGGAACACCCTTGCAGAATGCAACGCTCTCGCTCCAAGAGTCTGGATTAAGAAAGGGTGATGAGCCAAGAAAATTCCAGAAATCTGCGGTGTGTGGTAAGGCTACGGGGTCTGGCTCTTCTGACATGACACTGTAAATATTTCAGCAGTATCGAGCCTGATCAGTGATTTCTGAGCATCCTCGGGCTCCAACATAGCACTGGTAGCCCGGTGGTCTTTCTACGGTCACAATGGGGACTATAGTACAAACACCTTTGAGGCCAATGTTGTTGGAAGGTGCGAGGGTCGTATGCCCATACGCTAGCGCTAGCCTATAAATAGGCTCCTTCTAAGCGTTTAATAGCGGGGAGATTTCTCTCCTTAATAATTATAATTAATTATTATTTGCTTAATTGCTTTATTAAGTTATAAGCTTAATATTACTTAAGATATCTTAAAACGTTAAGAAATATTAATACCCCTATTTTTATAATTATTTTTATACTTAAATTATTAAAATTTTAATATTGTTAGCTTTTACTTATATATTATTATTATACCTTATAATAGCTGCCATGGCTAATAATAACTTATAATAATTTAATACTCTTGCTTTATTTAATATTTTAACTATTTATTCCTTTTTATTTATTTACTTATATTAATTAATATTAATTATTATAAATAAATAAAAATATATAAATATTGTTTAAAATATACTTAAAGATATATAAATATTATTTAAAAGATATTAAATATACTTAACTTTAAGCTTAACTTATTATTTTTCTTAAAGTTAAACTTAAAAAGGGAAAACTTTTTAAATTAAAAGGTAATATAAAATTATAGCTTTTAATTTATTAACCTTAATAAATATATTATAAGTATTAAGAAATGATTAAATAAAAATGCAGCCCTTATAAAATAAAAAAAGCTTAATAATTAAGCCTTTATTATATTCCTAAGCTTAATATATTTAAGCCTTATAATATTTATTATATTATATAGAAAATCTTTTAATACTTAAAAAATATTAATTAATTAATTTAATTATAATATTAATAACTTAATTATTTATTTCTTTTATTAATTAATAAACTTATAATATAAAGATAATTTTAACTTATAAAACTATTTAAATGTAATGGGCTTGGGCTATTGCTTAAGCCGTAATGCATACTCGTGTCGGGCCCATATTGCACCCAACCCTTTTACATAATAGGGCATATACTTAAAAAATAAATCTAAAGTTAAGCCCTTTTAAGGCCTAACTTACTTTTTAAATATTATAATTTATAACTTCTTTTAAATACCTTTTAATAAATGCTTAAGGCTAACTTATAATATTAAATTATAATCTCTAAATTATATTAAAAAGAATACTTATATTATAAAGGTAAATAACTTTATACTTAAAATATTAACCTTTTTATAAAATGCATAACTAGGGATTTCTTAACTTACTTTAATGTTAAGCTATAAAAACGCTTAAAAAGCGCCTTAACCCTCTTAGCTATTTATAGTAATACTTATTAATGCTAATAATAATGCTATTATATTTCTTTTTATAATAATGCTTTATTAACTTATAAAGCTTAAAATGCATGCAAACCCTTTTAACTTATCCTTAATTTAATATAAGCCGCTCTTAATTAAGCCCTTATTTAATAATATTTAAAATAGCTTTCTAGCTTAAAAGATAATAATATAATATAAACTATAAACTAATATAAACTTTATTAAAAATCCTTAAAAATATTAAATCTTCTTATAAAGTTAATTATTTATTAAGGTATAATTATGTATTGCAATATTTTATAAGCAAAGCGGGCTTTAAAATAACTTTAATATAAATAAGTTTTTTAAATACTTAAAATGCTGCTATAAAAACTTATATTAATAAGTAATTATTTTAGCTAAGCTTAAGATATTTTAAATGTAAAATTATAATGGCTTTATTTAATTTTATATTTAGTTTAAATAATTAATAATGTAAGCTAAGGGCCTTAAGTAATTAAATAAAGTAAAGCTAAATTAATTTTATAATTAATTCTTTCCATAGCTTTATAATAAGGTTATTAAGGCATTAATTTTATATATAAATTATAATAAGGTAATAAATATATATCGCTAAATTGCTTATAAGCTAAAGGCATAAAATCTTAAGCATTAATAATATATAAACCTACCTTTATGCCCTTTAAAGCCCTTAACTTAAGGATAATAAGTAATAAGTTAAGATATAATAATGATAAATATAGCTATAATGGGTATAATAAGGGGCTAAAGTATTAGGAATAAGGGGCTATAAGGGTAGCAAGGCGCTTTTTCTTCTTAGTTAGTTAGCGGCTAAGCTAGGGCACCTTAGGTTTTCAGGTTTAAAAGGGAGGCTTAATAAGAATATAAAGCATGTCTATATTATGGCTAATAAGGGTACTTTATAATAAACTATAAATTCCTTTTTATAGCTATGCTAATTTAAGTTTAAGTTATAAAGCTAGTTATACCTTATAAGGAAAACCTTATTAGCTTTAAAAAAAAAGATTAGCTTTTAAGCAAAGTCTTGCTTAAAAGCATAAGCTTTTTTTATAAGCTTAATTTATATAAAAATAATATTAATAAGTATAAAATAAATTAAATAAGCTTTTTTTCTTAATTCTTATTATTATAAATTATAAATATATTATTATTACTTAAATAAATAATAAATATAGCTATTATATTATTATAAATAAGCAATAAATATAAAAAGCAAAATTAAAGCTAATAGCTTTACTTACTTTAAGAAACTTAAAGATAATTATTAGCTTATTATAAAGTTAATATATTATATATATAATATAGCTTCCTTTAAATATTAATGCATAATAAGCTCTTATCTTAGCTTATATAATTTTAAATACAGCTTATCCCTTTTTATTAAGCTTGCTTTAATTATGCTATTATAATATCTTATTAAACCTAGCTTATAGCTGCATGGTAATTAGCGTAACTTAAGGGATGATTATAAAGAAAAAGGACTAATGAGATATAAGCAATCTAGCTTAATTAATCTTTAAAATAATTACAAGGGTATAAATAAACCGCTTATTTTATAATAAGATAATAAATATTACTTTAATAAAAATAAGCCTAAGTAAGGTTATATAAATCCTTTAAGCTATAGCTCTTTAAGAAAGAAATAATAATAATGCAAAGCAGCGCGAAATTAAGCCCTTATTAAAGAAGATATAAAACTTTATTAGCTTCTTTAATAAAAATTAAGCTTTTACCCTTTTATTATATTAAGATTAATTTAATTATTATATTTATTTATTATTAATAAAAGATAAGTTTACGCCGGTATTACTATAGGGCCCATTATATAATATGCCTTAAGATTAGCTATTTAAGCTATGAAAATAAATTATAAAACTTTATAATAAAAGCTAAGTAAGAGTTAGCTTCTTATTTATAATAGCCTTAATTTTCTTAATGCATAAGGTAAATAAGGGGTAGTAATTTTATATAAATTACCATACCTTAAATAAGATAACTTAATAAAATTATTACCCCTTTCCTTTTATTAAGGAAATATTACGCTCTTTCTTTAATGCTTAATAATTTATAAAGCTAAATATTTATATAACCTTTTATTAAATATAAATAGCAAAGAAGTAGGAGCATTTAATAACATTTTAAACCTAATTTAAGTTATTTAAATAACTAATTTATCCCTTTAATTTATTTAATATACTTATTATATTTTAATAATATATTAACTTAATCTTAATTAATATCTTAAAAGATTATATAATGGCGTATTTAAATAATATATTAATATTCTTTTTAAGCTTAAAAAGGAATTATATAAGAAAAATATAAAAGGTTTTATATTGCTTATAAGATACTAAGTTAAACTTAAATTAAAATAAGTATAAGTTTGCAATAAAAAAGGTAAAGTATTTAAGCTTTATTATTATGGCTAAAATAAGCGTTTAAGTAAATTTAAAAAAGGTTAAGGTAATTTAAAAATAAAAGGCATTATAAATAATTCATAGCATTTAAAGTTTTATAAGGTTTATAAACTTTTATTATAACTTTATTAAGAACTTTTTTAAGATTATTAACCCCTTTTTTTATTTTATTATTAAGGGGATTTCTTTTTAATAAGGAAGTAAGGAAAATATAACCTTTTATTACCTTAAGGTAGCATTTATAAAGGCATTAATCCTAGTTAAATAAAATTTAAACTTAAGCATAGTAATAAAGGCAAATTACTTAAAAATAACTTTTAATGCATGCTTATTAATTTAAAAAAAAAGGGCTTTTTACTTAATTATTTATTACTTTGCAAAGCTTTCTTTAGCATAATAAAATTATATTATTTATAATAAAAAGCTATTAGCAATAATTAAGGCTTTAAAGGCATAATTATTTATATTTTAAAGTATATTCTGCTTATTTATAATACTTATAAATTATAAAAGCCTTAAATACTTTATTAATTCTTAACTCTTTTTAAAAAGGTAAGCTTAATAAATTAAAATTTTATTCCTTTTTCA